ATATGCTTGAGCAGAGGCTGTGGCGTCAGTGCATCATCAAACGGATGCTGCGACTGATCCACGATGTGCCCCCAATCCACTGGCATGCGCTGATGCCGATATTTGGCCACTTGTTTTCAGTGGATCAGGGATACGAACTGACTATCGAATGGTCTGACGACAACTGTTGCGATGAGAGGGACCGAGCCGATGCCATCAGGTACGGAGCTGCTTTCGCTGCCGGCTTGTGGATATGTCTCGATTAGCTGGACAGATAACCTGAGCTCACGTCTTTGATGGTCACTCGCAGGCTCTACTTCAATACCCAGGAATCAATAGACTCCTTTTTCAACAGTACGATGACGCTGCAGCATAGCTTGCGAGCATCGAGTCTCCAGCTGCCCGTCGCCATGATGGGTTTAATACTACCGTCTCCGGTGGCGACTAGCCTTGAATCCAAGAAAAAGGTGCGTGAGGTATGGATAATTTGAACGAAAGCCCACTTCTTGTGTTAGTTCGCCGCACACGCTCACAAGCCAGCGATATCGCAGCCACTGTGGCAGCGCAGTGGGCAAAGTAGAGTCACTCAGTCTCTGAGCCAACACCGTCCCGACAAACAAAATCGGTGCTCATCTCCAATCCGATTTTTAATCTCAGCTGGATCAATTCGCCAAGAGCACTGTGCGCGTCCTGGCCGATCAGATGGAAAAGTTTCAAAAGCAGCTCAACTCCGAGACACTCGTAAGGAATCTGCCCATCGAATCTGCAATTATAACATCGCGATACTACTGAGCGACGACTAACATTTTGGCATAACCCCGCGGCATACCCCACTAATTTCTTGGGATGCCATGTGCCTATCTATCTATCGGTACACAAGGCCCGATGGAACAAGTCGTAATACTGTCTTGTCTATGACTCCAGCCCTCTGGGTGGAACTATGGCCCGTTCAATCTGGTGGCTTGATAGAGGCCTTGGATTGGCTGGGCGAGAATGTGCTGTGGAAGGCGGATATGGCTTCAGGATCGAGAGCGGATGTGGCTTCAGGATCGAGAGCATATGTCATTGCACCCGAACACGGAGAGCCCTGCTTCGTTTCATGAACATTTACAGGCAATCCAATAAAAAACGGGACACCCGGGTTTTTGACCATTCATCGAATATTTTGTTACCCAATGTTATCGCGCGCTGGCCATGACCATTCGCCACACATCCGACTTTCGCACCGCCGCATTGCGATGCTACGCCCTCATCCATAGCCTGCGTAAGGTCGCCTCCATATTCAGTGTATCCAAGAACACCATCCATCGATGGCACCGAGGATGCAAGCTGGATGACCCATCCCGGGTCCCAGCTCGCAGATCCACTTTCTTCGAGCAGGCATGTCCAGTCATTCGCACCCTGATTGAACAGGACCCGTTCCAGACTGGTCCTGTGTTGCGATGCAAGCTCGAGTCCATCCTCCAGAGGAAAGTATCACTCTCACTCTGCCACACTGCCATCCACCGAGCAGGTCTCTCACACAAGAGGGCAACACACCTCTACAAGTCCAAGCGACTGGCACAGTTCAGGGACCAGGTCCGCTCCATCGACCCACGACGATTCGTCTTTGTCGACTGAGACAGGGATCAGGAAATCCATTTTCCCTCTTTACGGATACTCGCCGAAGGGTGCTCCTGCTTCGCCAGCGCAATCACATGAAACACAAGTCTGTCTCGGCTGCATTTGCCATCAACCACTCTGGTGTGCTGCATCGTATGTACATCCCCACATCATTCAAGACACACTCGATGGTCGAGTTCTTTGAGCGAGCGAGCTTCCCAGACGACTCTGTGATTGTGATGGACAATGTCAGCATGCACAAGACAATGGCTGTCCTGGACTGCATCGAGCGCCGAGGATGGTCAGTGATCTTCACCCCACCTGCCTTCACCCGACTTCAATCCCATCGAGAACTTCTTTGGGATTGTGAAGCACCAGTACAGGAAGGCAGGCAGCGCTGAATGCGTCCGAGGGGTTCAGGATCGGGATGGTCGCATCTGTTTGAGTCTGCCGTTCGGAGGGTGCTTCCAGATGTCTTCCCACGGCTGATTGAATGTGCGAGGTGCTTCTGGGTCTGAAACGGCCTGTCAACTCCGCCATTCTCACGATCACATCCCTGGCTTGAACCTCTCGGCGATTTTTGAACAGGGTCGCTTCCAACCAGCCCGCAAAGACGGGCTCCTGCTCTCGGGTATAAATGCCACACCTTCGTCCTGCTGCTTTCTTCCCTCATCTCGCCTTGATCTGATCATCGCGCCATTGTACGATAAAGAGAAGTCTCTGTTCTGACCAGTACCACTGGCAGGCATCCAGCATCCTCTGCCCCCATGCCTCCGAAGCGCAAGGGTACCGGTGATGGCCAGCCTCGGCCACCCAGGCCCAAGAAAGCCAAGTCACAGTCGGAGCCTGTCTCTGGTTCGTATTTTGATCCCACGCATGCTTGTTTCTCTGTTGCTCCGTTGCTCACCACTGCTTCTGCAGATCCAATGGATGTCGATCCCACCGAGCCTGGTCCATCTACTTCCTCGAGTACCGGCAAGCGATGTCCCAAGTGCGATGGCACCGATCACGAACGCTGCAACACCAGCAAATGTCCCAAATACCGGCCCCTCAAGAGTTCTGTCGTCCCACTCGTGGATGGAAGGTCATCGGCCCCTCAGTTCAGCTGCTTCAAGCAGACCATGGATGGCTGTTGTCTCAATCCCGCTCTCCGCGACAAGATCCAGGCCACCGTCGAGGCCATGACCCAGATCCAGTTCGAGGCATCCAGGCTGCTCAACCTGCACATCCTCCGGTGCATCGAGCAGGATCTTCCCGTCCCCGTCATCTCCAAGTCCACCCCTGCATTCATCCGCCAATGCTTCACGATCGTCCAGGCTGGTGCCTCTCTTGACAGCCAGGGACAATGAAAAATACGAGCAGAAGCTGGTCGCTTCCTTTGGCATCTACCAGTCCACTCGGCACGCAGACCTGCCTCCGGCCCCTCGTCTGCCTGATGGTGCTCACAGTCAGCTTCTCACACTGGCTGTCAATGCCTATGCCACCAACTGCACCACCCACCTCAACCTGGCATACTGGCGACTCCTTCGCCGCTTCTGCGCTGCCGTCTTCCCAGCCAACAAGCATAAGCACGAAGCCATCGAGGCCTGTCTCGAGCTCTTCGAGAAACCAGGGCAGACTCCACCCAAGGCCGATCTCGAGTTCCTCTATCCCGAGTTTGGCCACATCCTGGACGAGTTTCGGTACAGCAGCGACCAGGACCGCTTCCGGGCCCTCCATCGCCTCTCACACCATGTGAGAATCCTCGCCCGGGACAAGATGGTCGACAATGTCCACAAGTGGATCGACTGTGACATGTCCGCCCTCCGAGTCACCGAGCTGCAGCTCCAGGCCAAGCTGGACGAGCTCACTACCCAAGGCATTCCCTCCGACGACAAGAGGTTCACCAAGGCCAAGTCTGAGCTCGGCACCACCAAGTCCAAGATCAACAAGCTGGCATCCAGGATCAAGTGGGCACTGAAGCAGCTCGCTCTCGACACTCCTCCGGCCGTGTGCACGATGGTCCCTCTGTGCACAGCCAAGGCCAAGTATGTCAAGATCGACACCGTCGCACTCTGGGAGCTCCTGGGTCCAAAGAAGCGCCTTGGACTCACCAGGGACAAGCTCAAGGAAGAAGGTGAGGACGGTGTCAACAACCAGGATCGTCTCTGGCGCAGTTGCTTCAAGCTGCGTAGTTCCCTCTTCCAAGAGCGGGACGTGAACAAGAAGCTGTTCAACTACGAGATCAGCACCGATGGCATTGGATGCACCATCGGCCTCGTCAAGTTTGTGCGTCGAACCGATCACACCGAGACCATCGAGCCTCCTCCGACTGCCGAGCAGCGCATCCAGGCCATCGGCAACCCAGACCCCAACCGCACCACTTGGATTGGAATCGACCCAGGCGTCGGCTCCATCTTCACGGCGGTCATCCAAGCACCGGGCCACCAAGACGAGGTGGTCTCATTCTCGAATGGTCACTATCAGCACATGTGTGGCCACAGGTCCGATACTAAGTGGCACAATACCAAGAAGAAGCAGCTCAGCATCGAGACCTGGATGTCGACCACCCCCTCGCCCAAGGTGTCGTCCTCGGAAGCCTTCAAGGTCCATCTCACCCATGTCCTGCGACTGGAGCTGCGAGTGCAGCTCGACTTCCACCTTGGCAAGAAGGCCCGTCACCATCGATTCACGGGCCACAAGAGGCGCCAAGTGGCCGTTGACAAGATGTGCAAGGCCGTCCTGAGGCACGCCCCGATACGGACCGATGTGGTGATCGCCTTTGGCAATGCGTCATGGCGACAAGGCAAGGGCTATGCATCCAGCCCTCGGAGGCAGCGGTTCGCTCAGTACTTTGAGCAATTCGAGCACCACCGTCGCCGTCCCAATCACCATCATGGAAGCGTCAAGGTGGCCTCGACGAACGAGTTCAACACCTCGCAAGTGTGCTCCAAGTGCCTGGAGCCAGTTCGGTTGGAAGGACTCGATGCGCCCAGTGTTGCGAATTCCCACTTTGTCAGGAGCTGCAAGAATCCCAGCTGCCGGACAGTGTGGAATCGCGACGTCAATGCGGCGCGCAACATGATCACAGTATGCAGGTCGATTGTGGAGACCGGAGAGCGACCGGCGGTCTTCACTCGGAGGCTGCCAAAGTGATCTGTTTTATTTCTTGTGGCTTTGCTAGACGCGAGCACAGCACATACTACATGTTCATGGAAACGGCTATATTATCCCGTTTTTTTCTGAATAAAGTGTAAGCCTTATGGCTGTATTTGTGGGGAGATGGTGATTGGTGTGGACGCGGCGCTGGTTCGGGTTGGCAGCACCGCATTCGATCCAACCATTCGAGCCGTCCATTCGAGCCGCCCGCAAGCAGTGCGGCTGACTAATCACACAAAACTTTTTCCGCCCAGCCGTCGTGATTGAGGCATCCGCTGTCTGGTATCCTTTCCTGCCGTGTTGTCCTCAGACTCCATCGTCCCACCAAACACCTCCACCTCCACCCCGATGGTAAGATCGCCTCTCCTCCGAGCCGAACTGTCCTGTGCCATGCACTTCCAGCGATGCTGCCGCCGGTGCGGCCATACCCTTCGCAGCCGCATCTGCGTCCTGGATCCTTCCCGACACAGTCAAACTTGGACTGGAGGAGCACGGCTTCGACTGACTATATCGACTGACTGTCTCGACTGACTGTCTGTTGATATCCGCCACTTCTGCTCGGATGTGCTGCAGGCTGCGCGAGTTATCACCCAGATCGTCATTGTCGGATCCCAGATTCTGGGCAAGGCCTTTGTCGAGGCCTTCCGTGAAGCATCCAAGAAGGGCGCCGTTGCTGGTGCCTCGGGTGCTCGGTCGGCTGCCGATGTCGCCACTCGAAAGACGGGCATGTCCCTGGATGAGGCGCAGCAGATCCTTGCTGTTCGAAAGGAGAACCTGACGATGGAAGAGGTTATGAAGGTGGGTGTGCGCAAAATGAAGTAGCAGGGCGGACCGCGGAGGCTGTGGCGGATTGCGACCGATTCGGTTCGGGCAGAGGCGGCATCAGCCATGCCTGAGCAACCAGATCAGGCGTTCCCGCAGAAGAAGCAAAGACAGCTGGGGGTGACCTTGGATCAACGATGTCGGTTTACTGGCGGGCTCATTGATACCCGCGAGTTGCATTTCCGCTAGCCCCTAATGTCGCTTCTCTGGCTTCATATAGAAATACGACCATCTGTTCAAGGCGAACGACCCTGCATCGGGTGGAACCTTCTATCTGCAGTCCAAGATTGTTCGTGCAAAGGAGCGCATCGAGATGGACTTTAACAAGAGTACACCCGACTCAACCCCATCGAATTGAAGATTGCCTCGCCACATGGCTCCAGCTGACACTGCGACAACCTATGAGCTCAGGCGATCGATTGAGACTAAGACCGAGACAACGCTTGATCCGATTTTATTGGTTGTAGACAGCTCTGTTTAACTGCCTGAGTCTCGGAGTTGACTCGAACCTCGGCCCGCTGGCTTGCAAGATGACGTTTGACTGAACAGGCATTCGTCGTGGGTCTGGACCTTCAGTGTCGCCTAGATGATAGATGGGACCAAGTCGAATATCGAGCTTTTCGGTCTTGGAATCTTGGAATATTGAAAGCTTGGAAGTCGCCAGCCAAGTTGATGTTTGCCATTGCTCCTGCGTGTAGCTCATTTATGCGCCGTACTCTTTTGCCTGCTTGCTTGTTTGCTTGTTTGCCCAGTTGCCTGCTTGACCTCCATGTGTGCACCACAGCCAACTGCCCGATCGGACGCTTTGCGCTATCGTCCATGTTCTTCAGCCCGCTTATTCCTGTATATCTTATGTAATTTTAAGGTTGAGATTCACCTCCTCTCTCCCAATTCTTGACTCGGCATCAGCGGTGTCAATATACATGCCATCCGCACAAAGATAATTGAAGAGAGGGACGAACCGGTACAGCTCAGAGCGGTGGCTCATTCGGCGATGCAGCGCGCGTATTTTCTATCAATGGCCGTATGAGCATTGGTGAATGTCCTGATTCAAAACATCGTGCGCTGGCCATGACCATTCAGTGATGTGCCGCTGATGCCAGAGGGGAACAATCACGTTTCTTTCTGGACTGACTGCAATTCACTCTGGCCCCACCCCAGAGTCAGCTATCTACGGCTTCTCGACGGTGATCGGTGTAGATTCCGACAAGGCTTCGTCGGTAGCCAAATGCGATGTGCAGTGCGGGCATCTGCGATACAACCGTCAGAACGGAAGCCGTCAGCTTCCAGTGACATCAAACTATGGCGCCACGCCCACGCATATGACGACCCTTGTTGGTCTGATTTGCACAGAGTCGCAGCAGTTTAGGTGCGCCACTGACCTCACGGCTCTGTGATGTATATCCATCTGACAGAATGTGCATCGCTTTGTCTGTTGCAGATCGAGCTTCCACTGGAAAAACCGCTTGAGGGCTGAGAGACATGGAGTATGGCACCGCTCAGATCGCAGAATCGGAGCCTGGACATTGCTTTTCATGGCCACTCGCGCCCTCATCCGGGTCCGCATTTTCATGAAGCACCTACATCCAAGGAGCCAGTACACGGCAATCCCGACCGTCAGGAAGTTGATAAGCTGGCGGACAAACTTGCCGATCCGGATCGTGGTAGCTCCGTCGGTCTGTGCCTCGTCCAGTGTCCGAGGGATGCGTCCGGACTTGCCCAACTTGAGCAAAATAAAGAAGTTGATGATATTGTCGCCTATCAAGTTGATATGGGCGTAAGCCAATCGGCGAATCACTCGCGCTCACCCGCATCATTCTGCTATGGTATTCTCGGCCATATCTTGATGGCCAAGATGCACACGCATCCGCTGACAACGCAGCGTCTCTCCGACTTACCAAACAGATACAGCGTCAGCGGTGGCACCATGACATCGTTCACGAAGCTCCTGTGCGTTTTTGATCGCGCCGTTAGTTACAGCCGAAGCCGCATTCCCAGTGGCAACTTTGAGCTTTGAGTCACGACTCTGAAGTGTATATAAGTGTGGAGCGCATCTGCTCGAGTTTTTAGGGGAATATCCTTGTCTACTTTTACTTGCACATCGTATCGTATCGTATCGTATCGTATCGTATCGTATCGTATCGTATCGTATCGTATCGTATCGTATCGTATCGTATCGTATCGTATCGTATCGTATCGTATCGTATCGTATCGTATCGTATCGTATCGTATCGTATCGTATCGTATCGTATCGTATCGTATCGTATCGTATCGTATCGTATCGTATCGTATCGTATCGTATCGTATCGTATCGTATCGTATCGTATCGTATCGTATCGTATCGTATCGTATCGTATCGTATCGTATCATATCGTATCATATCGTTTGTCCAGTCGCCATGATAGCTCGGATGATTTGGCTTACCTAACCATGTCCTGGAATGCCCTCCCGATAATGACACCAACTCCCGTCTCCAAAACTCGAGTCTGAAACAAGCACGGGCCAACATGATGAGCCATTCATCGACAACCCCTGGTGATTCATGGCGGCATTTCATCATCCGTCAAGCATGCAAGTCTGCCAATGCCAAGGTAGTTGCTTGCCTGGACAATAAAGGTCTTGAAATCCCTCCAAAAGTCCGTCTGGATCATCTGCCGGACCAGATCGCTTGAACTGCGGATCGCATCGATCGATCGCAGCCTTTTGAGGCCCAGAGCGGCTGTGGATTGTGCTCCTGCATCGGCTCGACTTTGCTGTCCCCTCTGCTCCGAGACCTCCGCCGCGGATGAGCTTGGAGCAGTCGCGGCTGGCGCCTGGTGGGACAACTGGGAGTAGCTGTCTGTGGGAAACTGCGCTGGTGGAGGCGGCGTTGGAGCGTCGCTGGGCTTTCTCCGGCGGCCGGACATGGCAAATGCGTGGGATGCAGGTCAGCGACCAGCCCCAGGCATCGTCGAATTGCACATGGGCAGCAGCAAGCACGAGCGGGAAGCTGTGGCTGAACACCCTGCGGTCACGCGACAGTCACGTCGGCTCCACGCCATCCGACCAGGCTGCGCACGAGAATGAACATTTCATTCATAGCGGATGGAGTGCGGCTCGAATGCAGGCCTCAAGACGCACCCATCACTATCAATTTTTTCCGGCCCCTCGCGGCTGCTCATCTCGGTCACCTGAAAGTCACGTCGAATGTGGAGCAGCAAAAGTTGGAATCCGGCCATGGTCGGTTGACGGCATTTGTTATCACCTTGAGCCGATTGACGGTGGTGGTGGGCGATTGGTGTGGAGGAATGACCAATTGTATCATTGTTGGAAGCTCCACTCCGATTGCGGACAAGAACCACCACCATCTGAATCTCTCTGGTTGGAAACCTAGTCAAGCGTGGCTGTGTGTCAGCGAGATGACATGATCGTTTGGCTATCAGGCAAGACTCACCTTGACAAGATGTCTTCCCACGACTGATTGAGCGAGCGATGCGTTTCTGGATCTGAATCAAGGACGCCACTGTGAGCATCACTCCCTGCCCAAAATTGCGCTGGTTTTGAAGAGAATTTTTCTTCCCCAAGGGCAGAACCAGCCATCGTCGCTATTTTCTCGCCAGATGGCTCCCAAGAGAAAGACATCCCCCGATCCCGATCCAGGATCACCCAATGACTCTCCTGTGGCCAAAAAGCCCACCATCAAATCGTGTCCCTCCTGTGGACTGACCAACCACGTCAAACCCTTCACCAAGAAGTGCACAGCCAGAATCGACAGCAGCCCTGCCTCTGGCTCTGCCTCGGTCGCTGAAATGGTCAGCCAAGCACCCCCTCCAGACGAGCCCAGCGAGGACACTGCCTTCCCAGCCCTCGTGGTCGAGATGCCCGCACCCAAGGTCCCTGTATGTGCCACGTGCGGGGAAGAGGGTCATGCCAAAAGCAGCAGCTCATTGTGTACCAAGAAGAACCCACTCTGGAGCTCTACCTTGCCTGACTGTGACCCCAACGAGCAAGTCAAGGCCGAGTACTCAATCATCAAGTGCACTCTCGATGCCATCATCAAGAACGATGCCTTGCACGACAAGATCGAGGAGACTGTTCGGGCCATGACTCAAGTGCAGTTCGAAGCATCTCGTCTCCTGGAGCTTCATCTCAGGCGGTGCTTGGACGAGGGTATCACTCTCCCCACTGTGTCGTCGAGTGAACCCGCGTTCGTTCGAAAATGCTTCAACATAGTGCAGACAGGAATGACTAGTGTCAAGAAAGGCACGACCCAAGAAGACAGGCACATCATCGACACCTATGAGATGTATCGAAGTACATGGAGCGAATCGTGTATCCTGCCTCCTGTGTCCCTCCCAAAGAGTACTGGCTCACAGGTTCTTGGTTTGGCTGTCAAGACCTATGCAGTCAACTGTGAGACCCACGTTCTCGATCGTTACTGGTCTCTCCTCCGTCGATTCTGCAATCTGGTCCTGGTTGCTCCGAAGGATGTCAAACGGCATACACACGTCGATGATTGTGTCAAGCTGATGGAGAATCCCCTCTCCAAGACACTCCTCGTTGATCTGAAGAGAGCCTACGCCACACATGCCGACCAGTTGTATGAGTTTCGGTACGAAAGCCACCAAGACCTGTATCGATTTGTATCGAAACTGGCCAGTGAGGTCTCTCGGCTGACCCACCTGAAGGAGGCCCTCTTCATGGTGGTCTTTCAGAAGATGATCATTCCCAGGCTCGTGAGAGAAACCATTGGCCTGAAAGGAGAGCGTGGGCGACTGAATGAGGAGATGTGTCGCGCCATCGAACGAAGGCTGCCTGACAAGCACAACGCACTCCAGACCCAGCACGAGGAGGTGTGCAAGCAGATCGCTGTGAACATGAAACGGATCAAGCGCCTCACCGACCGGCTTGCCCAGACCAAGAAGCGACACAATGCCCCTCGAGCACAGTGCACCTTGGTCCCGCTCTGCGATGCCAGAGCCAAGTATGTCAAGCTCGACACCAAAGCATTGTGGGAAATCCTTGGATACCAGACTGGCACTGGTCTCAAGTGGGACGACCTGAAGACCAAGGTCAATGGCACCACAAAGCAAGAGACCTTCTGGCAGACCAACTTCAAGCTGGATTCGAGACTCTTTGGTGCCAGGGAGGAGGGGAAGCAGCTCTTTGGTTGCGAGATCACCACCGATGGAGTCGGGTGCTCGATCACCACGCTCAGATACAAGATCCTGAAGAAGGACCCTGATGTCAAGCCAGAAACCGTGGACAAGGACGACAAGACACCCAAGCTCACTCCTGAGCAGAAGACCCAGACCAGGGTCGGTCCCATCGACGACTCTCGGACCACATGGATCGGGATCGACCCTGGTGTGGGATCGATCTTCACCGCTGTCATTCGGGCACCCGGTCAACCATCCATCCAGGAGCAAGACGGTGTCAAGGTGACCAAGGCACAGCGTGCCAACGAGAAGATCGTGTCGTTCTCCAACAAGGAGTACCAGCATCGAACTGGCACCACCCAAGCGACCAAGTGGATCCAGAGCACCCACAAGATCCTTGGTCTGCAGAAATGGATGAGCACCACACCAAGTCCCAAGATCCCTGGGTTGGCTTCATTCCTGCAATACATTCGCCATGTGTTCGATGGAGACATGCTGGAGAAACAGCTGTACTTCAGCCTGACCCGGCGACGGCGGTTCAAACGGCTTGATCTCCACAGCAAGCGACAGCGCACCGTCCACGAGATGTGCAAGCAAGTCATTGACCAGGCACCAAAGGAGACCGACATCGTGATTGCCTTTGGGAATGCATCCTGGAAACAGGGGAAGGGATATGCTTCCAGTCCCAGGAGACTCAGGTTTGCCAAGTATTTCGAGCAGTTCCACCACCACCAGAGAGGCCCACCAGACCGATCCGTCTCCAAGATCCATGTGTGCTCGGTGAACGAGTTCAACACATCCCAGGTGTGCTCACATTGCCGGGAAGCCAAGCGACTCGAGAAGGTCGAGTATCTTGATATCGAGAAGCCACATTATGTACGGAGCTGTACAAGCTGCCATACGCTGTGGGATCGAGACATCAATGCAGCCAGGAACATGATCTCGGTATGCCAGTCGATCATCGCCACAGGAGATCGACCGGGTGTATTCAAGACTGTGCTTCCCAAACCAACGAAAATCAAGGAGATTGCCGACGAAGACAGGAGTGCAATGCCATGGCCTACCCGCTGGGCCTACAGTCAGTCAGCGGGCTTCAGAAGCCAGAAAGTGACTGTCCCGTTTCTTTCTGGATAGACTGTAAGTATCTCGCACTGTTCCTTGTGCATTTCGACAGTGGATGCCGGGTCGCCCATATTCTGGGCAGTCCACTTCGGGGTTGCCATCCCTCTTGGGATGGTCGATGGGAGGTGTTTGACTCCCTTGTGCAAAGTGTGTGTGTGCAAAGTGTGTGTGTGTGTGCGGATGTGTGTGTGTGTGTGTGTGTGTGTGTGTGTGTGTGTGTGTGTGTGTGTGTGTGTGTGTGTGTGTGTGACGGCGAGAGGCTTCTCGCCTTTCCTCGGGGTCTCTCGCCAGAGACTGCTCTTCTCGCCGACCGAGGTGGCTCCGAGAGCGCGCTTTTTCGTTCTCGCTCATTTTATTAACAACAATTTTTTTCATAGTGCAGTGTCAGATCGTTTTGGGTGCGAAGAAGCCGAGGCTGGCTCGGGCCGGCTCGAACCAGAGCAAGGACATGAGCCAACAACCAATCGCGGGTCAAGTTTGCGCTCAAGCAGCAGATCATGATTCTCGCCTGGTGGCCAGCGGGCTGCTGTGGAAGCGAGCGCACAGAGAAGACAGGAAACGAACATGGTGCTCGCTATCGTTCATATGCCACTGCGTTCAATCCCGCTGTTGCCAAAGCTGGAGCCATATAGATCAAGAGGAAAACCACAGCTTTTTGTTATTTTGACTCTTCCTTTCATTGTAAAACAACCATACGACAAAAGTGCAAATCAATGATGGAGGGGAGGGGGGAACTCGGCCAGAAAACGTTCGACCACAACAAACAACGAAAGAGACTCCTCACCACCAAAGTGACGGGGGAGGGGCGGATGAGACAGGGCAGTCCAGCATGTCCTACTTTCCGCTTGGCTCGAGAATGTCAGAGGAAAACTGAGCAAGAAATGGGAAAATCTGAGAGCAAAAAATGGAGGACCAGGATGTGGGTGGGTGGTGGTGGAAAACATACACAGAGGGAGGCGTTGATGGCTTGTGGGGATGGGAAAGCAAAGAGGATGGGGGAGAGGGGGGAAACCGAATGGGGGGGGGAGGGTGTGCTAATAAATGTACAAGTGAGCTTGGGCAAGCATGACGCAGCAAACCAGAGACGGCAGCAGGCGACCCGGGTCAAAGCAGATGCAGGGAGGGAAGTGCGGGGGTGGATGTATATACAACAGCATGGTGCACTCGTGCTTCGTGCCAGCGGAGACAGCAACGAAGAGCAGGAAGTGCGAGCGTCAGCGTGGAAGAGTCACGCTACTCCATGATAGAATGGATGAATGAATGGATGAATGAGTGAATGCAAAGGAGAAAATGGAACAAAAACAAACGAACAGAGGCGCCGTGGCTGGAAGGAGGGGTCGTAAATGATGGCGGTGGTGGGTCGGGTGCAGGGAAAGCGGCCCTTGGGCAACGCAATCCCGGTCAGAGGCCAGCCAGAGGTACAAGACAAAGCGAGAGGCTTGCTTGGTATAAATACGTGCAAGGAAGAAGGAGGGGAGGAACCCATTCGGTCGAGGCAGACGAGGCAAAGACAGCAAGAAACAGCACACAACACAGCGCAGACAACAGCCAGACAACAAGGGCGGGCAAATGGGAGACAGGAAAAGCGCACCGCGGGATAGCGCAGATCCACAGGGTCATCCAGTGACGGTGGGAAGAGGAAGTGGAGGAAGAGGAAGAGCAGGCTTTACCAAATCGGGGTGTGAAAGTCTGGAACACTATGAGGCGGATCTTTGGCTCTCTCGTAGTGGATGCCGACTCGCTGCATCTGGTGAGAGAGGTTGCGCCACTCGGGGTCAACCAGGGTGCCAGGTAGGCCGCTGGCTCGAGCGCCGCGCACGCCTTCGGCTAGGTAGTCCAGAGAGACACCCCTTCGCAGGGTATCGTGACGGCTTGTGTAGTCCCTCGTTTCGGAGGAGAGGATGACATCAAAACAGGCTAGATTGATGTTGGACGGGAGCACCTCGGCCTCAAGGTCGCGGCGCCGCTGGTCCTTGATCATGCGTCTCCGCTCCAGGAGGCGGTCACGCTCGCTCAGCGAAGACATGGACGCTTCAAGTTGCAGAGTCAACAGCGAAGGGCGGCGCTGCGGGTTGTGGCAGATGTCCTGTTTCTGGAACAGCGCGTCGTAATCGTCGCCATCGTCGCTGTCGCCAACAAGAGTCTCATTCGAATCATCAAAGAGGCTGTAGCCGCTTCGAACAACGTGGGTGCTCTTTCGGGTGTCCAGCGGATGGGTACTTCTGCGACGGAGTGTGCGCCGTGCTTGAGGCCAGGTGGTACCGTGCGAGGGGGGCGACGGAGGTGAGGGGGGCGACGGAATGGGCGATGCTTGGGGGGTGATCCGCGGCGTGGTATCGTTGCTGGGGATGTCGAGTTGCATGGCGTCGGGATGCGGCAAGGCTCTGGAGCGAGCAGCGCGCCGGGGGAACTGCATATCGAACTCCTTGATGACCTCGGCCGTGAGATCGGCTTCGTGGTCCAGACGCACTGAGGCGGCTGGATCGACGTGGTCGTCGCCCAGATCAATCTCGGGGTACTTGGAGAGTGGCCGCATCGAGTGGCCGGGCATGTGCTCGGGACACTCAGCAAGCGAGCTGCTGAGGACGTAGACAGGGAATCCAACATTGGTCTCGATGTTGTAGACTTCCGAGAGGACATAGCAAGGCTGTGTCGGCAAGGAGGGTTCTGAGAGGCCGCAGTCGACCAGGGTTGGGCTTGTGCTCGGTCGTGACGAGCCAAATCCAAAGTTCGTGGGTACATGCAAGCCGGTCTTGATCATTCTCTGCAGCGAGGCCTTCCACAGCTTGAAGGGGCTGCGATGGCCGGGTGGCAGTGCCGGTGGCGCCAGAGGGAAGGGGCAGCGACAGCAAAGGACGGAGGATGTGTGGTTGGTGAGCGACGGACATGGGAGATAGCGAGCGGGAGCCAGTGCTGGCTGGACAGCGACATGACGGGCGGGGGGGGGTTGGCTGGCTCGAGACAACATGGACATGGACATGGACATGGACACGGGCTTACCTTGGCCGGGGCCCGGACGGCTGGTGCGGGTCGGAATTTGAGAGTCCCTGCGGGTTTGGCTGGGGCTTTTGCAGGCCAAAGGCCCATGGGCTAGAGATCAAGTTATAGACCATTCCCGAGGATGGGCTGTGATGGACGGGCGAGCGAGGGAAAATGAGGACAGCCGGGCGGCGGCTGGGGGGCGAGGGCGGCGGTTTTATGGGTATGGGGTCAGCGGGTCGTGAGCCGCACTCGGTGGAGGTCGGGAGGGGACTCCTCGGGGCGGTCGGGCCTCGCTGGCGATATATATTGTCCGGTCCCCCCAACGCCTCGTGCACTTGCAACGACCGGGCGATCGCACGGGGGGCTTATCAGCCAATGCACGCAAGGGCCAAGCCGGCTGTGCGATGGTCCGATTTGGCCGTGCACGGGGCAGTCCCACCACGGGCTGTTGGCAGCCGGGAGGATGCGTGTGGGAAAGGGCGATTGCATGTGGGCGGTTGCGTGGTGCATGTGGGCGAGGGCGACGGCCGCACGCATCTGATGCCAGGCCAAGCGCATTGCAGTTGCGCTCGTCCTCGCAGGTGCAATTGCAAGTGCAACTGCATTCGCCCTCGCAGGTGCATCGTCGATGTCACATCCTCATTCTTGCAGCATCGTCGATGTCACATCCTCATTCTTGCAGCATCCGCAAGCTCAAGCTCCGTCGGACCGCTGGCGGACAGCGGCCAGCGCCATCGGGGCGGGTCGGGGGCGCTCTTTCCCAGAGGGGCTATTGGCTCAACAGTCCGCGCCGCTGCTGCGATTGGTGCTTGGCGGGGCCAGGATCCGTCCGATGGAGATGGCCGGCGGACCCCCTCGGGCTGCCCCCTGTGGACGCAAGGCCGATGGTCCAGCGATGGTCCGGCGACGGTCAGCGATATCCGCAGATGATCCGGGGATGACTTGTAGTTGATCCGGCTGGCTGCTCCACACAGCCCGCCTTCACATGTCCGCAGTATCGAATCGCGGCCTTCCTGGAACGCCCTGGTCAAGTCTGGTCCAACTCGGTCCGGTCCATCTGGCGATGTTGTCCGTCGCGATCGCACCACCAAAGCCCGGTCCAGACCAGGGCGCTGCGTCTCGGCCATGCCCGGCATCATACTCGGACTGGTCTCGTTTCTCGACTGGTGCTGCTCTCGCCCTGAGCCAAAGAGGTGCCTCGGAATCTGCCATGCGCTTGCGTCCGTCGTTGTCCGTGACCGTCGCCCCTTGGCCGTTGCCGCTTTGCTGCCGTTTTGGGGGCTGGCGGCCCCTGAGTCAACCTTGCTGTGCATCGCTTGCTGGCGGCCGTCTGCGTCAGCGCAATCGCCAACGCACCATGCCAACGCACCATGCCAACGCACCATGCCAACGCACCATGCCAACGCATCGAGCGCATCTTCCTGGAGCTGCTTGCCGTTATCGCCAGGGCGGCGAAGCAAGATACCCGCGGCCCGTCGCTGTGCGTTGCCAACAGCCATCGCCGTCGCAAGTTCTGGCTGACCAGGACTGCCTCCTCGCCTCGCCTCCCTGCGGCCAGAGTGTCAGTTGCAGGCCCCACTCTCGCACATGCGGTCCTCTTTCTTTTCATCCACGGCCTGCTTCGGGAGGCCTTCACCCACCGGCCATCGATGAGCGAGGACCGCCTCTTCAGACCCCTCGGACATCTGCAGCCATTCTCGCTGGTGGTATCCGGATCATCCCGAGGGCGCTGGGTGGTGCATCTGGCGCATCCTGGGCATCGCCCCGGCGCAACAAGCCTGGCTTTTGCCTGCAAATCCCATGGCACCACCAGTCGCTACGGCCCCGTATCTTTCGTGTTGATTACGTCCTTCATGTTCTCGGCTTGGCTTCAATGCCTTGGCGCCGTGGGCTCAGACATTGCTGCATCCTCTCGCGATTGGTGTGTTCGTCGTCAAGCCACCCGCGGATCGGCTGTATTTCTGGTCTGACGGTTGGTTCGGACCGCAATGTCACAGGCGCAATGGCGTCGCCGCCGGGCTTGTCCCTGCGGGCTTTGCATACGGGTCTCGATGGACAAATCAGAGCCTGGTGCGAATTGCGCCCGCTGGTCCGATGTGGATTGCTGGGCGCCCGGCGACGATGGCTGGGAGCGCCGACGAGTTCAGCAACAACGCCGCAAGTCGTACCCTTCTCGCGCATCACGGCGGTGAGGACGATCCACGTTCCCGGCGACCGAAATGCCTGGCGGGTGCTGCCACGGACTTGCGCTGGGCTCCTTGCTGGTGAGGCTGGCGGCCCCGGAGGAGTCTGCTGGGTGCTGCCATCTCCGCGGATCTGGGCAGGGCTCGGCGGGGCAGCATGTCGCACGGCAGTCCGCCGGGATCGGCCACATGCACGAGAGCGTGCTCTCTCTCTGGGCGGAGACGGAGATGCAGGCCCAGAGAAACGACAGACGGAGAAGCGGAGAGGCAGATGCGGAGAGGCAGATGCGGTCGGGCTCTGGAAACGTGGCTGGGCTTCCTGCTGCGGACACGTTCGGCAGGCATGTGTGGCGGACGCTGGCCGCACCCACTTGCGGCGCGATTTGTCGTCATACGGCGTGCATGCGCATTGCTGGTGATCAGATCCGCTGGCCATTCGCTGGATCTCGGAGAACATGGCCATCTCGGCCGTCGTTCGCGTTGGTCGGTGGTTGATGGCTCGCGTTGGCTGACGATCCGCGCTGGTTGGCTGCCCGCTGCATGCGCCACGGCGTCTGGACCCTTGTCGGACGGACCCTTGTCGCACGGGCCAGGGCGCAGCCGGCTGCCACGCCGGATGGATCCGGATCGACTGCACCGACTGCGCGCTCCACGTGCCTCCACGTGTGCTGGCGTGCGCCACCCGTTTCGCGGTGCGACATTGCATGACACAACACACAGCGCGTTCGTCGCACAGTGGCACACAAAGCGCGTCAACTCACGCTGCCGTTGGCCAGAGGGAGGTCGGTGTTTGCGCTTGTGCGGCCCACGTGTTGCGCGTGCTATATTGTGTGTGCCTGCTGTGCTGCCTCGCGTCCCGCCAGTGCTGTGCGGTCTCGCCCTGCCTTCGATCGATCCTGCGTCTCGCTCGCCGACCTGCTCCTGGCCTCAGAGTCTCCTGCCCATCAAGGCGCACCCTGCAGCTCGCTCCAGCCCCGTCCCCAGCCCAACACTGCGCTATCGATGGTTCCTCTTCGCTCGCTCGTCGCCGGAGCCCTGCTGGCCTTGGCTCTGCCTCCGCAGGCTCTCGCCCAGACTCAACAGCCCGGCGTCCCCTCCGTCGTCGGCAACTGCGTCTCGGCCCGACACAACTTCACAGACCGGTCCAGAGTCGCTGCCCCTGCGGCGTCGGATAGACGAGGCGCTCCTCCGCTGATCGACTACACCGTCTATGACTGGACCATCGACTTTGCCAAGGACCTGGTTACGGTGAGCCTGCTTTCCTCTCCTTTCCCCTGCTTTCCTCTGCTTCCCCATTCTGAATCCAGGCAGACAGCACCATGTCTCGGTCGTGGCTTCCTTTTGACAACAACACTCGCTGCTTGTCTTGGATTTAGTTTGGTGCCAACGGCGGAGTCCTGCTCAGCGTCATGCCCAAGGACAGCCTGAATCCCAACGGAGGTACGTCCGCTGAGCCAGCGTTGGGCTTCCATATCGGATGTTTCTGGGTGTTCCCAACTCAACCAGTGACAGGGCATTCATAACATCCGGCTCAATACTGATTCATTTCTGCTCGCTTTCACCCCCCCCCGTGTGCGGCATTCTGGATGCTGCAGCCAGCTCCAGGTTGTCGACGACCCGGTACATGCTCTATGGCAAGGTTTCGGCTCGCATCAAGGCCCCGCCCCAGAGCGGCTTTGTGACGTCGTTCATCACCATGTCTGACATTGGCGACGAAATCGATTGGGAGTTGGTCCAGCAGACTTCCCAGACCAACGTCTTCTACCACCAAGCGCAGAACCAGCCGCCATGGAACCTGCCCGCGCTATCGCCCGAGAATGCGATGCACTACTCGAGCTGGTCCGTGCCAAGCTTTGGCGATTGGCACATCTATACCATCGAGTGGAAGCACAACGAGATCAAGTGAGTTGCTGCATCGGCCGGCACATCAGTCTCTGCATCAGTCGCTGTATCGGTCGCTGCTTGGCCGCTGTGATACTGCAGCATCGTCGTCACTTGGATGGGTGATTCTCCTTTCGACAGACAGTGTATGGCTCAGATTCGTGCTCGCTCGGGCCACTCCGTCTCACACTCCATGCTCCGCGCCACCTTGGCAGCTGGTATGTCGACCAAGTTCTCTACAAAACCTTCACCAAGTCTGGCGACGGAATGCAATCGCCCCAGGTTTCGTCGGGGTTGATTCCCTTCTGGTACCCCGTGACCCCATCGCAGATCCAGTTTGCCCTCTGGGATGCTGGAGACAACCCCGGAACTGCTGGCTGGGCCGGTGCCCCGGACTGGTCCAACATGGATCCCACCTACGGACGATACGCCATTTTCGAATACGTCGACATCCAGGTACAAATTGCCCCCTGTCTGGCTCTGCTGCTGGATTCGATGCGCTCGACGATCCACGCCGTCTTGGCTTGGATGCGATTCTGCGCGTCACATCAATTACAAACTCCTCACTGACCCGACTCTGCTCCTGGATGCCCGTCCACCAGTGCTACGACGACAATGACAGCCCCGTGCCAAAGTGGCCCGCAGACACCGTCGACAACCGACAAGGCAACGGCGTCATCGATCCCCCGATGAATGCAGATGGCAGCGTTCCTGGCGTGACCAACCCGCTGCTGACCCCCAGCACCAACACCTCCAACCTTCCACCTCCGTCCGCCCAGGCCAACCTGAACCCATACATCGATCCGGCGACCCTATACCGACCGATGAGCACCGGCACACGCGCCATTCCACTCGCGGCTGGCCTTATCTCTGTGGTCGCAGCGGTTCTCATGGCCTAATTTCCGCGTGTGAGCTCTGTTTTGAGGGTGAACCCTCAGAGATTCCGCCTCCACCATCTGCCGCTATGTTCTAGATGCGCGCCTCTCTATCCCACATCGAGCTGACTGCCATTTTCTGATGTGGAGGCGCAGATGCTGCTCCCCGCAGCGCCAACGCTGCCCATGACTATGAGGCCGATGCTGCCGTGCTGCTCGTGGTCTAGATTTCGCTGTCCGTTTCTTCTCGATCCTTGCATGTGTCTCGTCCTTGTTGAGCGTCCCATGTTTCCTCCGTTCCTGCTTCGTATCCCTGCTCTTTGCTTCTCTCGGTTGCTGCTCCGCCTGGGCCCGACCGCCAGCAATACACTGTCCTATCGATTGCCGATCCGATACGCTGCAGTTCCAACAGATGGCTCGACCCGATGCGTCTCGACTCGGTTGATGCCCCCCACAAACGCAAGGCATCTCGATCCCAAGTGCCAGCAGTTCTAGATTTGGAAGGACCCGGGCGACAGCAGTCTCTGTTGCAGGCGCCACCCGCGCAGCCTTGTCACACGACGCCTGGCAGGCGCGCGCTGGGTGTCGCACATGGCGCGGACAAGGATCCGCCCCCGAGCGAGCTGTGCCCTTTGCGCCGCCACAGCGCCTGTGTTGCGGCCACACACACTGCACAGCGCATGCGCCACACAGCACGCGTGTCACACACACACACACACACACACACACACACACACACACACACACACGGCGCCTTGTGCACCGCCGCACTGCAGCAAGGGGCGGCGGCCGGCGGGGGGCGACCGCCGTTTGGCCAGGTTTTCTTCTAACTTTGGTCCGTCGTCGTCCTTCCTCCTCCATCTGTCTTCGTCTGGCCTTTCCTCGGCTCGACTGCCAACTCCCGTCGCCCAAACTCGGTCGGCTTCGCTATCCAGACACCCTCACTCCCCTGATCCATCGGCTCCCCACCGTCCCTCAGGGCTTGGCGGCGCCTGATCTCCTTTTGCTCCGCTCGTCTCCCCTGTCTCTTGGCTCCTGTTTGCCAGAGCGGCCCAGCCCTTTGCCGGCTCCAACCCACCCGCCCTTCCGCACTTTTGCACCCTGCACATCCATGAAGTCGCTGTTGCTGGCCGCAGCCCTCTGCGCTGCACCACTCCTTACGCAGGCCCAGCAGGTGTCCCTGCAGTCCCTGTCGGGCCCCGTGCCAACCGGCCTCCCCAGTGTCGTTGGCAACTGCGTCAGCATGCGCCATAACTTCACCGACAGAACGAGAATCGCTGCTCCGGCCACCACCAACCCGCAGCGCCGAGGCGCTCCTCCGTTGATCGACTACACCATCTACGACTGGACCATCGATTACTCGAAGAGTCTGGCCACGGTACGCTTCCCTCGGTTTGGGCTTGGTTTGGGCTTGGTACTTCCGCTGCCCTTGGCCCTGGCGACTTGCCGCTTTACAATCCCACCCCCGTGCCACTCGGTCCGCTTGGCTTCCTCGCTTGCTTGCAGTTTGGCCCCATTTCTGATTTCCGGTACTAACGCTACTGCCCTCTCTTGGCGGTCCTGCTTCGCTCTCCGCATCGACGAATCGTTGCGTCCGACACCCACCCTCCCAGTTCGGTGCCAATGGCGGTGTTATGCTCTCGGCCCTGCCTCCAGACACCCTCAACCCTTATGGATGTGAGTGACGCGCTCGATCATGCCTGGCCGCTCTCGAGCTGACTCTGTTTGGTTGATTGGCCGTTGCGACTCATCCTTTCCTCCCACTAATGATGATTGAAACTCCTCTCCCCATAGCGAGCACGGTCATGTCAACTACCCGCTACATGCCCTATGGCCGCATCGAGGCCCGCATCCAAAGTGTCAGCCAGGTCGGCTTCGTGACCTCCTTCATCACCATGGCCGATATTGGTGACGAAATCGATTGGGAGATGGTCAACGGCCAAGCCCAGACCAACGTTTTCTACCACATCAACGAGAACGACCCTCCGTGGAACCTGACCAAGCTCGATCCCGAGAAAGGCGATCACTACTCTGCTCAGGACATTGGCAGCCTTTCGGACTGGCACATTTATGTGATCGACTGGAAGCATGATGTCATCAAGTAAGAGCAGGAGCAGCAGCAATGATGTGTGGCCTGCCACCGAGCGACCGCTGCAGGTGATCGACACCCGCAGTGTCCGTCCACGGCGTATGCATCGACTAACGATTTTCCATCGTTGCTTCTGGCCTTCCATCAAGCTACTACGTTGATGGTCTCCTGCGCAAGTCGTTCAGCAAGGCCGTCGATGGTGCCAATTCGCCGCAGGTCAAGAGTGGATTGATTCCGTACTGGTATCCGGTCGAGCCCGGACTGGTGCAGATTTCGCTCTGGGATGCTGGCGACACGCCCGCTCTGCAGAGCTGGGCTGGAGGCGCAACCGACTGGTCAGGCACGAACCCGACGACGGGCCGATCGGCGATTGTCGAATATGTTGATATCCAGGTTCGTTGGCGGGCAAGCGAGAGCGATTCTTGAGCCTGCTACCGTCGCTGGACATGGAAGCGAGGGGGATGACGGCGCCATGGTCATATCCTTGCGATCAAGTCAAGTCGGTTGAAGTATCATGGACTGGCGTATTGATGTTCCACCGCTTGGCCCGATTCCAACAGTGCTACGATGATAAAGACAACCCGGTGCCCCGATGGCCCGCCAACACACTTGACAATCGCGCCGGCTACGGCGTGGTCGACCCTCCCATGAACCCCGATGGCACCGTCAACGGCCAGAGCAACCCCTTTGTCGACCACCCCAGCACCAACACATCCAACCTCCCCTCCGGCAGCGGCGGCACCAACGCGACCTTCTCCAACCCTGCCAACCTCAACCGCCCGGCCTACTCTGGCGCCATCCGTCTGGGATCCTCCGTGGTGCTCTACTCTGCCCTTGTTTTGGCGTCGCTGCATTTTTTGAACATCTAGATTGCATTTTCACCGTTCAGCGTGGAGGAGGGCAATGCTCGATTGGCCAGCAGCAGGGCGGCCAGTAGTTGATTCCGCACGGTTCCTTTGCACTTGCTCCCGCCCGCCTCACCAGTTTCTCCGCACTTTGCTCCCACCGCCATCCTCGGTGTCATCCCTCGCTCTTCTCTGCGTATATTCAAGCTCGTTTGTTTTGTCTCGTTGCGAAGGCGTGCGGGATCGGTGTGAGCAAGCAGCACGGACTTGTCTGAATCCGTGCTGCTGCACAACCTGCCTCTCGCACTCCCTTTCCCCCTCACCCATGCCATTCCCCCCCCCCCTCGCTTCGTCGACGGCACCCCTCGGGTGGCCTCTTTGATTGTCTCCAGAGTCAAGTCACCGTTCGGCAATACATGCTCTGCTCGCTCAGGCCCGACGACGGAGATACTCTCTGCCGCTGCCTGCGGCTCCCGCAGTCACCCCGCCCTGCCCGTCGTGACTCACGCGGCAGGATCGATCGTCTGGTTGCAGCCGGCGACTCAGAATGACGGACGCGCCGATCTGCACTCCTCTTTTGAGCATCCTTTGGCCGTTGCTGTCCTGCATCCTGTTCTTCTCCGTCTGCTGGCGCCTGTCGCTGTCGCTGTCCAGATCGCGGCGGCTTCCTTCCCTCCCTCCCTCCTTCCTCGCAGCATTCAGCTCCCTCCCGGGTCACTGGCTGTCGTCGTATCATGATGCTGCCGCTCTCGCTCTGCTCGGCCATCAGGGCATCGGCCTCCAAGTCGCTGGCCTCGCCTGCAAAGTCCCTTCGCCTCCTCCTCCAGCCCAAGGCGCTCTCGGCCGTGCCGATGGCGACCTTCTCGACTCTCGGGGCCCGATCGGCTCGCCTCGGCTGCTCCGCTGGTATCCAGCAGCGTCTGCTGGCGCTCTCACCAGCATCATCCAAGCAGCGCACATCAGTGATCTCGTCCTTGCTCGCGGCCCGCCGCCTCGCCAGTAGTTCCGCCGCCAACGACACTGTCGCCGGAGCCTCGTCAACATCGTCGTCTGGAAACGAGCGCGAGCCCTCTGCCAAGCCGATTGTCGGCTGGTGGTATCTGTTTTCGGGATCGCTGGTCTTTGCCATCGTTGCCCTCGGAGGCGTCACCCGCCTCACCGAGTCTGGCCTCTCGATCGTCGAATGGAACCTGATCAAGGGCATGAAGCCTCCCACAAGCCAGCAGGAGTGGGAAGAAGAGTTTGAAAAGTACAAGCAGTTTCCCGAGTACAAGCTGTAAGGAGCCAATGTCTCTTGCCTTCCTCCACATTCGGTGCTGTCTTTTCCCCCGGCTGACGGTGTCTCGATTCTAATCTTACCACCACCCAGTCTCAACCACCACATGACCCTCAATGAGTTCAAGAGCATCTTCTACTTTGAGTGGGCCCATCGCATGCTAGGCCGCTTCATCGGCCTCAGCTTCATCATCCCCGGTGCCTTCTTTGCCTACAAGGGTTGGATGTCTCGCTCGATGAAGATTCGCTCGTTGGTCTGCGCTACGCTTATCGGATGCCAGGTGAATGCTGCTCTGCCTCCTCATGACACTGATGCTGCACTTTGGACGCCGGTCTTTCGACACCGTCTTGCATCGCCCGCACGACGTTGGATTGCACTAGTTGGCCAGTACACTTGGCGTGATTGCTCGCTGTGGAGCAGAGACAGTGCCGTTCCAAACTGATACTTTCCATTCCAACTAACGTCTGCCTCTGCTTTCGAACACTGCCTCTCCCACAGGGTGTTCTCGGCTGGTACATGGTCAAGAGCGGTCTGGACCACGAGCTCATGGAAACCCCTGGCGCCGTCCCTCGTGTCTCGCAGTACTGGCTCGCCGCTCATCTCGGCAGTGCCTTTGTCATCTACCTGTTCATGCTCAGCAATGGTTTCCAAATCTTGCGCGACAACCGACTCAAGTCCCTCGAGGTGGGTTTCGTTGGCCGCGATCGAAGCGGATGGGCAAAGACGTGCCTATGGCCTGTCCTCAATCTGCCGCCAGTGCTGCGTGCATACACATGGGGCACCGGCGCACCCTGATCTTGATCGATCCCTCATTCATTGTCGGTTTTTGCCATGGTGACTGATTCACCATGCGACCTCCTTCCGATTGGCTCTGCCTTTGTCTTCACGTCGCGGCATCCTCACTGCACTCTCCCGGCTTCAGTCTCTCAAGGCCATCGTCAACAACCCTCAGCTCAACAGTTTTAGGCGCAACACCCACATTGTTGCCGGCCTGGTCTTCCTGACTGCCATGTCCGGCGCTTTTGTCGCCGGTCTGGACGCCGGCCTGATCTACAACGAATGGCCTACCATGGGCGGCGGCTTTGTGCCCTCGGACATCTGGGCCCACTCAACGGCCTCGCCGACCAACCCCAACCCCAAGGCTTTCTGGCGCAACTTTTTGGAGAACCCCGCCACTGTGCAGTTCGACCACCGTATTTTGGTACGTGGGCTGCTTTCACAGCAGAATGGTTCCCCTGCTGCTGTTGTCGATGCACCTTTCGCATGCATGGTCCCCACACTTGCTGCTTCGGGACTCTGAACGAGATGCCTGATTCCAATGCGACTCGCTTCACTCCCGACGGTTTGATGTGGTCCTGCCCGGCACCCATCGGCGGATGTATAGGCCTATGTCACCTTTGCCGGCATTAGTTCGCTTTGGTTCATGTCGCGCCGACTGCCTCTCCCACGCGGCGCTCGCCTTGCCGTGAATACGCTACTCGGTGTCGCCGTTGCCCAGGTCTGTCCCATCTTAGCGCCGATGTTTCCGGAGCGGTTGCTGCTGCCAGTGACTGGCGATGGCGATGGCGATTCTTCGGCAGCGCCGGTCTTGTATTGGCGTTGTTGTTACCCGCTCATGCCAATCGTCGACAGCACTTCGGTGACAGCAATACTGACTGTTCCTCCCGGATGTATCGCCGGCTCTGCAGGTCTCCCTGGGCATTGCCACCCTGATCTACTTTGTTCCCGTTCCTATCGCTGCTGCTCACCAGAGCGGATCGCTCACCCTGCTCACTGTTGTGCTGTGGCTGATGCACACCCTCAAGTACATCAAGTAGAGTGGCACGCATCGAGGGCAGCCCAGCCCCCCCCCTCCAACTCACATGCTTTGCCTCCACGCACCTCTCCTTGCGACGTAGCACGCCGCCAATATATGCTTTCACAGCTCTTACAAAGCAAAGCGAGACGCCTATATTGCTGACGTGATCGGTGGTCGCTCTGGTTTCCCTTCAATCGGGTATATTCCCTCAACTCAGTCATCCAGCCTACACCCGTGTCGACAAAAACGGTCCGGGTTGCCTTGGGGGAAGTTAATCATCCAGTTGCAGCCTGGAGAGCAAAGGATGGAACGGCTGTCAGTGCGATGGAAAACGCCAAGCAGAGACACTGCTGCGTACTGTCGATCGCTGCATACTGTCGATCGCCGCATACTCTCGATCGCCGCATACTCTCGATCGCCGCATACTCTCGACCGCTGCGGCGTCTCTGTCGGGTTTATCCCCTCTGTCTCTGCCCCTCCCGCATGAATACGTCGCATTGTATAGCTGGGCAATACTCACAGTGCTGCGACGCCGCGCATGATCCAGTGCTTCTCTGGCTTGTCCGATGGCAGCCGGATCGGAATGACAAAGTTGGTCGAGTGACCCGTGGTCGACAGCACGCCTCTCCGCGCGCTGGTTTTGTAGATCGGACAGACGTACAGGTTGTCCTTCTTGATGTCGGCCTGGCGAACAGGCTTGAACCAGATCACAGGCAGGGTGTCGAAGAGCACCTTGGGCAGAGACTCGCCCAGGTATCCCGTGTTGCGGTCCCACCGGCCGCCCTCGAGGAAGATGCCGAAGACATGCACGCCGCTGGTCGGTGGGAGCAGCTGCTGCGCCTGATCACTGGGAGTCTTCAGGACCTCAAACTCGAGTCCAAGCTCGTCGATCGGGATGGTGTTTTTGCGGGCATAGTTTTGCAGCGTTGCTGGTGGAGAAAGGGCGGCTGCGTCAGCACCAGCGGAATCTGTGCGGACACGGTGGCAATCTCTGGGTGAAATCAGTGTCGGCGAGACTCACCTGTGATAAACGACTGCGTAAAGAAGAACCCAGCCATCCAAAAAGCCTTCGGGCAACCCTGCTCGTACCACTCCTGGAAGAACCTGATTCGGGCAACCAGGTCGTTGACGTAGGCTGCAAGCGGCTTGAGCGACGGATATGACCTGGCTGCCCACATGGCCGGCACTCGACCCACCAAGATGCTCTTGCACACTTCTTCCAGCTCGGCCGAGAGCACAATGAAGCCGCGAATCGCCTTCTGGACGTTGACGAGGCTCACGAGTACCACTTGGATCAGACGGTTGAACCGAATCATCTCCTGGATCAGGACCGTATTCATGCTCTCGTTGTAGTTCACGGGGTACTTCTGGATGGCGGCCTCGATCATGAACGTGGCGGGCACACGGGACAGAATGTCGGTTGCGACCTCGATCAAGATCTCGTCGTTGGACTTGCCTCCGGCCCCTGACGAGCCCGAGCTGCCCTCCATGGTCTTCAGGATCGAGTCAAACAGCCCTTTTGTTTCCGCGAGCTGCCGCGCAATGTCGCCGTTGTCGTGGATGCCAAAGATTTCTGGACTCGGGTTCAGCGGCAGTGCCTTCATATAATCGAGATAGCTCTCGTACTTGCCCCGCGGCGGCACATAGTATATACCCGAGGGCGAGAACTTGTACTGAGCCTCCTCGATCACCGCCGGGTTGTAGAACGTCGTCAAGATGCTCATCAGCGTCCTGCGGTCCCAGTCGTCGGTCACTCGCCCGCCGTAGTTGCACTCGCCCGTCAGGTAGGTCAGGGCCTTGAATGGGATCTCGGCATAGTCGTCCAAGAACATTTGCAATTGTCGGATGCTAATTCCTGTTGCGAGGCAGTTTGTATACGGCGACGAAATAGCGCGATTGGGTGCGTCAGTCGAAGGCCGGGACATTCATGTGTCCACGGCGCTATGCATGCTGCACTTACTCAGGTCAGACTCGTTGAACTCGTACGGAATATTCCATCCAAGTGGGCCAAAGTTGCGCCGTTCCTGAATCCGATACATACACGGAAGCGAAGTGGAATCAGCAACACGCCATGCAATTTCGGTGACTCTCGATTGCAAGGGCACTGATTGCAGTCGAGCGCACGATGTAGCAGCCGTGCTGTCGTACCTGCACAATGGCATGAAAGGTACACAGCCCAAACAGCAGCTTCTCCCACTCGGCAGGCTTCGAGCACCCGTAGAAGAACTTTTCGTTGGAAATGGGGTCGGACAGATAGCTCTTGATCAGATTGGCTCGCAGCCCCTTTGGCGGCTCGTTTGTCATTTTGACACCGGCCTGCAGGATGGAGGACGGGAACTTTGGGCTCGGGTAGCTGGTAAGCCACAGTCGGAACTCCTTGTGGACAGCACCCGAAGTCATGTCGTCAACAATCTTCTCCAAGACACCCATCCAGCTGACCGCCAAATGGCAGTTCTGGAGCACAACCCATGTGCCGAGCTTCTGAGCGTCCTTGATCATCGCAGCGGCGATTGGACCCTGGCCTTGGCCGAGTGAAATGGACTGGCACTTTGCGCCCGAGAAGCCTTTGTCATCGGCAAACTTCAGGAGCCTTTGTTTCGAGAACAGAAGCATCAGCACCCCATCGCCAGGCACGGCGTGGCATACCCAGCACCGTGTGGACACATCGTGCCGCAGTCCACAGCATTCACCGCCTCACTCGTCGATCCACCAGTCCAGCAGCTTGGATCACAGTGCTTCTCATATATACTCCTCGCATATGCTGTCGCCGCCGTGCCATCCTCGCAACTCGCCTCAGCCTGCGCTCGGCTTCGCCGGTGCTGAAGCTCCGCGCCTCTCCATGACGATAATACCGCCAGGACATCCGCACTTACTGCGCCATAGGATCCACTCCTGGTGACAGAATAAAGATCAGCGGCGTTCTGTTGCTCGAGTCATCAAAGCTCTCGGCCAGATTGAAGTTGGGCGGCTCGATAAACTTGTGACCCATCTTGATCTTGATGTACTCTTGGATGCCAGGGACGACTCTCTCGGGCCGCATAATGCGAGTCAGTATCAGCCTCTGGAAGTCGTTGAGCGCGGACCACTTGCCCGGCGGCGTCAGCATGTGTGGCTCGTTGCTTTCGGCATAAATCTTCCACTCGATTGGCACAAATTCGTCCTTCATTGCTTTGAATGCGGGTAGATCAGAGAGTCGGCAGATCTCCGACCACGATTTGTCCGAGAGCCACCCGGGAGCTGGATTGGCCGAGCTTGGGGCGGCAAGACCGATTCCACCGGTCAAGAAAAACTGGAACTCGCTCTCGTCGATTTCATCGCGGCTCTTGAGAATGTTGTAGCACAGCATCAGCGAGAACAGCAACTTGTCCTTCTCGAAGAGCGATCGACAGACGTTGCAGTACAGCGAGTACGTGAAGTGGGTTTCCAGGTTCTTCAGCCGTCGCTTGAGGATGCTGGACTTTGCCGATGTCACGATGGCGTTTGCAAACAGATCAATGAACCACACCAGCGAATACTGGTACATCGGGTCAATGTTCCCAACGTCGGCGATGCAAAAAAAGAGGATGGACGAGTGTCGTGCAATCGGCCGATACGACTCGCGAGTTTCGTCGATCTTGTGCTCGGTTTCCTCGGCGATCTTTTGCTTCTCGAACAGCTCAACGGAAATAACCCGCGACGACGACAGAACCTCGATCGCGGTTTCGTTCTCCAGGATGTTGCCCTCGGCCGACGAGAGAATCTGCAGGATCTGGTCCTCGATTTCCTTGAGCTTGCGCTTGTTTTCGGCCGACTGCAGAATCAGCTGTGTTTTCTCGTCTTCCAGCTCAGGTCGCTCCTTCTGGACGACGATGCCGAGAAGCTGATCTTCCAGACCCTCTGGCGTGATCATAAAGTTTAGTAGTGAGACCTTGACAGCAAGCTCGGGCAGATAGTGCGGATTCCGGAGTTTGGTGGTGATGTACAGTCGAAAGTTGGGCGAGTACTCAACCACGGCGTCGCCGAGACGGATGCAGGTTGTGCCGCCCGACTTGAAGGTCTGCTTCTGCAGGATGGTGTCGAGGATTGGATCGAGTTCCTCCTTCACGTTCTCGAGCAGCACTGGCACGCCAAACTGGATGGCGTTTTCAAGATTGCGGATGTAGTCGTTGTCTGTGAGCTTGATGATGATGACGTTGTTGTCCTTCTCCATGTTCTTGACCCACTTGTTGGCTTGGCCCTGCGGGTCGATCATCAACGGCCATCGGCGCGCGTTCTGGACAATGATTCCGTTGTCGATCGAGAACTGGTCGGTCGGCAGTCCAGCAATATTCCAGGCGCGGATCTTGATCGGGTCGCCCAGGGTCTTGTCGAGGGAGAATGTGTCGGAGCATGGGATGCGGTACTCGCGACAGTTTTTCAGCCACTCGTTTATGCACTCGAGTCGATACATTTTGGTGAATGCGCCAAGATAGGCGATCACACCGGCCGAGATCAGCACATCTCCGGTCAGATGATAGAGGGTTCCGTCGAGCTGGTGGACGACTTCCGTCCAGCGCTGCTTCTCGCCGCCGAGTCCACCCAGAAGCTTCTGCGCACGGTCGAGCTGCTCCTCGCAGCTCTTGACCTCCTTCTCGAGCCTGTCCTTTTTTCGAGAGAGCGCCGTGAGGTTGTCGTCGAGGGCCTGCAGGCGATCAACCACGGATTTGAGCGTTGCCCGTTTCTCAGCCAGACCTGCCATGGTCTCGGCCAGTTCCGCTTCGGCGCGGGCAAGGGCGATTTGCTTCGGGGCCACCACCTTGGCCACGCGGTCATACGATTCCATCGCAACGATCCAGGTACACAGGCCCTCGGCAGCCGATGAGGCGTTCCGGACCTTGTCGGGCTTGAATTCGGGATTCGGGATGTAGGTCTGCCGAATCTTCTTGATGACGTGCGCCGGGATATCATCCTTGTCAAACATCTTGAGGGTTTCCAGGAACTTTGGGTCTCCCAGCATCTTGAGGGAGGTCTTCCAGTAGTCAAAGACCATCCTTCCGGAGCCGGATGGATCTGGAACCTTCTCCGGCTTCATGTCCTTCATGACACAGACAGCCTCCATGACAAGTTTGACGCCGTCCGGCGGGTTCTTCATCGCCTTGACCAGATCAATGTCGCTCTTCTTGAGGGTATCGAGGGCTGCCAAGGCGGCGTTCAGGAGTGGGAGCGCTTGGGCGAGCTCGTTTTCGCACTCGTTTTTGATTGCCTGGGCCTCCTCTGCCTTGGCAGAGGCCACAGCCTCGTCCGCAGCGACAGTGCTCTTGGTCGCTTCCACTTCAACAGATTCCTTCTGGATCTTGAGAAGCATCTCGGTGGTTTCCTCGGAGGTGCGCTTGAGCTGGGGCTGGAGATCACCGAGGTCGCGCTGCATGCGCATGACTTGCTCGGCCGCAAACTGCAGCTTGTTCAGGCCGTTTGCATAGCGCGACTTGATTGCCGACACCTCGCTGCGCTTGGCAGCCAGCAGCGTCTTGTAGGCATGGAGCAGCTCAAGGTAGCTCGTTGGCGTGACATAGTTGTGGCGGGAGAGGCTCAGCCGGAACTTTTCCGAGAGGAATATCACCGATTGGTGGAACAGGCGGCACATGGACACGATGGCTTCGTTGATGGACTCGTCCGTGTCAATGTCATGCAGAAACTGCTTGGCAACGGCCTGGAGAGCGTCGTCTGGCCAAGCCTGGAACCAATCGATGGTGCAGCAATTGACAATCGACGAGAACTGCCGCAGTCGCGATCGGAAGGCGTCGCCGATGGGACTCATGCACAAAATGATATGCAGGTTGTTTCGGACGCGCGAGACAAAGTAGTTGTAGAGCGCTGCAGGGGATCCATCGCCGGCCTTTCCTTCCTCGTTGGCGTTCTCGACACAGCGCTCGATGATTGTCTGTCGTTCGTCGGCTGCAAACAGATTGGGCACGTCGCTGGCGTTGAGTAGGTTGCTGACATCCTCGATGAATGACTCTTCCTTGATCTGGGTGTCCGGAAACAAGAACACGGTCTTTCGATTGTCGGCCCCGGCGAGGAGCAGGATGCGTTTGAGATCCTCTCTCCATTCGTTTCTGCCGTACTGCTTTGAGATCTCGATTTGGAAGAGCTCGTACTGCGATATAAACGAGGCGAGCCGAGCGAGGCTCTGGCGTCCACTTCCTCCGACGCCGACCAAGAGGGCGTTGCCGCCAGGCAGCTTCAGAATACGGCAAATCTTGGCAACGTGCTCGACAGCAAATCGGAAGAGCACCAAGTTGAGCTTGGCTTTTTTGACTTGGTTGTACTCGTTCATAAAGGTCTGCACAATCTCTGTGATCTGGTCGTAGCTCTTGAGCTCGATGTAATCGGCCTCTGCTCCAGGCTTGCCCTTGCTCAGAATGTCCCCAAAAATCAGCGATCTCATGTCCTCCTCCATGAGAACATTATCCTCTCCTGTGGCGATCCGGGCAAAGATCTCGTCTGGCTCGCAATCAAAGCACTGCTTCACAACATCCAGGATGTGCGAGAAGATGCTGTATCGATCGTCGTCGGTGACCAGGCGGTCGTAGTACACCCGGTAGACCTCATGCACCCAGAGCCGGATGATGTTGGCGCTGTCGGGGAAGAACGCCGGCTTGGACAGAACTAGGCCTTGGATGACCTTTGAAAAGTCCCGCAGGTTGAACGTATAGTGGGTCTTTGCGGGCGTTGGCAGCAGGTTTTCCACGGCCCACTTGTAGATGTTGGTCGTGGCATCGACGATCTTGGTGCCCAGCGAGATCACTTCCTCGGTAAACTCGAAGCGATTGAAGTGCCAGTCCAAGATTGAGTTGAAGATGCGCGACATGGTTATGTCGTCAAAGGAGTTGATGACGATTTGGTTGAAGTGCCGCAGAAACCGCGGTGTTACCGCATTGCGGCCACCGCCTGGCGGACCCATTGCACTCATGATTTGAATGTCGATGAGTTCCAGCCGAGAGGTGTCCTTCTTGTCGTACCAGTTGCCATGATCAAACCACTGGCGAAACAGTTCAATCGGGGGCTGGGCACCGTACTGCTCTTTGGCTGGCATGTTCAGATCGTCGATGAAGATCAGGAACCGGCGCCCGACAGGGGCACCAAAGACACCCTTGCGCCGCTTGTCGAGTTTGGACATGACAATGTCCTGGGTTTGGTTGGCGCTCGTGCGCGCTGAAAAGTTGATGAAGAGCGGGATGTATCGTTCCTTGGAGACCCCCGTGAGGAGCTTGCTTCCGATGTACTTGGACTTGCCCGTGCCGGTTGGCCCGACAATCAGGAAGGCCTTGTTGTGGGTGATCAAGAGGTCCATGAGATAGTTGTAGCGTGCCGTGTCCTTTGTCGGGATGACAATGTCGTTGAACTCTGCCTCGGCTGGAATGGGGGTTGGCTGAATGGTGCTGAGCCAGAGCGTCCATCGATCGGCATCCTCGTTCGTCTCGAAGACATAGTCGTAAACGGTTCCCTCATCGGGAATAGGCAGAGTGAGCGGAGTGCTCAGGCGCGAGAGCAGGCTACGAAGCATGTGGTCGAACTTGAGCTGGCTTGGGGTATCAACGCTGCCGCCAACCGACCAGACAAGCGAAAACAAAAAGAAGCACTCGAGTCGTTGTTTAAGCAGACTGTCGTTTTTTGTCACCTTGGCCTCCTGGAACTCGGCGATCTGGCTGTCGAGCAGCCGAATGAGCGAGTTGACAAGACCGATATCGGATGTTGGGGAGAGCTCACGACAGTCCTTGCGAACGCACTGGATTGACGGAGGCACAAAGATCTCAAAGAGCTGGCTGATGTACTTGGCATACTCTGGGCGCAGAGTTTCCATGCGCTCGAGCCACGAACTGAGGAGCGGCCGCCACCCGAGTCGCTCAGGCTCCATGTAGACCATTCCGCAGCGACTCACTGTTGCAGGCTGCAAGCAAATATCCAGTTAGCCACGACCCAATACAGCATGAGTCCAGAACCGCGAGTGGCCGCTGCAATGGCCGAATCCCAGCGGTGGAGTGAGCTCCGAGCAGCCACGTACCGAAGCCACAGCCAGGTCCATGACCTCGAACACCAAGCTCATTGTGTTGGATAGCTGGATGATTTCGCCGCTCATGAGACAAAGCTTCTTGTTATCGTCCAGGACAGTGTTCATGTTCTCGACCCAGATGGCGTCCACAGGCCCGTCAAAAACGACCCACTTGCGATCCGGGCTCGTAGAGCTGGCGAAGCTTCGAAACGACGTCGCCAAAACGCCGTCCGTCCATTCGTGCGAAACCGGATCAAACTGGCCGTACAACTGGCCCATGGTGATCGATTTGGGGTTGATGACCTTGAACTGCACCTTCTGCCACTCTTCGCCGCCCTGGGTCACTGCCAAATCGCCCAAGGCATCCCCGAGCACCCGGTATGCCGACGTCTTGCCAGCAAATGGCTCGCCAACAAGCATGAAGCCGTGGCGGACCAGCATCATCTCGTAGAGTTGTATGATCTTCTCGAGGAACGGGGGCACCATTTGCAGATGCATCGAGGCGCAAGCCTTCTGGATTGCACCTTCGAGCAGCTCGTAGTCAGGCTTTGGCAGCTGTACGCCCGGAAACAGGTCCGTAGCAATGCCTTTAAACAGGGCAATGTCCTGCGACAGGAACTTTGGGAGATTGACGTCGATAATGGACCGCAGCACCAGGATGTTCTCGTCCTCCTCTGAATATTTGAGCTTGAGGTTGCCGGCAGCGGTGAGGACACTCTTCACCGCCCGCATGCCGTAGTCGTAGTGGTCCTGCGACGACAGCTGCTCGGAACAAAGTCGATAGGTGGCGGTGATCTTGCGGGCCAAGTTGCGCGCCTCGATAAAGCCAAACGAGTACAGGGTTATCTCGCCTATGAGGGTGTAGTCGGGCACCATCATGGCGACGGTACGGAACAGGGCCTTGAGGTTGTCCGGCAGCTCGGATCGGCCAGCATAGCCTGGATTCATGGTGATGAACACGGCGCACGTTGGATTGAGCACCAGCTTGGTGCCTTCGAACATAAAGTCGCGCGCCTTCATGGCTATAGCGCGCTGGATCGTCAACACTTGCTGTGCGACGACCGAAAGCACCTCGAGATCGATGCGGTTGAACTCGTCGAAGCAGGCCCAGGCCCCAGCAGAGGCAAGTCCCTTGAAGAACTTGCCCATGGCAAGGTAGTCCAAGCCATCTGAGCAGTTGAAGACGACGCACTGTTTGGCCAGGGCCTTGGCGAGATCCTTGGTTGTCTCGGTCTTGCCTGTGCCGGCAGGGCCCTCCGGGGCACCTCCGAGGTTGAGATGCAAGGCACCAAACAGAGTGCGGTAGCAGCGATCCGTCAGGGGCGTGATCACGAGGCGGGGCGAGTTGCCCAGATACTCGTATCCGTACAGCCGCTGGGCGTTGATCATTTTGACCATGACATTTTCATCCTCCCAGTAGTAGCGCAGCTGCGCGAGCCAGCTGAAGTCGCTGATGTCACTGATGCCCTCGGCAGCAAGCAGCTGGATAACATCACGGGCGTGGACATCGATGACGACCAGTGCACCAAGCGTCAGGCGCGCCATCTTGCTCAACTGCCCGCGAACGAGTCGGATGACGTCAGATAAGTCCGAGTTCAGTTTGGCGTGGAAGTTCTCCAGGCCCTTCTTTCCACCTTCGATGGCCTTCTCGGCATCAGACGTCCAGAAAATAGAGCTGACGCACAGAATAACTTGTCCCGGCCAGTCCAGTACCCATTGAGCGCGGGGCTTCTGCGGATAGGCTATGTAGGCCTCTTCCATGACCGAATGGACACTTCTGAGCATGAGCGACTCGACCTGGGTATTGCGATATGAGACAAAACAAAGCGTTCAGCGCTCTGAGCCCAGACAACATGTTGGGGCCACTGCCGATCCATTCGCGCAAAGGACCTTAGAACTAGAATGGATGGTTTTGATCGCCGAACAAATGAAGTCTCGTGCGACGACAGAATGGGAGAAGCGGGACTGGGCTTGCCTGCGAGAGCCACTTTTCGACCGATCCCTTTGCCTCGGCCGTCGAGATTCGCTGTGCCAGCGGGAGCCGCTCTTTTTCGCTCGACTGGATGGCCAGGATGTCCAGTTTGTCGTCAAAGTCAAGCGTGGCAATGCCCTCGAAGCACTTTTTGAGATGGGGCTGGACACGTGTGGGGTCCTTGGTCTCGGACAGGATCTCCAGCATCTCGTCGTTTGACAAGAAGAAGAAGCGCGGGAAGTACAAGCGCTTGAGCTCCAGATACGAATTGAGGCCCTTCAGAATCTCTTCCAGCAGGACGTTGTTCTTTTGCATGTCGTCAAGAAGATTGGGGATGTCGGTGACCTTGAGGACATGGCGGTCTTCGTTGACAATCTGGGGGCGTTGCAGAGAGTACGGTCAGTACCTGAGGCTGGAACACGCAAATGCGGCTGGCTTGAGTTTAGCAGCATCGCCGCTCCGGGATGAGTCGTTAGACATACCCCCATGATCTTCTTCCAGCTTTGGTCCACCATTCGGAACTTTCGGCCTTCCTCTGGCATTTGGTTCATGATGTCCTCGGAGCTAAAGATGGGCTCGAGGTACAACCACGTCGCCTGAACCTTGAGCCACTCATCCAGAATCTCCTGTGTCGTGAGCAGCTTTTTCTCCCATTCTTTGATCTGCTGCTCAAACGGCTTGATGTACGGGCTGCCGCGCATGGACTGTGTCTTGACAATCTGGTCGTCGAGCAGCTGCTGTGCCTCCTCGACAGAGGAGAGAATGAAGGTTCCTGTCTCGCGGTAGGCGAGGAGAGTGAGCTCGAGCGGGTCCCACTCAGTCACCATCTTGGTCAAGTTCTTCTCGAGCGTGTACTCCTTTGATGCCGCATCTAGGACGAGGGATCTGTTAGAATCGCGCTGTGCTGCACTACGTAACTCGTTGGTATCTGCAGCCTAAGCCGGCGGCGGACCCATGGGCTGAGCAAGAGCTAAGTGACCGAGGCACATGACTCACCGCTAACTTCCTGGAAAGGATCAAGAAACTGCTCGAGGTTGTTCTTGAGCATCTTCCTCAGAGAACTTGTGCTGTCGGGCTTGATGTCAAACCCGGCGACAGCAGAGAGCTTGTTCCAGTGTCGGTCGCGCATACCAGGGTTGCATAGAACTCGAATCACGGGGATGTTGACCATGAACTCATCGATCTTTTCACGCACTTGTTTTGCCAAGTTCTGGGGAGCTGCTGCCTGAACAAGTGTTCCGACCACGCGGTACATTTCTCGCTTGAGGGCGTCAACCTCCTGCTCGATCACCTCTGCGTCCAGCTCCAGCAGGCCTCCGTCCATCCACCGCTTATAGGACTTTTGAAAGTTCACGGCTGTTGTATAGAGCGCCTGGTAGGGTTCGAGCGCGGCCAGGATTTGTTTGCGCTGAGGATAGACTGTGACGCTCCAGCCAAAGAGCTGCTCTTCGCGGTTGAATGAGGCGATGGTGTCCGAGGCCGTTTGGAGCTGCTTGGCCAGGGTCTGGACCTTCTTGACGTAGAAGGGCATTTCGTCGAGGTCTCCGACGTCCTTGAGATCTTCCACCTGGGCAGCAAATTCATCCAGCTCCTGCTCAAACTTTGTGCGGCGCTCCTTCAGACTGACTTCGGACTTTTCGCGAGCCTCGCCAATGATTTCGTTGTGTCTCTCGAGGATGGGAACGATTCGCACGGGCCAAGTGAAGGTGACGTTGTTGAGATTGATGTGCTCCTCGGTCAAGGCCGAGAAGTTGAGTATATACGAGAGGCGCTTCCGGGCCTCCTCGAGCTCGGTCAGGAGGGAGGGCAACTCGACATTGCGGACTTCGTCCATGTAAGCCATCTGGTCGGCCATTTCCTTGAAGTTCTCTGGAATCCGCAGGGCCTTTTCTTGGATTACCTCGTATCGCCGACAGATGCTGGGTTTGTAGCGAGAGCATTCCACGGTCGCCAAGTCGATGTGTTGATTAATAAAATGGATCAGTCGCTGCGACACACCTAGCCATGCTACTCCGTTTCGATATGCCATTTTAGTCCGATACACTCATATAGAAACGCCGATCGCAGCGGAGGCTGGATAGGGCAAAATGGGAACTCCAGTTCCCAATGGTGGAGAGCACGGGTCATCTTGGAAGTCGATTGCAAAAAGACACCCCCCCCCCAATAGCAAGAACTAAGGCCGAGAAGCACACCTTTGCTGATGTTCGGCATTTGTTTGAATGATTTTGTTGAGGAACTGGTTCGAAAGCTCCATGGACTTGCTTGCGAGAGCCTTGTGCAACTCATCGCAGCGTAGCGCCACCATGGGCAAGTCCACGCTGCGTGGATTGTTCATGATTTCGGAGGCCCTTTCGCGATATCTTCCAATCGCCTGTGTGGGAAAGGAGTCAAGAATGTGGTTAGTATTGAATGATGGCCTCCTTGAGTCTGATACTTGTGCAGATTGAGTAGAGAGTGCCAGAGCGAAACGGGCAGCTTGGGTTCAAAGCCCAAGCGCGGCAGCTGCAAAGTCCCACCCTACCTCGGTGTAATCTTCAAAGGAATGGTCCTCTGAAAAGAACTTGGCAATGTCGTCATCGACATCACTGGCAAACATTGCCTGGTACTTTTCGTACCGTCGGACATACTCGTTGGCAACATCGAAGCACTCTTGCGAGTACTGCCGCAAGTGCTTCTCCGCGGCATCGACGATTGCGCTCTCGGGAATGATTTTCATCTCGTTCTGGTCGTCCGTGGACCGCATGATGCCTTCGAGTGTGTTGTTGAGGAGCTGCTCGCCCTGCGAGCTGTAGAGAATCGTTTCTATCTTGGGAACCGACTCGACGGTCCGCACGACATACTCGAGACAGTCAACGATCGTTGTTCCGATCTCTTCAAGCGGCGGCTCGAACTCGATTTTCGACTCGTTCAAAATCAAGCGCACAACAAAACGCGGGGCATGTTCCCGCATCGGCACGAGATCGGTATTTTCAGAGGGCATCTCGATTGGCCGCGCAGAAAACAGCTTGACATAGCGACCGAGCGAGTTTGTGATGATCGACAGAATCTGGTTATAGATCAGAATGGAAGCTGACCGAAAGAAGTTGTCTGGGGGGCGAGAAGCGGCTTCTTTCTTCTTGGTGCGCAGAAAGCAGTCTGCAAAGTGCTTCAGAACGGTCATATACCAGCTGCCAAGGAAGGGTCAGATTGTGGGTATGTCAGTCGAAAGAGTTGGCACATCGTCGTGGCAACCGCGGTGGATAGCGATCCGCAAAATCAAAGCCTCAAACACCCCACTGCACCAGGAGTTTGGTTCCGACGCGGATAGATAGTCACAGGCGTGTGAGTGCTCAGCCAAGGGACGTACTTGTTGAGCATCTTGTCTCGGCACTTTTCAGAGTGGACAAGGAGCATCGACTTAAATCCCGAGACACGGAAGGCATGCGGGTTGCTCTTGATCTCATCCACATCTACAAAGCTCAAGCTGTTGTATATGCCCCACGTTTCGAGGAGCCTGATCATTAGCGGATGAGTGATGAACAGGTTCCTTTCCATCTTTTGATAGGCGTCCATGAATTGCGTCTTCCATCCAGCTGGAAACGGGCACTTGTCCTGGGGAAAATACACAGGCTTGCCTGCGGTCTTGGCGCTAGATGACGAAGCAATTCACCCGCAGGCTGGTATCAGAGAAGGTGTGGTCGGTGCGGTTGTGAAGGCGCCACGGCGATACTGCTCACGAAAGTGTACCTCTCGCTTTGGTCCGACTTCTTCACCGGCGACTTGAGGATATAATCCACTGCAGTTTGCGAAGCAGCACAGCGACTCTCGTGAGAACAGCTTTCAAGGCGACACGCACAAGCGTCCGAGTATGGGCGACAGAGATAGAGGTGTGGGGCTCACACATCGGCTGCTTCGAGACTCTACTTGTCACAGAATCCTGCTCGATGCGAGTGCGGTTGGATGCAACATACCTGCTGACTGCTTGCCGCTGTTGGTGTATTCTTGTTGGATCTCGCCAAGAATACTCCGGGTGACGTCAGGGTATTTGTCCGGCAGGTTGTCGGGGATGGCGTTCAGTATGTTTTCGATCCACTGGGGGCTGAGATTGCTGACGTAGTGCGACTTGATGTTTGCATCAAAGTACTTGAAGAACGCCTGTGATGGGAACGACCAGATGGATGGGGCCGATCACATACCAGATGATATGAAGGAGCCAAAATGAGCATATCAACGCAGCCAAGCATACAACCACTATCGGGAATCAAGGCAGCTCCCCGTGTCCGGTACTACGAGTTCGCCGCAACATGCCACACTGTCCCCTGCAGCATCTAATATTGACAACCGCATTACATTGCCGACAACAATGCTGCGACTATGCTGCAACTGTGCTGCGATCCGGCGATCCGCTCGGCAACTTACAATCACGTGCGCATCTTCATCGTCAGTAGCCTCAAGCCGATCGCTGGATGAGGCCCTGACGGCGTCAGCCACCCTGCCATCGGGGAGATAGTTGGGGTCCATGTTCTTCAGAAGCATACCCGCTGTTTCGTCGGCTGCAAGCAGAAGTACAAAGCGTCAGCCGTAGGTGGTCATGCGATAGAAAGGCGGCTGCTTTCACTCGTAGACAAGTGTTACCAGACTCGACTTTGACTCTGTGGCTCTGTTTGTCGCTGTGGGAGCGTTCATGGAAGGTGAAATGGGATATGAGAATGCTTTCCGATCGGGCCGTGGCGCACTGCCAACGGCGATATTTCCAAGCAAGCGTCGACGGGACCAGCGGCTCAGGGCTGGTGTCGTTGAGACGAACACGCAACGCTACAAATGCGGGCATAGAGCGGTTCAGCAGTAGCGAATGCCCACATCAAAAAGTCCACGAGCTTTTCCTTGAAGGACCGATGGGCAGAGGACGGACGGGCTGCGTTGGGATCCTCGTGGATGATCTCCATCCCGCCCTTGGTTCTGGCCGTCTCGCCCTCTATCTTCTGTCGTTTTTGCTCATACTCGACTTTCTGAGTCGTGGTGGTTTGGCTTCGCTTTTGGGGCGGGGGCTTGACCTTGATTTTGCTGAGAAGGGAGTCGGGAAACTCGCGCTGTCCAGCCCGAGCCTCCTTCGAGGCGCGAATGAGCTCTGAGCATGGACAAGTCGCAATCCAACACATCATTGGTCGTAAGCAACACTGCGACAAACACAACTCGCTGGCCAGTGTAGCACCCCAGAGTCGACCGATTTCAGAACCATGGCAGCATTAGTGCAGCAATACAGACCTCTGAGCGTGCCGGTCTTTCGGTGCAGCTCGACCTTTTGTTCGCGGCGATCGCTGAGCTGGCTGGCTTCGGCCAACCCATGCTTTTGGGGGTGCCGGTCGCCGTCCGAGATGGCTGCCATCGAGGAAGCCCAATGCAGTGTTCACAGAGATGGGAACCGGACTTGAGCACAAGTTGGTTATCTAGCTGGCAGCTGCGTTCAACAGCTATGATATCGGCAATGGCACTAGTGGTTGAAGTGCAGGTCTGGATACGATATGACAAGCTCCGACCAGTGATATCAGCAGCAGTTGGATGGATCTGGACTGGGGAGCAGGACCCAGCGGGACTGCAGGTCAAGTGGAATCGGAGCTTTTTCACGAGGCAGTTCAAAGCGCCGGGCTGCCTGGCTATGGAGCTGGGTCGAGTTTGGGGAGTTTGAGCAGGGAACAGTGAGAGAGCGGGATGGGTGTGAATGCCGTCACTGGTGAAACAACAATGGCTCGCATTCTGAATATGCCCTATATCCCTGCAGCGCCCCCCGGTCATTGAGTCGCTGTTTCGCAATATGTAATCCGTCGCTAGGCTCTGAGCAGCATCTGCTTGGGCGACCAGAGCCTCGCTGCCAGGCTGATTGGACATACGATGTCACTCTGAACATGATCCGCTCGGTCATTCACACGCTCGACGCTGATTGGGTCGGGTTGCAGAACGTCCAAAGCGAAATGGACCGAGAGCATGGCCACCATTTTCACATCCCATGACGAGACATGCTTGTCATGATGGGCCGCCGCACACAGGGCTTTGACATCACACTGACCAAGAGGGCCGACGGCGGTGTGTCATTGCCCAGGAGTACCGCTTGTGTTGCCAGTTTGTCGGTACATCCCAGGACAGGACTAATTGCGCCAATAAGCCACTGCCTCTGTGGATTCCCTGTGGATTCCCTGTGGATTAGCGAGGGACTCTCCTTCTGCAGGCTCAAGACGGACAGACTCGTGCGATGAAATTTGGCATGGCCGAATCCAGGCCATTGGGCAGGCCGTAGCAGGCTGTACAGCAACATAAGAGTCAAGGTCGACTACACATCGTCACTGGCATCCGGCGAGCTATCCGTTTTTTGGAACATGAACGTCAGCGACCCAGGGCGATCCAGGATCGAGCCGATGAGCACCGAGTCGTCCTCGAGACGGCCTTCCTCGACAAGTAACTCGAGATGCTGCCTCCAGCGCTCGCGGGTATCGCTTTGGTCAAGAAGGAGATAGTGGTTCCACTCTCCAGAGTCGTCCGATCCTTCCAAAGGCTCATCCGCCATGAGACGATCAAGTTCCTGTGTCGCAGTGCGCATACGTGAGCGAAGTCTCCGCTTGTACACCGAGATGTGCTCTGTGATGCCACCAGAGCCACACGATAAAGTCCAGTGGTAATTGCGACAGCGACGTACCTCGGCTCCCCACTTGAAATCGAACACGATCAGCAAAAAGGACAGTGCGCTCGTTAGATATATCGCATAGTGTAGCGCCAGTCAAGCGGATGTCTGTGCATGCGACCCGATGGTGTATGCAGGGACGGTATCATCGGATCCTCGCCACTGCCGCGTCTGCTTACCTGGCAGCCACAGGTCATGATCTCGTGTGTAAGGCATTTGGTGTTGCCTCGAAATGTCAACAGGTCCCTCAGCTGGATAATCGAATCGACGAATCAAAAACGGCTTTTCTTTTCTTTGGCACACGGGAATCCGCTCTCCAGAGAGCGTCGGTGTGCTGTTATCGGATCGTTTGGCGCGCGTACCTCCTGTGGATCAAATCCATCGATAACTTGTCCTTTTTGATCCTGTGGGCGAATGGAAAGGTACCATATGGTCGGTCGACGAGCTAGTTTTACAGCGCCGACTTCGATACAGTCAAGATCTGCACCATACCACGATGGCATCGCTCAAATCGAGCTTTTTGATCTGTCTTTGGAAGATACGCTCTTCTATTGAGCCCGTCCTGTGGTATAAACGTGCTAGGTCAGAGGAGGGGGCCGACTGCGCTTTGAAGATGCACTGCCGGGCTACTCACAGCAACAGTCGATAGATCTTGACAGGTCGTTTCTGGCCATCTCTGGAACAGGGATGAGCCGGATATCAGAGTTTATGTGTTGACTTTACAAAGATCCTGGGCATGCTTGACTTACCTCCAGATTCGTGCCATGGCTATCGCCGAGCAGACCCGACGATTGGAGAGTCGGGGGGGGGATGGTGAGTTGCGCAAACGCAACCATCTGAAGATCATGGTCCGGCGACAGGCCTGGCAACGTACCTTGACGACACACGCTGGGATTCCAGTCTGAAAGCACCGTTGAGTTTATGGAGTGAACAAGGGTTCCGACAGATCAGCCAACATTCACTCGAACGCATCTTACCAATATCGAACATGATCAGCCTCGAGGCGCCGATCAGGTTGAGGCCAACACCTCCAGCCTTCGAGCTGAGAAGGAAGACGACTGTCAAAGTATGCATCAGTGAAGTGCCGTTTGGACACAAGCATTGCGCACAAGCATGATTCCCAAGGCTTGAGCCTCAAACCGCTCCATATCGCCTCTTACATTGCCTGGAGGTGTTGTTGAAGTCGTCGACGAGTCTGGAGACCAACGTACGATCAGATGCTTGCAGAGAGTCGCGAGAGTGCTGCGGACAGTGACCTACTTTTGCCGGTTCTGCGCTGGGACAGATCCATCCAGCCGTGCAAATGTGTATCCCTTTTGGGTGCAGAGCTCTTGTACTATATCCAAGGTGTGGATAGCGAAACGCAGGAAATGGGGATTGTGTTTGAACGGAGCCGCAGGCCAATGTCGGCCACAAAAGTGGTTGCAGACGGCGGTATACACTTATCTGGGTCCAGTTTGAAACGACAACGACTTTCTCGGACGTGTTGGTTTTGATATTATGAAGCAGATCCGCAAGAACACATAGCTTGCCTGTTGAGTGCATCCCGATGATTATCATGGTGCATCGACGGTGAACCAAATCGGGAGGCTTCGGTGCACACACGATCAAGTGCCTACCACTAAACTCCAGCAGTAGTTGATTCTGGCAGCCCAGCAAGCGATCCTCATGCTCCGGCAGAACCGCCAGGTTCCATTCTTCAAGATCGTCGACAATCTGCACGCAGCACGTAGGTCAGTGCATTTTGGAGCTGCACCAGACAAGCGAGCCAGTCCGGCTCACGGGCGAATAGACTGTGTCATTGCAAAATGCAGACTGGTGGTACCATCTGAGGACTTCCAGCGAGCTTTCTCATAGTATTGAGTATTCCTGAATCGATTCAGGTTGACAGCAGGCGACAATATCATGTATCCTTAGTTAGACTGCGGGTGTTTTGGGATCATCTGGACGATGGTGGCGTTGTTTCTCTCTGGCCAGAGCAATGCAGCAGCACATCTTACCAAGGATGCTTGCTCCAGAGCCGTTGATCGTGTCCGACACGAACTGCGAGGCTGAAATCTGTGCGAGGAGGTCCGACTGCACTTCCGATGGGCGACAAAAGAGCACGTACTCGGTTCGACTCGGCAGATACTGGGCGTTGATGTCCGCTGTTCGCCGCAAGATGAAGGAGCTGGTGATTCTGCGGAGCTGTAGAGAAGAACGCATCATGCCGTTATAATCCTCCACTTGCGCCCGTTGCCCGGATTGCTCTTGCCTGAGGCATTCGAATCGCTCTCTCAAACGATCAGGCACATCGCCATGGATGCGAGTTGGTGCGGCATACCTCCTCGGAACGAGTGGTGCCCAGTTCGGCTTGATATGGATTGCATGAGGCATCCCGCGAAGCGACGATGGGATTCTCAAACTTGCGCTGCGGAGATAAACGAAAGACGAGTTACCCTTTCATAATGAGCTTATTCAAGAAGAATCTCAGAAGCGCCGGGATTGCATATGATATTGAGTCGTTGGCAGGGCGAGAGACGTGCATGTGGAAGCGCAGCTTGCATGGGAGATACCTTGAACGATGCGTATTCCCCGAGGATCCCGGGGTTCACAAAGTCTACCATGGCTAAGTCAAGTACCGGGCGTGAGCGATTACGGTGAGCCAACCGGTCGACGAGACACAGGCAAAGCACATCACAAACCAAAGAATTCCCCTGGTGTCCAAAGCGATGATGCATCGTTAGCCATGGTCTTGGGGATCGTGTTCCAGCAGCAATCAACGGCTCAGACCACCCACCAAGGTCGTTCTGGTGCCCGGCCCGGCGCGGTGTTTCAAACAACGGTGCATTGAGGCCATCCAACAGCGAGCATGGCGATTGCAGCGCAGTAAAAATGCCCGATACAGGTGTCCAACGGTTAGAATGAGCCTGGGGCAACTTTGTCGGTGCAGACGCAATGTTCACGGGTGCGGATAGGCCCGCTCAGAGACTAGACTACCACGCGCACCTGAATAGGAGTGCCCGATAAAATGATCCTGCGAGGTGTTTGGAATCGCTGGAGTGTGTGCATGAATCAGATCAAAGAAGGCCGATAGTGCAGAGGCAAAGGGAGCAGAGCTGCTCATAGATAGGGAGCACACTCGGTTCTGCAGTGTCATTCACGAGACGAGATCGCCGATGCGCCGAACCTGAATCGCTGAGGCCGCTTTGATTTTGCTGTTCTTGATACGATGACCTGAGTCGTGGTATTGTTGTCAGTGAGGCGACTCATCAAAGCAAGCTGATAGTATGGTCAATTCATCCAGGCACCACCGGTGCGGAGTCAATGTCTTCTCATGAGGCCGGCCACTTGCCTTCATCACAGACAACGAGATCAAACTTGCAGTTTATAACGGTATCCAAACTCGAACGGAGCTTTCATTCAGGATGGTGAGAGGACGCAGCTGGTTAATGACGGCTGTCCGCGGCAGCAACGTAGGCTGGATCGTGCCACACAGCCAACCAGCAGAGCGATGCACATGCCTTACCCGTTCATACCCGATGATCAGTACGCTGTAGACACGACCGATAATAAAGTCCTTGATGTTTGATTTTTGATCCATCGCAAAGACTGTTGACCGAGAATGAGCCACTATGGTGTGCGAGCTTCGGCCAGAGGCAATGTAACGATAGACACGGCAATTACCTCGTATGCGCTCCTTTCCAAGCCACTTGTTGAACTCCTTTTCCCAGTTGCTAACGAGTGATGCAGGGCAGACAACGAGCGCTGGCCAGCAGGGTAAGGAGGACACAAGTTGATTCGCCACGGTGAGTAGATGAGACTCAACAGAGATTGCGGGCTGCCACCATGCTCGACTTTCTGCAGATACTACCTTTCTTGATCACCGATCCTTCACTTGGGCTCGGCGATTGCTCTTGCGACGAAGAGTTAGACGGAGGAGCAGCGAGCATGTTAAGACATGTGTCAATGGGCGTCTCTTGTCGCTATCGGACTGCGCAAAGCCAGCGCCATTGGCGATGCAGTACTTAGTAGAGTCCAGATGAGCGTGATCGTTTGCAAGGTCTTCCCAAGACCCATTTCGTCAGCCAAGATGGCGCCGTTTCCTTTGTACTCGCCGTCTGGTGAGTTGAAGAGGGTGTGAGAACTCAACGAGCGGTGTCATGTGCGGCCGTCGGGGACAGATACTTACCGTGGATTCCCATGATTCTAGAAGCACATTGGCAGAGCGATTGGCAGTTAGTACACAGGACGAGATTGGAAATATCGGTGCCAATTCAGGACAGACCTTTCATAGAGAAACTTGACACCATCGCGTTGATGAGGACGGAGGTGTCGGTTGAGGTATGGATCGATGACAACATCGACAGCTTCGGAACTGAGCAGTTTGTGGTTAATTTGGGAGCACGAGGCCGGAGTACCGTGATTAGATGTGTACATGCAGGGCTCGCAGGGGCTCCAGGTACCTCTGATCCAGCGGCCGGGGCAAAACATAGGCTTGGCTTGATTTGGGATCGTGTCTGGGTGCAGAGCCCGATTTTGGCAGCGCCTTCGTCAGGCCGCGGAAGGCTTTGAACATGGCCATTGGGGCTTTTGCATCAGGTGGAACTTCATGGCTGCGCTGTTGCTGCACATCTGAGCACAACTAATGTCAGTGCGAAGACTCGATGACGAAGCGATGCTGCGTATTCGGGTCAATCACTAACCTGGAGTAGATTGTTCTTCTGCAGGCTAAAGAGCGAGGGTTGCTGAGTGAGTGTCCCACACGAGCAATCGATTGGATTGGGAGAACATGAGAATAACTGCCACGCGGCCGGGTACCTTGGGCTGCGTGGCTTTTGCAGATCCAACTGCCTTGGGATTGATAGAAAGTGGCTTGAACGGGGCCTTTGGGGTCGCTGCGGCTTGGTGCTGAGGCTCATCTGAAGAAGGCAAGCCTGATTGTCTCGGGTCGGTACTGAATCAGAGACGTTCAACCGTACAGCATGTTGAACAGCTGCGACACCACATACCTTGTTGGGCTCGACCGGATGCGATTCCAGAAATCTGTAAGGTTGCAATCGAGTGAATGGATGAGGCTGTCAGAGGAGAATGATGGTCCCGGATATGCCGATCATGCGAATCTCAGCGATACAACAGAGATACATCAGCACAGTATGTTTGGGTTACTGACTTCGATTTCTTTTCCACCAAATGAGAGCAGGGCTCCAGCTTCAAGGGGAGTCTTTGGCAGGACATCTCTCCCGATCCTTCGACGTCCACAGCAATCATGGGGTTAGCCTGGCACAATCGAGTGGCCGAGATTCTCGGGCCGGAGCAGAAGGCCAATGTCGTACAGCATACGCACTCTGTCCGTTTTGAATCCAGGAGTATACATGTTCCGCCTTTGATTTCGAGATATCCTGGGTGCCCATCGTCATTCGGGTGAGCTGGATGGCGCTGGAGGACTGACACATGGAGCGAGTGGCGATCCGGCAAGCTGTTGGAGGATGCGCGACGACATACCATCTCCTGGAGATTTTGGTCATTGGTGCGGCATTAGATACGAGAGATATATAGAGCGCGTTGGAGGAAGATTGCCACTGCCGTGTGAGCTTGAAAGAGCGAATGCGTCGCTGGCAGCAGGTTGATCCCATACCTTCCCAGGTCTTGTGCTTTTGACGAGGGGAGGAGGCAAGATGAAGCAGCGCAGTAAGTCAGATCCACAAAATGAGAAGTTGCCGGCCAGATGCTTGCGGATGCTACCTTTTTGAACTGCTTCTTTCTCCAAACAACCTCGTAGGTGATGTCGGCGTCGCTTGCTGGTGTGCTGGAGACGGATGGGGCAGAGGCACGAGGCACATCGGATGCACGGGGCGGATTGACAAAGACGCTGGATTCTATCCGCGGTTTCTTTGCAAGAGGGGGTGCCGGATCGTCAGACTGCAGCGGCGACGGACGCTGGCTGGGCGCTGTTGATCGTCGCATGGCAGGAGGACTTGTGGGCTGGTGGATGCTGGATGTTGGATGCTGGATGTTGGATGCTGGATGTTGGATGCTGGCCTCGCAGATCGGATGGGATCAGGGCGGACTGCGCAGCGACTGAGCTGTGGCTAGATCCGGCTGGATCCGGCTAGATCTGGCTCGAGTGACTGGATCCGGCTGGATCTGGCTGCGCTGCACAGCCGTGCCACTCGGGTGGCTTGTCACGCGCGCGCCTTTTCTCTTTGCGCAGCACCGCCCTTGCTGGCGCGCGCCGCCGCTCACACGAGCGCTTGTTGGGGCAGCGCGGTCCCACTCCGTGCACAAGCCGAGCGCGTGGATGTGCGATGGCGTGATGGGCCACAGCCAACACAACGGTGCGCAGCAAACAGACACTGCTGGCTGGCTTCGGGCTGGCTTCGGGCGCCAGTTCCCCACGGGTCTTGTTTCTGCCGACCCTTTGTCGCTGTTGCCACCCTTCAGCGCCCCTTCGGTCCCTTGCTCTTGTGTTTGCCCCAGCAACATCCCCGCCGTCGTTGCCGTTCCCATCCAAACTTCCCGCTGGCCTCTGCCGCCTTCGTCGCTTTCTCTCTCGCATCCGCCACCACCTCCTCCAACGGATCTCCATCGCCGCCATGAGACTCGCCCTCGTCAGCAGTGTCCTTGCCCTCGCCTCCTTCTGCTCGGCCGCCGCCGTGTCCACCCCCGTGCCCAAGCAGGACTTTGCCGCCTACATCCCCAACTGGACCGACCGCGACTACACCAGCATCAACTTCAGCAACATCAACCAGGTCATCTACGGTACGAGGCAGCCACGGCCGCGGCCATGGTCGCTCGCCCGAGGATATCGTCCAGACCAAGCCTGCCGCTGCAACTGTCTCATTGACCGCTCTGTGTCTCGCAGCCTTCTTCCAAGTTGCCTCCAACGGCACCGTCCTCTCCACCGACTCCAGCGCCGATGCCAACCTCATCCCTGTGCTGAACGGCCAGCTCCGCAAGAAATACGGCTTCAAGACTCTGTATGTCGCTTGTCTGTCTTTGCTCTGCAGACTACCTCGCCCTTGATTCTGGCCCGGTGCGCCCTCCACGGCTGCGGGCTGCTTGCTCTGGGCTGCTGCTGCCGATCCACACCAGCGCCGCCGCTGATCCATCCACATCGCCCCTGACCCATTGTCATCACCGTTGCACGCGACTGCTTCCATCCTCAACTTGCCGGTATCAAGTGCTTCGATTGGAGGTACGCCCAGTGCCCGGAAATGGATGGTGGTTGCCTGCAGGCCCTCTGTTGCGACACAAGCCTGTCTGTTCTGGCTTGCTGACACTCTCTGTCGATGGCTCTGTTGCCAGGCTGGACCGCATCCACCTACTTTTCCAATGCCTTCAACGATACCAACCGCCAGGCCTTTGTCAACTCGGCCTACGACGTTCTCATCAAGCAGCTTGGCTTTGACGGCATCGACATTGGTACGGATTAGAGTCTCGCGTCGCACACTGCCGCACCGACGTTCGATCGACTTGATCCATGAGGCGAACGTTCCTGGCGTTTTGTCAACGCAGCTGCGCCGCCAATCACTCACACAGTTTTCGTTCACTTTGCCAGATTGGGAGTGAGTATAACCTTGCTTCTCCGTCGGCCCCCATCAGTCCACCCGATATTGTCTCATCGCATTCCATCGCTCGCTGTCTCATGGTGCTGTCCCTCTCCCTCCCTCTCGTAGATATCCCAACAACTACGGTGCTGGCTGCAACGTCATCAGCCCCGACGACTACTCCAACTTCAACAAGACCCTCGTTCTGCTGCGCCAGAAGATTGGAAGCAGCCACCCCATCACCGCTGCCATCGGCGCCACCGCTTCCACCTATTCCGATGGCTCCGGCAAGAACTGGATTCCCGTCTACGCCAACACTCTCGACAAGATCAACAGTGAGTCTGTCGGGTGTCGTGCTGCCTCCAGCAATGTCTCTCGATGTGGCAACAGCGTGTCCGTATCATCTTGATAATGGCACTAGCGACACGCTATCCTCCACCCGAGTCCCTGTCTGGACTCGAACTGGCCAGCATTACCACCAGTCCGGATTGTGGCACGCAGTATCAACTCTATTGACGCCTATGTGTTCGCTGAAATCCTCCTCATCGACGCGCTGGTGCAGTTATGACCTACGACTACAACGGCAACTGGAACCCCTACACCGACTACAACACTCCGCTCTACAGCGATGCCAGCAGCCCCAACGGCGACGTCTCCATCAACCAGACCGTGACCACTTTTGTCAAGCAGCTCGGCATCCCCGCCAGCAAGCTCCGTCTGGGCCTCGAATTCAACGGCCACTCGATCGCCCTCGGTGCTCCTGTCAAGGGCGACGGCGTCTTCCAGCTCTGCCTCCCCCAAGTTGATCCCAACAACCCGCAGGCGTGCCCTCCCATCCAGGGCGACAAGTACGACACTCCTGCCCCTGACCCATGCACCGGCGTCCCCACTGTCTCGGGCGACTGGTCCTACCGTGGCCTTCGCGAGCAGGGTGTCTTGGTGTCCAAGTCCAAGGCTCAGAAGCCCTGGGTCCGCACCTGGCACGGCGGCAAGATCCAGGTAAGGCCGGGTTTCACAGGCCAAGCTACTTGACAGCTGCCAAGCCATCTCTCACATATCGAGCTGCTTCTCCGCTGCGGTATCGCTGGCTATGCCTTCGACTCACTGCTCTCCTGTTGCTGCTGCGCCGCGTGCGACAAATTTCACCATCCAGGCCCCCACCCTCGTCAACACCAACACCAGCGTTTTCATCACCTACGACGACACCAAGTCGATCCAGCAGAAGGTCAAGTTTGCTAAGCAGTGGAACCTCGGTGTCTTTGCCTGGGAACTCAGCGAGGACTACTACGACGCCGCTGCCGGCATCCACGGCGAGCTCATCACCGCCGCCGTGGCCGAGTTCCGCAAGTGAATCCCTTGATGGATGGTATCTGCGCAGGGTCAGCTTCGCGCACCCTCCTCTTTGACCCAGTCTCGACTGCTCTTGACAACGTGTAATCCAGCCAAACCTCGTCCGCTCCCCCCCCTCCACCACCACCATCCCTGGCTGTTCTGTCCTCATTGTCTATGTATCCTCTGAAAGTATTGGTTGCACTTGCTGCCCTAATGGAGCTAGAAATACAGCCCCTGCAAAGTCAACAGAATGAAGGGTCGGGCTGTCTCACCAACGAGGGTCGCATCGGGACGTTGTCGCGTCAAGCCATTACCCCGCCATTGTTGCCGCCAGCGGTTGCAGTCATCTCCGTCTTGGATGTAATGTCCGTGGACCCCACTGGCAAACGATCGATGGGCGTGTGCATTCCCATTCGAAAACACAACCACGGTCAATGAGCATTCATACTCGGAGTGTCTCTCGTTTCGTTCTGTGGACACTCCAAAGTGTTTCTCTCCCAACACATCATGAGACTGGTTGTGTATTCAACTGCAGTTCATCCATGGATATGCATGTATCATCTCGGATGGCGGAGCACAAACGCGGTTGCGGTATTTGCTTCACTCCCGCTTGAACGTCAATCATAATCATAATCATAATCATAATCATGCACACATTCCCCTCCCTCTCCGGTGTGGAGAAGAAGCAACGAGAGAGGGCCTTAAAACGGGGCATACGACTTGGGCTCGTTCAGGACAGACCACGTCTCCTCATAGTCCTTCCAGATCGTCCAGCCAAGGGCGCTGTAGATCTCGCGTCGAAGAGCGCTGAGCTCCTTCCACTCAGGCGACTCGATGTTCTTGGCCTCGGCGAGATACTTGTTGAGGTGCTTCAGAACCTGGCCATAGAGTCCCTTCTGCGACTCTCTCCAGGCCCAGAGCTTCAGGAAGGCACCGTTGCTGTACTGGTCAGCCTGCCACTTGGCATATTCCTCGAGGGTCTGATCGTACTGCTTGGTCAAGTCCTCCTTCTCGCTCACGGGAGGAACATCGGCGTCCGACTCTTGCGGGGCTTCGGCTTCGTCCTTCTTGCCGTCGAGCTTCTGGACCTGGAGTTGCAGAACCTTGGCACGAGTTCGGAGCGCCAGGATGACTGCATCCTTCTGGGCGTCCTTTTCCTTCTTGCGCTGCTTCTCGCGCTCGCTTGTGAGGTCGTGCTGGACGCCGAAATAGATCGCGAGCTGGTCCAGATCCACAACCTGCAGCACCGTGTCGATCAGGGTCTGGATCTCGGCAAGCAGCTCGGCGTCCTCAGCAGACTTGATCTTGTCAGCAAGAGCCTCGAGGCGAGTAGTAAGGAGGGGCAGATGCGTCGGGTACTCGGCATGGAGCTTCTCGGTCAGGGCCTTGAGCACATCCTCGTCCTTGATCTTCTTGATCCAGCTGATCTCGAGATCGCGGATGGCCTCCTTGAGCTGCTCGGCATCGCTCTTGGGCTCCTCCGCGGTCTTGGCGGGCTTGTCGGCAGACTTTTTCTCGCTGGGGACGAGGTAGAAGGCCTTGTAGAGCCCTCCGTCGATCGAGGCGCCATCCCCGGCGACCTCCACTGTGCCAATCAGCAAATCGCCGGGCTGGGCACCCTTGGGCAGGCTCGAGTCGTCCAGAGGACCCACCCAGGCCGCGGTGCGCTCGCCCTTCTTGAGCGACTTGGTCTTGAGGCCGGCGCTCGAGCCCGCAATCAGATCCGAGATGGCTGAGTACACCGGCAGCGAAGCGGCTTTGAAGGCGGCATCTGCAATCAAGGGCATGCTGCTGAGCTTGTCGAGAAGCTCGACGGATCCCGAGACAACCTGGGCTCGCACGGTGTAGGTGCCTTCGTTCAGGTCAACGTTCTTGGTGCGATCGCTAAAGGTATACTGGATGGACAAAGCCAAGTTCGATGCGTTAGGCACCAGCCGCGATGAGCTTTCGGAGCCAAGCGGCTATCCGGGGCGATATTGCAATCGGATCTGAGTCCCTACGAAAGAGCATGCGCCTCCCGGTGACTGTCGGCCGATTTTTGTCGTCCGGCATCGGTCGTCTGGCGTCTGCCGATTCCGATTCTTCATCCACCTTCGCGTCCACACACGCCCATTTGCTCCAGCCCGAGGGGAAGGCGACACGATCCGCAAACCCTTACCTGCGACGAGACCACCTTCTTGTTGGCGTCAAAAACGACAACAAAGAATCCCTCCACAGCGCTATCGTACAGGACGTCATTGAGTTTAGGGAACCGGAACGTGGTCTTGGCGGCGGCGGCAGTCTTGACTGTGTAGGTCAGGACAAGCTCATGGAGCTGGCGGCCGTCCGGCAAGACATCGCGCGACTTGAGGGGAGCCGTCAATGTCTCGGACGGGCGGATCGAGCGACGGTGGATGTCTGTCGATGACAAAGGCGAATGGATACGAATCAGAGCGAGCCAGCCTTTCAGCCAACAGTCCGGTCTGCTGGAAAGGCAGCGAGCGAGCGGGATCGGAGAGACGAGGCGAGACGAGGCTGCACGGCAGGAATCCACTGTGGCATTCGGCACACTCACCAAGATTGGCCTTGAGGGCAATGTTCTCCTTTCGGATACCAGCGACAATGTCGAGACGGTCGAATCCGTTGTTGCCGCTGTTGAGCCAAATGTTCGTTCCACCGGCGGTGACGCTGCTGTCGCCGAGGGCACAGCCAGACGAAACCACGCCAATCCCGTGGAAGACAACCTCGACGCTGACAGTAGACTCATCGAGCGTCGACCAGAATTGCGCCAGACAGACCTCGAGGGTCACGCCAGGAAGGACAGAGAAGGTCTTTTTGTAGACATTCTTGTCGTCGCTGTCACGGGTCCCGGTGTTGTTGAGGCCGAGCCAGTAGCTGTGCTCGTTCTTGGCAAACGAGGTCTGGGCCTGCAGCTGGACAAGATGGGCAATGAAGATGCCGGGGGCGTCGCGGTTGTCGATGCGCACGGTCAGCTCGGCAAAGTTGGCCTCGGTCGGAACGCTCACAAACTTGCGGATGATGGTGCCGGGCTCGAAGCTGAGGTTGTTGTACTTGACCAGGGCATTCTCGACCACCTCGGGCTTGCACACAGTCACGGGCACTCTGAAGAGCGGGCCCAGCTCTGGGGCGGTGCTGTCGATGGCGAGAACCTCGCCAAAGTGCAGGCCAGGGGCCAGATTGGTGGGATTGACCCGAACGGAGAAGGCGCGGCCGCCGTTGTTGATGTAGATGTGCGACGGGGCGCTGATCCACTTCTGTGTGGTCACGAGCGACACATAGCATTCCAGCTTGAGCTTCAGGGGGTTCTGGGCCGGATCGTCGTGGTTGGGGAACTTGGGGTCGACACTGACAAGGCTCTGCGAGACAGAGGTGGTTTCCTGCAGCTCGCGGAGATAGATGCCGCGGGCGTTCTGGCGGTCCTTGACCGAGATCTGGAAATCAAACGGACCCACCCGGGCGTCAACTTCAGTCCGAGGACCTATGTTACGATATCCAAGCTCGCAGCAATCGATCTTGCATCAACTGCATCCCGCGCGCATGCCGCACATATCATAGCGCCGCCTCTGCATCAGCCGCTAGCACATCGAATACATACATCGTAATGCACATCGTAGTGCAGCTTCTTGCCTCCGACGAGCTTCTCCAGGTCAGCGAGAGAAATCTGTTTAGCCGCCAAGGTATCGCGATGGCCGGTCAGACGCTGTCAGCACTGCAACTGCTCGACTGGGACGCCGCTACATCGCCACGCTTATCATGCTTACATCGTTCGCATCGTAATTGCCCTTGGTGGGGCCCACGAGCTTGTTCAGGTGCTCCCAGGCCTGCTCGACTTGTATGAACTTGGTGCCCAGGGGGTCCTGGACATCCTTGCCGGAGTACTGGATAGCGGACTTGAGCAGATACGGCGTGTAGTAGATGCCCTCGGCCTTGAGACCCGAGACGAGCTGTGCGCGTTCGTAATCCAGAGCGACTGCGTGAGTATAGCGCTGACGTTGCCCCACTACGCTTGCTCCAGCACCCAAGGCATCTGCAGCTGGCCATCACAAACTCCGCCGTGGCAGTCCCACTTACCAGAGCCAAGCAGCCGCAGGCATTGGGGCTCGACATGGATGTGCCGTTCATGAGCTGGGCGGCCTGGATGGTGTACTGAGGAACAGAGGTGATCGCGGCACCTGTATGTATACTCAAGTCAGTCCAAGTTCGTCCACATGCAGCACGCATAGGCCCGTATGAACACGTGTGAGCACCGCATGTTCAAGATTACTTGCCTGGAGCAAAAATATCGACACCAACGTCGCCATCGGTGGTGGGGCCACGGGAGGACCAGGTGTAGGGAGTCTCGTCCACGCGCTTGAGCAGCGAGTGCTCGGCATCCATCATCGAGTGGCAGACATAAGCGCCGACGCCGATGACGCCGGAGGAAGTGCCGCCGGGAGCACCAAGCGTGCTGAGAGCGGGGCCCTCGTTGCCGGCCGACGACACAACAACGCAGTTGCTCTTGTTGATGACCTCGTCACGCAAGATCTCGATGAAACGCCCTTGGTTTGGGATGGCAGCAGCCTCTCCGTACGAGATGTTGGCCAGGTCGCACTTGAGGCGAGCAAGCTCGATGGCAGCACGCACCAGGCCAGCGCTGCATTCGGCCGATCCTGGAATGGTGCGAGGAGGGAGCTCAGCGTCAGCGTCGTCAAGATTGATTTCCCGAGCGGCCGTGCGAGTAGAGGTGCCGAGACCACCGAGCGGGACAACAAGCTTTACCAAGACGGTTGTCGCCAATCTTCAGGGAGATGATCTGGGCTCCAGGAGCAACCTGTCGATTCACGGAATCATCGCAGACCGTTAGGGCACAGTAAGGCCTGCGCAAAGCGCCATTTGTGTGCTGCGGTATGGGCAGCAAGCGACGCCGATACTTACGCCGTTCAGTCGGGGATCTTCGGGGAAGTAAGCAGCGGTGATGGCTGCGACGTGGTTGCCGTGGGTACCTGGCAAAACACAACCGGGATCAATGCCAGGCCAGAACCGATAATGCACGGCATATCTGCTCATGCTTGGCAGGCAGCGCAACGAGCATGTCATGGCAATTACCTGCAAGAGACACGATGCTGGTCGCAGGTTGCGGGCGCAACGATCAAGGTTAGGGCCAGGGAAGCGAATCCACCCGCACACCATTAACGGTGCCATAGCGAAAGACAACCGACCATGGAGCAGCGTTCGACACCTACCTGAGCGACTCGCCCTCATCGTAAATGTTGACAGAGAAGTTGAGATAGCTGCGGTCGTCGAACCGGACGAACTGCCGCTCGTCGGCATAGTTGGTCAGCAGGGGCAGGCCTGCAAGCGAAACCGATTAGCCGCCGTGTTCGACTGGACCGGACCAAACCAGACTGGAGCAGACCAGACAGGGCTGAACTAGAGCCGCATATCCTCTGATCAAAGTGCTTCGGTTCAATGGAGCACCCATATATCTGCGCCTGCCCAAGTCTATCTGGCCAGCTGCGCCCGCGCAAACCCACCCAACCGCTCTATCGCTTTCTACCTTCGAGGTTGCCGCTCTGGGAGATATCCACAACGGCGCGCCACTTGGTGCCGTCGTGGAAGACAACAGCATCCTGCAAAGGGAAAGGGCTTGAGAGTCAGCATGTGGATCTAGAACGACAATGTGGCCGCAGCCGAGACGGGACGCCGTAGCGGGCTCAGATCACTCACAAAAATCATGCCGGGATCTTTGAAGCCCTTGATCTGGTCCCGGAGGACCTCGACCTGAGCTTTGAGGTCCGCCTTGATCTTCTCCTCCTCCTCGGAAGGAGTAGGGTGATCGCGCTCGAACTGAGCGAGGCGGTCCTGGGCGCTGGTGGCGAGCTTGTGGTGCTCAAGCTCAAAGGCCTTGATGCGATCCTGCAGAGCAAGACGGTGGAATAATGGTCAGCAGTCCTCCATCGACCGTTTGAAACGACAGCGCTGATCAGGCTGCTGGGTGCGGACTGCAGGTTTATCCGCTCGGCGTGCAGCCAGCGGTAGATGCAGACGGAAGCGATGCAGCAGCGACTCCGGAGCAACCGAGCACACACACGGCCAGCCTGCAGGATACCTTCTTCAGACGGTCGAGAGCATCGTGGGGGAACAGGTCGACGTAGGACTTGACACCAAGACGGTATTTGCCCGTTGGGTTCTCCCAGTTGCCGATGGCCAGGGTTCGGCCGGAGAGACCCTGCAAGGTGCGCTTGACAGTGCCGTCCTCCTCGGTGACGACGGTGGCCTCAACGACGGTGCTCATGGAGACATCGCCAGAGCCCGTGCAGTCGATGGTGTCGATGACCTTGGGCTTGCCGTCGCTGGTAACCTGCAGACCCGGGGAGCCGGGATCGACGCCTGCGTCCCACGAAATGATGGCCAGCAGAGCAGCCAGCGAGGAGAAGATTAGCAGGCTGATGCGCCGCAGTGTTCGCAGAGTCGGTATTGCAAGCCAGAGAGAGAGCAGCCAAGCTGTCGCAACGCACCGGTATCCAAGATGGCGATGACTGTTCCGCGGCCATCGTACTGTGGGGAATCGAGATCCGGTGAGTCGCAACCAAGAAGCGGCCGATTGGATGAGATTGCGGCATGCAGCAGCAGCGTTACCTCGGGATGGTTCGAGATGAAAGAGAAGGCTTGGGTTTCCTGCAGAAGACACGGGCCAGGACAGCAGCACACATTCAGCAACAACGACAGGAGCCATGCGGGAGGCAGGGACCGGCCACAGCGGATCGAGGCAGGGGAGAGTTGCCCGCGGGCACATCCGGAAAGACACGGCCGACTCACATGCTTTGGCAGCATGCCATCGAAGGGGAATTTTTGGACCATGGTGCGGGCTGTCTGGATGCGTGCGGACAGGCGGGGGGGGGCAGGCGATCGGGTTAAATAGGCTGTTCATGGGGCTGGCGACGGACGAACAAGGCAAGCGAGCCCCCCGTGGCTCGCCTCCGTTCCGATCTCTGGCCCAGCAACGGAAGATGGGAGGACAGACAGCGCCCACGACGGCTGCGCGAGCGAGTGGGCGACGAGGGCGAACCACACAACGAGCGGGTGGAGGCAGGAGATCGATGCAACACAAGCAAGCAGAGCAAGCAAGCAGAGCAAGCAAGCAGAGCAAGCAAGCAGAGCAAGCAAGCAGGCAGATCGCAGACACGACAAAGCAGGGGTCGGCACAGCAACGCAGCAACGATGGCGCGAGGACGAGAGCCGATGTGGATGATGATGCCATCCCGCGGATGTCCATGGCGCTGTCGTCCTTCGCAGCCGGCACGGACGACCCGCAGTCCCAACCCGAACGCAGAGATTGTACTCTCATACACAGCACGATATATTCGACTGGGATTCAAAGCAACTCCGTCATTCGCTCGCCTGCGACCGGTGCCGATGACGGCGCCGCGGGCATTTATTACTGCCCGCCGAGTGTAGTCGGTTGCTCTGGAATGGCCGGATCTCCGTGCATGGCGACGGGGCAGCGCTCCCGCTGTCCTCGGTTGTCGATGCCGATACCGAGGCGGGGCCGCACCAGGACCGATAGTGCTTGACAAGATTTGATCCCTGGGACGCCAAACCATCGCATGTGTCAGAACCAGGGTGTGCCAGAGGGACAGAGCGTGCATGCAGGCACCTTACCGCCTGTCCCAAAAGTCCAGGAACGAGTCGCAGATTGCGCTGAACACATCTATGGCGGAAACGGGATTCAGGTTGTGTCAACTGTAGTTAGCCAAATGATCACGGTGCTTGACCGCCGGACGATCATGGCACTTGATCTGGCGAGACCCGACAATGCGCAGAAGCCTACCGTGTGCACATGTCTGTCGAGTCGGCACCGACATCGATTTGCCGCAGCAAGTCGATGATCTCGAGGATGCAGTACGGCTCCGTGCTGCCCGTTCGGCAGAGTGTGTTGTGCCAGGGCCGGGAGAAGATATCGACAAAGGCTTGTGTTTGATTGTCGAGCTGCTCGCCGCACTGGAGAATGGTGCCGTGCTGGTCAGCATCCCGAAGCGTCGTGGGAAGCGGATCTCGAGGTGGACATGTTGTGCCCGACTTACCGCGATGCTGACGTTGGCGGTTGCCTGTGCGATGGCCACCGAGCAGCTTGCGCTGGAGCAAACCATGCTGTAGAACTCGGTTGCATTTGCGTAGACTTGCAGCATCTCGGTGTGGTTGCGGTCGCATACCTGAGAGTGCAATGAAGAGCGCTGTGGGTTAGATCGATCATAAGTCAACGATACTGGCGTACTTGCCTGGTCCTGATGCCGATCCACATCGACAGGGACTATCTGCGCTGAACTTACGGTAGCCAGCACCGCTGATGCCTCGGATTTTGCATCGCTGCAAGATGCGGTGGCCCCTGGTGGTTGCTCGGGTGTGTCTTGGGCCACCGAGGTATCGGGGCATGCAAGGAGAACGAGCAGCAGCAGCACGATCAGTGACAGGAAGCGAGACATGATAGAGACGGTGATATGAAGAATATGGCAACCCGGGAAACTCGAGCTCGACGAGGCCGGTATTTGAGTCGCCTTGACCAAGAGAGCCCAGGGACCGTCGGCGAGGGTCGGCCTGCACGCACTCGGGAAGAGGAAAGACAAGGGTCGGCCACCAGGGACGGCCATCGGGACAGGGCGAGGAAGTGAAAAGACAAGGGCCCAAGACCCACAGACAGGCGGAACATATAAGACGGAGAGGCGGTGGAGATTGAAATCACAAAGCCGATCCGCCGCTGATAGTGCACTTCGGCCACATTCGATATGCCGACTCTGTTGTACCCGCCATGCCGATTGCGTTTGTCCCCAGTTGCATGCCCGACATACACTCCAGACACACCTCAGCGACCGGCTCCGCCTATGCGACCCTCGGGGCTATCCCGCCGCTTCGTCGGCCACGGAGCAGCACTACGGACCGACGCTGCTCCAAAGACTGCATGGTCTTGTCCATGGCCATCGCCCTTGGGTGCGCCAGCCAAAGACATTGGTCGGAGTTGCGCAGTGTCGGCTGGTGACACAGGTTTTTTGTTTTTTGTTTCGCCTCGGCTCGCTTCGGCTCGCCTGGCAACGCCGATCGCTCTGCGGCTGATCAACCAACCTCCCGGACCTCCATCCCCTGCTTGCGTTGACAGACTCTCGAGATGGGCGGCAAGGTGGGTGTCTCGGCCGGATGCACGGGCTTTCCGGATGCACTCGTTGCGCTGCCGCTGCTGCAGCGCTGCTCTTCCGAACGGTCTGGCTGCCTCTCTCGTCGCATTGCCCTGACCTTGCCTGTCTGCCCGTGGCCGTCCCCAGAGAAGAAAAACCAGGACCCACGTTAAGGACCAGCCGGAGGACCTTGGGAAGGTCCCGCGATCCTTTGTTGTAAAATCAGGAGTCGTCGGAAACTCGCTCTGCCACCTCGTCAAGGACTTTCGACGGGTCATGGAGCCCAACACGGCCTCTAAGCTCCGGGTAAGAAGCTCGGTCGCCAACCAGCTTGGCCGTGCAGCCATGCCGAGTCGGCTCAGGCCACTCCACAGCACGAACCTTCATCCCCGAGGCGAAGACGTCTCTGCTGTCTCGCGGCTGTGCATCGCTGTGTTTGCAATACTCATCCCTGGATGCTCGGTCCACAGGAGCGCAAGGGGAACAAGCTCAGAGACTTCCTGAGCATCGCCTCGCACTTTGGCGTCACCCACAGCGTCATCTTCTCCCGAACCGAGAAGGGTCCCAACCTGCGTATCGCCCGGTTTCCCCGCGGGCCCACCGTGCATTTCCAGATTGCGTCCTACTCTCTAACAAAGGATGTGCTGGCGCTGCAAAAGACACCCAAGTCGCCCGGAAACGACTACAAAACTGCGCCGCTGGTACGCTCTGGCCCTCCATATCTGCATGCCGTGCACATTTGTGGCTATCTGGGGGCACACTGAATGGCTAATCTATCGGGTCCTGCCAGATCGTTTTGAACAACTTCTCGCCCGAGAGCAAGCACATGAAACTTGTCGCAACCATCCTCCAGAACCTATTCCCAACCATCAACGTCTCAACAGTATGTGCCCACTACAACCTGAGCTCAAGGCGCTGTTTCCTCCATCGGTGCAGCCCCTGATCCCACGCCGTATGCCCCGTCGCACGGTACAGCACTTCTGCAACCAGTAGTAACCCATAATAACTTTGCTTCGCTACCCCCGTCTCCATAGATCAAACTGGCAGAGGCTCGCCGAGTCGTTTTGTTCAACTACAACAGCGATACCAACGAGATCGAGATGCGGCACTATGGCGTCAACGTCAAGATGTCTGGAGTCAGCAAGAGCATCAAGTCGGTTATCCAGACAACCGTCCCGAATCTGCAAGGCTACGACGACATCAGCGAGTTTGTCCTCAGGTGCGTGTGTGGCATCGATGCTCGTGAAGACCTATGCACGAGTGAGGTGTGCGATGCCCCCCCCCAGAGCGCTGCATGAGCACATAGGGCCCCGGTTTCGGTCGTCGAGGCTGTCGATTCCGTTGTCAAGGGGAGGCGTGTACTGCAGGATGCACGCTTTGCCTGTCATATAACTGATGCAGTCCACGTTCGCCCGTCTTGGACATGCAGGGGTGCGTTTGCGTCCGAGAGCGATGTCGAAGACGGACCCGACGTCACCATGCCGCTGCCTCAAAAGTACATCGGCAAGGGAAACAAGCAGTCCGAGAATCGCTCGATTCGCCTGGCAGAGCTGGGGCCCCGAATGGGTCTCAAGCTGGTCAAGATCCAGGAGGGTCTCTGCGACGGCGAGGTCATCCATCACGAGTTTGTCAAGAAGACCCAGGCCGAGCTCAAGAAGATGAAGGCCGAGCGGGAGAAGCGGGCGCGACTCAAAGCCGAGAGGCGGAAGGAGCAGGAGCGCAACGTTGCCCGGAAAAATGCTCTCAAGAAGAAGCCCTCTGGCGACGACGGCGATGACGATGACGATGACGACAGAGCCTATGATCAGGGAGACGACGATGACGAAATGGACGGCATGGACGAGGACGAATAGAGACATCGTCTGTGCCATAGCGACATGCACCGCTCTCGCGTCTGAATCGCTGCCGCCACAGGTGTTGGGTGGAATAGCCATGCGATCGTGAAGGCGATGGTTGTTGGTCTTTCGGCTTCGTAATACACACTCACTCACTTGCCACGAAGGGACACTAGCGCAGCATCAGGGCAGCTCTCGGAACTCAATGTATATTTCGCCGAGTGGCAAAATATGCTCTATGAAAGCACGAACGCACCGTGGCGGTGCGCGAGGTTGGGTGATGCCAGTGCCAGTCCGAGGGGAGGGGGGATTGGCGGTTTGTTTGGATACGACCGATTACAAGTCAGTGACGCAGCCCTGGGAGGCAGAGCTAACGTTCTTGATGAACTTGCGCAGGGTGCCCGAGGTGGCCTTGAGGGGAGGGGCAACCCACTTCTTCTTGCGCTCGGCGAGCTGGGCCTCGGTCAGATCCACGTTGATGACACGGTTGATGGCGTCGACGACCATGCGGTCACCGTTCTCAATCAGGGCGATGGGGCCGCCTTCCTGGGCCTCGGGCGAGATGTGGCCGATGATGAAGCCCTGCACACGCACCGGTTCAAGACGAAAGGGAGGGTCAGCACAGGCGGGTTGAGGGCATGCATTGGTCGTGGACTGGCTCCTTGCATCATAGCCTGGATCGGCAACTGGCACTGGCGTTGGATCATCCGTGCCCTCAAGTGCTTCAGCCAGAGCGTTCGGCATCGTTCACTATCTTTGATTTCGCATCACTCTCCATCCTTGCGATCCAACGCGACTGTCCAGCTGTGACCCATGGTCCAAAACTGCAGTGCCACTCCATCCGGCGGGATACTTACGTGGCTACCGCCCGAGAAGCGGCCGTCGGTCAGGAGAGCGACATCCTTACCAAGGCCAGCGCCCATGATGGCGCTGGTGGGGGTCACTACGGGCCACACAGAAGAGAAGAACCGCAAATCAACGAGCTGTTCGATGCGGGTTCACCTATCCGTGGCATTGCCCATCAACGGCCACGCTCTCACACAAGGGGCGAAGCGACACTTACGCATCTCGGGCATGCCGGGACCGCCCTTGGGACCCTCGTAGCGAATGATGATGACATCGCCCTTCTTGATCTTGCCGTTCTCGAGTCCAGCGAGCATATCCTCTTCGCAGTCAAAGACGTTGGCGATGCCCTCAAACACGAGACCCTCCTTGCCGGTGATCTTGGCGACGGAGCCCTCGGTGGCGACGTTGCCGTAAAGAATCTGGAGATGGCCGCTGGGCTTGATGGGGTCCTCCAAGGGGCGGATCAGGTCCTGACCAGGTGTGAGTCCGGGAACATTGGCCAGGTTCTCGGCCAAGGTCTTGCCGGTGACGGTGAGGCAGTCGCCGTGGATCATGCCCTTCTCCAGGAGGTACTTGAGGACGGCAGGGGTGCCGCCAATCTTGTGCAGGTCCTCCATAACGTACTTGCCGCTGGGAGAACGATACGATGCAGATCGTTAGATAAAACACAAGGCTGCACCGGAAATGCGGTCGAGGAGAGAGCGGCCCGTTTGAAGTCAATGCCTCACCTAGGCTTCAAGTCAGCAAGGAAGGGAGTGCTGTCGCTGACTTTCTGGAAGTCGTCGATGGTGAGATCGATGCCGACGCTCTTGGCGATGGCAATCAAGTGCAGGACGGCATTGGTCGAGCCTGTAGGCAGCGCACAAAACCATTGAGTAAAAATACGGATTCGATAGCGTCGCCGGGATCACGTCGGCATTGGCAGCGGTCGAGAGGCACAGATACCCACCACCGAGGACCATGGTAAGCACCATGGCGTTTTCAAACGACTTGCGGGTCAGGATGTCGCTGGGCTTGATGTCGTTCTCGAGAAGGTACTTGATGGCCTCGCCAGCCTTGTGGCACTCCTCGATCTTGCCGGGGTCTTCGGCAGGGATCGACGAGCTGTAGGGCAGGGTCATGCCAAGGGCCTCGATGGCACTGGCCACTGAAGCGATGACAGCGACAGTCATAGCGGCTGTCAGTCACTGTCATGGTGGTCGATCCCAACTGACAGAGGGAATCTGTTTCACCCCACACAGCTCCAGTGATCCGGTCGGTTCTGGGCAGTACCGGATCATCCAAACGTCTGCGATGTAGTCGCTTCGATCGAAACTCATCCGTAGCTACACGGAGTACGCCATCGATACCAGAAGTGCTGATGTCTCCCATTCTGCGTTGCTAGAGACAGTATCTGCACCACCACGCGTTGGCGCCTGCGACTCCACCGACCCCAATATCCAGCCCACTCATGAGAGTGCTTACTTGTGTTGGCGGTGTACATGCCACCGCACGCACCGGCGCCGGGGCAGGCGTGGCGCACAATGTCGTAGCGCTGCTCCTCGGTGATGTTGCCGGCGAGATACTCGCCGTAGCTCTGGAAGGCTGAGACGATATCCAGGGGCTTGTTCTGGCACGAAACACCAGGCTTGATGGTGCCGCCGTAGACCATCAGGGAGGGGCGGTTGATGCGGCCCATGGCGATCAGACAGCCGGGCATGTTCTTGTCGCATCCTGCAGTAATGCACGGTGAGTGCAGACAGTATTGCGTCGGTCAGCATCTGGCCGATCAAGCGGATAGCAACTTGAGCTTCAATCCAGCAATCAGCTCGGTCAACGATGGTGTTTGTGATCAGACTCGATGGCTGCTGACACCTACCAGGGAGAGAGATGTTGCCGTCGTACCACTGGGCGCCCATAACCTTGAAGAAAACGAGGGCGGTCAGGCCGATTAGACACCGGACCATGCCATGAGCTGGTTTTGACGGTCGGGGAAGCTTCGGAGGGACGACAGGAACAACGCAGCGAACCACGGCACCATCCACAGCGCCAATAGCACGCACGCCGCACTTACGGTTTCGATCGAATCGGCGATGATCTCGCGGGACTGCAGCGAGTACGACATGCCGGCGGTGCCCATGCTGATGCCGTCGCTGACACCGATAGTGTTGAAGCGGTATCCGACAAGACCAGCCTTCTTGACGCCAGCCTTGACTTCTTCAGACAGGATGTTCAGATGCATGTTGCACGGGTTGCCCTCGTACCAGCTGCGCGGGAGCACATAAATAGCGGTACTCGAGTCAGATATCCAGATCGAGTCCAGGTTCTAGTATCCAGCATCAGCAAATGGCCTCCATGCACGAGATTGCAACGATCGCAACGACTTACACGCTCGAGATTCCAACCTGGGCCAGGTTCATTTCGTCGGGGGTCAGTCCCGTGGCGTACACTTGTATTGAAAAACAGAGGACGGAGTGACTCGATCAGTTTCTGGGTTCGTATCGAGGAGAAGCATCTCGGGCATGGCCTTGATACATACGCATCGCCTGGGAGGCGCCCTGGGCCTTGGGCTGGGTGATGCGCGAGCTGTATTTGTTGGACACATTCGAGAGCCGGGCGGCCGAAGTGGAGAAGGAGCGGTGGTAGATCCTGTGCGGCCGGGGCAGCGTGAGCGGGAAGGACGTCAGCAGAAGCATCGAGGCGTCGGATGCCTGGTGTGGCGACGTCGGCGAGTTGGGAGCGGGTAGATGCTGTGGAAACGATATGAAGGGTTTGTGGTATGGCTGCGGTCGATGGTGCGGACGATCGCGGCTACCTTTGCGCCGAAGCGAGCTTGGCCAGAGACGAGAACATGGCGAGAATCGGCAGGGCCTTGGGGAAAAGCGCAGATGCGACGGGCCTGTGGTGGTGTGGGCAGAAGAGCAGGCTCAGACGATCAGGTTTATATGCAAGATCCTTGTGGACATGTGTGTGTGGGGAACAGCGCTCTCGCTCGGTCCTCGCGGGCGCTCTCGCCGCACGCCACTGGCCAGCGCGCCATCTCGCCTCTCCTCGGCGGCGCTCTCGCCTGCTCTCTTATCGGCAGCGATCCCGCACGTGACGGCGTGCCGCTGCGCACCACCGCCGCTGCGCACACCGCTCTCACGTCAGCAGGGCGCGTTCCGATGGCGCCCAGGTCCATGGAAGCGGTCTGCTGGATGGCCCCGCTCGACTGGCTGCCGTGTGCATCGCGAGAACCGACCAGGCTCGATGGCAAAGAAGGGCAAGCCGCTGGACTGGGAGGCCGTCCTGGCCTACGACGTGGGCCAATTCAAGCCGGTGCGTTGCGACGCGGCCCTGAGCGGCTGCTTGACTGGGTCGCGTTGGCATGGTCTGGTGCTGGCTTCTCACGAATCGCGAGTAACGAGCTCATGCTGGCACTCGTTTGTTTCTGAAACGGGAACGGAATCTGTCTTGGTCCACCCTGCTCGCTCCCAGAACGACCCTGAATCCGAGGCCCGTCTCGAGGAGCTGCTCTCGGAAACCACGAACGTCTACATTTCCGACAAAGACCCCAAGACTACGGTCTCGAATCTCATCAAGCTCGTCCAAATCTGCCAGCTACAGCTTGAGTGGGTTATGGCTGGCCATGCGTCCGCACCCGCCGCTTCGTATCGGAGCGAAGGACTGCGCCGGAGCTGATGCAATCTGATGATGCGCAGGCTGAAGAACGATGACCTCGACGACGCCGAGGAGCATATAAAGGATCTCGAGGTAGCTGAGGTCACAGGGACATAGCGCAGCCGCTGCTCCCTCTTTTTCTGTTGGTCCATCGAGCCATCTGCCCATCCGCTCGACTCACCCGATTGCGCTCGCTGCTGCGGTGACGCTTTCTCATCCGGTTGTTCCGGTCTCCTATCTCCTCCGGCCCATCCGGTGCGCAGAACGAAGTGTCGGCCCTCAAGCAGAGCGCCGGTGGCGACAGCAGCGCACTTGGCGCACCAGGTGCATGCTTGCCCTCCAGAATCCCACTGCACGCCGCCCGAGACCACCTACTCACCGGCCACTGGAATGGCTCCCTGGTGCTGATCAGATTCCAGAGCGCTTCGAGATGACATTGCGGATTTGACCAAGCGGAACGATGCGCTGATTCGGGACCTGAGTCGCGCCGAAGAGAGCTTGGATTCGGAGCGCAAGGCCGTGCAGCAGCTGACGATGGTAGGTCCGGGGAGACCCGACGCAGAGGTTTTGAGGAACAGCGCTTGTCGGTGCTCTCAGTAGAATGCGGCATGTGTGGAGCGAGTGCTGTTGACAGCTCACAGCAAGATGCTTAATCGTCGAGGATGGCAAAGTGGAAGTTGTGTGCGAGTCCAAACAACGAGCAGTGGGGTGGGCTTCCAAACGAGGGCTTTATAGTGACAAATGCTTTCTGGCGACCCATATCAGTCGCTCCGCGAAGAAAAGACCCGATCGATGAAGTCGGAGGACACCATCGAGCGCTTGACCAAAGAACTGCACGACTGTCGCGACCAGCTCGGCACGCAGCGGAGCCGGCTGCAGTCCAAGACCATCGACGAAGACCATTTCAGGACCCAGATCAAGGTACAAGCGGGGCGATTGGAGCGCCTGTGGCGTTGCATGGGTGCAGCATCTGCAGGAGTTTTGCGGATACTCAGGCCAGTCTCGTTATTTGGCGTGTCCAGGACAAAAACTCGGAAATCACAAAGTACATCCACGAGATCCAGGCCCTGGGAGCGCACAACGTCAAGCTCTCGAATGAGGTTGAGATGATGGCCCAGGAGCTCGAAGCGACTGTGATCGAGCTGGAAAGGTACAGATACACAGCATACGATACTGGCCTCTATTCGTCCTCTCTCCTGACACCCTTGCTGCAATACAACCTGATCCAATGCCCACAGGAATGCCAAAGAGCAGGAAGAGGCCCAGAACCTCATCATGGAAAACGACAAACTCATTGATAGCCTGCAGTCCGAGCGCGAGGCAATGAAGATCAAGCTGGAGGAGCTTTCAGATCAACTCCATCGCCGAGGTAGAGTGCAAGTCCCCCACTAGTTTCCCAGCGAGCAATTTGGAGAGGGGATGCATCGCAAATCGACGGACGCGACTCACATGGACTCGGCCGACAGCTGTCAAGGACGATAGGCTCATCAACCAGTTCCAGGGAGAGCTGAGCCGATTTCGAGTAAGGCTAAATCATGTCGCAGCACGTCATGGCCGCACACGACTCACTTTGCATGGCGCTTCGGATTGCGCATATGCTCGGCTGACAACTTGCCTCTCACCACTCCTCCAGAGCAGCTGGGAGGAGTCGCAGCAGGGTTTAGTTGAAAAAGAATCCCTGATTGATCAACTCAAGCTGGAGATCCGTCAGCTGAGGGAGGAACTGGCTGACAACGATGCCCATCAGCTCCGCAAACAGCTCAACGAGAAAGGTAACGACAGCAAGCAGCGCTGAGCGGACTGATCGACCAACTGGCGAGAGGAATCTAGGTCTAATCGTCCCTCCACTCTTCAGACGAAGAGATCCAAGCGCTCCATCAAAAACTCGAGCAGTCGTACAAGGACTTTGAGCTGCTGAGTTTGGACTGGGACGAAATCGACCGGGTTCTGCAACAGGTACGCCCGCCTGGCAGCCATTCGTGCCCAGGCTACACATGCATACTTGAGCCACAGTCCCTCCCTGGGCCAGCAGTCGCAATCACTGCCATTCTTCTGGCAAGACTGAGGCTGCCGATAAACGGCGCCTGTCTAGCCCTTTGTATTCGGATATTGTTGATACCATGACAATGCCTGCTCGCCGCCCATTATTTGTCGCGACTACATCGCTAACGCTCTGGCAATGTCTCCGCAACTGGGCAACATTGTTCTTCGTGACGCAACCAGCAAACTGTGCCGCAGAAAGACAGGCCAAGAACGCCATCGCTGCAGTCCCATCACGCGACCGATCTTCAGTCCAAGATGGAGGGTCTCAAGCAGATTCGGACCCGAGATCTAGCGACCATAAGCAAGTTGCAGGAGCAAGTCGAGGAGCAGGAGCGGGAGCTCGTCGATATGCGCGCTCGCATGGACATTTACGAACAAGGCCACTACGGAATGAGAGAGGCGATGCGCGAGGTCAAGACCCTCAAGCTTCAGAAGAACATCCGTGACAAGGAGATTGCCGATCTCACCAGCAAGGTCAACGACCTGACCGCCCAAGCCGAGGACTTTTACGAAGAAAACCAACAGCTACGCGCACGACTTGGTACCAAGGAGAAGACCAAGATCGATGTTTCCAACCTGAAGCTGGAGAAAGACATTGAGCTGGTAGGCAGTCGCTCCAGATAGCACTCGCTGTTGGAGAGTTGAGCGGCAAGGAACTCGTCTGTTTGTAGATATCCTCCCATCGTCTGCGTGGCTTGTTTCATTGTTCACAGGGCTTACTGGCGGTACATTCTTGTGTCTAGGAGCAAACCCGAGCCCTCAATTCAACGCTTCAAAACGAAATATCTCGACTCGAGGAAGAGCGACTGGCGCTCAAGTCACAGCTTCGTTTACAGGCACTCGAGGTGGGATATTGTTAATGAAGCACTCTCTGTCAGCCGTCTGCACCCCCGGAGGATATCTTACGTATTACTATGCATTGCTTAGCGCGGAGAACGAGCCGTCGCCCTCGGTCTGCGGGCAGAGGATCTTGAGGCAGTTGAAGAATATGCAATGAACTTACGCCACGGCACAGGAGCAGCGCCTGCTGAAGGTACAGTCTGTAGTGTTGCTTGATTGTACGCAAATCCGGATCTCGGACCAAAGTGGCAATCACTCTGCGCCTGAACTTGACCGTGGACTGTTGGATCAGGCAAAGCTCCAATCCGCCCGGTGATCAACAACGAGCAGCTCGAAAAGCTGGCTATTGAGCTTGAGCGAGTCCATGTCGAGGCATATGAAGCGCGACAGCAGATCACATCGATGGAGGTATCACTGGCCTTCGTACAGTCGCGGCAGCCATGGTCTAGCACCACTCGAGCTATTGATAGGCTTTCTAATCCGTCTCAATGTGTCCAGGACGAAGTCGCACGGCTCAGTCGCGAGAATCGCTCGCTTGAGGATGCCGTCAAAGAGATCTCCGAAACTCTGGTCAAAACCAGAAACGGGACCCGCATCAACGGCCACACTGGCGCGGATGTCGGCAGTAACATAGAGGTGAGATCCCGGAGTGAAACGCAGTAGTGCCGTTGCCTCGATATGCATACCCGCCAAATGATTCTAAGCCAACGCGTCCGCTTTGTGATCTCGTCAGTTTCCGCTTGTGCAGAACTTGATCTATCTCTTGGAAAAGAAGATTCGCCGGGAACTCGGACACGGGCTTGAGACACTTGACGAAGCCAGCGACAGCATCGTCGATATGAACCGTGTATGAGCTGGGTCTTGATGTGCTAGATTGTCTTCGGCTCGCTGTTTGAATTATGGACAGCGCCGAGGTTGGTGCAGCGAGATTCATCCGGGCAGTGCAGTTTTATAACGCAGATGACTCGCATGCAGACCCTTCGTGAGGAGCTCTATTCCACCCGTGCGAACCTGAGCGATGTCCGAACCAAGCTCCAACAACGCGAGTCCGATCTGGAGCAAGCCACCCTGGACCTGAGCTATTGGAAGGAGAGAGCACAGTGTCCTCGACAGAGGGTCCTCGATCTCCCTGCCGAACTCGGTCTGGGCACGATCCACGACTACTCTGCCGTCGTGGAGCAGTTGATCGAATGCTTGCTCGATTTGAAGACCAAGGACCGGGAGCTCGACGAGGCCCGACAAGACATTGCCAAATTTGAGGTGAGCCCATTTCACACGACAGGAACCCGGGACATTTGGGTCAAGCCGCGCCAGAAACGTGCTCAAACCATGCTATGATCGTCGCTGGGCAGAAATCCTACAGCGTGCTCGTTGGAAAACAGCGACTTTTGTACCGGGACTTTCACGAACAGCGAGAGCAGTGGCGCTCCGAGGCCAAATCCCTCAAGGAGAAGCTACAAGGATCTGAGACGGAGCAAGAGTGCTTGAGTCTCAAGTTGCGCGAGATGGATCGCCTTGTCGACAGCCTATCCAAGGATCCAGAGAGTGTGCGAGCCGATCTCATCGAGGCACAGCGGAAAGTGTCGGTGCTCAGCGTCAATGAACACAATCTAAAGCGTCGCTACTCGGCGATGCTTGAAGTCGAGTCGATTCTGAGGAAAGAGAGTTCAAGTCTAAAGGTAGGCGATGGTCGCGGTATTGGCTGGATGATTGACCAGGCTCGGTACTGCGCTGGGAACCGCACAGAGCATCCACCTCGATATGATGTGCGTGAATCTGTATCGAGTGAGATCGGATGATACGAAAGCCAAAACAGTGGATCTGGAGCAAACAGGCCTGCGAGACCCATGTACACCCAGGAGCTGAATCATCCTGTGGTTCAGAATGAGATATTCAGGCTGGAGAAAGTATCACGAGAGACAATCATGAGATTGTATCAATCCAAGAAGGAGCTGCAAGCTCAAGCCCAGCACCTCGAAAAGGAGCTCGCAGGTACACTGAGCAGTCTTCCTTGTGAGAGCACATCGACTGTGGCCGATGCAACTGACTGAGCAGTACATGTTGTTCCCAAGACTCGGTCCGGCTGTCGGATTTCTTGCAGCTTCAGAACACGATGGAGCTTTACAAAACCAAGACCAAGCTGCTGCTGGACAAGGAGCGCGACTGGATCACCGATCGAGATCGAAGGGAATCCGACTCCCGAAAGGTTTCGCACCAGCGCGAGCAAATCGAGCAGCTGAAACAAAAGCTGGCCGAGACCGCCGCCAAAGTATGTCGTGTGTCGGGGCATCTGCAGCAAGCGAAGAGGGACCCGGTCCAAACTGACATCCGATTATTTGGACCACTCTCGTCCAGGCAAACAGTCTCGACATCACCGTCCATCAAATCAAGGAGCGGGTGAGCCGGCGATCGAAGTGCATGGAGAGGCCGCTTGGTCTGTTACTGGCTGTCTGAATTCGAATGCGACTGACTCTGCGACGCTTTCGCCGTCCCAGTCGAGTGCCGGGAAGAAGGAGCTCGCTGAGCTCATGCACAAAATCGCCTCGTTGGAGGTAGAGCGCGATCTACTCAAGAGTCGCGCAGAACTGGCCGAGGGCAAATGCAAAGCCATTGAGGGTGCGAGAGACGAGGTATGTCATTGCATGAACTCACGAATTAATCGCTGTGCCAGCTGATTGACCGCGTGATCGCGTAATCTGCGCCTCTGCAGATGTCGAAGCGGCTGTCGACAGTCGAAGCACTGTACATGGATTGCACCGAAGACTGTCTTCGGGCCAAGGAGGCAGAGATCAACACACGAAATGCATTCGAGGTCAGTAATCCACCGCACAAAGCATATGCTTTCCATGCTGCGATATCGAGACATCACTCATCTCGCTCTCTGGGATGCTCGCAACGCGGCGATTTTAAGCTAGCTGCTGATTGTCTCGCACTTTGGCTTGCTTATGATTCGATACCGCCCATACGAACCATCAGGGTGGCGCAACAAAAGAAGAACACGAAGAAAGTCAGAGGACAATCCGAGAGCTCCGAGAAAAGTCGGAGCACCTATCGCGCGAACTTGATCAAGGTAGCCACAGCCCTGGCGCGCATCGTCCTAGATCGTGTTTGTCTGAAATCAAACGATTTTGTGTAGCTTGACGAGCTGCGAGCACTGGAGTAGCTTCATGTGATTCTGACGACCGATTGTCGTGTTTCAGCCAAGGAGGCCACTGAAATGGCCATCAGGCAGACCACAGACTATGCGCATCTGCACAAAATGGATCAGAAAGAAAAGGATATCTACCGGGCCACGATTCGAGAGCTGCAGATGTGTGACGACGACAAGCTCGTCATTGGGAAACTGCATCACCACATTCTGGCACTTCAGATGAGCGAGGCTCTCGCAAAGCAACGGCTTGAGGCCGAGAAGGACAAGGTCATCAAGCTGGAATCGCAGGTGTTGGCCCTGGAGAAGGCTCTGGACGAGCAAGAGAAGATGATTTACCAGATCAGAAAGGACGAGCGCAGCAAGTGCCGGTATCTGAACAAGTGCATCACCGATTTCCGCATCAAGCTGGCTGGTGTCGTGCTGCTGGAACGACACGAGGTTAGCGGCAGTTCCATGCGCGAGATAGCAGCAATATTGCCCCCCTTCTGCTGGCGATGAGCGCGGAGCCAACGCGATGCAGTTTCTAATCGCCTGTGGTCGATCTGCAGCGGGCCTGTGAGTCCCTCAGAAGCGTCGATCATCACAAGCGAGAATTGGAGCAGGAATGCAAATCCTACAGAGAAGTCAAGAAGGACATGGAAGGTCAGCGCGCGGGGAGCCGCCACGTTTGCCGCAGCGTCGGTAGAAAGGACCCTGTGCCTCTGGGCATGTAGAGCTTTTTTGGTGTATAGGACGCCCAGATGGCGCTGATGGAGCCTGGACTGACACTATCGAGCCGTTTCATCCACTAGACAAAATAATTGAGCTAGAGATGACACTCTCGGCCAAAGGCGAGCTTTTCGAGACCTTGAAGCACGCCACAAGGATGAACGAGAGAATCCAGGCCTGGCACAGCAAAATGACCCGGCTTCAAATCTCAGAGCTGCAAAAGCAGCGAGAAATAGACCGGTTGATTGTCGAGCGGGCAGCGGCGAGTCAGGAAAATGCCGAGCTGGGCAGTCGTGTCGCTGCCCTTGAGGAGGAGCTCGTGGGTCTGCAGGTCGGTTGGATGAGCGACTGGCCTCGCTGTCGATCAAGAGTGTGGGTCGTTATTTCGTGGGTCGAGAGTATCTCGATGCCGGTCACGCTCGGCTGTGAGATGGGCACATTGAGTTGGTCGCTGACTGACTGTGGCGCCTCTCTGTATTCAGAGCAAGCTTGACTTGCGCGAAGTCGAATGGGACTTTACAGTTACTGAGCTCGAGAAGAAGATCCAGCACTACGAGGATGAGCGGGATCACATCTACCAGGCAGCAACGTCGCTGGAGGTATGAAAATCAGATCCGGCTGTGGCTGTGCGAGCCATTAGGGTGCTAACGCGCCTGCGCTCTGATTCCGTCAGCTGAAGAAAGTGCTCCCCAACGCAAACCTCCCGATCGCTCAGCAACTTGAGACAGCCCTTCGACTCCTGATTGAGCGATCGCGCATCATATCGGCCCAAGACATGAGAATATCGAACCTTGAGGCCAAGATCCACACACTCAACGCCGAACTCAAGGTATGGCAGATTCTGCTGCAAAATTGAGGTGCTCATCGCGGCGAGGATACGAAATGCTCATGATGCGCGAGTCTGTCCAACAGGAAAGCACATCGTCCATCCGCAGACGGGATGAGGACATCGTCGCGCTCAAATATCGAGTCGCAAAGCGGGAAGAAATACCAGCTCCCGATCTTGAAATCAGTAAGAGAGTGCCAGAGTACACGGCATATATAGGGGACTGTACCACCAGAGCCACTCGAGAGTGTCAGAATGGGATACTGAGATATTCCCACAGATTGCTCATATCTAAACCCTTTGACGGTTGAAGGAGTGATGTGGTATGCTCTGGTGTGTGTTTGGTCTGATTTGTTTCATGGCGATGCATCTGATTTCCATGGACACCATCTCAGGCCAACGAACAAACACCATCCTGGTCAGCCGCGAAAAGGAGTCTCTGCGTGCTGCCCAGGAATTTGTCGAATCGCTCCAGAGGCAGCTCGCCAAGAAAGAAAGCATCGCGGTCAAGTACCAGGCCATGCTCGAGAGCACAAGAAGCGACTTTGCTGCTCAAAGAGAGGTGCGTGGTCTCCTGCAAAGGCACACGACCAACTGCAACGCCGAGTCAGAGCTAATGTTCGGAATCTACATCTACGCAGAGAGATCGACAGACCATCATTTCCCTGACCGAGACCATCAACGAAATGAATGACCGAGAGGTCAGCAGACTAAAGCAGCCATCGGACCTGTCACTGCTTGATGTTGCCCAACGGAGGTAAGCCGATGCTGTCCCGTCAGCAAAACGAGAGCAAGACATCATCTTGACCTCGGACATTTACAGCGCGGACTCTGAAGCGGTCACCGAACTGGAGAAGAGCATCCAGAGCAAGGTAAGCCTGGGGAGCATGAAATCGAACTACGCCAGGGTGCCGATGCTTGTTTCTGAATCTCCATTCGCCAACTAGGAATGCGAACTGGATCAACTGAGGAGAGAATGCGCCTCCCTTCATAATCAGTTGGAGAAGACCAAGGACCGCCAGGAAGAACGCAGCAGAGAGCTGGCCGAGGAAACGGAGCACTGGAGACGCGAAGCAGCCGACGGTGTAAGCTTGGGAACGCGACCTGTGCTTCTCGAACCAGCAGCACTCTGAGTGGGTGGAAACGACTCTGACTTGACACTATACTATTTGCAAGAAACAACAAATCGAGGAGCTTGCGGCGGAAATGGACTCACTCAGGACCGAGCGCATCCACGCCATGGAGGAGCTAGAAAACAGCAACAGCGAACTCAGGCATCAAATCGAGCTGCTCCACAAGGATCTTGCGGCCGGCAAAGCAAAGGAAAAGGCCCTCAAACAAGCCATCATGAAGGTGCGTCCAGAGCGGCGTCTGAAACAGTGCTCGACCAGGGCCCGCTTGCAGTGATCCGAATTGTATCCACTCCGATCTCATAGCTGGTACTGTTGCAGTTTCGAAATGCCATGCCACAAGCCCCCGAAGTTCACAAAGCCGTCGCAAGGAGCAGGTATGGCGTCCAAAGCAACATTGGCATTCAGATATCAGACTACAGGGGTTGGGCTGACAGCGCGTTGGTGCGCGAGTGAATCCTGATCAACGAGCAAACATGCTGCGCCAGAGAGTCCAGGTCCTCGCATGAAGCGGATGGTCCCGATCCGCTGAAATCCAAGATGATGACCCTTGAGACCAAGATCGGCAGGTGAGTGTAGCTGTTGTGACAACACGGCTCCGAACATAGTGCTGACATCACGGATAATCGCATCAACCAACTGTGATGGCCAGGATGGCCAGGGCGGCCGAAGAACACCACCGGCAGCAAACTGAGCACGAGATGGAGCTCAAGGTGAAGAGCTGCGAAATCGGTAAGCAGGATGAGCCAGCCACGGTGTTGAAACCTTGCTGCCTCTGCCGACCACGAGCTCTTGCGATCCCTTTGCCACTCCCTGCGGCAGTGCTGGCGAGCAAAGCGACTTACCACTTGTTCAACATGCAGCGAAAAAGGCACAGGATATCGCTAGACTCCAAGACGAAGTCAAAAAGTCCAAGAAACTGACCGCCGATCTGGAGGCGCGCCTCAAGAAGGCAGAGGATTCCCAGCGACTCCTCCAGAGCGAGTTAAATGTGGCGAAATCCAACGGGGCGTTGTCACTGGCGAGCACAGCCAACATAGCCGCCAACAATGGTAGGAATTCAGGCATGATACTGCGCTGCAATTATGGTCATCAAAGCATCGAGGCGTCGAGGTAGCATGGCGGCATACGTGTGGCGGTGGTTGGAGGGGGGGGCGGTACGTTTGGGATTCAAGCTGAGGTTTATCGAATCTGATACGACAGATACAACACCAGCCGTGAGTCAGATGTCTATATATCAAGGTAGCCGTCGATCGAACAGCGGTTTGGATGATACACTGGGATCTGGGCAGCATGCCACTCATCTCCCAGCGCTGTGGCTCGCATCACACAAATGCCTCCCATCCCAGATCGCGGCGAGCCAGAGAAAAAGCTCAAGCGCCAAGTTGAGTCGCTCAAGGCCAAGTTGGCCAGCAAGGTATTGTCAGAGGCAATGCCATTGATTGATCGAGTGTCCGACAACGGCTGACCCAGATGGTCATGCAGGAGAACGAGGCCAAGGATCTTGTCGGTCAAGTCGGCCAGCTGAAGGACGGCCTCACAAGAGTAGAGCGGGAGCATGCCAAACTGCTCCAGAAGTTGCAAAACTCAACCAGCGGGAAGGCTCACAGCGCCACGAAGGAGGCTCAGGGACGGGACAAGAATCGGGATCCCTTGCAGAGTCTTGCAGAGGAGGAGTACGAGTACACCATCTCCAAGTTGCAGCGGCAGCACGCTGACCAAGTAAAAATGCTCAAGGACAAGATATGGTCGCTTGAGACTGAGCTCGAAAAGTGGCGAGAGGTATTCAGTTGTGCAGAGTCGGGTTACGGCGGCCACCGCCTGTCTTCTGTCTCCCCACATCTCACTTGGCCGGCGCTGGGGTGCAGTCTCGGCCAGCTGTGGACAGATCAAAACCGTCCAGCCATTGGATGCTCATTTGGGGCCTACTCGAATCGGGCTGTGCGACTGACGCACAATCGGTTGCGCAGGAAATCGATTTGACAAAATCCCGGGAAATTGCCGAGCTGAGAAGCACGGTTCATCGGTTGACAGACCAGATCGAAGTACTAGAGAAGCTGAAGGAAGCACAGGAAGCGCCGCCGAGGGCATTTGCTCGCTCACCGGAGCCGGGAAGCATGCATGTCGAAGCTCGGGTCGGCAATCGCAGCGCAGAGCTTGTCGAGGTGCTGGACTCCAGGATCCGCGATCTTCTGGTATGAGACCCATACATCGTGCGAGCTGATGGTACCGTCCATCGCTCTCTCTATTGACGAACTGGAGCATATCCACTGCATCATCGACATTTGCGCGATGTCTACACGATCGGGGATGTGCGGGACACACTGGATGCAGAAAAAGAACAGCGATATGCAAGAAGAAAACGCGAACCTCGAGACCCGGATCAAGAAGCTCGAGTATGAGACAGCGAAATGTGTGCGCATGAAGGAGCGCGCAGAGCGTCAACTTGGCGACACTGAAATGGTATGCCTGATGGGCGAGTTCGGCAGTATCAGGAGGGCCGCTCCATTTTCTTGCTGGACAGCGATTGTCGGCGGCTCCGTTGCTGCACCACTGAATCACTCCATGACTTTGATGTAGTATCTCGAGTCACTTCAAGAAGCCGAGAGAAAGCGGGTCGAGTTTGAGGAGTCTCGGATTCTGCCCGAGATCAATATGCCTCCTTCGACGCTTCGATCGACGGCAGGCAAAACGGTGCTGGCAAAAAAGTCTGTCGATGAGCTCGTGGACATCATCGACCATCTATCGTCTGCCACGGAGCGACTCAAACTCGAAAACGACAAGTATCGACGAGCCGGGCTCTCAAATGCAAAGTACCTCGAGCTGATGAAGGAGTGCAAGGCTCTGAAGCGCGAGAAGGAGATCTATTCAGACTTTGAGAAGCACAAGGCCAAACTGGAGGCGCACATTTCAAAGTGAGGAGACTGCTGGCGATAGAGTGATTCGCAGTGATGGCGTGGATGCCCACCAATGGCAGATGCTCTTTGTCTTGTCCACTCTCCGTCGGATGCGCCATGAGCGGTGCTCTGTCGATATGGCTCTTGCCAACATCCAACGCTGATCGAATATCAATTTCAGGATCGAGGAGGAGAACCAGAAACTGCGCAAGCAGATCAGGAAAGAGAACAACCGGGCCGCCCACCATCTCCAAAGAATCGAGGAGCTTGAGCAAAGAAACGAGATGCTCCAGAGCCAGATACAAGTCCTCGAGAAGAAGCCGCATCGATCCAATCGAGCGGACGAGGATTCGGCGTCGTGCTCTGATGCCGCAGAGTCCAATGCATCCGAGCTGATCCAAGAGCTGGTGAGTAACGGCAGGCGCAAAGCCCCCCAATCCAAGCCAAAGTACCGCTTCGGCATCTTTCAGGTTGACGTTGCAGCAACTAACACCAGAGAGCTTGAACCACGCAGCGATCCCAGCTTGCAGAACGAGACCGAGTCGTCCAAAACCTGCTCAGCACCGAGGGGTCGAAACAGGAGGTTGTCGGCCTCAGAGATAAAGTTCGCAAACTGATGCAAGAGGTGCGAGCAAGTTTGCCGATTGATAGCAGAGTCTCAAGCCTCATGATCGCATATGATCGAATGCCTGGGCGCATGTGGCTGCCGGCGACTCTCCAGTGTGCATTGACAGCTTTCCCTTCCTTGTTAGCTCGATACTTCCAAGATTCGGGTTTCAAAGCTCTCCGAGCAGATCGTTCTTCTCCAGTCGACCCGAGGCGGCGGCGAGAAAGAAAGTACTGGACAGTCAGCGGCTTACCTGGCGATGCTTGAGTCGGAGAATCGCTCACTCAAAGGTGAGTGAATGCATACCATCTCCACGGTACGTCCAGCCATCGACTCTGACAACTATTCCACCACAATCTTGAACCTGCAGAACAAATCGCCCGCATTCCTCCCGGCCTCGTTGACGACCTTGAGGACCTCAGTTTCAACTACAAAGAGTCCGTGCGCCAGAACCTGCAGTACGAGGAAACGATTCGATCGCTCTGTGAGAGGATAGGGCTCTCACCAGAACATGTGCTTGGAATAGGCGGTGCTGGCCCAAGCCAGTGGTGACGAACGAAACCCATAGCCCGAATGGCTGGACGGATGGGTGGACACTCGCAGGTACATCAAGCGAACTACACGTTGCACTCACTGGTTTGGTGGGAGGAGGGGTGTGCCAAAGGGTTGAATGTATCTTAATACAGTGTCCAGTTTCACAATGGGCTCGCCGTGAGCGAAACATCCAGATGATGATTCAGAGATGGGGCTGGTGAGCAGTGCGGGTCGATGTGGCTTGTCGATTCCACAGATCCCGCATGCCCTTGCTTCTTGCCTGCTGGAATATAGCGCTCATCAAGTTCATGCTCATGGATTGTGCCTCCTCCTCAAATCCACCCACTGCAGCATGAGCATGCGCAGGAACATCGGGCGACAGAAGCCGGCGTCCAATCCTTGCTCTGCCTCCTCGGTGTCGATGGTCATTGTGGATGCGCATCCACACTCCAAATGAAGCCATAGCCATCGGGCATCTCGCATTTTGAGCATCATCTATGTGTGTATTACGACGGACATCAAGAACGATTGGTGCTGGTGCACAGTCAAGATCCTGAGGGCAAGAAAGTGGGGCATCGGGTTATGAGATAAGCCGCCCGAGCTAGGATGGCGAAGGTGGAGGTGGAGGTGCGAAATAAAAACGGAGCAAGGCTCTGGTGATAAGGCGGAGGGAGCGGTGGATATAGACCGGTCCGCAAACGGCAGAGGGCGGCCGAGTCTCTAGTGCATCCAAACGGCGGCCATTACAGCGAGGACCGACGAGACGAGGAGACCCAGGCCCAGGGCGGCGGCGGCGGGGGCTTCAGAGCCAGGCAGGGGCATAGTAGTGGGTCCGGTGGTGCCCGAGACGCTGGAGACGGCGGCGGCAGAGGGGCTGGGCAGGGCACAGTTGCTGCCGCCATCAAGGATGGAGTGGTCGGGGTTGAGAGCAATGTTGTTGGAGATGGCCTGCAGGTTGGCGTACGAAGTCGACAGCGGGGAGTCGCAGATATCAAAGAGGCCGTAAATCACCGAGGGAGTCGAGGTGGCAACGTAGACAAAGAAGATCTGGGACTGGTTGAGGGCAACGGTGGAGCCGGGGTAGCCGGCAGGGCATCGGGGGTTGGGGGCGCCAAAGCCGGCGACGGCGATGGACTGGCCGGACTTGAGGGTGCGCTGGGCCGAGGGCAGGTTGGCCGAGTAGTAAACGCACTGGACGAGAATCGTGGCGTTGTAGTTGCTCGCGGTGGCAGTCGAGCCAACGGCGCCGATGTTGGTGCTGACGGCGTAGCCGAGGATGGTGTACTGCGCCTGCGAGATCAAGCAGTTGGGGTTGATGGGGAGCGAGCAGCTGTGGAAAGCCAAGGCAAAGGGGGGTCAGCGAAAAAGCCGGTCCAGGCTGGGCGGCGTTCAAGACAAGACGGCAACGGCCGAGAGCCGAGGCAGCCAGCGCTGTCGCATGGTGCATCAACGAGCCGATGCCAAAGCCAAGATCGATCGCAGGATGAGCCGCACCACACTCGCAAGTGGGAATGGAGTGCCGTTTGGCTGGCCCAGAGGACCGGTCAAGACGACGGACCAGACAATTACCTGGGAACAACAACCTGGGCGTTGGCCACGGCGGCAAAGAGCGAGAAGCAGAGGGCGGCGACGGAGAACTTCATGATGGGCCTGGGCGAGCGAGCTGGCAGAGAGTCGAGCGGGAGTGGATGATTGACGGCGAAGGACGACCCGAGCAGGAGCAGATCAGGACAGTAACGAAAGCGCAACGAAAGCGCAACGAAAGCGCAACGAAAGCGCAACGAAACGACAGCAAAAACACAACCCAATAATGCAACGCAGCAAACAAACAGCGGCACACAGTAACTGCTCAGTGTGTTGTGCTGTGCTGCGCATTGTGGCCGTGCGCGATATTGTCGCGGTGTCGTGTGGTACCCACGTGTGTAACATTGCGTGTGACGCTGTGTGGCGCCGTGTGCCATTGTGCCGCACTGTGCTGTGCTGTGTGTGGCGATTCCCTGACAAGACAGGCAGTGTCTGTTTGCCCTGGGTGCGCCACCCTTGCAACACAGCGTCGCACGACGGCAACACGCCTGCCGCTTTCGGCAAGCCCGCCACACGGACGCCTACGCCGTGACACAGGTGCCTTGGGGCTGCCTGCCACCGCACGCGAGAACGTGGAGCTGGCGAGAACGTGCATCGAGAGCAGGGGTTTCGCACCAGGGGGTTCTGATGTTCATGAGCAACGCGTGGTTGTACCGATGCTGTCGCAGATGGCGGTGGTGCTGTTCTGAGCCGCTGAATAGCTGTATGGGCCCTTTCCGTTCCAGAAACAGACCCAATCCTTGGAGGGTCGTCTGTGGCCCGCCATCAGCGTCCCTCTCTTCAACCGCCAATTTTTCATTCTTTACATTCTACCCATCTCATTCGCACACCTCATTCGCACGATAACACCTCATTCCACGACAGCACCTCATCCGCACGACAATACCGACATCTGCCGCACCTCGCAGTCCGCCGCCATGATTTTCGAGTCCTCGGCCAACGACTCCCACGCTTCGCTGAGCATCGGCCAGCTCGTCAAGACATCAAAACGCGTCCTGTTTGATATCCTGATGGTCCTCACCCTCGAAGACGAGCACCGCAGTCTCATCTGGATCATCATCGAGAATCTGATCATGCATCTGCAAGATCTGGCCTTCCCGCTCTCCTTTATTCTCTTCCCCTGGCAGACAGAGATCCAATGGCTCCAGGAAGCGCTCCACTACACCAACCCGCAGTTCGAGGCATGTATCGTTTGTGTTTCCGCGTTTGGTCCGTGTCTCTGGCCGCTCAATGCTGAATATGCCACACTCGAATGTCGTCGCTCCTTCTGCTCGGCTTGGCTTGGCCCATCCGCGAAGCAGACTCGCTTGCAATGAGCATATCTTCTCACGCTTTCTTATGTGCATGTCCTTTGCGCGTTCAAACGACTCCCAAACGGAATGTCGCACTCACCGGCAACTGCCCTCGTCCACAGTTCATCCTGCCCGACGTCTTTAGCTACGCCATCTACGCAGTCATTACTGCCCTTGTATTCGTCATCCTGATCCTCGCTGACTCGGTTGTCAATCGCCATCGCCGGTTCCGCTGGGTCATGACCATCCTCCAATGGATCGTCACTCTATCGTCCAACATCCTGCACGTCCCCATCACCTGTGCCCTCGCCAACTCCTTCTTGATCTGCAGCAACGTGTCCACCTCACAACTCAGCTGGGAAGTCGTGAGCATCGCCGACTGCTGGTCATCGCAGGCCACCACCAGCGTCGCCAATCCCTTGCTCCGCAGTGTTCTGTCTCTCATATTTTTGATCATTTATATCCCGTGAGTGCTCGCGACCTCCGCCCTGGGCTTTGCTACGAGCAACGCTGCCGCCATGTCCTTGTCTCTGCATTTGCCATCCAAAACTGATGCTCTCGTGCTCGTCGGTCTGCCCGCAACCTTGTTGCCGAATTGTCCCGCTCACGTCCGCAACCATCTCGCATATGCGACCATCCCCAGCCTCCTGTTTCTCCTTCAGCTCGCCAGATTTCACCCCTATCCCTCCAAAAAGGATGTCACTTGCAGGTCTCATACGCGACTTTCGCTGCTCGAGTTTGCGGGTCGCACCGTCTTGGCCATCGGCTCAATGGTGCTCCTTGCCATCAACGGCGATATACAGTACAAGCGATGGATCATGTTGCTGGCGTGCTTCCTGTACTCCCATGCCATGGCTTTCCTTTATCTCATGGTAAGAAATCCGAGACACCCAGACGCCTGCAAGCATCCCACAGACCCAAAAACATCTTTCTTCATCCTGCTCCATACTTGCTTAATCGCGCGCATTGATCTCGCTGCCGATACGCCGATTGCCTTGATTCCCCCACTCTTACACTCCCATCGAGTCACTGACCGTCGACTCACCATTGCCTTGGCAAATCTCGTCTCCAGTACTCGCCCTACTATCACTTCAGCTTCGCCTGCGTCAAGGGCGGTCTTCTCTGCAGCATGGCCTTTGCATCCGAGCTGCTCATCATCACCATGGCCCGAGGAAACTCAGACATCGGCCTGATCTTCCTGATTTCCCTGCCGCTGCCCTTCATTTTCGCCTACATCTTTATGAGCAACCGTCGAGCGCAGCTCCTTGCCTTTCCGCTCTCGCGTATCAACTCTGCTTACATGGCCGAGCTCAAGGCACGCTACATCCTGGACACAGAAGGGCTTCTGTTTCGGCCACCTCCAAAGATGAACACTGCCCAACGCAAGCCCAGCGGCAGCCCCGGAGATATCATTGATTCCGAGGAGGTCGTCAAGAAGAACCTGCGCTCGCAACCCAACATTCGCGACGAGGAGCGCGACCAACGAACCCTTTCCGATCTATCTCAGTTCTTTGCCAACAATCTCCAAAAGTTCCCCGAGTCCGTCGCCATATTTCTGTTTGCCTGTCGATTCTACGTCCTGCAGCTGGGAAATCGCGCCCAGTGTATCTCGGCATGCTCCAAAGCCACGCAACTCTCTCCAGCCATCGACGAACAGTTCCTCATTCATCGAATCAAGTTTACCCAGGACGACTCCGAAGCAGGCGGAGAAGGAGGATTCAATTTCATTGCATACGAGCAGATCATGGAGAAGATCAAGCGGTGGGTCCTCGTGTGCATCGCTACGCTGGATTGTGAGCCAACGGATGCCACCTGTCCAGGACCCTAACCTTGGCACCCTTTGCGATGCAACTTGTGGCGTATTCTGTGCTGCAGGAATGAAGTCAAGATCGAGACCGTCATCATCGAGTTCTGGAAGGAGCTCCTGAGAAGCAATCCGAGCGTGCGCAAGCTCACGCAGACCTCACTCAAGATCAGCGAGCTCATCTCCGTCATCCAGAGCGACTACATCAACATCATCAAGAATATGCCCAAATCTCCGCAGCCCTACCGCCGATACGGCGACTTTCTCATGAACATCATGAACGACGATCGGTACGGCAAAGAGATTCTGCTCCGTGCCGAAGAGCTCGAGGAAACGAGAGCCAAAGTCGATCGCGGCTCGGATTCGGAAGATGGCGAGGACGTTCCTGTCTCGGGCGATGTCTACGATGAAACCTATGGAACCATCACCATCTCTGGCAAGCCCGAGTCCATGGGAATAGTGAGTTCGCCGACAGACATCTCAGCACGTCGGAGCATTGGTGCACTCGCATATCGACACGTTGGCACAGCGACATAGACACATAGACATTTAGGCACATAGGCACATCGGCAACTACAGCTGCTTACATCTCCCATATTCCGCCGCTGATGATTGACCACATTCCGTTACGATGCCACTTTGGCGACGGCATTCACTCCACCCCAGATCACTCATGTCAATGATGCAGCCCTGCAGATATTGAGCTTCCGTCGACCTCAAATGATCGGCAAAAACGTCAACATCATGATTCCCTCGCCTCTGGCTGAGGCTCACGATGACTTGCTGAAGAAGTACATCCAAACAGGATACGCCAAGGTACAGGAGCGCCGCAATCGGCGACAACCACCCTCCAGGATCATACAGCTGATGGCTGCCTCCATGATTCGATATTCACCCTTGGTCTACCATCTGCATCGCCGTCACTGGATCTGACACTTTTGATTTCGCCCACTGGCTCACCCTCGCGCCATGGGCTCGCTACCACCGCCGCTGTAGGTTATCGATCGGAAGCGCATGGTCATTGGGCTGAACGCCAACGGGCACCTCGTTCCCTTGACCATCTGCGTGCGCCATATCAACGATGCCGATGGCAACATTGCCTTCTTGGGCATAATCAAAGACGCTCCCAGCAATCCATCCAAATGCCAGGAACTTCTCGTCCTCAACTCCAACCTCGAAATCCGGCACGTCACGGCAGGCATCATCAACATATTTGGTATCTGGGACGAAGACGAAACCCCCAATATTGCCGAGTGGATCCCAGCCCTGACCGTGCCTAACCTGGCAAAGTTCACCGACAAGGCTGGATACAAGGAGAAGCTGTCGTTCAATGGACGAGAGTACGACATGACTATCAAGCTGGAGCAGTTGCCCATCGGAAAGCACTACATTTGTCGGATCGAGTATCCACGACTGAATTCACAGCTCTCTGCAGGTACATGCGTGACTGGCTCTGCTTGGGTCGATTGCTTGTCCATCGCACCGCAGCCGGTGCATCGCACAGACAGCCCGCTCCAACCCTTTGCAACACAAGCCAGTACACGCCCAAATCTTATGCATGTGCTTCGTTCATCCACTTTGCCTATCTTACTCACATTCTGTCGTGTTCTCTCGCTCACAGTCCCCTCTAATCTGGAGAGCATCGTGGATTCAGAGTCCGCCATGCCCATGACGTTCTCGGCCGATGGATCACGGGAGCTCCACGGCCCTCAGAAAAAGGACAGCTTGCGTGACTTTTCTGGGCTGCTGGTTCCGCCTCCACCAAAGTCGCTCATGCGGACTGCAAGCGTCGGAAACAGCAGCAGTGTCGCCTCGTCCGCTGCAGGCAATCGCACAGCGCGCATCCGCAAGATGATCTTCAAGAAGAACAGGATCATCAAGCAGCACATACGCAACTTGGGCAGATATTTTCTACTGCTGATTCTCTTCATAATTGCATGTGAGTATCAAAGGGGTGCCTCGTCCACGTATGTGCGATGCTGTGTGGATACAGTTGCCTTTGAGATCCACGGCGCTAACGGAGAGGACACCTACTCAGCCAAGATACCACTGCTAACACACTCCTCCGCCACTCTTTCATGTACAGGCGGCGTACTTCTGACCTGCCTGCTGCAAACCAACCTCTCCAATGTCCTCAATATCTTCCAGTCGGCCAAGAGCTTCTACTTTGGGGCTCGGTCCATGGTCATTACGCTGAGCCAGGCTCGCTCGGTCGATCTCTTCATGAAGGGAGCTGCGCTCCAGCCTCCAAACTCGTCCGTATCCCAGTCGACCATCATCGCAAACTTGCCCAACATCCGATCTGCCCAGCTGCAGATGATCCAGTTTGGAAACGTCAACTACACCACCCGCATCAACGGATCCACTTCCGTCATCGAGTCCGTGACCTCCTACAATGCCGTGGGGAGATACATCATGTCGCTGCAGTGCGTCGCCAACAGCACGGCTGCAAACTACTTCAATGTCTCGAACTGCATTGCCTTGCTCCTCGAGAACTGCATCAACAATGTCGTTCCGACCATTGGGCCCGCTTTTGGCGCCGGGCTGCAAACCAATCAGATTGGCAGCTATCTGTTGTACGTCTCGCTGATTCCGCCGCTGTTCCTGATGGCGATCTACATATTCATCATCCACCCGAGCTACTTCAGGATCAAGAAGGACCAGGAGCGCTTTTTCCGCATCTTCTTCAGCATTCCCAAGGAGGTCATCAAAGGCATCTGCGAGGGACATCAAGGTAAGCTGCACCACCTCCAAAGTCCTTCGAGCAAGATGGTGCTTAGTGCCGGCGCCTTTCGTGCCAGTGATCGACTTTGTCATGCAGCAACCCTCTGCCCGAGCACCAGTGTGATCCATGCCACAGAGCCAAATCGGCGCTGCCGTGTCCGCAGCAAGTGGTGCATACGATGTTCCCTAGAGCCAAGCCTGATCCGCCCCTTGCTAACTATGCGCGGTGTTTCTGAATGTGATTCGCTTATGCTTGATACAGAGCGACTCACGGGTATGACAGACGAGATGGAGGAGGACCAGGGAGTCGAGGCGTTCAACGCCAATGCCACCGGAGTCTCCGGCCGAAGTAACGCTGTCAAAAATAACACCGCTGAGAGCCCCAACATCCGCAAGCGCGATAAGCTCCTGAAATCCAACCAAAACTGCTGCCTTGTGGCCTGGAGGCGGTTTGAGGAGATGCACATCAAGTTTGACGATAGCCACGGGCTACGACGCAAGGTCGCCCTGCTGCTTCTGCTCGTGATCACGTTCTTCCTGGCGGTCGGTGTCGTGACGTACTTTTTCTTTGGCATGGCCACGACTCAGTTCTCGAGGGTCGATATGGTCATCCGGCGCTCTGTCTCGACCGAGGGCGTATACTTTGTCCTGAGGGAGTACTACCTGAACGCCACACCAGTCATGAATCCTCATACCTTGAACCGCCAAGACCTCTACGGATATTCATGGAGCAACACCAGCAATAACTTTATCAATCTGCTCGGCACAATCGAAATGACCCTGGCCTATGGCTCCGGCACCTCGGCCACCTTTGGTTCGACCACCAGCAACGAATACGCCGTCTCGATGGTCAACGGATGCATCAATAGTACTTCGCCCTCGGACTGCGCAACCTTTGACTCGGGCGTGATCGCCTCGGGGCTCCATCCGGCAATCCTCCGATTCCTCGACATTGCCCAGAACGTTTCCAACTGGATCCAGAGCAGCCCCAACTCATCCGGCATCATCACCCAACTCAAGCTGCTGCGCAAGTACAATGACATGTATCTGCCGCCGGCATGCGACAATATCCTCAGCAGCTCGGTCGATCCTATAACCAACTGGATCGGCTGGTTGTTGGTCTTTTACGAGACCTTCTCGGCCATCACCGGAATCTTCCTCATCGTCACCCATTTCGGAATTATGTATCCGCTCCTGCAGCGATTGTCCTTCGACATCCAGCGTGCGCACACGATGATGTTCATGATCCCGGAGGAGGCGCTCGACAAAATGGACATGATCAAGGAGTGGGCAGAGGGCATATCCTCTTGATGGCGCGCCAAAGCTTTGATAGACCACGGAGCTTGCTGTGGCATTTACAGCGTTTCCAAAATGAAATGGGACACCCCCGTTTTGAGCTTTGACTGTGTTGTTTTCTGGAACCTGAATACACCCACCCACTCATCGCATTCATGGCCAAGCACAGCATCATCTTGATATCGAGAAACCACACTTTGTCCAGAGAGTCGAGTGAATGCACCACACTCACACATCGAGACATCAATGCCTCAAGGAACATGATCTCGGTGTGCCAGTCGATCATCGCCACAGGAGATCGACCGGGTGTATTCAAGACCATGCTTCCCAAACCAACCAAAACCACTCGATTGCCAACCAGGACGGGAAACAATCTCACGGCTTGCTCACTGGGGCCTACAGTCAGTCAGCGGATTTCAGACATCTGAAGCCAGGAAGGAACTGTCCCGTTTCTTTCTGGATAGACTGTACATAATAGATAGAATGCCCCTGCTGCCACCATCGACGAAATGTGGAGCACCTGTCTCCGGCACCACGTTCTGAATACACGAGGCCAGTGTGAGGAGTGACCGATTGATTGAAAGAAGCCATGCCTTGGTACGATAGAGCAGCCACATCCGATGGGCCTGGGAATCGCTGAAGCGCGCCTATGGATATGGCGGCAGCAGGCGGCGGGGGGAAACGTCTGTCCTCCGGGCCCAAGTTCGACCGCCACCAATCTGGCACAGGGTTTTGGCGCCAGCAGTTGAGGCTCTGAAACTCGCATGGATATCGCGGCGATATGAGACTGTCCGATGATGCTTTCGCGCCGTCGCCAGCTTGGGGTTGGAGCTGTTGTTGGGCCAGGGCCGTTGCAAGGCAGTAACAAAATCATCGTTTCTCACGAAAACAGTCCACGCAACCTGCTTGACACTCCATCACTCCATCACTCCATCACTCCATCACTCCATATCGTGTTCCAGCTCGCTTGCCATGTTCAAATCGCCAAAGAAATCCGAGACCACATCCAGCTCGCGCTTGCCTCTGCCCACAGGCTCGCCCGTCGCATCCTTGCCACATCCTACCTCGGGTCTCTCCACAGGCATCCTTGCGCGTCAGGACTCCACCTCGACCTTCATCGAGAACGAAGGGGTCTCATCCAAGACGGCCAGCATTGCCAAGCATGTCGAGAAGAGCCAGTTCTTGGACAGGGCTGCTGAATCTGCAAAGCCCGGGGCCCACGTCTCCTTTGTTTCGTCCCAGCGACCAACCCGCATTCCTGGACGAACCCGCACGCGCACCGCCAACGACGACCTACAGCCGGCCCACCCCGACATCCCCGTTGTGCCTCCGGCTGCTGAGGTCTTTCCATGCGACACAATCACGGCATAGATCAAAAAGCACATCAACGAACCTCAATCGCTGTCGACAATGCGCAAGTGCACCATGACCAACGTCTGTCAGTACCACATATCTTCTCAGAGCGTGCGGCCTATCGTGTGTGCGGTCTATCGTGTGTGCTGCTCGTCGCATTGGATGCAGTCGGGCGCATGTCCAGCTGTCTTGATGCTAGAAATTCATGCCACTATGACTGCACACTCAGACTTCCTGGACTACTACTATGACCTCTTCACCTATCTCGAGGAGCGCAAGCAACGACTCGAGGAATTCAAAGAGGATGTGAAGATGGTAAGTCCAATACAATGTCCGATGGAGAGTTCAGCGAATGGTCTGATGGAGAGTCTGATGGAGATTCAAGGGTGCCGAGACGTTGTGTGCAATGTCATCTCGCACATCCCACTCCTCAGTATCAAACTCATACATGCTTCATGTGCCCATCTGGGTGGCCTATCACGCCACTCGCTCGCCGGTCCACCTGGCCATAGCTTCCACCAGAGCTGAGGACCAAGGAATGGAAATACTACAGCGGCAAGGAACGTGCCTATCTGCGCAAGCGACGCACCCGAACGCGTCTCGCCAACTTCCACATCATCACCCAGGTCGGCCAGGGCGGGTATGGCCAAGTATACCTGGCTCGAAAGAAGGACAGCAACGAGCTCTGTGCTTTAAAGAAGATGAGCAAAAAGCTTCTCCAGCGGTTGGGCGAGGTGGGCATTGATTTTGCCGGCGAACGGGCCAAGTCGGCGTCACAGACACTCGGCTAGACCCATCGTGATCCTCGACAAGGAATGAATGACCCCGGTGCTCACAACCTACCGCTTTGTGGTTCCCAGGTCCAGCACATTCTCACCGAACGAGACATTCTGACTCGAACGCAGTCGCCGTGGCTGGTCAAGCTGCTGTACGCCTTCCAAGATATCGAGAATGTGTACTTGGCTATGGTGAGTGACGGCTGCACAATCCAGTTGCACTCAGAGAGCGACATATTGCAGTTTCTTGAATCAGCTTGGTGGGACGCGTGCTTATGCAGTCTACTTCTCTCGCGCAGGAGTATGTTCCAGGAGGCGATATGAGGACGCTGCTGAATAACAGCGGTGTCCTGCGGGAGGAACACGCACGGTTCTATGTCGCAGAAATGTTCATGTCCATTGCAGCTCTTCATGCCCTTGGATACATCCACAGGCAAGTAGGCCCGTGTTGGAGCCCCGCTTCACAGTTACATGCCAACGCTGAGTTTAGCACATCTATCCAACTGACGGGTGCAGCCACAAGGATACAGAGCCGTTTCTCATGGCACGCTGCTCGCTGACTCTTCTTTCCGTCTTCAGGGACCTGAAGCCTGAAAACTTTCTCATCGATGCAGGCGGGCATATCAAGCTGACTGACTTTGGCCTCAGCCGAGGCAACCTGTCGCCCGAGATCATTGACTCAATGCGATTGAAGGTGAGACAATCGGGACAGCACCCAAACGAACAGCGCTTGACGACATCGTGCGCATTGCGGCTTCTGTGTTGGCTTGCCCTCTCCGCCCCTTGTTCAGCCGCGGGACAGAGGTCAACATCGATAACTGAACGGACTCGGCCACTCCCCTCTAGCTCAACAAAGTCAAAGAAACTCCGTTTGTCCAGCGATCGATCAAGGAGCGGTGGAACATTCACAAGACCGTCAAGCGCGAGGCGATGCGGGCATTTAGTTTGGTCGGCTCCCCGGACTACATGGCGCCCGAGGTGCTTGCGAACAACAACCAGGGATACGGACTTGCAGTCGACTACTGGAGTGTCGGATGCATCATGTTTGAGTGCCTCTCAGGTACCGTGAGCTGCATGCCTCCTCTTGTGATGAATATGACTTGTTCTCGCAGGGCTCTCTTCCAGACCCAAGCCGCACCGGTTGAGCCCGATTCCATGACTCAAAGACTTTGAACTTGCATACCTCTGTCCGACCTTCTGCTTCAGGCTTCCCGCCCTTTACGGCACCGACCACTGACGACGTGTGGGTCAATGTGTACCACTGGCAGAGGGTGCTCGAGCGACCTGTCTACACTGGCGTTGACGAAGAGTTCAACCTCACTGACGACGCCTGGGATCTCATTACTCGGTGAGTGTTGGTGCATGTCTTGACCCCTGTATGGTCCGCGAGGACATGAAAGGAGACTTGATCATCCAATGCGCAATCCTGACATTCCCCAAACCCGCCAACCCCCTTCCTGGGGGCTCTTCGCTCCACTGCAGCCTCTTGACGCTCGCGGCTCAAAGGTACACCACGCCGGATCAAGTCGAGTCCCATCCGTTCTTCCGGGGCCACAAGATGCTCCTGCCAGGCACGACCATGAGCGTGCCCTTTCAGTTCCGCCATCTGCGCGGCACCGGTTCGGCATCGATTACGCCGCCGTTCGTCCCGCGGTTGGCCTCCGAGCTCGATACATCCTACTTTGACGACTTTTCGAACCCGAGCGACATGGCCATGTACAAGGAAGTCAAGGAGCGCCAGCGTGCACTCGAGTCCAAGATGAGCGCACCCGGTGGGAAGGGTGCTGCCGGCGGCCAGGAGGACTCGGATGTTCGCGAGCTCAGGTCGGCCTTTATTGGCTTCACGTTCCGGCATAGCGATATGAAGAACTGGGGCGAGCGAGATGTGCAGGTCCGCGGACCAGCCAGCCTTTTCTGACCAGATGGTGTGTCGTGGCTGTGGCCGTTGTCTGCCACTGGAAGACTTGCACTATCTGGGCTCAGTTTCATACGAGACGCCGATGGGTATACAGGGCTGTCTCTGGCTCTGGAGGTTTCCTTCGGTAGCAAACTTGAATAAACATGCATTCGTGCGAGAAGGCTCCAGTCCACTCGTCCGCATTCATGCAAAGCACGATGCCTCGCATCGCTAAAACGAAGCGAGACAGAGCCCATTCGTGCTCTTCACATCAGCCGCTGCTTGCTGTTGGTTTCGGGGAGCAGTCTCGAGAAACCACATGCATCCGACCATCTGGACAAGAAGAACAGGGCGTCCCATTTCGGTCTTGATACAGTGTATTTTTTGTCACAACTGCCTCTGCAGCATGATTCTATCGTCCTTTATCTATAACTATACTAGTCAAAATCACCCTGCCCTCTCGTTGTTGCTTCACTTGCTGCTGGCATCCAGATGTAGACATGGCATCTGGCGAATCTATCTTCACAGTCTCAGAGAAGTGTACGACGGCTGAAACTTGGAAAGCCCCAAGAGCGTCGAGGCAGGGTCTGGTCCCAACACACCTGCCAGTGGCTCCTGGATCTGTCTGATGGCGCAAGTCAGGGTCGCAGACGAAACGACTATCAAGAGGTTGATGGATTACGAGCCAGGCGGTGGTATCATCGTCGATATATGAAAGTGGCATGGGCGGGCGGATTGTGAAACGCTGTTGTTAGCGGCCTGGTCGACGAGGTCGGAGATATGCGCTCGGTACCACAATACAGAGATTCTTGATCAATCCTCCTGCATCTGGGACAATCCTTGCCTCGACCACGACCCAGCCATATTCACGCATTCAGACAAGGACTCACCAGACACCTGCGAGATATTCTTGATATCGTATTTTGGATCCAAATACAGGCACGCCAGGGTCAGGCAGATGGCGCTGCGGCGATCCAGATGAAACCATATCAGATTGTTGGTTGCGACGGAGGATCGGATGAAGAGGCAGAGGCAGAGGCAGAGGCAGAGGCACAGTGGGAACCCAGGCCCTCGCCCGCAGACGCAAAGTGAATGCTCCGGCCTGACAACCTTACCTCGCGCTGTTTGTGCACTTTCCGCCCAGCAGACCGAGCGAGTCGGCACTGCGGTAGATGAACATCGCAGCTGTGAGGCTCGAGTCGGGTAGATTGAGCATTCGACACCAACGAGTCTGCACATGCCACCAAAGCAAAGCAGAGCAAAGCAAAAGTGTCAGAGGAAGGACCCGCATGACATGCAATAGCTGCGCCTACATATGCAGATGGGGACAATCGCCCGTCCATGTCCATCGTGGCAGAGACTCGAAACTTACGAGAAACTCTTCGGCAGTGAACGGCTTGGCACCCACTTTCAGTTCCGGCGACATGATTTCCTGAACGCGTCGATAGTAATGCGCTGTCGATGTTCGAATGCGGTCAGTTCTGTCATATGGATGTGCTCCGCTGCCCAATATCCTGCCACCACACCAGGTCAGCCGTGAACCCTCCGCCTGCGGCACTCTGTGATGACGATGTACTCACAGAGTTCCTTCTTCGTGATGCTGCCAGCAGCGCAGAACTCCTTGATCGAGCGCGGCAGCCCCCTGTTCTTGCAGAGAATGTACAGAATGGCAGCCAGGATTGGCTTCACATTCTTGAGGGGATTGCGGAATAGCATTTCCTGGGAACACAGCAAAGATCGGCGGTAAGCACGACGACCGGGTAGCGGAAAGACAGGGCAGAGTCAGCACCGATCTGCTTGGCTCGGTGGACGTACCCTCTTGCACCGTAGCTCTTCGAACAGCTCAACGGATGTCTCCTGCATGTTCAGTTGAGCGGGTCGGAGTAGTAGGAAACGCAAACACAACGTCAGTACATTGCTGTGAGCTGCCGGATGGCTGTAAAATGGCTATACAGTGGCCAAACGGATAGCAGCGTTGCAGGATATCGTAGCGTCCCGATGACTCGTTCTCGCAAAACAATTCGGTGTGTGCCATACCCAGAGATCCAAGGATATATCAAGCCGCTTCAGATCCAGGGGTGGATTGAGCAGCAATTCGCTTGCACTGTAGCTGAGGGCTTTGGAGATCTTGCGAGGAGCAGATGGCACGGACGGCTCCGAGGTATCACCTGGGATGTTTTCTTCACCACGTTGATCCAGGAGCTGCGAAATCGACATGGCCGAGGCCTTGCTTCCGCCGTCTTGCCCTTCCGGGCGCCTGCTCCCACTTTCGATCAGCGAAAGCGAGTCCTCCCGGGTGCGAGAGCAGTCGCTGGTCCTTGAAACGCACAAGCAGACCGGCAGCCGAGAAATATCAGTACTGTGGCCTCAAGCACATGCATGACTGTCGCAGCAATTGCGCGCATTGCACCGATTGAGTAGATTGCACCGATTGAGCAGATTCTACGGATCGTGCGCTACCCCTTGCAGCCCGCGGCCTCACCTATCGGACGTGTTCAGCAGCGGTGACGGATGCGCTGCACTCCATTCAAACTCGCTCTCGGTGCGGCTGTCCTCGTCCAAGGCGCAGCCTGACGACGACGGCGCCGACACCGAGTCCTCTTTGTTGATGCAGTCGTCGATCTTGAGGCGCTTTCGCGGATGAATAACCTCGCTGGTAGCAGAAGCCGCTCGGTTCTCGGTCGATATACCGCATGAGCTGTCCGGGGTCGGGTGAATGTATATCGGCGATTGGCGGCGATCGGTCCAGTAAGGAGCACTCGGCTCGCTTGCGAGGGACTGGATAGGGTCATCCGAAGTGGTGTTGCGACCCAGGAGCAGTGGCGGCGCCGGAGCGGGGGTGGTTGCTACCGGTTGACGATCGGTGATCAGGCGGCCTTCTCGCGAGTTTGGTGAGAGTGCAGCGATGGATGGTCGATCCGGCCGAGCCACAGGGTACTCATCCGAAAGCATGGTCCGCTTGACGGATTGTCTGCTAGTGGCGGTATTTTCGATGCGACGCTCGCTGTCCATGCCGCCGCTGGAGAGATGTGCAGGGTACCAAGACTTGGATTCATGTGGTGATCCTTGATCCGCACCAGCACCGGTTTTGGCAGCATGGCTCCTTGGACTCGGTATACTCGACTTGGGAGCTGTAGCGAGTCGATTGGAATAAGTTGACGAGGCTGGCTGTGATCTAGGGCTGTGGGCATCAGTGCGCCGTTCATTTGAAAACTCAGGCAGCGGCGATGGATCAGCAAGGCGGGCTGGGAACGCTAAGGCCGGAGCGGTGTCGGTGGATCGATACTGCCGCAGAATCTTTTGCCGAAGCAGGGCCGAGGGGCGAGAGGGATCAATGCTTGAGAGATAGGCTGGTGTCGAATACTGGAAGGTCTGTGGCGACTGTGGGGTTTGTGAAGGAAGCGGCGACGGCGATGGCTGAGATGCCTGGGGGAGCTGCCGATGCGACGGTGCCCTGTAAGGGTACTCTTGTTGCTGTCGGGGTTGCTGGTCCTGGGGCTGCCGGTGCTGCGACGTCTGTGGAGGTGTCGGTGTGGATTGGTGTTGGGAAAATCGGGTTTGCTTTGGCTGGTCTTGCAGCGATCGCCCTGGGTACTCTGGCTGTCGCGGCTGTTCATGAACGTGTTGGTTGGGATGTTCTTTCCGCTGCGGTGCAGATGGCGGCCATATTCCAGAAGACATGCGTTCAGGGCCAGAGGCTGAAACAGGAGTCGAGCTCGAATACACTGGTCTTGGATCAGCCGAGACAGTCGCATTGCGCAGAGTAACGGGGTAGCTTTGGCGGGCTGGGGAAGTAGATACAGACAAGCTGCGTGAGTGCTCTTGATGGCTGTGTGCAGATGGGATGCTGGAGGTTTGAACAGCAGCACGGCTGGGTGATGGTGGGCGGACTCTTGCATCGTTCCAGCCACTGGAGAGGGCGCCGGATCTCGGTGGTGGTGGTGGTGGTGGTGGTGGTGGCGGTGTGGCATATGCGCCTGAGAATACTTCGTAGAACGAGGTGCGGGTCGAGTCAGGAGCCACTGCACGGTGTGGGGACGAATGCTGCTGTGAAGAATCCGACGGATGTGGGTGACGTTGCGTCGGCGACGGCGTCGAAAGGGGTGATCCGGAGGCGATCGCACAAGGGGCACTCTTTGGGCGGAGATACGAAGGGAGGGCAGATGCGTTCTGTGAGATATGCTTCGAGAGATTGAAGGAGGACGTGGGCGCAGCCTTGGGGGACGGACCAGAGCGAGACGGAGTGGCATTTGCATGGGAAGAGTGCCCAGGTTTGGAGGAGAGATACCCTGGGAGCGGAGAGATATCGTCGAGCGGGGAGGAGGACTGGGCGGATTTTGGATGGGGAAAGCCAGGCTTCGGGATCGAGACGGCAAGTTGCACGGACGAAGTGTTGGGGTTGACGGAGGTGTAGCCTGGCTGGAAGTACGACCCCGATCTGGGTACATAGCCGGGCTGCACCGACGACGAGTAACTCATGTTGGGGGACCGACGGCTCGTAGCAGATGTAGCGGTGTTCAACGGTGATGTAGTGGTGTCCAACGGTGATGTAACCGACACCACGCTTTGAGGCAGACCCTCGGCGGTACTCGGCCGTGCCCGGGCGACATGAGACGGCATCGAAGCACTGCCCTGGTAAGCCGGGATGGTGCTGGGGAACGAAGACGAGTGGGTGGCAGCGGCAGGGTCCACGGCGGTGGCTGGATAGGCCGAGTGCGCCGGCGCGCTTGAGCGGCCCCGCTCGAGAACTGCCCGGACAGCAGAGTCGGTATAGGGCAACGAACAACCGGGCGACGGCAGGGCTCGGTGATTTGGACCCGAAGACGAGGTAGATGGCGGGGCAGCTGGGTGGGCGGGACGGGAGGAAGACGAGGCGGGCGGGCCTTGCAGCGCGCCGGCCCGCGAAGGACTGGGCAGGCCAGTGCCAAAGCGGGACTGCGACGGAGACCCGGCGACAACAGAGCCAAAGGATCGCTGCGCCGGGGACGGGTGCGGCGGGGACGAGAGCGCTGCAGTGTGGGCCTGGAAGGGCCATGTCTCGGCCGCGCGGGTGCTGCTGATTGCAGAGCGGACGGAATGCGTCGCCTGGGGCATGTTGGGCGAGATATCCGAGACGGGAGAGCTGCCGTGCAGCGAATTTGGAGTAATGCACCGCCGCGACGACCCAGCGGGATCGGCCAAAGAGGTACGATCGGCCCAGTTGAAATCGCAGTCGAGATGCGGGGGGCGAGCGAAGGACGTGCGGTGATGGGACGAGGCTACGTCGACCGAGTGGGTGGGCCTTGAGGCCGCGCTGGAGGACAGTGCAAACGAGGGCGAATCCATGTACACTGTTTGTCGCCTCGGAGGATCTCGCTGCAGATAGAAGTGCACAAGCATGGGATGTGCGGAAGTAAGTATCTGTACGATGTCCTGGGAGCACATCTCTGATCCCGCAGCGACCAGAGCGACACGAGTCGGCCCGCTTACCGATGCGAGCTGGTATTCGTCAGGGCCATATGCGGCCCAAGTCGAGCGAGGGTAGCTGTGATCTGCCATAGCAGAGTCGTCTGGCAAAGTATGCAGGCAGAGGAAGGGGGAGTGGTGCGCTTGGGAAGCTGTGGGAACGGAGCCAACTTGGGGCGGGAGCGCCAACAGGCACGATCAAATAGCCAGCTGGGAGGGGGAGCAATCAAGACTCTGGATGGAAACAGCCTTCTGAATGGACCACAATGGCCGGTAGGATGCCACGGCAGAAGGGCGGCCAAGAGAAGATCGGGAAGGTCACCAGAGAAAGAGCGAAACGGCGCCGGCAAGGTGCCCCACCACAATGCGATCCCGACAGTGCCCCGTCCGATTGGCGGAAAGTTCGATTACTGAAGAAGACCGAGGCTCGAGATGTACATGTGCGTGCAGCAGGCGCCGAGAAACAATGCAAGGGCTGATCGAGCGGATGCAATTGAGGAGATGCGATCGAGGAGATGAAATTGAGGAGATGAAATTGAGGAGATGCAATTGAGGAGATGCAATTGAGGAGATGTGATCGAGGAGATGTGATCGAGGACCACGAGCGAATGCACAAGAGTGGGTCGAAAGGGGCGCGATCGACGAACGGCAGGGACGATGGTTTTGATGCAGAAACAGGGTGGGCGGGAGCCGATTTATAGACTGACGCTGAGCGGGACTTGCGCAAGGGGGGGGAGATGGGAGGCAGCGGAGGAGTGATCGGTTAAGAGTGACGAATGCAGGGGACACGAGAGGGTCCGGATGGACGGGATCGGGGTGCAGCGGCAGAGAGAACAGCACAAGTTCCGCCCAGTCGTTACGGCGGCGATGGTCGCATCGCAGCGCTGTCGGCGACCAAGTAACGATACCGACGGCAAAGTAACGATAACGACAGCAGAGTGACGATATCGGCAACCTGGTAACGATATCGAGCAGCGGTGTCGACGGCGAGAGGGCGACACAATGCAACCCGGCCGGGACAGGGGATCCGACGGGGAACCGATTGGCGACGGCCTCGGTTGCAGAGTGTTGCCTGCGATGCAGATTCTGTGGAGCGGCTCAGTTGGAGATGCAGCGACCCCTGCAACACGATATCCCATGATATATCCCGTTACATTCCATGATATCCCGTTATATCCCGTTATATCCCATGCTATATCTCTTGATATCTCTGATATCCCACGCTATATCCCATGATATATCCCCGTACTCCATCTCCAGCAACCCCACAGGTCCCGCATCTGCATGCACTTCTTCCCGAGCCTGCTCTGTCGGCCGATTCTCCTGGTGCCGCCCCCAATCACGAATCATCGCTGCGGCCGGCTGGCCGTGCTGGAATCTGGGTTCTGCTGACGTTGCCGGACGACGTCGCTGGCGGCCGCTGACGATACCGCCTGATCGATCGGCGAGTGCTGGCCCGAGCAACCTCCTTCCCTGCCCGCCAATCGGCCGACCGATCGACAGAGGCAGCCGCACCGCCCACAAGAGCGCTGTCGTCAGCCATATCCAATTGTACCCAATCACACATCCTTTTGTCATCAATCACATGTGTCTGAACAATGCAGACCGTCATTCTGACCGAGTGCCGCCAGACCTCCGGAGAAAAAAAGTATCCAAAGGAGCCCATCAGCGTCAGGATCAACCGCTCTCCAATCTGTCGGAGAGCCAGGCACTGCGGCGGCTCGCTATCCAGCAGCGACGACCGAGCAGCCGACGTCCACTGCCTCGAGCCCGTTGGCTTGTTCGCCAATGCATCTCGCTGTCATAGATGCCATCGACAATGAGCAACTCAGTCTCGCAGAGCCAGCCTTTGACCATTTGACGAGCATCATCAAGTCATCACCGCGGCACTCCCTCTGCTGCCCTCCCGTCGACTCCCCCCCCCCACATCCAGCATTGAATGATGCTTTCCCTCAGTATCTCTCCGATCCTGCATGGATCCTCGTCCCGTCTCCCCCCGGCTGATCTACCCCGCGCTCGCCTGCATTGCTGCTGCCTCATCCGGCCAAGCCCGGCCTGGCGAGCGATCAGCCCGGATCCCTGCAAGCAAACAGCAGTGCAGCAGCCCCGGCCGGGCCTGAATCGGCCCAGAAGGGCCGTGCATCGCATTCTCCTGCTCCTTGCCGCCCAGCCCCGCGTGTCCCTTTGGGTTGACCGGCGAAAGCGACAGATCGCCCGCCATTGCCGATCGTCCCTGTCATGAGCAACGGGAGCGAGGGCCCCGATGCCGAGCACGGCCTCCTGCATCGCAGGGGCTCCTGCTCTGTCGCTGTCGAGCCGCATCTGCGGTCGAGGCTGCTCTATCCCAACCCCGTTTGTCTCCTCACAACGACGCACATCGGGTGAGTCCGTCGCTGGAACCCGTCTCTTGCAGCAACATCGTCCCTTCTCAGTCCCGCTGTCTCGTCGGGGTCCCTTCGTGCCATTGACAAATGAACGAGTTCGTTGCAGCTTGTCGTCCTCTGGAACTGCATCGCAACTTGCTTACGGCAAAGTCCATCTCGTCAAACACCACAACCCTCCCATCCATGTCCCGTACAGCCCCCAGCCCACCGACCCGGCACAGGATGCCATCGAATCCCCCGCCATTGCTTCGAGGAACGTCATGACCATCTCGTGGCTGACACCCATCGACAACAACGTAAAGGCCACGAGTTTGCATCGTTGCGTCGCTCAGAGATGTCGGCTCTCGAATGCTGATCCCGCTTGCTGTTGGTCGGTTGTGCAATCGCCAGGGAAACCTTGTGTGCTCGATCAAGACGAGTCGCCACTCCAAGAGTCTGCTCCTCGCCTCGGGATATTTCGGTAAGCCGCCATGCCACATTACCCCTGGCCGGCCAGGTCGATGCAGCCCGACATGATCTGTCCAGATCACCATGACTCACGATATTGCCGAACACCATCTCTCCTGGATCGACCCTGTGCTGATATCCCCCAACCATGGTGTCAGTTCTGAACGTGCCCGTCCACGGCATGGAGGATCTGATTGTTCAGATCGGCAGCTGCTCTGGATCGGCCGTGGACAAGTTCGACCACCTGAACTTGCCGGTCTGCCTGCCTGGATGGGCTCCGTCGCCGCCCTGGCCCTGGTCGACCAGCAGCGACACTGTCTCGGCAGACCTCCCAGCCCAGCCCGTATCCAATGTCGCCAGAAAGTCTCGTCGGTCCAAGGAGCAGCCGGGCGAGACCATGCCTCCGCTTGTAGCTCTCGCTGACTGCGTTGCGCATTTGGTCTGTCGAGTGGACGATTCGCACGAGCGGCTCGGCCATTTGATCTGCTACGCCAGCATCCGCACGGCCTTTGTCCAGAAGAACTACTGGAACGGCCGCACCTTTGCGGGCCCGCTCGACGGAGGCAGCGGCGGTGAGATCCTGAGCTTTCTCGGAACCAAGACCTTTGCTCGCATCGTCCCGGTGGCGTAGAGCTTCTTTGAGTCGACACCGCGAGCAAGACGAGGGTGCGAGCATGAAAGTATCGTTGGTGTATCGAAGGCAAGTGCTGTATTGGATGCATCGGCAGCTTCGACAATGCGGGTGGATCCAGGTCATCAGCCGCCTCGAGGGCATCGATATCGACCGATCGTCCAACAGCACAGGCATCTTGGATATCGCCCGCAACCGCAACCGCAGACGCCAGATCGCATATCCGCTGTATCGCTTTCACCATCATCGTCGCCATCATCGCGCCGATCCTCTGGGCCCCCGACCCTCGTTATCGTTGGGAGAGGCTCGCTCAGATGGCTTCTTTTGTTTGGCGGCCGAGAATCTCGCCTAATCGATTGCTTTTGGCAAGCTCCTCGATCAGCCCAAATGTAAAGCCAATATAGTTGAACCGCCTTCGCTCGTTCTCCTTTCGCCATCGGCTCCGCTGTTGAGCACCGGTGGAACCATGTTGCGGTGTAGAAAGAGTAAAAATTGTGAGCTGCCTTGCGACAGGGCCATCAGCAATCGGCCCGTGCCAGAGCAGAATCCCATCTCCATTCTTGGCGGCAACCGCAGGAACCACTTGCCTTGGCGGTCTCGCTCTGCAGGCGAGCTTCCAGGTCGTGCCTCTCGGCTCCAAGAAGCTCCTTGACCTCGCTATCGACATCGGCACTGTCCAGCTGTTCCTGGATCGTCTCGAGCTGCTGTTGGTAGACCTGGGTGCGTGACTTGATGAGGGCCATCAAATTGAAGCGGATCTCTTGGCTCGAGTACCGGGCGATGCGCGACTGGATGATCGGCTTGACTGCACAGCATCAGCAGTTTCAGCAGTCCGTGGCCAAAATAACCAGAGACGGAATCGAAGCAGGATTTAGCCCCCTCTCCTCCTGGCCAGGGAACTTGCAGCTGAGACACTCGCAGGTGAGCAGATGCATCTCAGACGAACCGGCGTCAGTCCACGTTCCTTCGGTGCATGGTCCATGGTTGATCGGCGCGGCTGTCCAAAGATCAAGCAAACAGGATCAATGATGGGGGCGGAAAGCCTCAATGCGGATCGAGAGCAAACTGCATATCCGAAAGAAAAATAATAATCATGCGGCAGTAACAGCAACAAATTGCAAATTGCAAATGCATTTTTTACGAAATACAAACGCAGATACACACGTTGGAGGCCATCCAGCTCGTAGAGACAGCCGTGGATGTGCAGATACGAGATGAAGTGGAAAACATCCTCGTCGTCGTCTTGCTGATGCGACTGGTCGAGAATGAAAGGGTCGGCCCGAGCAAAGCTGTTGTGAACCTAAATGCAGTCACGGCCGCAAAGAAGGACAGGGTACGGTGAACACACCATCCGAGGCAGGTCGATGTGCTATGTACTTTGGTATGACGATCGTCTTGCGTCCATTGGGTCACCAGGCATGCCATCGGCGCTTATGGAGCTTTGCTGCCTACCGTTCGGATTTGGTCCGAGTTGGAAATGGCCAATCCCTTGAGATCGGGCGGAAACTCGCTCGTGAAGGTCTTGAACTCGGAGAGCATTGGTCCAAGCTCGATGGGACTATTCATGAGGATCGACAGGATGGCTGGAAGAGAGACGGAGGTGGGATGCAATTGCCGCCGAGATTCAGATGACCCGTCCCATCCCATCCCATCCCATCCCATCCCATCCCATCTCGGTCGACTAAAGTGCTTTCCCGGCAATCGCCCACGACTGCATCCACATCGATCATTCAGCCATGGCTTGGGTTGATCGGGTCTGCCCACCTTGCGTTGCGCATGCGTTGTTGATAACCTGGAGGGAGTAGGGCGAACAGTACACCCACCACACGGATCCGAAAATAAACCTTCAGCCGAGAGATTCTGGAAGGGCAGACTGGGGCACCTTGCGTGAAACGCAGGACTGGTATCGACCGGCCAACTGCAACAACGCACCTGCTGAGCGAAAAACACCGACTCGGAGGGATCGAGAGTGCCCGTGGGCGGTGTTCGCTGATACTTGAACAGAAAGATGAGCCCATAGACAGGTCTGGAGCGAAGGGGCATCGAGATAGAGCCCACATTCGAGGCAGACACACATATCAATGGAAGCTCTCCTTCTGGCCTCCCCACCCCGCGTGAAAAGCTATGTCCCTGCCATCCGATCCTCGGACGATCGGCCGAGTGCATCGAACGGTCGTGGACTCAATGTCCTACTTGATATCATCCAGCTGCTCCAGATCAAAGATCTCCTCGACTTGGCAGTCTGCAGGGTGAGAAGAACAGGTCAACAACGCAGCGAAAACGGGTTGTTCGATGGTAGGCAGCATCACGGCAGGGGAGCAGCAGAATGCTGGACAGATCATCGACTCACTCGGCACGCCAAAGCCCTCGATCAGCTCTGTGAATACACCGGGATCGCTTTCAATCTGAGCCGAAGCAAGAGTAGAGGTGGGCGGGGGGGGGTGAGTTTTGATGCCGCCGCTGCTGCCAATGCTCGGACACTCCCGTTGATGACGGCAGGTTCGCTGGTGCAGGCGGGCGCACTTGCTCGCTGCTGCAATCCGATTTCTGCGTGCTTGTGCTCGAGGCTTGGATCAGCTCTACGCATGCGCTGCGATGACGCCTACCAAAGTCCAGTTTCTGATCCCAGGGACATGGCCATGGGAGGTGTGTGGCAGCGCCCAGGAGATCGCCAATGGCGAATGTCGATCACAATCACAGAACGGCATCAGTCGAGAATGCGATGGCGCAGACCCAATGGAGACGGCGGGTATGGCCCGGAGCACAAGAGGAGTGCTATTATGGCAGCATGCATACCCAGATTCCATGATGCAGTGTTGTTGGCGGCAGCGGCTGTCGCAGTCGGAGCAATTCTGTTTGGTGATGAGATCGGGGGAGAACCAGGGTTGGCGGTCGCTGGGGCCAGACCAGGCTCAAGTGGCCGCACTGGGAACTGGGCCAGCCATGCCAGCAGCTCTGCCGACAACGAGCCCAAAACCATCCCGAGACATATTCGTTGATCCCACTGGATGCTGGCGACAGTGCTTGAGCAGCTCTCGGCTACCAGGGTACGACCAATGCCCATGCCAGCCTCAATAGCCACACGATCAATTCCCTGTCCTCTCAGTAAAGACAAACTGTATTTCGTGCATTGGCCCGGTGTGCTATGGCAATGGTCGGTATGGAAAGGAGATCAGAGTGCTCGGCGGGCCAGGCAGAGGGCCGATCTGATCCGAGGGGAACTGGCTTGGACGAAAGGCGACGGCCATCCGGCCTCGGGCCCCAGCCGAGACCACTACTCGGCTCTGAACTTCTTGGCCTGGCTGTCGTCCTCGAGTGGATCCTTTCTCTTCTTGACGTCGTCTATCTCGGCAGCAGCGACCCGCGCCGATCTCGAGGCATCATCGGCGGTCTCCTTCTTCTTGACGAGCGACGAGATGTCGTGGACGATGCCAGCGGGCCTGGACGCCGAGAGCGGCTCGGCTGCGATGGGGCCGCCTATGGACTGAACAGCCTGCTTCAGGGCAGTCTGGATCTCTTTGTTGATCGAGGGCTTGCCTGAGACCAGGAGCCGCAGGTCGTCGAGCTGGGTACGGCAACGGGTGTCGGGTGAGCGGCGATCTCACACGGCTCATGCTGTCGGCCGTATGCCTTGGATGTGCTTGTGCAGACAAGCACACCCTCAGTCGCTTACCTTGGCCTTCATCTCGGGATAGAGCCCTCGGATCTCTTGCAGCTCCTTCTCGGCCTCGAGCTGCTCGCTGCTCATCTTGCCCTTGCCCTTGGCATTCTCGCTGCCGCCGCTGCTGATCGACTCGAGCAGGGCCACCCGCTTCTCGAGAACATGGATGGTTTTCTCGACGTGTCCAAGGGCATCCTGCGGCCGCTCCGAGTATTCGAGAGCCAGGGCCAGCTTGTAGTGGACCTCGGCCAGCTGGCGGTTATCGTCCGACAAGTACGACTCTTTCAGCTTGACGCTGAGCAGGTAATCTTCGACGGCCTCCCGCCAACGCTCTGCCAGACAAACGTGGCAGGCGGGTCGTGGGTGTGGGTGTGGATGCGGATGCGGATGCAGCAGTGAAGATGACGGCATGGAGATCTGTGGGTGAGAATGCAGACTGGGAGGCGGGAGCGGCTGCTTGGTCCATCTCTGGGCAGGCTGGGCCGGGGCGATTTATCTCCAGACGGCTCCGCAGCCGAAGGTCCCGGGCCCAAGCACATCCCTGCCTTCCCTTCGTCTCCCCCAGCTTGGGTTTTCTTGGGGAGCCCGATACCGACGGCAGCACCGACGGTAGCACCACCACCAACAACCAAGAAGGTCCCTGACGCTCAGGGCAGCTGGCCGTACCTGACTCCAGCGAGATGTCGCCCAGGGCCATGTGCACCGCTGCCAGCTTGGGCTTGCACTTTTCGGGGTCCTCCATCCGTTCGTATGAGATTCGGGCCAGCTCGAGAATGTCCCAGGCCAGTTGCATGTCGTCTTCTTCTTCACCCTCGTCCTCCTCTTCTGGGTTCTCCTGGCCTTCAGCCTGCTCGGCAGGGTCCTCAGAGTCGTCCTCGTAGCCCTCGTCCTCAAACACAAAGTGCGAGCTGGATTTCTGGGGAAGCTCTGCGGATTGCAAGCATCGCCGGGTGGGAAGCAGACGGTGCGCATAAGCGGTCCCGGCATCGCCCACAGATTGTTGCAGCACCAGTCAACGATTCCCGCAGCGATAGACAGTTTGGCAGTCAGAGATCGCCCCCCCCCGAAGTTCCCATGAGCATGGCCAGTAGCAGCAACAGCAACAGCGACAGCGACAACGAACACAGCAGCGACAAGCCATATAGATAATCCACGCCAAACAGACGACGATGGGTACACTGCGTTAGTCATCTTGATCTGGGCGCCGGTATCCAAAGATATCTGCTTCAAAGGCCAGCCCGGGTGCGAGGGGATGATCACAGCTCCGTACTTACCGAGTTCGGCATCACGGACCTCGCTGCTCGAGGCGGCGTTGAGGACGTTTGTCTTGGACAGGGCGTTGGAGAGGAGAGCCTGTCCATACAGGAACAGCGCATCAGCGCCCTCGGGAGCGCCTTCGCCGTACTGCTCCGCCCTAGAGTGAGCAGACGCAAAGCGATTGAGCAAGATGGAGATACGACGGACCAGACGCAGAACCGATCCCGACTCGATCGGCCCGCATCGAGCTGCTGGATCGGGCTCATGCCCCCGACCAGAGATCTTGGTTAGATGCAGCTGGTCCAGGGGCGGAATGAGGATTCTGGCCCGGGCCGATCGCCCGAGACAGACAAAGTCGGGGTGAAGAGGGAGAAGGAGGGAGGCAGCAATGGTGTCGGAGACCGAGGAGCTTACAGAGCAGTCACGGCTTCTCCAAACAGATCTACGGCCTTTTCGTATTCGTGCTTGGCAAAGGCCTCGGTGCCCTGTTGGATGAGGAGCTCGACGTCGTTGTCGGCCAGGGCGCCAGCGGCCCGATCTCCGGATGCATTGCTCATGGTGTGGGTCGCGGTACTTTGGTGCTCAGTGAAGGAATCCCCTTGGTCGATAGCACCGTTCATCGGCGATGATCAGAGTAAGAAGAACGAGCCGGGTTGGTGGGCGAGGGGATGAGTGAAGTCGACGGGCTGGTGCGTGTGTGGGATGGGCGAGTGAAGGGGAGCGCGGAGAGGAAAGATTCGGGTCGGTTCAGAGATCGGTCTCTGAAACAAGCAGACGATCGCCCAGGATGTTGCGGCAGTTCGTTGCCGAGGGCCATCGGGCCTGGACGGGTTCCTGTGGTCGGCAGATGGAGTCTTGCCAGTACTTACGAGGAGACGACTGGTGCAGTGACCCTGGCTTTGGTGCTGAGATCAGAAACTGGCTGAAGTGGGGCGAGGCGATTGGTGCGGCTCAGATGGCGAAAGGCAGGCCGATCGGCGATGGCAAGGCAAAGATCCCGATTGCTCGAGGGCTGTGGGACTGAGTCGGGTGGTGTTCTGGAGCAGCAAGGATGTCTCTGGGCCTGATCAGCCAGGGACTCGAGGGCGAAGAGGCTGGTCTGAGAAGAAAGCCGAAAGGGGACGACGGCCGCAGAAACGAGGACCGGTCGAAACAAAGAGCAAGAGCAGGCCGGGAGGGCAATCAAGACGGAAGGCAGCTCTGGTCGCGAAGGGGACTGGATAACGATGTGTTCTGCTGGGCCCGGAGACAGAGATGCAGACCGAGTGACAGACAAGATCGGCTGCCGGCAAAGCAGACACAATGCTCTCGGTGCGCTTGGATGCGGCGATGGCCAGCGGATATGTTCGCTGCGGGGTCGCCAGCGGGACCGACATGGCTGCGATGCCGACTGATGTCTGGTGGGAACCTGCCAAAAATGGTTTCATTGTAGAAACCGTGCAGCCGGTCTGGTCATGTCGCCCGAGGACGGCCATTCAATCGATCCACACGAAGCCCCTCCAGGACCACGAGAACGCTGCAGATCGATGTATTGCTTGATGCGTTGGTCAGTGCATTGGTCAGTGCGTCGGTCAGTGCGCTGCCCAGGGCATTGCTCAAGGCGCTGGCCAATGCATCGTTGTTTGGCAAAGGATGTTCGGGGTATCCGCGTCTCGATTCCCCCGTTCGCTCTCGGGAGTATTGCGCTGCGCCCATCGAGCCAGATTCAGTTGGGACTGCGTTCGTGCTGTTGCGGCTGTTGCAGCTGTCGAGTATCGATGCAATCCACTCGTCAAATGGTCTCGGATCACTCCATGACCATGTCCTCGGACCCATCGCTGGCGAGGTCGACTTCCGGCTCCTCGAAATCAGCAATATCGAGCTCCTCATCTTCGGCGGCTTCGGCGTCTTCGGCATCGTGCTCCTCTGGCTCGCCCTCAGAGCCGCCGACGTGGTAGTCTTCATCCTCCTCCTCGTCATCGTCATTGGCTTCCTCGACCTCCACTGCCGAGCTTTGTCCCTGCTGTTGGGACCGTTTACAGGTCAGCCAGAGCCAACGGCTGGCGGTCTCATCCGGTCCCTGAGGTAGCCGTGTCGGGGAAAAGCATAATCGCAGCGGGAGCATCGAGTCCGTCCCTGATAGTCGGCTGGTTCAGCCAGCATTGGGATCATGATTGCGAGGCTCACCTCCAGTGTTGGATTCCATCCGGCTGGATGGTGACTGGACTCTACCACCAAGCTGAGCTGTACGTTTATTCGAGAGTCAGATGATGGTGTTTGGATTGTGGGCATGGAACGCTCGGTCCGGACTGTTTTCCGGAGAGTCAGGGCAGCGAATGCCAATGGCATAATCGGTGCACCGGCGATATCTCTGCAAGCCACCCACCTTTTCGATCAGGGCAGCTTCGTGAGCCTCCAGCTGGGCCAGGAGAGCCGCCCTGGAGCTCTTGGGAAGCTCAAGCAGTGAGCTGACGGGTAGGGTGTTGGGCAGCAAAAACTGCTGGAACGACATTCCTGGGGATGGCCGGATCCAGGGCTCGGCTCATGCAGCAGCAACCAGGGCCAACACTATGAAAAAAATTCTTGTTAAAAAAATGAGCGAGAACGAAAAAACGCGCTCTCGGAGCCACCTCGGTCGGCGAGAAGAGCAGTCTCTGGCGAGAGACCAGCGAGGGAAGGCGAGAAGCCTCTCGCCGTCACACACACACACATCCGCACACACACACACTTTGCACACACACACTTTGCACAAGGGAGTCAAACACCTCCCATCGACCATCCCAAGAGGGATGGCAACCCCGAAGTGGACTGCCCAGACTATGGGCGACCCGGCATCCACTGTCGAAATGCACAAGGAACAGTGCAAGATACTTACAGTCTATCCAGAAAGAAACGGGACAGATCCCATTTCGGGCTTCAGATATCTGAAGCCCGTTGACTGACTTGTAGGCCCAGCGGGTAGGCCGTGAGATTGTTTCCCGTCCTGGTTGGCAATCTCTTTGTTTGGGTTGGTTTCGGGAGCACAGTCTTGAATACACCCGGTCGATCTCCTGTGGCGATGATCGACTGGCATACCGAGATCATGTTCCTGGCTGCATTGATGTCTCGATCCCACAGCGTATGGCAGCTTGCACAGCTCCGGACAAAGTGTGGTTTCTCGATATCAAGATACTCGGGTGACTCAAGTCGCTTGAATTCCCGGCAATGTGAGGACATCTGGGATGTGTTGAACTCGTTCACCGAGCACACATGGATCTTGGAGACGGATCGGTCTGGTGGGCCTCTCTGGTGGTGGTGGAACTGCTCAAAGTATTTGGCAAACCTGAGTCTCCTGGGACTGGAAGCATATCCCTTCCCCTGTTTCCAGGATGCATTCCCAAAGGCAATCACGATGTCGGTCTCCTTTGGTGCCTGGTCAATGACTTGCTTGCACATCTCGTGGACGGTGCGCTGTCGCTTGCTGTGGAGATCGAGTCGCTTGAACCGCCGTCGCCGGGTCAGGCTGAAGTACAGCTGTTTCTCCAGCATGTCTCCATCGAACACATGGTAGATGTATCGCAAGAAAGAAGGCACTCCAGGGATCTTGGGGCTCGGTGTGGTGCTCATCCATTTCTGCAGACCAAGGATCTTGTGGGTGCTCTGGATCCACCTGGTCGCCTGGGTGGTGCCACATCGATGCTGGTACTCCTTGTTGGAGAACGACACGATCTTCTCGTTGGCGCGCTGTGCCTTGGTCACCTTGACACCGTCTTGCTCCTGGATGGATGGTTGACCGGGTGCCCGAATGACAGCGGTGAAGATCGATCCCACACCAGGGTCGATCCCGATCCATGTGGTCCGAGAGTCGTCAATGGGACCGACCCTGGTCTGGATCTTCTTCTCGGGAGTGAGCTTGGGTGTCTTGTCCACGGATTCTGGCTTGGCATCAGGGTCCTTCTTCAGGATCTTGTATCTGAGCGTGGTGATCGAGCACCCGACCCCATCGGTGGTGATCTCGCAACCAAAGAGCTGCTTCCCCTCCTCCCTGGCACCAAAGAGTCTCGAATCCAGCTTGAAGTTGGTCTGCCAGAAGATCTCTTGTTTTGTGGTGCCATTGACCTTGGTCTTCAGGTCGTCCCACTTGAGCCCAGTGCCAGTCTGGTATCCAAGGATCTCCCACAATGCTTTGGTGTCCAGCTTGACATACTTGGCTCTGGCATCGCAGAGCGGGACCAAGGTGCACTGTGCTCGAGGGATGTTGTGTCGCTTCTTGGTCTGGGCAAGCCGGTCGGTCAATCGCTTGATCCGCTTCGTGTTCACAGCGATCTGCTTATCCACCTCATCATGCTGGGTCTGGAGTGCGTTGTGCTTGTCAGGCAGCCTTCGTTCGATGGCGCGACACATCTCTTCGTTCAGTCGCTCGCGCTCTCCTTTCAGATCATCGGTCACCCTCGCGAGCCTGGGAATGATCAACTTCTGGAAAACCACCATGAAGAGGGCCTCCTTTCGGTGGGTCAGGCGAGAGACCTCACTGGCCAGAATTGGTACGACTTTGTACAGGTCCTGGTGGCTTTCGTACCGAAGCTCATACAACTGGTCGGCATGGTGGGTGAAGGATTTCCTCAGATCACCGAGGAGTGTCTTGGAGAGGGGATTCTCCATCAGCTTCATGCACTCATCGACGTGTGTGTGCCGTTTCACACCCTTGGGAGCAACCAGGACCAGATTGCAGTATCGGCGTAGAAGGGACCAGTATCGATCGAGAACGTGGGTCTCACAGTTGACTGCATAGGTCTTGACAGCCAAACCAAGAACCTGTGAGCCAGTACTCTTTGGGAGGGACACAGGAGGCAGGATACACGATTCGCTCCATGTACTTCGATACAGCTCATAGGTATCGATGATGTGCCTGTCTTCTTGGGTCGTGCCTTTCTTGACACTAGTCATTCCTGTCTGCACCATGTTGAAGCATTTTCGAACGAACGCGGGTTCACTCGACGACACAGTGGGGAGAGTGATACCCTCGTCCAAGCACCGCCTGAGATGCAGCTCCAGGAGACGAGATGCTTCGTACTGCACTTGAGTCATGGCTCGGACAGTCTCCTCGATCTTGTCGTGCAAGGTGTCGTTCTTGATGATGGCGTCCAGAGTGCACTTGATGATCGAGTACTCGGCCTTGACTTGCTCGTTGGGGCCACAGCCAGGCAAGGTAGAGCTCCAGAGTGGGTTCTTCTTGGTACACAATGAACTGTTGCTTTTGGCATGACCCTCTTGATTGCACGTGGCACATACAGGGACCTTGGGTGCTTGGCTGACCATTTCAGCGACCGAGGCAGAGCCAGAGGCAGGGCTGCTGTCGACTCTGGCTGTGCACTTCTTGGTGAAGGGTCTGACGTGGTTGGTCAATCCACAGGAGGGGCATGATTTGATGACGGGCTTCTTGGCCACAGGAGAGTCATTGGGTGATCCTGGGTCGGGGTCGGGGGGTGTCTTTCTCTTGGGAGCCATCTGGCGAGAAAATAGCGACGATGGCTGGTTCTGCCCTTGGGGAAGAAAAATTCTCCTCAAAACCAGCGCATTTTGGGCAGGGAGTGATGCTCACAGTGGCGTCCTTGATTCAGATCCAGAAACGCATCGCTCGCTCAATCAGTCGTGGGAAGACATCTTGTCAAGGTGAGTCTTGCCTGATAGCCAAACGATCATGTCATCTCGCTGACACAGCCACGCTTGACTAGGTTTCCAACCAGAGAGATTCAGATTGTGGTGGTTCTTGTCCGCAATCGGAGTGGAGCTTCCAACAATGATACAATTGGTCATTCCTCCACACCAATTGCCCACCACCACCGTCAATCGGCTCAAGGTGATACCAAATGCCGTCAACCGACCATGGCTGGATTCCAACTTTTGCTGCTCCACATTCGACGTGACTTTCAGGTGACCGAGATGAGCAGCCGCGAGGGGCCGGAAAAAATTGATAGTGCAAGGCAGATCTGAGCGGGATCGAGGTGCGAGGACGGCCTTCTCGTCTCGCCTGTTCTCGGCGAGAAGCGAGGGCTAGGGCTCTCAACATCCGCCCCGGTAGGACAGCCCTAGACTTAGCCCTCCGTCCTCTCCTCGCTCATCCCTCGCTCCTCTCTCGCTCCCCGCCGAGGGGGGAGATCGGTTTTCGCGAGCCGGCTCGCCACGGCCTTGATCACCCTTCCCTGCCCAAGATCGCCGAGCCTGAGGAGTTGCTGCTTCTGTTGCTGCTGCTGCTGACCAGAGAGCCCTGAGCGAGTGCCAGCATGTCTCCCACGCCAGTAGCCGAGGAGCTGTCTGCCGGCGGCGACCAGCCTGCCGGCAACATCATCGTCGGAATCATCTACCCGCCTCCCGAGATCCGAAGTAGCGATCGCTCCATGCCGGCTCGCACATGTGTCTGATCGTGGATTCAGCTTTGGGGAGAAGGACACCCGCGGCATCGATTCCGGCGGCCCTCCAGTCGATCGAGATCTGTTACTGAATCAAGAGTTTTGGTATTCCATCTTGCCCTTCGTTTGTGTCTGCTCGCCTCAATCCCCATCGAATCGGCCCTGCGTTTGTCGCACACATCCTCGACTATCGCCTGGATCGGTGCTCAGACATCATCGATCGGACGGCCCTGTATACCGGACGCAGTGGCCCCTCCTTTGAAGAGCGCATCCGAGAAAATGAAAAACACAATCCAAAGTTCTGTTTCCTCAACCCAACCGATCCATATCACGCATACTATGCACACAAGGTCAAGGAAGTCCGTGAGGGCAAAGGTGAGCCGATCCGGCCGGTACAACGCCTGGCCATGCCCGATCGGAGCCATGCCATGCATGTCCGTTTAGATGTGCTGGATGATCTGGTGGAGTTGCCCGTGGCTGACCGGGCAAGGGCCATGATCCCACGGCCACGATCACCCACTGGCTACAGACACCACCATTGGTGCTGGTGTCAGTGTTGTCATCGGATCCGGCGCTGCTGCTGCCATCGATGGCTCTGGCTGTTGCTCATCTATCGTGGCTATTTTCGACTTGATGCATTCCCCGGATTCTCGTTCATAGCCGCCCAGGAGCAGCCGACTGCCAAGAAGGCCGAGCAGGCGGCTGTCCCCACTGTACCGGCCAAGCCAGCGCCAAAGGAGCCGCCTACATTCGAGTTCAGCGCCGAAATGCCTGCAATCTCTGCCCAGGATCTGTTCGTATCCATCCATTTCTCTGTTACAGCGGCCCGGGCACCACTGCTCGTGGTAGTTCTGGCGACGCTCGTCCGAGCAGGACGGATAATGCCTCCTGCACCCGCTCCTCTCATTGCCCCCAAGGTTGATCGTCGCTGATCGCTATTTTCCATCCTGCAAACCCATGATCCGATCTGATCTGATCTGATTTGCACAGGGACATTATCAAACTCACGGCCCAGTTTGTGGCCCGCAACGGCCGCCAGTTCATGACGGGTCTCCAGCAGCGCGAGCAACGCAACTACCAGTTTGATTTCCTGCGACCCAACCACAGCTGGTTCCCGTATTTTATGAAGCTCGTCGAACAGTACACCAAGATCCTGATGCCCCCGCGCACCACCATCCCAAAGCTGCAGATGGACATCCATGAGCGACAGAGGGTATGTCCATGAAAGGCGCTCCAAAACGATGTGGGCGTGACTCGGTTGGCTGCTGACATTCTGTGGACCGCCTCTTCTCATGCTAGATCATGGACCGGGTGAACGAGCGCGTCGAGTACAGCGCCTACATGGCTGGCCAGAAAAAGAAGGCTGAGGAGTTGGCCGATCAGGAACGACGTGAGTCTTTGCTGAGTGTGTGTGAGGGGGGGGGCGGGTTAGGTTGCGATATGCTGCTTTGCTGGCATGTCGGCTGAGGGTAGCATTCGGTCGCGAGTGACATATCGACCGCGGTCCAGTGTCGGTCGTGTATTGGATGTGAGAAACGCCGCTTGACTGGTCGGCAAGCCACTTTCCGACGCAAGTCCATGGCGTACTTTCCTGCCTGTCTGCGCTCTAACATCCACTCCTCCATTCGGGATCAGTCATTTATGCCAGCATCGATTGGCAAGATTTCGTTGTGGTCGAAACGATCGAGTTTGTGGAAAGCGACGAGCACACTGAGCTTGCTGCGCCCATGAGCTTGATGGATCTCGAGAGCATGACATTGGCCCAGAGGCGCGCCGCAGTTCTTGCGCCTCCGGTGCAGGAGGATCAAGGCGATATGGAAGTCGAGGTGCGTTGATCGACCAAAGGAACACTGTTGATGTGCAAGCGAGCTGTAGGATTCTGCAGGACAGGCTTCTGTTGCGGCGGGTTGTTGATGCGACAGCGATCGCTTGTGGTGAAGTTCAAGCGAGGCACGTTTTCTGGACTGACGCACAGACACCTCTACCTTGCAGATGGAGGATGACGATGTCGATATGGAGCAGGACGATGATGATGATGACGAGGCCGCCGCCCGCATCGAGCAGCCCCAAGTTACCAAGACAGTCGACACCTCAGGTCCCAAGAAGATCCGAACCGACTATGTTCCCCAAGGTGAGTTGCGCGGTGACAGCTGGACCGCCGCTCAGTTGATCCGAAACACATCGATGCGTCTGTCTGCTGTGACGCTATGCATGCACTCACATGTAAATGCACCCGTGCACACACCTCCGCTGTGGCCTCGCTCTACAGTCGGGCGACAGCAGCTCAACGAGCCCATGTCCAAGTGCCCCATCTGTGGCGAGTTGTTCAAGGACTCGGAGCTGGATCGCCACATCAAGATCGAGCAGATGGATCCCAAGTGGCGAGAACAAAAGCGCGCTGCCGAAGCAAAGAAACAGGGCACCAACCTGCTGTCCGAAGGTGAGGGATGCGGCTGATTTTCCCGAGGGGCATGGCATGATTTCAGTATCGATAGACGGACGAGTGACGGCAGCGGATGCGTATGGGAAACCGGGCATGTTTGACTGTCCGCCTGTTTCTGTTCGTGCCCGCCTGTTTCTGCTCCTGCCCGTCTGTCTCCTGTCTCCGGGACTGACTGACTGGCCAACTGACTATCGTTGCATCAATTGCAGGCGCCGACGTTGCTCGCAACTTGCAGAGGCTCTCGAGCTACCGTACCGATATCTTTGGTAGTGAAGAAGTTGGTATCGGCCGCAAGGTTGGCGAAGAAGCAAGTGCAAAGGAACGACAGGTCGAGCGAGAGAAGGCCACCTGGGATGGCCACACAGCCTCGATCGGGTCGGCCACGCGACAGGCCCAGCAGAACGTGAACCTCGAGGACCAGATCGCAGCCATCCACCGGTCCAAGCTCGGAGGGTACGTCGACGGGCAGATGATGATCTGCTGCACGTTAGTGGTTGGCGACAAAGGATCGGGAATCGACCGAAACGAAGCGCAGTGCTAACAGCTGGGCGACTTTCTTGGTGTACGTCATAGGGAGGACTCGTCCATTGGCCCACAGATCCCTCAACAGTCATCGGGCCCAGCGCCTCTTCCGGTGAGTACCGTATGCCGTGCTCGTAGTTTGTCTGTGGCAACCCGATGCTCTTGGTGGTGGACCTGCAGCAAATCGCCAGGACCTGGCCAGGACCTGGCCGGTAACTGAATTGCTCTGTTTGTCTTGCGCTGCTGTCCCGCCAGCCTCCCATGCGTCACGCACCACATTTCCCTCCAGGTCCCCCGGGCCCTCCTGGCTCTGGCTTCCCCGGGCCCCCTGGCCCCCCTGGCCCCCCAGGCATGCGGGCACCCATGGGCGGCATGCCGCCGCGGTCGCTTGGTATGCCTGGCAACGGGCCTCCTGGCATGCCGCCGATGCCCGGACCTCCTCCGCCAGGACTGCCGGGAATGCCTCCGGTGCCATCCCGCATGCCCATGGGCATGGCGCCGCCTCTGCCCCCTGGAGCACCTCCCATGGGAATGGGTCCTCCAGGGGCTGCACCTCCTGGTATGCCACCTGGTATGCCGCCTGGCATGCCGCCGGGTATGGCTCCGGGTATGGCTCCGGGTGCCGGTCGGGGAGGGCCCCCGCCCTTGCCCCCAGGACCACCGCCGATGCCGGGGATGCCGCCTCCAGGGACGACAGCAGGAATGCCACCGCCGCCCCCAGGCGGTTCGGCCCCGCCGCCGCCGCCCAAAGCCAACGTGCGTGTGCTGCCGCAGGAAGAAGCGGCCGAATCGGATTCGAAAAAGATGCGCCTGGAGGAGGAGCCTGGCACCGGCGTGCTGATTGCCGAACCCGAGTTCTTGAAACGCAACCCGGTAAGTTTGTGACAGGGCTTGACATGCTCACGAGCGCGATCCGGTGCGATTTCTCGTCGGTTGGAAGGAAGGTCGACGGCCCCGGATATATTGACGCATGTGGGAAGCAGGATGCTCTCGGGCTCTTACTGATGGCATTCACTTGTCTGCGCTCCTGTGGCGCGATTCAACAGGACCCCGTGGCCCTCGTCATCGTCACGGAGAGCGGCTCGATTGATCTGGAGCCGCTGCCGCCGCAGACACTGGTCAAGGCTCTCAAGGACCAGATCCAAAGCGCTGCAAACGCCCCGGCCGCGAAGCAGAAGTTGGTGACCAGCGGCGGCATCGTGCTGAAGAACAACCTGTCGCTGGCGTTCTACAACCTGCGCAACGGCGATCGCTTGACGCTGGGCACACAAAAGCGTGGTGGTCGCAAGTGAGGGCCGGATCGGCGGCAGCCAACGACAATACAAGGCACCCGGCTGGATTCGAGCGGCAGCCGATTGCGGCAACCGATCTGCGGCAACCGATCTGCGGCAACCGATCTGCGGATATTCCCCTGGGCCGCTTGGTGGAACGGCAGACCATGCTGCGGGGGGATGGGGACATGGTGCTGGGCGGTGTGGCGTCCGTGCGACGGGTGGCCACAGACACAGTGGCCCGGGTGCACCCAGACGCGTGCGGGCCCCTGGTCACTACAGTGTGGGTGGCCGGCAGCACGAGCCAGGGACGCGCGCGTTCACTGAGCGGCGCGGGGCAACACAGGCCGCTGTCTGTGTGGGTGTCTGTGCTGTGCAGCCTCAGCGCAGTCTCACTGTGCAAGCTGCAAGGGCCACTGTCCCGCAACGCGCCTTGTGCCGCCCTCCAACAAGCGCCGCTTTCCGCCGCTCTGGCTCCGTGGCCGCCCTTACTTGTGGTCTGCTGGGCCGTCTTTGGCTTGCTTCGGCATCGCATCTCGTCCTGTCATATCGCACCATCTGATCGTCCGGCATCGCTTCGCCGGTCCTGCATCGGCTGCATCGGATCTGTCTGCATCGGATATCTCCTCGCACCAGATACACCTTTGCTCCAGACACACCTTGGCTCCGGACACACCTTGGCACCAGATCCATCTGTCCCTGCGTCCTCCGCCGCCGTTTCCCTTTCGTCTTCGCCGTCGTTTGGTGTCTCCTTTCTCCTTTTGCCGTCCCAACACAGCCGGCTGCTCCGATACCCCCCCTCTTCCTCTGGCCTCGGTCGTCCTCCTGTCGCCTATCTCTGTCGCCGCTGTCGCTGTTTATGCCTGAGACGTCGCCGGCACCATGTCGATCCTCCTCAAACGCTCAAACTCCAGCGCCTTGCCGCACACCTATCGCTCCCACAACTCTCGCTGCACACCAAGTCCAGACGGCCACCCTTCGCCGCCTCCCACTCCCCCGCTGCCGACCCCGCCGCCTCTGTCGTCGCTGAAATCCAGACCCAAACCGACCGTCTCGATCCAAAAGTCAAAGTCGGCCAGCGGCCTGCACTCAAAGTACCTGAGTCGTCCGGCCCCGCTTGTGGACTGCATCTTGCCGGCCTCGCTCTCGGCGGGCTACAACGAGGTACGGTGCCAGCCGGTGGCCAATCTTTTGGGCTGTGGATATCCGCTCGTGCCGTATCTGCCTCTCCCCATCTCTCGGGCGGGACTCCATCCCGATTGCCTCCTCCCTTGGGCGAGACTCCATCCCGAGTGCCGATTCACCTTCCTCCTTAGTCCAACCTGGCCTGGACAGCCTTCGGAGTGTCTCTTGATCCTGCTTGGTGGTGCTCCATTCTCAACGCCCAGCTGCGATTTTGGGTACTGTCTGGCTGTCGCCGACAGAGACAGAGACGGCTGGCTATTTGACAGGGTCCTATCTTCAGCATTGCATCAACGCTAACGACCTTTCTCTCTTGGCTTCCTCCTCTCGCAAACAGAACCCGCTTACAGGCGCCTTCGAGCCTATTCCCGGATGGCCGCTACCGCAGGACGGTAATGCACCCACCTCGGCTCTGGCGGACTCGCTCATCTCGATACCGCTGTCCGAGCAGCTGCGGACGTTTTCCTCCCGGCTCTCCGCCCACCGGGTCAGTCGCAGCAATCCTCCTCTGCCCCCGCGTCCGGACAAGCGACGGAGCTATCTCTGGGGATACGGCCCCAAGCGCCGCCGGGACAATCCCGATGACGACGACTTGTATGGCATGCAGCGCACCATCAGCTGCGAGGAGATCCAGTGGATTCCGTACGACCCGCCCGAGTCAAGCGATGGCACCATGTGTGGGCCCTTCCGTCGTCGCCAGCGAGGATACAGTTTGCGCATCACCAATGCCGATGTCTCGGCCGATGCCCAGGAGACCATCATCGCCCCGGGCGATGTCGACCGGTCGTTGATGGTGTCTCCAGACAACGACTCGAAAGTCGTCTCGCGATCAAGCACCATGCACAGTCGGGCAACAGACTCTCCCGGTAGGTTTCATCCGTCGCTTCTGGCGGCACTGACAGAAGCCCGTTTGTGTCTTTGATTCCGCCAAACGAGATGCACGCCAGCTGCCCGAGTATCAGCCCGTGCAGTCTGCCGGCCGTATCGACAATCTTGGATCAGATTGCCTCCGTGCCCCCGATTGTCCTCCTCTGACACCGTTATCGTTTCCCCCCCTCCTCACCAGCATCGTTGGCCTCGGGGATCAATCGTCCTCCAACCGCCTTCAGCTTTACAGAGTCGCACACCGAGCCCACGCCAACCATGCTCCATCTCGAGCCGGTCCAGAATGTCAATGCGCTCCTCAAGGATGGCTACTTTTCGAGCTCGCCCATCGGGTCGCCCAGCGAGAGCTTGAAGCTTGATCTCCCGTACTATCCTGGTGAGCATGATCTCGTTCTTTCAAGAATGCTCTGCGCATTCCTGCTGCCTGTCATGACCACAGTGCCGATATCTGGGGTGCTCACGATGGTACATGCCCGGCCGCGCTCAATGCTAACAGCTTTTCCGTTACACCTGGTGCCAGCAGATATGCAGTCCTCCAAGGGCTACCAGCAGCCCCCCATCAGCCCAAATCCATCCATGCATCGTACCCTTTCTGCCCCCAACAGCAACTTCAAAGGCCCCTTCAAATCTCGGCGACGGACGACCAACTTTTCCAGAATCATGCCGGGCTCCTTCTCGAGCCACGATTCAGTCGATCTGTCGTTCCCGTCCCCGGTTCCATCGACGCGCTCGTCCATCACCCTGGCCGACAGCATGCCTTCTGGCGGCCCTTGGCCCGTGACTCCGTCCAGCACCGCGCGGAGTCTGCGAAAGTATGGGTCGCTGTACCTAGCCAACGACGAAATCGGCGGGCCCATGTCGGCCGTGGACGTGCGCCAGATCGACGAGTCTTTGGCAGCCTCGATGGCCTCGCTGCCGGACTACCACCGGCCGTACTTTGAAAAAGTCATGCTGGAGCCGGTCGAGGGCACGCCGCCCGAAAGCAGGACGGCATGGAAAACGCTGCAGAAAAAGTCCTCGCGCCTCCTCCAGTCGGCACACTTGCTTATCCCAAACTTTGACGGCGCCGCTGCAACCTCGAGCAGCATCCGCGAGACCGGCGCCCGCGATGCCAGTTCGTCGTCTCTATCGCTTCACCACTATAATTCCTCAACAGACTCGCTGCCGTCGCCGAGCCCGATACAACCGCCTCGCGCCAGCCCTCTGGACCGCCGCTGCAGTCTGGGACACCTGTCGAGCCGCCGGCTGGTCCCAAACTCACAGCTCGAGCAGTGGCGCCCAGAGACGCAATCTCCGGTAGACCACGGCTTGGCCCGGGATCGAGACCGAGACCGAGACCGAGACCCAAACCACAGCCGAAACCATAGCCGAAACCAAAACCAAAACCAAAACCGAAACCGGGAGCTGTTGTCTCCGGTCGGAACCCTTCGCAGTAGCTCATCCACTTTTATGGACGACCATGACGACGGCGACGAGATCTTCCCACTGCGGCATCAGTGCGATGGCCCTTGTTTCACACAGGGATGCACCTATTCCAGCCCCAAGATCATCGTCATTTCCCAAGATACCAGCCGCTATGATGACGAAGACGACGCCGACGACAATGGCGATCATGGCGATCATGGCGACGACGATGCGGCGCCAACTCGAGGCCGAGCCACGAGCCGACGGGCCCTCGACCAAGGCTCATCCGAGGTCCGTGGGTTTTATTCCGAGCGCAAGGGCCTCACCACCATGATCCGGGGCGCTATCCAGCGCAGCCGGTCCTCCAAGCGGGTGATCTGAAGCTCGGCGACGATCCGGAATCCGCCAGAATCCACTCTTCTCCCATCCATCCTCCACCGCCTCGCTCCTCATCTGCCTATCGCTCGTGATATCCCTCCATCCAGTTCACTTCTATTGTCTTGTCTACACAATCCACGCCAGGCCCTGCATACGGCCGCACTGTGTATTTGCTGTGATATTTTCTTTTTCTGTTCCCCATCAGCACTTTGTACCATCGCCTTTGAATCCACCCATTGGGCTCGCATGTTCGGCCCCTTGCATATTCCCGTCCCACGAATACAATGTGCTGCTTCAGCGTCCGCCTCGCTGGTGCGATCGACAGGCCAGCGAGCGCCGATTCGAAGCATCGCATGGATGTTCGCAGGACACTATGAAAAAATTTCTTGTTAATAAAATGAGCGAGAACGAAAAAGCGGCTCTCGGAGCCACCTCGGTCGGCGAGAAGAGCAGTCTCTGGCGAGAGACCCCCGAGGGAAGGCGAGAAGCCTCTCGCCGTCACACACACACACTCTGCACAAGGGAGTCAACCACCTCCCATCGACCATCCCAAGAGGGATGGCAACCCCGAAGTGGACTGCCCAGAATATGGGCGACCCGGCATCCACTGTCGACATACTCAAGGAACAGTGCGATATACTTACAGTCTATCCAGAAAGAAACGGGACAGTCACTTTCTGGCTTCTGAAGCCCACTGACTGACTGTAGGCCCAGCGGGTAGGCCATGGCATTGCACTCCTGACTTCGTCGGCAATCTCCTGTGGCGATGATCGACTGGCATACCGAGATCATGTTCCTTGAGGCATTGATGTCTCGATGTGTGAGTGTGGTGCATTCACTCTGCATAGCTTCATGGTTTCTCGATATCAAGATACTCGGGTGACTCAAGTCGCTTGAATTCCCGACAATGTGAGCACACCTGGGACGTGTTGAACTCGTTCACCGAGCACACATGGATCTTGGAGACGGATCGGTCTGGTGGGCGTCTCTGGTGGTGGTGGAATTGCTCAAAGTATTTGGCAAACCTGAGTCTCCTGGGACTGGATGCGTATCCCTTCCCTTGCTTCCAGGAGGCATTCCCAAAGGCAATCACCACTTCGGTCTCCTTTGGTGCCTGGTCGATGACTTGCTTGCACATCTCGTGGACGGTGCGCTGTCGCTTGCTGTGGAGATCGAGTCGCTTGAATCGCCGTCGCCGGGTCAGGCTGAAGTACAGCTGTTTCTCCAGCATGTCTCCATCGAACACATGGCGAATGTATTGCAGGAATGAAGCCAACCCAGGGATCTTGGGACTTGGTGTGGTGCTCATCCATTTCTGCAGACCAAGGATCTTGTGGGTGCTCTGGATCCATTTGGTCGCTTGGGTGGTGCCAGTTCGATGCTGGTACTCCTTGTTGGAGAACGACACGATCTTCTCGTTGGCACGCTGTGCCTTGGTCACCTTGACACCGTCTTGCTCCTGGATGGATGGTTGACCGGGTGCCCGAATGACAGCGGTGAAGATCGATCCCACACCAGGGTCGATCCCGATCCATGTGGTCCGAGAGTCGTCAATGGGACCGACCCTGGTCTGGATCTTCTTCTTGGGAGTGAGCTTGGGTGTCTTGTCGTCCTTGTCCACGGTTTCTGGCTTGACATCAGGATCCTTCTTCAGGATCTTGTATCTGAGCGTGGTGATCGAGCACCCGACCCCATCGGTGGTGATCTCGCAGCCAAAGAGCTGCTTCCCCTTCTCCCTGGCACCAAAGAGTCTCGACTCCAGCTTGAAGTTGGTCTGCCAGAAGATCTCTTGTTTTGTGGTGTCGTTGACCTTGGTCCTCAGGTCGTCCCACTTGAGCCCAGTGCCAGTCTGGTATCCAAGGATCTCCCACAATGCTTTGGTGTCCAGCTTGACATACTTGGCTCTGGCATCGCAGAGCGGGACCAAGGTGCACTGTGCTCGAGGGATGTTGTGTCGCTTCTTGGTCTGGGCAAGCCGGTCGGCCAGTCGCTTGATCCGCTTCGTGTTGACAGCGATCTGCTTGTCCACCTCCTCGTGCTGGGTCTGGAGTGCGTTGTGCTTGTCAGGCAGCCTTCGTTCGATGGCGCGACACATCTCTTCGTTCAGTCGCTCGCGCTCTCCTTTCAGATCATCAGTCACCCTCGCGAGCCTGGGAATGATCATCTTCTGAAAGACCACCATGAAGAGGGCCTCCTTCAGGCGGGTCAGCCGAGAGACCTCACTGGCCAATACTGGTACGACCTTGTACAGGTCTTGGTGGCTTTCGTACCGAAACTCATACAACTGGTCGGCATGGTGGGCGAAGGATTTCCTCAGATCAACGAGGAGTGTCTTGGAGAGGGGATTCTCCATCAGCTTGACACAATCATCGACGTGTGTATGCCGTTTCCCATCCTTGGGAGCAACCAGGGCCAGATTGCAGAATCGACGGAGGAGAGACCAGTAACGATCGAGAACGTGGGTCTCACAGTTGACTGCATAGGTCTTGACAGCCAAACCAAGGACCTGTGACCCAGTACCCTTTGGGAGGGACACTGGAGGCAGGATACACGACTTTCCCCATGCACGTCGATACAGGTCATATGTGTCGAGGAGATGCCTGTCATCTTCTGGGGTGTTTGTCCTGACACCCACTGTTCCGGTATGCACCATGTTGAAACACTTTCGAACAAACGAGGGGTCTTTCGACGACACAGTGGGGAGGGTGATGCCCTCGTCCAAGCACCGCCTGAGATGCAGCTCCAGGAGACGAGATGCTTCGAACTGCACGTGTGTCATGGCCCGGACGGTCTCCTCGATCTTGTCGTGCAAGGCATCGTTCTTGATGATGGCATCGAGAGTGCACTTGATGATTGAGTACTCGGCCTTGACTTGCTCGTTGGGGCCACAGTCAGGCAAGGTAGAGCTCCAGAGTGGGTTCTTCTTGGTACACAATGAACTGTTGCTTCTGGCATGACCCTCTTCCCCGCACGTGGCACATACAGGGACCTTGGGTGCGGGCATCTCGACCACGAGGGCTGGGAAGGCAGTGTCCTCGCTGGGCTCGTCTGGAGGGGGTGCTTGGCTGACCATTTCAGCGACCGAGGCAGAGCCAGAGGCAGGGCTGCTGTCGACTCTGGCTGTGCACTTCTTGGTGAAGGGTCTGACATGGTTGGTCAATCCACAGGAGGGGCATGATTTGATGACGGGCTTCTTGGCCACAGGAGAGTCACTGGGTGATCCTGGGTCGGGGTCGGGGGTGCCTTTCTCTTGGGAGCCATCTGGCGAGAAAATAGCGACGATGGCTGGTTCTGCCCTTGGGGAAGAAAAATTCTCCTCAAAACCAGCGCATTTTGGGCTGGCAGAGATACTGCACAGTGGCGTCCTTGATTCAGATCCAGAAACGCATCGCTCGCTCAATCAGTCGTGGGAAGACATCTTGTCAAGGTGAGTCTTGCCTGATAGCCAAACGATCATGTCATCTCGCTGACACACAGCCACGCTTGACTAGGTTTCCAACCAGAGAGATTCAGATGGTGGTGGTTCTTGTCCGCAATCGGAGTGGAGCTTCCAACAATGATACAATTGGTCATTCCTCCACACCAATTGCCCACCACCACCGTCAATCGGCTCAAGGTGATACCAAATGCCGTCAACCGACCATGGCTGGATTCCAACTTTTGCTGCGTCACATACAACGTGACTTTCAGGTGACCGAGATGAGCAGCCGCGAGGGGCCGGAAAAAAATTGATAGTGGGAGTTGCCCAGCCACGCCGTGCTGCGATTGGCTGGCCGCCCTGCCAGGTGGAGCCAATCAGCGCACGGAGTCGGGCGAGGAGCGAGGGCGTCTCGGCCGGCTCTCGCAACGGGCGAGACGCCCTCGCTCCTCGCTGTTTCCGTCGCCTTCCATTCCGCCTGACCGCTCGCTCGGCTGATCCACTCACCGTTGTCTGCTTCTTGGGTCCGCTCATCATCGCCAGCCCCCTTCTCTGCGTCGTCCGTCCATCTCCAGCGCCGATTCCCATCCACACCAAACCAGCGCCATGACCCGTGAGTACCCAGTCGCTTTCGCACACCCCAATACGGCGGTGCGACTGTCTCGATCGGCAGCGTCGTGCTTGGTTGAGCCAGGTCCCCGGGGCTCGATCGCTTTGGAGGATGCTTTGGAGGATGCTCTGGAGGATGCTCTGGAGGATGCTCCCGCTTGGCACCCATGGCCTCACCACCCAGAGCCCACAGCCCAAACCCATCTAACCCCCGTTGGCTTTGCTTCCCCCTCCCACACAATTCCTCTCTTCCGGCACCGTCACGGTTCGCACACATATACCATCGCTTTGACTGGGTCGTCGCTTGGCCGGACCGAATGGGCTCATTCCAGGCGGAAACCAGCGGAACGAAGCCCGAGCCAAGGCCGCCAAGATTGCAAACGAACGGACCAAGGGCCAGCGCGCCGATGGCCTCACCCCCGCTCAGCGAAAGGAACAGTAAGTCTGTGCTCTTCATTGTGCCCTGTGTTTTCCGGCCCTGCCCCTCGCTCCTGGTCATCGGGTTCGTCCACAGCTTGCCCATCGACCAGGAACCTCCTTGGAATTGCTATCGCCAATGCATCTGTCGTGCTTTGCTGACCTGCTCTCCCTCTCCCTCTCCCGCTTCCTCTCCCCTTGCCCAATCCGGTGTCGCGAATGTGTGCTCTTGTTGTCTCGCTTGCAATCGAAAGCGATGCCAAAATCATGAGGGAGAAGCAGGCGGCCAAGGCTGCCAAGGAAGGTGGCGCCGATCCAACCAGCTCTAAGAAGTGAGCGGCATCAGTCCGCTCATCCTCCCATACCAACTGGCAACTGTGGGCTGCCCACAAGAACAAGACGAGTCTGGAGGAGCTTGTCGATTGGGAGGGATGGAGGGAAAGGACGTGCCAAGTCGAGAGGAGAACGTGAAGAACAAAAGCAAAAGGAACAGCAGTTGTGAACCGGTAGCACGATCCCGCCGCCCCCCTCCCTCCCTGCCCTTCCCAGACGAAACCTTCATTCGTCGGGAGGAGGGTGTCAATGGTGAATGGTATGCCGGCCGATGAATCTGGGGGACGGGGCTGAGAGCTTGCTTAGCTCCGATGCCCATCAAGGACATCAAAGATGCAACGTGTATTTTCAACTCTATCAATGAAAAAAAAAAGATTCTTCGTGATCAACAATCTGTGCCCATCTCCATCTCCAAATTCCGACTCGATTACAAATACTCGGATACGGATCGATCGGCTTGGTGGGGCAGACGGGCTGCGGCCAAAATGCATGGCGTTGCTCGCTGTTTTGGATGATCTATGCAAACGCATGTCACCTCGACGGAGCCAAACCTGTCTTGGCTTCAGTTCTCGCCCGCACTCTCCCTCGCCGCGGTCGCAATTCGGCCGAGCAAACGTCCCAGACTCCATCGTCCCTCGGCTCCACATCCTGCCGCTCGCGTTGCTCTTGTCTTACTGATTCTCTCCAACCCCAGCGTCTCTTTGCTTTCATGTATGTCCCTCTGCCGCCAATGTTCAAATTTGAAGTATGTGACTTGTTTGCATCTCGCGCAACGGGTTTGCGGGAAGAGGATCTCGGGGACACATGGCATCCAGCGGGTGTCAATGGATCTCACCCGCGTGGTCTGGGCGGCTTCTTCCAGATACCATGTGATGTGGGGCCTCGTTCCGATCAACCCCCCCAGGCTCCAACAGCCGGCAATCGGTCACGGAGCGTGTGGGCTCCATCCTCCTGGTCGCACCCAGCCAGCCGAGGATCGCTCTCTGTGGGTGTGCGGCGATTGCTGCTTCGGCCCGTCGGATGCCCACGCAAAGACTGCTGTTGTCTCCGATGATCACCACGGCCGGCTTTGCAGGGCCTCATAACAGCATTGGCGCCGCTTGGGCTCGAGGCCATGGGCAATATACTCGCCGCTGCTGCCGGTGCTGGCGTCGTTCATGGCTGTGACGATCGATCTTGCAAAGAGGATTCGGCCTGATCCCGGCTTTCGTCGCCCTGGCCGCTCAGGGCCTGTGTGTAGTAGCCGACCCAGTAGTAAGCCGCGAGCAGATGGGACAGCGCCTGCTTGGACTTGGGGCCAGAGACAGTGTCAGGAATGCCACTCGTGCGGAGGGCGGTGGCAAGCGATGGTGCAATCGACGAGATCGAAAGGGCGCCGGGCTCCAAGGCCTCCGAATCCATAGCGGCAGGGATATCCTCGGCTTGCAGTCCACACGAAGAGCAGGGGGCATCTGCTGCCGAGCCCTCGGTCGCAGATGCGTGCTGGTCCAACGGAGTTTCATGTGCTGTTGCGGATCCATGCGATTTGGAGAGCCCCGGCGAGGCCAGATGCGGCACTTCGTTGTGCTCCTCGGACAGCTCGCCCTCGGACAGCTCCCCATCTTCTTCGTCCTCGTTTCTGTCCTCGTTCCATTCGTCGCGCAGGTCGGCGGACTCGGCCTTGGCTCTCTTGGGTTCTTGCGCCGCAGAACCTGCAGGTCGACCAGCAAGGGATACAAATCAGCCTGCGTGGAAGCGCACTGCTTGAGGACGCTCATCGTTCCTGAAGAATGGGACACATACTCTGAGGAGAGCCCGAATCGGCCTTGCGCTTCAGATGTGGATCCGTGTCGGCATCAGGACTGATCTGGAGGCTGTGGTGTTTCTGGAGGTTTGGAGATTGGTGGGCGTGTTTCAACAGCAAAGAAAGTCACGGCGAGAATATCAGTGCGTGCAGCCCAGAGCGGCCTCGGGTCGTGCGGGATAATGCCATCGGCGAGGATATTGCTCCCGAGGTATACGGCATCGGCGAGGATGTCTCATCGACACTCAACAGCAGCGTTACAGATTTCATATCTGTGACCATGTCGCATGGGCTGCTGTACCTTGTACGCCAGAAGTGCCAGATCCCAAGCTCGGATCAGAGACGAGTCGTCCCACTGCAGGGAGGTGAGGCGAGAGAATAGTCACAGTCAGAGAGGGTGGAGATAGCCGGCACTAGAACGGACATGCCGAATTCAGGCGCTTGGCTACAGATGCCCGAGCAAGACAGCGCGCGGTGTGGCCTACATCCTCAGGGTTGTGCATGAGGTTGGATCCGGTCGGTCTGGCCAAGGAAAGATGATCTGTCCCAAGCAGGATGATCTGTCCCAAGCAGGATGATCCGTCCAAAGCAGATGATCCCGAGCCCTGGATCGGTGGCAAAGGCGAAACGACCTCCGCCGCCGGATCGAGCCGCCGGATCGAGCCAGCGGTGCTCTCGGCGTGCTCTCGGTCGCTCTCGGCTGTCCTCGGCCGCCCTCGCTCCTCGCTCCTGCCCATATCGCGCCCTTGTCGTTTCCGCTTCCCGCCAGGCTCTCTGCACCGATCTATCCTCCACAACGCATCATCGCAGCGCATCATCGCAGCGCATCACCGCAACGCATCGCTGCAACGCATCACCATCGCAGTCGGTGCTCTGTCCATATACCGCCCCAAATTCCTTCCCGATCGATCGGCGCCCCCTCCATCTACACAGCCCAGCCAGTCCCGCGCCGAGCCTCCTCTCTCTGATCCCTCGCTCTGGCCCAGTTCCACCCTCGATCGATATTTCAAATCACCTTGAGATCTCGATCGGCTGTCCCACATCCTTCCGTGTATATCTCTCTTGGCCGCCGCTCTCGTCATTGAGCCTTCTCCACCCTCCTTCGTCTGCGGTCTCCGCATCTCTATTTTTTCCTTCCGGGGAGACCCAGCACAGCTTGCGCTCTCCGTCCCTGCCACCGAGACATCCCTCGGCTCCCACTACTCTCGGCGTCATCTGTTACCGTTCAGGACTTGAGCAGATCTCGCCGGTCCGATTGACCTCCATCTTCGTCAATGAAGATCACAAAGATCCCTCCAAAGAGGCTGGCCACCGCTCCGCCATGGGTGGTCGCTCTCTCGGATCAGCTCGTGAGCTGTCCGCAGGACGACCTGCCGACCCTCATCCACAGCCTGCCTGAATGGTCGCATCCAAAGGGCGACATGTTCCACTGGATCCCGGTCCTCAACCGCTTCGACCTGGTCCTCGAGGCCATCACAAAGCCCATCGACTCCACCCCGGCCTCGTCTGCGTCCATCCTGGATTCCGAGCTTGCGCCCGAGTCTGTGCCAATCATCACCAGCATCTTGCACTTTACCAAGCTGCTCTGGGAAAACTGCACCAACCGCAATCTGTATAATTCCTACGAGCATCTCATCAAGTTGCTGGGCACCCGAAACATCGTCGTCCTCGAGTCGGTCCTGGCCCTGCTCATCCGCTCGGCACAGAGAATCAGCTCCCAGCGCAGTCTCAAAACCATTCTCACATCCGCCCACGAGGCCGTTGTGCTCCTCGCTCAGCGCTGGCCCTCGCTGCGTGCCGGCACGGCGTTCGCTGATATTGCTTCGCCCGACTTTGTGCCCTCGGCCGATCTCTTTTCGCTCTCGTTCCAGTACTATCAATTGGCCGATCCAAAGCCAACTTTGGCCGTGGCCTCTGCCGATGCTCGCCCATCCGCCACCCAACCTGATGCCGTCTCGGCCGTTGGTCCAGCTGCTCCCCCCACCTCTTCCGCTGGCATTGCTGCTGACGCTGGACCCGCGGTGGCAGCTTCCGCGGCCGCTCTGTTCGAACATCGGCCCATCATTGCCGCACCGCCGGCCCTGAAGGATGCCCCGGTCAGCATCTTCGTCCCGGATCTCCGGCTGGCCGGCGCCTCCGACACCGAGATCCTCGCCAGCCTGGTCTCCCAGCACAAGATCCCGCTCGAGCACCAGTTTCCGCTCTTCCATCGCATTCGTACCATCTGGGGCCTGCAGTCCGCAGCGACGCGAGTGAAGATGCTGGAGCTGCGTCTGTTGGCCCTCGCGATATTCGGTAAGTCGCCGGCTGCGATGCACTTGCCCGTGTCTGTTTCTCTGGCTTCTTCGCCGTCGCACCCCCGCCTCGCTCTGTGCTGCGCCGTTAATACTTGGGCGTGTTCCTTGAGGGGCACGGTCATCCATCTCTTTCCTGTTCGTCGCGCAACTCATGCCATTGCCCACTGCTTGTCTCTCTTCTCTCACAACAGCCAACCTGACCAACGAAGAGGCCATCCAGACCAAGATCCTGCTCTACGAGCCCGATCTCATTACTCAGCTTGCAGCGCTCCTGAAGAGCGACTCGTTCGTTGGCAAGGTACTGCTCTCTCTGATCGCAGATGGTGCACGTCGAGCCGCTTCGATGGCGCGGTTTCTAACGCCTCTTCCTCCCCGTTGCCCTGCGCTGGCCATCATGGAATACGATAGCCGCTCCAGTGTGCGGCCATGCACGCCCTCGATGGCCTTGCCCGCCATCGAGCCAAGATGAACGAGGTGCTCGCTGCCCTCAATGCCTCCGCAAACCACGGCATCCTCATGTCTCTCGTCAAGAAGATCACCACTGGTCACACCGATGGTGCGCACGTCTCGTGCTGAGGACACTCGCATGGCCATGAAATGCGCTCGTTCTGAGCTTCGACTTTGATCCGCGACCGTACTAACTGTCGGCTTTCCCTTTCTCTCCCTCTCTCCCTCTCGGCTCAAGATCAAAGCCCGTCCCGCGAACTCGCTGATGCGGTACTGTCGCTGGTGACCCATGTGTCCACCACCCAGACCGGCGGCAATCTGATGATCAGCGGCGGCTTGATCCAGGCCCTCACCGATGTCCTGAGCATCACAGATCCCGGCCGCGTTAAGGTGAGAATGCAAACTGATGGTCGATCGGAGTGTAAAGCCCCCCTCCCGTCCCCGTCCAGAAGCGTGCATCCTCAGCGACTAACGCCATCCACACTACATTCCGTTGCAACCTCCTCGGTTGTCACGATCGACGTTGGTGCTCCCTCTCATCACTTCGGCGACGTCGACGGAATGGATTGGGCCTATTTGACACATACAGTATATCTCCCGATGCATCACGCTCCTGGATAACTTGATCTACGGATTCACGTCGGCCTTCTCGGCCTTCTCGGGCAACAACGGCTTGGCGCTGTTGGTTCAACGACTCAAAGTATGTATCGCAATGCTGGCTGTGAGTCCGTCTGATGACGGATATATTCCGTGGATCCGTGCATCTAGCTGAATGAATGCCGCGTTCTCATGTCTGCCGCAATCATTGCATGTCCTCCATGGCTCCGTCGTGGCCGGCCGTGTGGCAACAGGACGAAGTCGAGCACTACTGGATCCTCTCGGAAAACAGCATGCAGCCATACGAGATCCCGCACGAAGGCGCCGTCCTCATCAGGGCCCTCTTCAAGTTTGTCCTGCACATGATGCAAACCGCCGGCACCGCAGACAACATGCGCAGCTTGATCGATTCATCGCTCCCGTCGTCGATCTTGAAGGTTTACAAGAAATCCAATATGTACGGTGCCGGCATTTTTGGCCTTGGTGAGTATTATTCCCGGCCCATCCGGCCTGTCCGGCATCAGGATCCAACCTGGGTTGCTATACCGCCCCACGATGAGGCTCCGTTGATTGGGACCTGTGGTTGCCGGCCCACACTCCATGTACTAATGTAAAGCTTGGCTCACCCACAGCTGTCAACATCATGGCGACCTTCATTCACAACGAGCCGACAAGCTTGGCGATTCTCCAAGAGTCCAAGCTGCCGGAGGAGTTCTTGGCGGCCCTCAGCGGTCCCTTTCCCGTCTCTGCCGAGGTACAATCCCGCATGTCCGTCCTTGAGCCACGTTGGGCTCGGTCTGTCCTTGCTGCTCAGGACACCGCTCCTGGCGAGAGCGCTCGCTGCCATCCTGGGCCTCCCTGTGACCTGCTTGCTAAATAGCTGCACACCTCCCGTTCAGGTGTTTTCGGCCCTCCCAAATGCCTTTGGCGCCATCTGCCTGAACCAGGTCGGGTTGGACGGATTTATGGCAGCCAAACCCGTGCCCAAGTTCCTGTCGCTCTTTACGGCCGAAGAGAACCTCAAAAGCCTGCAGGACAACGACGTTCCCAATCTTGTTGGAAACGCTCTGGACGAGCTGGTGCGCCACCATCCGTCGCTCAAGTCCGACGTCATCACCGCGATCGTCCAGACGCTGCAAGCGATTGTGGACATGGGCAAGGTTGTCCAACCCGACGAAGTCGCGATGGTGTTCCTCAATACGGCCTCGAACACGGTCGCAGCCGACATTTCGACTTTGAGCCACGATGGATCCTCTGCGGCGCGCAACGAGCCCAGAATTCTGCAATTTTTCGACATCTATACCAGGGTACGTCGCTGCTCCCTACCTCAGCAGCTCGCATCAGAGAAGCTGCGGTCATTTTATAATATACCCGCACGGCCGCCCGTGTCGCTGTCTCGGTTGGCATGCGCCTGGGCTCTGCGGCTCTGCAATCTGGACTCGCCACGCTCCGCACTACTCACACACGATTCTGTCACCCACCGTAGGTCATGGAGGGCTTCTTCCAAAACCCGGCTCATTCCAAAGACTTTATCAAGCTTGGTGGCATGGAGCCTCTGCTGGCAATCACGGCGCTTCCTGGCGTTCCCCACGACTTTCCGTCGTCACCATCGTCGTACTCGATGAGCTTTTTGCTCAGGGCTCTGATTGAAGCCGATCACCAGGTCGTCATTGGCCATATCACGGCTGAGCTCAAGCGCCTGCTCGCGGAGGCCGAGGAGCTAATGAACGCCAGAGGCGATAGTGTGGTCATGCAGTACATTGACATCGAAGGTGTGTTGATAGTCGGTGATCCTGAGTCGTTTGTGGTACTGGATCGGCTGCTCCCTCCCTTTCCAAGCTGTCGTCATCAGTGCGTCCCCGAGTGCGAGTCAGGCTCACTAATGTACCACTCTTCGAGCAGACGCCGCCAAGCTGCAAAGCGGAAACCGGCTCTTTCGTGCTCTCGCCGCCATCAACGGATACACCCGGCTGCTTTCGGACATATGGTTTAGCCACAGCCTCTCGGTTACGCGCGGCATCATCATGATCTTGCAGGCGTTTGGCGAGAAGGACGACACGCTGCTGTCTTCGCTCGGCCAGCTCCAGCGTGCCTGTGGCTTCGAGAACATGTGTCTCAAGAGCTCTGTCCCAGACGCATGGTACAACCCAAAGAAGAACCCAGCCCAGAAGACTGTGTCGACGGCTCTGAGCTCCTTGGGACGGAGCACTGCCTCGTCCTCGTTTGATGCGCTAGACACCGTTCTGGCCTCCGGGATGGGCGACCGCATCGTCCCCATTGACTCGGACATTGCCACTGGCGGCACAAGCACACCTATGGCGACAGACCCGTCTCCGCTCGACAAGCACAAGCTGGTCAATGTCAAGGCTTGGAAGTATTTGCTGACCGAAATTCAGAGTGTCCTCGGCGTCACCTTCCAGTCCGTGGTCAAGGCCCTTTCGGCCCGGCGCAATATCGATGCTGCCCAGCGTCTCGCGGCCCATCAGCTCGTTGAGGCTATCGCCAAGATCTTGATTGATCACTTGAGATGGGAACGCCCTGGTACGTTGCATACCAGCCTCCGTGTGCTCACAGGAATCAGGCAGAGGGCATCACCACTCCTGATGTGCAGGATGATTGCGCCACCGCCTATACATTCCGCCCGAAACTCTGCAGGGTGGCCTCGTGACGTCGGATTGTTGTTCTAATGCCGGCCTTTTTCTGCGCTCTCTCTCGCTCGCTCTTGCTCAGCTCATGGCGGCGGCGCCATGAGGAACGAATATCTGACCAACGGCGTAGTATTTATCATAGCCCTTGTATCAGACGGTATGCTTCATGTGATTTGCATGGTGGCGTTGGATCCTGTGTCGCTGCTGCCCCGAGTACCAATGCTATTATCGCAGCCCATGTCTTGCATGTGCCGAGAGACAGACGCGTGCCCGCTGAGGCTGTCGCTCCTGTAGTCCTTGCCTACTCACTGACATCCTGTGCGCCAAACCCATTGCCACGAACTGACTCTGGACCTCTCAGATCGCAACAAAAGCACTGTTCTGAAGAGCATCACAGTCGCCTTCGTGCTGCACGGTGGCATCGAGACCCTACTGTCGCTCGCTGAGGGCGCCTGGTCCGACACCGAAGCTCTGTCCCAACCTGAGGGCGAGCCAAAGAACCACACCATCACCCTGCTCGAAAGCATCGTGTCTGTATTCGCGTTTCTCTGCTCCGCGAAACACCATAGCCACTCGACCACCCATCTCGTCCTTGCGCCTGGCGACGGGGACAAAATGTTCCACCGGTACCTTCACTTCCACAACGAGCTGTTGATCGATATTCGCCTGCTTATCGCGCCGCTGATCGTGAAGATTTGGCGCGAGCAGCAAGGCCGCACCGTGCCGCGGTCCATCATGAGCGGAGTCCTCGAGATCGTCCAGGAGATCCTGAAAGGCCAAGGCGAAGAACGTCGGTCGTCGCGCCTCCCCGGGTTTCCGCATGAGTTTTTCGAGAACAGTCTCAGCCTCCCCACCTTCCTTAGCTCCTTCCCTGGATTTCCTGCATCCGCCAACCGCAGAGCAACCCAGCCGCGGGCTCAAGCCGCCAACGAAGAGCGGGTCCAGCAGCTGATGGATATGGGCTTTCCCCGCGGTGCTTCCGCCAATGCCCTCATTCGCTTCCACAACAACATCGGACGGGCGGCCGATTATCTCCTCAGTCATCCCGAGGTGCTCTTCGACGATCCCACGCCCACCACGTCAACGGCCCCGGTACCTCCGTTCGGAATCCCAACGCTGCTCGGAGAAAACGCTCCAGAAGGAGCCGCGGATTCGTCCGATAACCCTTTGTTCCCCGAGGTCGAATCTGCCGTGGCCGGCGAGCCCATCGCGTCTTCGTCTTCATCCACAGCGCCCGCCCCCGTCGACACTGAAATGGCCGGAACATCGGCCCCGACTATGGCGCTGCCCGAGGCCAGCAGTAGCAGCAGCAGTAGCAGCATTCCGACCGAATCAAAGCCCGCGCTTGAGACCCCACAAACCGATCGTTCGACGTCGCTCAGTCACGACCCCGACTCCGTGACCCTGACAAAGCGAGCCAACGAGCAGCTCGTCAAGCTCAATAGCATCCGAAGCGAGCTCGAGAACGACTTTATCGATGTAGCCATCCCCCTCCTCTGCCAGTCCGAGGCTGCCATCTTCGATATTCGCGACATTATCCTCCACATCATCAAGACCAAGAACAAAGAGCTCCTCAATTTCCTGGTCAAAGCCGCTGGGGACGACTTTGCAGAGATCGCCAAAGGCGTACTCGAGGAGGCTACAACCAAGCGCTTACATGTGGCGCTGCGGCTGCTTGTCCTGTTCACAGGCGAAGGCTCGATTCGTGAAGATGTGCTCCAGGCCACCCGCCCCTTGATTGGCGACATCGTCAAGAGGATCGTCGAGCGACCTGTGGACGAGACCGAGCCTGTGTGGCTGTCGCCAGCGCTGTTGCTCGTTGAGCTCCATCTGATAGCACACAGCAACGCCGGACATAGCGGCGCTCCCAGCGGAAGCGGCGGTGCAGATCACATCCTCGAGGGCCATGAGGGCCAGACAAAGCTGATGGCTTCGATTCTGGAAATGAGCAAGGCAAAGCACTACGGCAAGCACCTCCAGAATGCCCTCATGGTTGTTCTCGTCTTTTTGACCAAGGACCAGCGCATCGCATCCGAGTTTGTTCACCTTGGCGGAATCGCTGAGCTGTTCAACTCTTCCAGGTTTGGAGGATTTGCAAATCAGCTGGCCATGTCGATGATGATCATTCGCCATGCTGTCGAGACCCAGGAGACCCTCAAGACGACCATGGAGGACGAGATCACACGGACCCTCTCCAAAGCCCGCCATCCAGGAATGGATGAGATAAACCAGTTTTTGCGAACCTGCAGTGGCGCCGTACTGCGTAGCAAAGACGCCTTTCTCGACGCCATAGTCGGCACTTGCGAGCTCAAGCGCTTCAATCCTCACTCGGCCAGGACCATTCGACAGCCGATCGGCCTCAAGAACATAGGTCCCAAGAAACCTGCTGGCGGCGATTCTGGCACGAGCCCCGACACCAAGGATCCCGCCTCGCTACCGACTGAGGTTGCTGAAGCTGGACAAGCCATGGCCATTGTCGACGCCCGTGATGAGGTGCCTTCCAAGGCCGACCGAGCAACATCCTCGACCGCCGCCGAGGCTGTTGTGCAGTTTATCATCTCCGAGCTGCTCAAGATGAAGGCCGAGGGCAAGGCACACTATGACAAGCCCTCGTCCGAGCTCAACGAAGATGATGAGCGGTTCCACATCAAGCGCTGCTTCCTGCTGCAGGCCCTGGCAGAATTGGCTGTGTCCTATGAGGCGTGCAAGTACGAGATCCTGGAAGGCAGCTCGTCCAGACGGCTCAAGACTCCACAAAAGAGCCGCATTCCGATCGTGAATCATGTGGTGCAAGACATCCTGCCCCACGGATGCCTGAGCCTTGAAGGCAAACTCAGCAAGCTCGACAAAGTGCGCATTGACGAATCGCGCTGGGCAGCCTCGCTGCTCACTGCCCTGTCGATCGATTTTTCAGACACCAAGTCGTCCCCGGATGATGCTAAAGAACCCAAGCGCGATATCCTGACGACGACAAGCAAGAAGGCGGCTCTCGAAGCCGTTGCCCGAGCCATGAAAGAGTCTCTCTCCAGCGCCGACACATTGCAGCAGCAGTACTCCAAGTTCTTTGTGTACTCGGAGCTGTGCTGCAAGATCCTCAGCACCAAGGTGCGGACCGTGGTCAACGGCGAGGATCCAATCAACGCTGTTGGAAAAACCATGCTCGAGAAGAACTATGTCACCCTCTTGACCTCGATGCTGGGCGAAGTCGATGCTGGCCATCCGAATGCCACCACCGTGATTGCCGCCATTCTCAAGCCGCTGGAGCTCCTGTCCAACCTGGCAATCAAGATCGGCAAGGTTGTCCCGGCCTCCACCCCGCCGAAACCCAAGAGCACGCAGCCTCTCTCGCCAACAGCTGCTGCTCGTGCTGCCACCGCCATGGAGATTGCTGACGATAGCCGCGCTGACGATAGCGACGATGATGGAGATGAGGATGAGGACGAGGACGAGGACGACCGGATCCAAAACGAGGAAATTGACGACCCTGAGCTCTCGAATGCGTATCGCACCTCTGCTTTGGGCATGTTCAACGCTGCCGGTGATGCCAACGACCAGAACGAATCCACCGACTATGACGACGACGAGGACGACGAAGGTTATGTTGAATATGTCGACTACACCACAACCGAGGGCGAGGATATGTCCGAAAGCGAAGACTCGCTGGTAAGGTGCACAGGCTCGCCAAAAGCGAGGCGCGGAGGAATGACGGGAGTCGGTGAAGGGGTGTCGACCAGCGGAGAGCGATGGTGTGGAAAATGGAATCGAATGGAATCGAATCCGAGTAGAAAATGGCAGGCCATGAACCGTGGCGGGTGATCCGCGGCAGTTGATCCCAAAATCAATCCGCGGCAGTTGATACACGGCCGACCGATCCAGAATAGCGTCTAGCGGGAATCCTTGTTGCGGCCATGCTGCTCACGCGATTGTTACATGCAATAGGCCTCCGATGCCGACGATGACATGGAGATTGTGGTTCCAAACACCTATCAAGGCGGCGTCGATCTTCCACCCGAAGAAGAGGAGGAGATCGGTGCAGACGACGACGAAATCGACGAAGATCACGACCATGACGACGACGAAGAGGAGGAGGAAGGCGAAGAGGACGGGGCCGTTGAGGGCGCTGCTCCGACCATCGACTTTGACGACGGCGATGCCATGTGGGTCGATGCCGAAGATGATATGAACGTTGACCGACGAACAGAGGATCAAAGCGAAGGAGACGATGGCGACCATGACCTTGGCGTTGGTGCGGACGGCGTCCGCCAACGCAATGATTCCGACGGACTCTTTGACTTGACGAACGACGACATTGAAGAAGAAGAGGAGGACGAGGAGGACGAGAGCGAGGAAGAAGACGAGGACGACGGTGCCTATGAATTTATCGAGGAGTTTGGCGAACAGCCCGACGACGGCGACGAGGGCACTCACCACGAGATTCCGCTCCACAGTGCAACCTTCCGTAGCATCCAGCGAAACCTCATGGCTCTTGATAACCACATGCATCATCATCTGCATTCTGAGCCGATTGCTCGAGTTGCTATGCCCAACGAGATTTCGCTGCTACACCCCCTCCTGATCAACCCTTCCCGCAACCAACCGGGCGACCTTCGGATCGGGATGCCCCCGAGACGCAGCCGCGAAACGATCCGGCGTCGAGTCCCCGGGCTCCTGAACGGCCTTGGCAGCTTCCATCCAGACAACGTGGCCGAAGTCATGGAGGAGATTCTGTCGCGCGCACAGCGCATGGGATCAAACGGAGAAGTCTTTGTTGAGGTCCCTGACACCTTCTTGACCGGAACGGCTCATCAAGAACTGCGCGGCCGCCTCATCGGCGCCGAGCGGGCTGTGCTTGCCATCCCTGAGCCGCCTCCGATCTCAGATGTCCTCGCATCGGCCCAGTCACTGCTCGTTACAGGAAGCATGGAGCGATGGGCCCAGGAAGCGATGCTGCTCTATGGAACCACCGCACTCGAGACGGCGATGAAGGTCTCGGATGCGCTCTTGGATCGGCTCGTGCCACTGGCTGAGCAGGAAGTAGAGCGCAAGCGCTTGATACAGGAGAAGCTGAATGAGGAGAAAGCCCGCGAGGAAGCACAGCGGCGCGCCGAGGAAGAGAAACGGCGCAACGAAGAAGAGCAGCGACTCACCGAAGAGAAGAGGCGTGCGGAGGAGCAGGAAGCCGAGAAGCGAGAAGCCGAGAGGCTTGCGGCCGAGCAGGAAGGCGCCATCGCCGGTCCGTCCCAGATCACCCCCGACGCCGCGCCCTCAAACTCGGCCACTGAAGTTGCGGCCGCAGCTGTGCCAACCCAGCCCGCCACAGAGGAGCAAGTCATCGTTACGGTCTTTGGAAACGAGTATAACATCACTGGTAAGCCCGAATCACCATCGATGTGTCTCGGCGGAGGGCTGCTCCTGCCAAAGTAGGGCAGCCAGAGCCTCAGTGGCAGTCGTGGCTCGTGGACTGATTTTGCTATTTGTGTTCGCAATTCGGATATCTAACTCACCGACGTTGCACGCAGGTACCGGCATCGACCCAACTTTTTTGGCTGCACTTCCCGAGGACCTGCAGGAAGAAATCATCCGCGAGCATCTCCGTGAACAGCGCCTCTCGCGTCCGCCGGTGCAGCCCTCGTCTGACATTGGACCAGAGTTCCTTAGTGTGCTGCCCGAGGAGCTCCGTTTCGAGGTTCTGGCCCAGGAGCGCGCAAGTGGCTCCAGTGCGGCCGGTGAAGCGACCACCGGCCAGGGTAGCGGCTTGCACGGCTTCCCCCCTTCCTTCCCGACTCCCTTTGGCCAGCCTCCGTTCATGGAGTCGAGCGTCCCGTACATCAGTGAGCTCACCAACTCACTCCTGCGAGGATCTACCGACGCCTCGGATCGTGTCAGACATCTCTTCCAACCGGCGCATATTTCCATCACTGGAGGCTTCCGGCCGGCCAAAAAAGCCTCCTCCGGCTCCAAGGCCACCCGCCGTGAGCCCATCCAGCTTGTAGAGAAGCCCGGACTGATGAACCTGCTTCGGCTGCTGTTTGTGCCGGAGCCTCCCAAGAAGCAAGTCATTCTCAAGATATTGGTCAACTTTTGCGAAAACAGCAAGAGCCGAACCGACCTGATGGTCCTGCTCCTGACGATGCTTGCCGAGGGCAGTGTCGAAGTCTCCACAGTCGACAAGGGTCTCTCGCAGCTCTCGATCAAGGCCAAGATGAAGCAAACCACACCCAAGAAAGGAGGCGGGGCACCAAGCGCCGCTGCCCAGCCCTCGCCGCTGCCGCCGTCGGCTTCGATCAGCCTGGGTAGCCTCGAGAGCATCCCTCATTTGCTTGCCCAGCGAAGTCTCGAGGCACTGATCCACCTTGTTGAGCTGAATCAGCGCATGGCCCAGTTCTTTGTGGTCGAGGACGAAAGCTTTAGCCAGCTCAACTCCAAGCCCAGTAAGCCGGTGACGCCGAAGCGGGCCAAGGGCAAGGAAAAGCCTCAGCCCACTTCGCCCAGCTACCCGCTGATTTCGGTGCTGCTGCTGCTCGAAAAGCCCCTGTTCCGGTCCAATCCTCGGCTGATGGAGCAGCTGATGCATCTGCTTGCAATCATTCTCAAGTCATTGGCTATTCTCAAGGAAAAGGCCGACCAAGGTGCACAGGGCTCGACAGGCGGGCCTTCGACAGCGCCTGCTGCCTCTGGCACGGTGGCTGTCGCCGGTCCTTCAACCGCCACTGGAACAAATGTGGAGGCCCCAGTTGCATCGTCGTCATCCACGGCTCCCGTCGAAAGCGTCGGACAGCCCAGTACCGCAGCTCAGCGAGACGACGCCATCCTGGCCTCCATCCCAGAGTCGTATCTCCGGAGCGTAATTGATGTTCTTACAGCCGGAGAGTGCACCAGCCGCACGTTCCAGAACATCATTTCGGTGATTCGCCATCTGTCTCGAGCGGACCGTAACCTGGAGCTTTTCACCAAGAAGCTGCGCGAATCGGCCCAGCAGCTTGCCGATCACATGCTGCAGGACCTTGAGAGACTTCAGTCGGCCCTGGCCACCACCAGCACGGCGGGGGTCCCCGATGAGACCATCGTCGACACCTTCTCGTCGCCAACAAGCCATCAGTCCAAACTCTTGCGTATCTTCAAAACAATCGACTTTGTCTATTCCAAGACCCCAAGCAAGCCAACCGGCGAAAAAGGCGCCAGCGAACCACCTGTTTCCTTTGATGGCCAGGCATTGATGGGCATCTACGACGGATTGGTTCTTGCGCAGCTGTGGACCAAGCTGGGCGTGTGTTTGGCGGCCATCAACGACAGCCCCGAACTTATCAGCATTGCCACCATCTTGCTTCCGACAATCGAGTCCTTCATGGTCGTCTCCAAGCCCTATGTGCTTACTCTCGAGCATCGCAGTGCCAGTGGGACGGGCAGCTCGGCCAAGACCCACGCGAACGAGGATCACTTTGTCAAGTTCACCGAGACACATCGCAAGCTGCTGAACATCATGGTGCGCAACAACCCGTCGCTTATGAGCGGCTCGTTTGCGCTCCTCGTCCAAAACCCAAAGATGCTCGAGTTCGACAACAAGCGGACGTACTTCAACCAGCAACTGCACAAGAAAACAAACCGGATCCACTCCGGGTCGCTGCCCATCACGGTGCGCCGCCAATATGTCTTTGAGGATTCGTACAATCACCTGCGTGACAAGAGCGGCGATGACGTCAAGTACGGCAAGCTTAATGTCCGGTTCAAGGACGAGGAGGGAGTCGATGCCGGCGGTGTGACGCGCGAGTGGTTTTCTGTTCTTGCCCGCCAAATGTTCAACCCAGACTATGCGCTATTCAAGTCGTCGGCAGTCGACCGAGTGACCTACCAGCCCAATCGCTCCTCGGGCGTCAACCCGGAGCACCTCTCGTACTTCAAGTTTGTGGGACGTATCATTGGAAAAGCCATCTACGACGGACGGCTGCTTGATTGCTATTTCACCCGGTCTTTCTACAAATGCATGCTTGGCATCCCTGTGGACTACAAGGACATGGAGGCGATTGATCCTGAGCTCTACAAGTCCTTCGAGTGGATCCTGTCGAACGACATCACCGACGTGCTCGACCTGACCTTCAGCTACGAAACGGACGAGTTTGGTATCCACAAGGTCGTCGACCTCAAGGAAAACGGCCACAGCATCCCCGTGACCGACACGAACAAACACGAATACGTCACTCTGACGGCCCAGCAGCGCCTGGTTGTGGCCATCCAGCAGCAGATCAACGCCTTCCTGGCCGGCTTCCACGAAATCATTCCCCGGGATTTGGTCAAGATCATGAACGAGCAAGAGCTCGAGCTCCTCATCTCGGGGCTGCCTGACATCGACATCGATGATTGGAAAAACAACACCGAGTACCAGAACTACACCCCGGCTTCACCACAGATCCAGTGGTTCTGGCGGGCTGTGCGCAGCTTCACCCAGGAGGAGCGAGCCAAACTCATCCAGTTTGCCACCGGCACGTCCAAGATCCCGCTCGAAGGCTTTGCGCACATCCAGGGCTCGAACGGCATCCAAAAGTTCCAGATCCACAAGGACTTTTCGTCAACATTGCGGCTGCCCTCGGCGCACACTTGGTAAGCAGCTCGGGTCTCAGCGCGTGTTTGGGGCTAGCACGATCGCCATGGGGTCCCTCTTGAACCCAGCAGAGCGAGGATTGTCGTGTGCTCGAAATGCCATCGAGTTGAGTCGAGTCGAGTCGAGTCTGGCCAAAGATGTTCTGACACAACTTTTGCTTTGCCCGTGTCGGCAGCTTCAACCAAATCGATCTCCCCCAGTACGAGTCGTACGAGCAGCTGCGGTCCAGTCTGCTCACAGCCATTTCAGAATGCGGAACCGGATTCGGACTGGCTTAGATGCGATGATGCGTCGACAGGGCTGCTCGCCATTCGGGCCGATGTTTGCATGCCATACCTGTTTTGAGTTCCACGGAAGGCCGCGGGATATATTACGAGTTTCACGGCGTTCACGATTGAACGGGGCACCTTGTTTTTGATCAAAGGGCTTGCTCCTGAATATACACATTCCATCAAACCATTATGGGGCGGCAGGGCTGGGTGGGCGATGCGATGGTTGCATCCTGCTTCTGGTGGAATATCTGCTTGTCTCTTTCTTGGGATCCACGTGATCCACACTGGCGCACTCGATCCTGTCGGGCGCACTCGATCCAAGATCGCCGTCCTTCACCATTCGCTCGCGCTGACATTTCATCCTTCGCCCAGCATCAACCTCGAGCATCGGCATCTGTGTTCATCCAGTTCCAACCGAACGGCTGCTCTTTGGTCTCGCTCCTCTGCGCAAGCACAGTCCTTTGCCCCCCATCGACGCCTCGTCCAGGCTCACCTCGCTCTTCGCTTGCAGCCATGTCTTCGATTGTTGCATCCGGCCAGAAGCGCAAGTTTCACCATCGGATATATACACAAATCACCAACAACACACCGATAGCGTCACAGCCGCTGTCGCCGCCACAGAAACGATTCGTCTACCTTCCGATTGCCACAAATGGCGAGATGAAGCCTCTCCTGCGGCGGACGGGCCCGCTTCTCTCCATCCACTCACCAGCCCCATCCTCTCCCCAATCGTTTGCTGAACCGATATCGCGAGAGCCAACCCCGACTCCCGCTCTCCTATCCGTCGCAGCGGTAGGCAGCGAGCCTCAAGCTGGAACCAGTGGTAAAGTCGACCCCAATCGACGGCATCGCTCCCTTCGCCTATCGAGACATTGTGGCCATCGCACCCATCACCTTTGGCTGACCACAGAGCGCGCGATTGTCATTTTTAGAGAGTCGATCGCTTCCATCCAATAACGAGCCGATAGAAAGGCTGCGGTCTCCTCTCGGTCGGAGCAGCGGCCTCTCCAGTAGCACTCCCTCGTTTGCTCCGAGGCCTGAATCCAATCGGGGCCCTCCATCGCCATCAGCAGCAGTTGAGCGCCCTCGTCGGCTACTGTCTCCAAATGAAGCTTCGAGTGGAGCCTCGGCCGAAACCAAACCGATTCATGAAAGCCCATCTGCCGGGGACAACCAAAATCATCACGGCAGCAGTGTTGCAGAAGGACCCCGAACAAAGTCCGGCACCGGAGTCTCCTCCGAGACACCCGACTGGAGCGTTGGAAATGCAACACCATCCCGGCCGCCTTCCGACAAGGCACCATCGACCACTATGGACTCTCTGGAACGACAATCGGCGGGCGGATTGCTTGTGTCAGCCCCATCGGATAGCAAAACAGACGCGAAGGTGGCCGAGCCTGGCGCATCGCACCCTTCGTCAGTCTTGTCTGAAAAGAAGAAGGAGGCAAAGCCCAGGCAGGACCCGACTCTACCAAGGCCCAAAGACAACCGACACATCTCGAAACGATCGCTCCTACCGTGTGTCGATGCCCTGACAGTCATCCAGTCGACATCGGCCCACTACATATCATGTAAGTCGTTGCTATCTCCCGCCATTCTTCAGCGCCGACTTTGAGTGGAATCGCAGACCCTCGGTGCACAGGCAGATAGGGTCCGGGTGCACCCATACGATGCATCGCTGGAAGACATCGAATACCCCATGAAATTTGGCTTCCCGAGTTGATGGTTGCTCTCAAACGACCCTGGCTGGCTGACATGGCCTATTGGGTGTATATCATGTCAGCACTCTACTATCGTTCCATCCTTACTTACCCCGAATGGTTTTCAACCGATTGGCAGTCGATACAGCTGTGTCTGGAGGCAAGCGTCCGAATGGCTTCGCAATTGAGTCGATAGACCTGGAATATCCAGGGATCGACGCTGTCGAGAAGTAAGGACGGCCGATGAGAGTGCATCTGCCTTCTCAAGGTGTCGGAGCATTTGGAGTCACCGATGCACCCCAAAGCCACTTTGACAAGCACATACTTGCTCGCCGCCCACTTGCCTGTCACCTCGCACTTGACCATAATCGCTAGTGATTGAGCAAGCCAGTCCGCTTACCCGTCTCGCTCTGCTCCAGATTCCCCCTGGTTGTGCCCACTAAACTCGGCGAATACAACCCAACCCATGATATTTACACGACAACTCAGATGATTGTCGAGTTTTGTATTCCGAAGGAGCACTCATCCAAGTTTGGGGATACAAAACATGGAACTCTGCGCAAGATCATCAAGTCTTGCCATCGGAGGAACGTCCAGGATCTACGTGACGGCGTTGCTGCGTTCAACGCGCAGCTCAGGGAACTCAAGAAGCAGGGCTTGTTTGAGAGATGCGAGGGGCTCGGCGGCGCTGCATCGCCCAAGCTGGTGTCGCACATACTGGATCAAGCATATGCCCGCTCGGTCGCGCCATACTCCAACCACCTGAATAACTATCGAGGTAGCTTGACTTTCATCGAGAGCTTGCTTTCACCGGAAAGTACTGCATTCTTTACCCCCGACCAATACGTGCACGCTCAAGAACAACCATATATCGATCCCATGGAGTGCTAACTTTGCTCACGGAACATCTGTGCCGCTGGGCCTGATTGCTGCGGATGTGGCATGTGGCAGAGTTTTCAAACAATGTCTACGGTGAGGTCAAGCACTCACTCGTCAGCGAGATCATCGACCGGGCCAAGATCCAGCCCCACCATGTGTTCCTGGATATGGTGAGTCAACAAGCTGCCAGTGACACCAATCTGTCAGCGAACCATCGTCTCCGCGTCATTGTGGTTTGCAAATGCATCATAGACCAACGTGGGACTCAGCTGACATTCGCGATCGCGAGTGGTTGGGCAGCTTGACCCAAATCGACCCATCCGGCGGCTCTGCAGCTAATGGATCGACTCTCCCCGGCCGCATCTACATCGTCACCAGGGCAGTGGTATTGGAAATGTAGTGCTCCAGATCGCCGCACAGTGTCTTTGCGAGTCGTACGGGATCGAAGTGATGCCGATTCCAAGTAAGCTCGCAAAGAAACAGTGCAAGGAGCTGCTGTCGAGACTCCGGTAAGCAAAATGCAAGGATATAGGCCTTGTGTATAGCACCAAGGCCTCCAGGCGGACTGCCCCACTTGGATGTACATCCAAATCAGTCGGACTGCAAAGAGCTCCCCGGATTTCAATCTGATACAGGCGTGCTTTGTTTGCAATCCCCACTCATCTCCGTGCCCTTGCACTTGCCGAGACACTCAGCTACTATGCAAAGCCCTGTGGCAAAATTACTTTGAAGCAAGGAGACTTTCTCGAGGACCCAGAGATCCATGATGTGATCAGGCGAGCTGACATCATTTTCGTCAACAAGTAATACGCTTCGTCACATCGCAGCACGACCACCACGCTTCCCTGGTGCTGTGTTCCGCAGTGTGCAAGCACCATGCAGTGCCTCGCGATCTGGCTGATTCATTCTATTCAATCTACCTTGATGTCGTTTCGGTGGTTCATCTGAGGTATACTGTCGCCTTATGCGCTGGAAGTTGATACCAATACCACTCTCTGTCTGTGCTGCCAGCTATGCCTTTGATGCCCAACTGAATCAGAGAATTCTCCACAAGTTTCTGGATCTCAAGGACACTGCCAAGGTGCGTTTTGTTGCCCAGTCGGTGGCCACAACAGGGGTGGCCAGCGATTTCCGCGACTCACCACTGAGCATTGCTTCACTATCGATATGCTTTACGCGTCCAGATGTCTAGCATACGTCAGCGACATTCCTTTACAGCGCCTTCTATAGACCCATTCAAGTCTGCTATGTGGATTTATATTCTGCTTTGCCGCTTCGTTGAGCTGTCGGCTGTTCTAACACTTCCAAAACACTCACACAACCCTCGCCCAGGTCGTTTCGCTCAAGAACTTTGTGCCAATCGATCGGAAAGTGAGTCTGCGGCGAAGCAATGCCATCGAGTCAATATTCAGCATTGAGGAGCACTACTTTGCTCGGGACAGGTATGTCTCGGTGTTGGCTGTGGCAAGACTGCTTCGCTCGTAAGCGCCATCTCATTTGATTGCGTTGGAGGTGGAATGATGCAATTTATGCTGAAGTTAGTGTCGAGCTGCTGGAACGCACCTGATATCGAACGTTCCTTCGGTTCGGTGCGATCCATCGATAATGACGCTTGTGCGTGTTCTGTTCCCAGTGTCTCCTGGACAAACGAGGGCGGTCGATACTTTATCCACACAGTCGATCGGGCCTCGCTCGGAGAGCTTCATAAGCAGCTATAGGCCGCATGCATATTGCCAAGTTGGTCTGGCAGTCGGCAGGAACACCTTCCGAGCCGTGTGGCACTGCTCATGGTTTGCACATATGAAGGAGGCCGGGAGAGCAGCGCTTCATCCAACTGTAGCCGGGGCAACAAGATGACTCTCGCCCCTACTGCTCTCTCTAGCATGAAGTGATATGCTCTTCGGTTGCTGCGACAGCTCGCGCAACTATAATGAGAAAAATCGTCCTTGAACAGGCTACAGCGCATCGCATCGGGGTCCTACTGATGAAGGCTCGCGCAGCGAAAGGGGACATTCAGTTTCTAGGTCAATGGTCCGCTTTCCGATCTTCAATACACACACACGCACATGCACACCTGCACATCTGTACACGCACATTTCGTCGCTGCGGCGAAAGGTCATGCTGGGCAGTCCAGTCAATCCAGAAAGCAACGGGACAGTCTCTTTATGCCAACGGCATCAGCGACACGATCCATAGGCTCCAATGGGCTGGATGTATATCCCTTCCCTTGCTTCCAGGAGGCATTTCCAAAGGCAATCACCACCTCGGTCTCCTTGGACATGGTTTGGCCATTGGGGGCGATGGGCGGGTGGGTGTATTCAGGTTCCAGAAAGCCACAGCTGTCCTAGCTCAAACGGAATGTCCCATTTCGTTTTGGGAACGATGTATATTCAGTCACCAGCAATCGATCGCGTGGATTCGCAACCCGATATCTCCACGACAGTGCTACTCCATGCGCTTCGCCCGGTTCGCAGTCGCAGAGCGCCATTTCCATGCTATCGGTGCTGCTCCATTCCCACGTCAAATACTACTTGCATTCAAGCCAAGCCTGCTCTTCAGTGAATCAGGCGTAGGTCGACCCTTGCTGTGCTATCCTCTTGCGCACCCAGCATCTCCGCTCGTCAAATGCACGCTCATGGTATACTTCCAAAGAAAGCTGAGTAGAGAGCTCAATAAACAGTGTTACCAAGCATCTGCAGGAGCAGCGAGCGAGCGAGCGATTAGTTCCATACCACAGATTCCGGTTGACACCCGACACTGCCTATGATTTGCCGATGCTTCAACCAACCCCGCCTGGGGTGTCTACCACCAGCACTGGATATGACTAAGGCCCTCTCCCTGCGCTCGTCGCAGACGGAATCATCATCCAAAGCACTGCAGCCAGATTACCTTGTTGAGGGAATGGCGTTGTCTGTCGGCCCGATCTGCCGGGCCTACATTTCGGGCCTGTGCATGCCACCAAGGGCCACAAACACGCCCATCTCAGACTCGGGTGGGTCTTGGCCACCAAAGTTGGCCTGCCAGCACTCGGCCGGGGTTTCCTCGGAAGCGTCAGTCCCGAGTGGTGCGGTCTCACGAGCAGGCTCCATCCACCCAAAGTTGAGGGTGCCAAGCTTCGACTCGAGATCCGCAAGCTCCTCAGAGGCTCCCGACAGAAATGCCGTCCAGAATGGGTCGGCGGGGTCGATGATGTTGCGAACAGCGCCATGGACCGGCTCGCTGGACTCGAGCTCGGTACGAAGCTTTCTGGAGACCACAGGACGCTGGAAGCTGGGCCGAGGCGAGGGGCGCAGCACGGGAGTGGGCAGGTTGGCCTGGAGCCAATTGCCGTTGCTGAGCGGGTCCTTGACTCTCCCTTCCACGGCGAGCTCGGAACCGTCCCACGAACCGCCGAGGCAGGCAAAGAGTGCAACGGCGATCGGGGTGATGATTGCGCGGTCCTTCTCGGATCGGCTTGCCAGCTCGAGGGTCATGGCTTCCAGATCCTCGTTATTCTGCTTTTCCATCCAGCCGAGCTCAACACCCGACTCTCGGATCAGAGATGCGACATCGTAGGCACGCAGGTTGATGGCCGACCAAACACAGTCTTCGGCGATCTGTGGCTCGAGGTGCAGCGGCTTGAATCCAGGGTTGGTCGCGTTGGGCGGATTCAAGAGGTACTTGACGACCTGATAGCGATGCAGCTGGGCATTGTTGGTGCTTTGGATGCCCGCGAAGGTGGTGCCAAGCTCCCTGCCAAGGTGCTCGTCTGAGGTCGAGCAGTAGCGCGAAAGCAGCTCGCTTCGTCGAATGACGGGATCGGTGGGAAGGTTGAGCAAAAGCGGCTCCTCCGGGGCGGCGACCAGCGAAGACACGGATTGGCGAGTGTCGGGGTGGTCGATGGTTCGCGGGGCTTGTTCCAGGATGAATTCGACCAAGTCGTCGTTCTTGGCAACCACCGCCAAAGCAAGCATGCGCGCCGTGACTTGGAACTCGTCGCTGTCCTCTGGTCGGAGGCCAAACATCACCTGGGCCAGGACCAGATCGCCCTTTTCGCAGGCACTTTCGATGCAGATGCGCCATCGCACGTTGAAGGTGCCGGGATTGCACTCTTGTTTCCAGCGATCGACGATCTGCCGGACTATGTCGAGGTTGCCCTTGGCGACGTTCTTGCTGATGATGGAAATGTCGTTGTACATCTTAATAAGCGACGCCTTCTCCTCGGTGAAGCCTATCTTGGCGATGAGGTAGTTGGATATCTCCCACATATCGTTCGCGACTGCGACTTGCAGAATGTCGTAGAGCATCTCGGTGAAGTAGCCGCCGTCCTTGAAGAGGAAGTCGAGGACATCGAGGTTGTTGAGCTGGACTGCCAAGTGCGGCGCATCAGGCACATTTTCAAAAACAAAGGTGCGATGGCTCTTCACGAGCTTTTCGAGACAGCGCAGCCCATAGTCGGCCACCTGGGTGTTCTCATGGGCGACCGTAGAAGCCGAAATGAGCATGTAGACCCATATTTTCCACGAGGACTCGTCAAAGTAGTCGTAGAGCCGCGACTGAAGCGAGAAGAACAGCTCCGAAGAGAGCTTCATCCGTCGCTCCTGGCAGATGCGGAACCATGCTGTTTGGATGAGAAGCTTGTGGTCCGGACCCTTGTACTTTGTCAGAACCTTGATCAGAACCAGGCAGACGTCGGCAGAGATGAGTTTATCGGGAAAGGAGCCATACTCTCTGGCTTGTCGATCTTCGTGGCGGTCGACCCACTGGGTGTAGCTCGTTACTTTCTTCGAATCTTGCTCAGTGGCCCACTTCATGAGCATCTCTTTGTGATGCAGCAGCCACAAGACGCGGGTTGACGGTAGCTTGGAGCATTGGTTGAGGTTCTTGTTGGTCTGGCTCAAGTTTAGTGGGTGGTGGCAGAACTTGTAAATGTGCGACAGGACTGTGTTGGGGAGATCTGCAAAGCGAGCCATGTTGTCTGGGCGACACACATATCGAGGAAATATGCGTCAGTCAAACAACATACAAGCAAAGGAAGCATCGCGCGAGTGTGCATAGATGCGATGGCGGACATCAGAAGCTGGAGTTGAATCCGCTCTGTTGGATCCAAGAATTCATGGTCCTGTGATGCAAATGAGGCGAAGACAGTTTGCACCAAATGCGAGGCACAAGCCGGCAGCCGCACCGACTTACGGGTAGCCTGAAATGAAGAAACTACAGTCGATAGCCGTTCGCTTGGTAGCGTCAGTAGATGTGAGTACCCGCGTCGATGAGGAATTCGGTGCAAAGTGTGCTCCGTACGACAAATGATTTGATGGGACAGAGGGTGTTTACAACTAGGGGATTTCACCAACTGCCTGGAGAGATGTAATAACAGGGCAAGGTGGTATCAGGAATCGCTGACCGGGCTGCAGCCTTCGATAGCGAGCTCGGAAGTACCTTCGTTGGCCAAAAACTCGCATCCTCGCAAGCGCCCCACTACCAAACATCTCGAGCCGTGCTTGAATGTTCTCCGGTCACACGGCGGCCGGCAATCGCTCAGTTGTCAGCACGCCAGTCTTTCGCTCAAGAGTGGACTCGGTGCAGCCAGAGAGCGTGTGGTTGGGAATCTACAATTCGCCCTGAAAATGCTCACCTTCCCCAGTTCCAACAGCGTAGGGGGATGCAGAGGATCAGACACCGTCGGCGACGCTGGTTTCGTGGGACTTGTTTAGTGGAGACGACAGAAAGGAGAGTCTAAAGAAAGTGTGCTGTCGGTCATTCATCGACGGTTGGGTGCTCTTCGTTTCAGCGCCGATGCATTCGCACCCTCGAGTGGCGTGATTCTCGACTGCAGTGCCTCGTTCGTCTTGGTCGGGTCCTTTGACGGAAACTGCACAGAGAGGCTATTGTCGAGAACAATCGAACGGGAGAAGTACAGCGACTTGTGTCTTTCGCTCAGCCAACTTTGATCCGCGGTGACGTATGTTTCGGATTGGTGATTGGCAGGGTCGGACACACTGCTCATTTCGTCGTCGCACGCTCTCAACTCGACACATTCGCCCTTTGTCGGACACATTTCCATTCAGCAGAGCCCCCCAGTCATTGTGTCCTTGCTGATCAAAAGCCTTGGCCGTGAATCGCAGACTCGTATGCGTGGCCTCCGGCCAGCCGCCTGGCCTTGGCATAAGATGCGACGAGAGACAATCAGGGCCTCCATGACCAAAGACATCCAAGTCCATCTACCGACGCCGCTGCTCGCGCTCTTGCCATATATCAAGCTGTAGCGACCGGAACAGCAGTATCCCCGCTGGAAGCTTTACGGGGTCGGCCAACGGCTTTCCCTCGTTCTCGCAATCGACTTGCGCACCGCAGTCATCTCTGCTGTATTGATCACAAGACGAGACGACAGTCGCAGAGCCAGCCAGGGCAGTGACACAGATACAGTTGCGGGTGCAGACCGGCCATGGGAGTCATGGATCGACATCCATCGCACTGGATGGGTTTGCCGGTGTCGACAGCGGTGCCGCACCATCGCCGGAGGATCCGTTTGAAGGCGGGGCGGGGGATGTACCGGCAACGGCCTTGGACTTGGGGGTTCGTGGGGCTCGCGTAGGTTTGGCCTCTTTCGGGGTCTTTGGTGCTCGCGCGGCCTTGACAGGCTCGGGGAGCGATGCAGGGGCTTCGGAAGTAGCACTACTTTCCAATGCGCCGTTGCTACCGACACCGAGCGCCTGGTCCTCACCGACATTGATGCCCGAGGGTGTAGTTGCGGCTCCGTTGCTCGACCCCAGGTCCGAGTATGCGGTTGCTCCGGACTTGCCGCGTTGGGCGGCCGGTTTTCTCGTCTTGGGCTCGCGGGGTGTGCGGGGCTTGGCTGCACCTTTGGGTTTGCTCTCGGGCTTGGAGGGCAGCGACGCCCGGGGCGTTGCATCAGCACTTGTGCCGGAAGCCATGGCCGCGGATGATGCCTTGCGCTTGAGCTCCTCTCGTCGCACTGGAAGGGATACATGCAAGAGAGTCAGTGGGCTGGCTGGGAGCCGCAGAATAAAAATGTCCTCACTTTTAGCCATTTGCACCGACACCAGCAAAGGCAGCGGTCGCTGGCCGAGCTTGGACAAAGAGCTTACGTGTTTCCTCAAGTTCATCCTCGCCAAGAAGGAGCGAGAGGACCTCTTTGGGCTTGAAGTCGACTTGCTGCTGGTACTCGCCACCCGAGATAACGACTTTTTGTATCTGTGAGCAGGGGCATCGACTGGGATCAGTATACAAGGGAGTGTCGCGGCGATCGCTCATGATGGGCACCAGAAAAGATGGCCGAGACAGCAGCCGCTTCGGTGGAAACTGAGGCACGAGAGCGGTCGACCTACCTCGTCCTTCTGTTTGGCGCGCATCAAGATGCGTTCCTCAATGGTCGCAGAAGTGATCAGTCTATAGACAGTCACCTGCTTGGTCTGGCCCAGACGATGGGCACGATCCATGGCCTGTAGGGTGGGTTTTGTCGACATCAAAAGGGTCAGTCGGCTATCCATCAGGATTCCGGACATGGTCAAGCACGAACACATCAAGAATGGATGGGCGCACCAAGCACAAACACACCAAGTACACGCATACCTGCTGATCAACAGTAGGATTCCAGTCGCTGTCATAGAAGATCACCGTGTCGGCAGCGGTGAGGTTGATGCCGAGGCCGCCGGCTCGGGTGCTCAAAAGGAACACAAAAATCTCGGGCCTAACAATGCCCAAGATGGTGGAGGTCAGCACGCCGTTTGGTTGACAGAGGCGAGTCTTGACTCACAGTCCTGTTCAAGGACATAGCGCAGACCAAGTCGCCTGCAAGACTCTTCTACTCGGTGCCGCAGGAGAGTCGATGTGGGGCGCCAGCGGGATCAAACTAGCCACGTACTTGGTCTGCCAATCGGTCACGCGGGATTTGCGATCGTTCATATCGGTGGAGCCGTCCAGGCGCAGGTACATGTACTTGCGATGAATCAAGTACTCCTTAGAAATGACGAGCGACAGTTTGCACGAGTGGGGCGAGAGAGAGCGCGACAGCAAAGTGAGGATGGGTTCCTTGCCAATTCAATGTGTCCGGGTATCCCTGCCAATCGATGCCACAAAGATACAAAAGCACAATCGCCCCCAATCCCTCTCCATCGATGGCTCGCAGCAAAGAGGGAGCCTGTCGTACCTCCATCAAATCCATCATCTTGACCATCTGGAAGAAAATCAAGACGCGGTGACCCTCCTTTCGAAGACGAGGGAGCATACTGTCCAAAACAACCATCTTGCCAGCATCGCTAATGAGACGATTTCGCTCTATGAACAGCGTCGCCATACCCAGGGTTAGCATCTCCGTTTTACGGCACGACGGAACGGGCCGGGACGCATCGATACGTCGGCCGTTGGACAGAGCTGCATTCACGGTGTGCAGCAACGGCAATACCTGGCATTTTGATATAATCGTGGCTCAGATCGCTCGCAGGACGGGCGATATCCTCGGACGGATCAGAGACACCGAGCAGCATACTGGACGAGAGATCCCTCCACAGAGTCGAAACGTGATTGCGGTTGAACATGAGATCGTTGTGTTCCCAGGCAAAGCTCCTGTCCGAGCATCTGATCTCGGCGTATGCGGATATCACCTATCAGAGCTGCTGGTGTTAGCACAAATGAGTCTGCACCGAATGCGTGCCCACGCTAACTGCAAAGCCTGTGAGAGAGGCATCGGTAAAGGCATCGCGGCATCGCACCTTGGGCGTGTACTGCTGTGTGAAGAAGCGCCAATATACCGAGTGCTTGACGATCGACAGAATGTCCAGCGAGTATGCATCGGAGGTGAGGTCAAAGCCCTGACAAGCTGGGACCAGCGCGAGCACCTGGTGCGCCGATCTATTGCAAGAGGTGGAGTCGAGTCTCGTTTAGGCCGCGGAATGCAAATGACACTTTCAAGAGCATGTCACTTCCTAACGAAGCACGGCACGTGAGGGGCAGAGGCGACACAACAGGTATCATACGCTGGGGCACTGGCGATTCCGTGGCGCTGCAGCAGTCCAAGTCGACGAGCTTGAATCCAGCATTGATAGTATCGCCATAGATATGGGAGCCCGCCCGATTGCAGCTTGTGGAGCTCCGAGAGGCTCAGGCCGACCAATCGACAGACTTGCATCTCTGCGAAACACAAGGCGGATTCACAAAGCCACAGCATAAGTTCCGCTGCAGCACCTCAGTACTGGCATCTGCAGACATGCCGATGATGTGTGGACATCAGGATTGTCCTCGCCCCCTGCGCCTCACCTGCACTCTCAACCGAGTTGAGCGGCAGCCATATGTTGAAGAGATGATCGATAACACTTTGCTTGGGATGGCTTGACAACGCTCCCACCAGCGCCAATCCGGCCCGGTATAGCTGCTTCGGTATACGATACCGCAGTCCGCCAACCAGGTTGTACGTCACCCAGCGCGGACCATCCGCCGCACTGCCCTGCGAGAATTGGATCTGGTCCGGTGGGAACATCACAAACGGAGACTCGACGTCAGCCCGCTCAAAGAGCTCCGGGTGGTTGCACACCTTGCGGAACTGCATCACCAGGTTCATCAGACTGCCGCTGACGCTGCCCGGTGCCGAATTAGCAGCTTCGAGCTGGACCTTCTCCAGCAGATCTGCCACCGAGATCTTTTCCTTCAGACCCCGGTAGATGTGTCTCTGTCGCGGCGAGAGATAGCAGATGACCTCGACCTCGAGCTTCTCGGCAAGCTCGTTCTCCACGTCCTTTTTGACGCGACGGAGCATAAATGGCTTCAGAATCATGTGCAAGCGCTTGAGTTGATGCTCGTTCAGGGTGCTCTTGTTTTCAGCGTGGCTTTCAATATCCTTGGAGAACCACTCGCTGAACTCCTCGTGCGAATCAAAAAGCGTCGGCATAATGAAGTGCAGCAGCGCCCACAGCTCCTGCATGCTGTTTTGGATGGGGGTGCCTGTAAGAAGCAGACGGTTTCGGCACTTGAACCCGAGCAATATCTTCCAGCGCGCGCTCTGCGAGCTCTTGATCGCCTGGGCCTCGTCCAGGATCATGTACTGCCACTTGATTCTCTGGAAGTATTTTTCGTCCGTGGCGACCAGGTTGTACGAGGTGACGAGGACATGGAAGGGGGCGTCGCGCCCGTAGAGCCGCTTCGAGTTCCAGAACTGTCGCAAGACCTTGCGATCTTTGGCCATGCCCCAGTACGGCAGCACTTTGAGATCCGGCGCGAACTTTGTGATCTCCTGCTGCCAGTTATGCAGGGTCGACGAAGGCGAGATCACCAGGAACGGGCCCCAGATGTTGTGGACCTCGGCGAGGTGGGCCATCAAGCTGATGGCCTGAACAGTCTTGCCGAGACCCTGGATGAAGCGGATACGAGGGTGGGAACAGAGTGTGGGTATCGAGTACATTGTGTCGGAGCATACGGCCACAGGGATTCAATGGCCCCACATTCTGCGGCTCGCGACGAGGATCCGAGGAACAGAAATGTCGCACCAGATTGAAATATCTTCCGCTGGCAATATACCGCCACCATTACCGCCGCCACCACCGCTATTTCCATCGCCATGAGCATTACCACCGCCCCACAGATCGGCAAAACGCACCACCCGGTGGGCGCTTACCATCTCGTCGGCCAGGATGCCGTTGATGCCCTGCTCATACAAATTGGCGAGCCAGTTCAGTCCCTTGAGCTGGTACGCCTTCAGGCTGCATGTGATCATTCGGGGCTGGGTCACGTCCGAGTCCATTCTCAAACTTGACGGGTTCAAAAAGTCCATGTGATCCACAGCGGCGTCGGTCGCGATTGCTGTACCCGGCCTGGCCCCATGGCTGACTTGGGCAGCCTCCGCGCGCCTGAATCGGGCAGCTTCGTCGAAGGCTCGAGTGCTCTGCTGTTGCGCAAAGAGCGCATTTGCAGCGTTGACGCGAGCATGGTCTTGGAGATTCTGTTCGTCGGCGGTGTCAAAATCAATCTGGCTGATGTCGGTGGGGACCGATGGCCCAGAGGCATCATCCAACGAGCCCTTGTCGATCTTGCGGCCAATGAAATGGCTATAGAGCTCGGTCTGGGTGATAAGAAAGTTGAGCTTGCGTGCCTGCCGCCGGGCTTCGCGGGCCTCCTCTTCCTGTCGACGGCGCTCGAGGGCATCTTTCTCGGCCTTTTTGCGGAGCTCGCGCTCTTCTCGCTCGTTGCGCTTCCAAAATAGAATCATCTCGCGATTCGCACGTCGGCAGCGCAGAGCAAAGTCCTTGGAGGACGGGGCACGATCAGCACGGATGGCCTCCTTGGCACACATTTGCGCGACCTTGCGGCAATTCGACATGCGTGTGATAACCGACTGCTGCAGCATTTTATGGACCTGTGGATAGCAATATCGTCGTCAGCATCACAAGATCGGTGGGGAGAACAGCACCTCGGCAACAAAGCAAACTCTGCACATTGGCCGCATTGACGGCCCTCGCATCGCGCAATCCTAAACCATCATGGCCGCCTACCCTCGGGATGCCTTTCGAGACAATAGCCTGCCATATCCGATCGCGCTCAGGAACAACGGACGACTCGGGTCTCAGTGGCGTTGACGGCCGTGTCGGCACTTGACTTCCCTCGTCGTCGCTTCGGAGACCGTCGCCAAAGCCGGAGCGGTAGCCTCGAGAGCCCTTGCCAACCTTGCCCTTCTGGGACCGGATGGCATGAGCAACTGCCGTAGCTGCGGCGGCGGCTTCGGCGGCTGCGGAGGCAGCAGCTTCGGCGGCAGCCATCGCAGCCGCCTCGGCAGCCGCCTTTTGTGCCATGACCTCGTCTGCCAGGCGCTTTTGCCGAGCCCTTTCGATCTCAACCGTCTCGAGCTCGGCCAAGAAGCGCTGGAAGGCGGCCTGTCGAATCTCCTGTCAAAGACGATGATGTCGAGGCCCGATAGGTGGTTAGAACACAGCGAGCAAGTACGGCAGCGGCGAGTTCGGTGAGGGTGTACCAGGTGTGAATGCCAAAAAAAAAAGTGAGCAACAAAAGAACCAGACATCCAATTCACCAGCCATAGAATGCAATTCAACAAACATGCAGGCAATCAAATCATTAAACTGCACAGCACGACATGGACGGCCAGAGGCTTGTCAAGGGGCTGAAAACACAGCACCGCTTCGTCTCTTATCCAAAGCCAAACAATAGCCGATTGCTCTGACGGACACGGCATTGCCTTCCCACCTTCTCCTTGTTCCGCATCCGCTGCAAGGCTTGGTTTTGTCGGTGTCGCAGCCGGGCCATGTACTTGGTCAGCGCTCCGGCGTACTGCGCCTTGATCTCAGGCGTAAGCTCCTCATCAATATCGTTCAGATCGGCGTCGGACGATATATCGGCAACTTCTGCACCGGCTCCATCGGTGGTCAAGCGCTCGCGCTTCTGAACAGGGATCTCGGCCAAGAGTCCGGGTTCGCTCCGAGGCCGCTTCTCGCGAGCTCTAGAATGCGATGAGTCGAGTGCCAAGGTTAATCGGATAGTACAACAAGCTGTCAGCACAGGTGATCGAGGGCGGGGAAATGGCTCATGCGCGTGGGTGGGGGGGCTGGGGCTGCAAGACATCGATCCTACTTTTCGGCATCAGGATCGGCTTTGACTGGCGGGTTGTAGTCTACATCAAGAGCGGCAGCGCGAGGGGTCAGGTCTGGTTGAGTCATCGGCTGCAGGATCCAAGGCACCAGACGGAATACTGCCATGGTCGAAGCGACGGCCAGCGCTGCACTCATGGCGGATCCATGATTTCTTGGCCAAGGATTCGTATCCCTCCCTCACTTTCTCTCCTGGCAATCTCCATCTGGCTGCACAAGAATACGAGGGCTGTTCTCCACAAGCAATGCCGCGCGATGCACAAACCGACATTTGCTAAGGTCCTCTGTTGGCATGACCATCGGCAGCAGGGACTTTTTGGGCTTATCTGCTGCAGGCTTCGCAGGCCTGCCCAGTTTTGCAGCGGCGCCGCCTTCGCCATCGAGCCTGACGGTCAGCATCGGGTTGAGCGCGGCCACCCCGTGGACTCCTGAACTTTCCGACGCCAAATCGAGAACCTGCTCGGGATATTCCACCTTGATGCTGTCGCCAAGAATCAGAGCAGTGGCAGCGACGGCAGCGAGCAAATTCTCCGACTTGCGTTTGCGTCCTCGAGCCTTGGGCTTGGTCGGGTCGTCGGGGCCAGCAGCTGAATCGCGCTTGACCTTGTACTTTTGGTAGGGGGTATGTACATCGGTCTTTTCGGGGCCTATGATTTGGGCATCGCTGGTGACGAAGCTCCCCTCCCTTTTCAGTGAGCCGCCAATCAAGACGTTGGTATGGGCGCCCTGGGCACCGCCGTCGCTTGACACCGTGAGTCGAGGGGCTGTGGGAGGAACGACGGGCTCGTCCAAGTTACTGCCAGCATTGAGCATTCTGCTTGGTGGACGATCGGGGGCAGCGGCAGCCGGATGCGGGGCGCGTGACTCGGGCGCGGCTGCATGGGTTTGCTGCGAATCGGAAACCATGCCAAGAATAACAGCAAGACATCCCAAGGGTGAGCATCTCTGGCACGCACAGCCACAGCATGTACTGAATACGAACGGCTCAAGACCGGAGGCAGCCAGGGTACGGGTCGCTAACTTACATCTCCAGGAATGGAATAGGGCCGCGCTGGCCGTCCAAGTAACTGTGCTTCGCTCGGGTACTGTCGTGAGGAGCTCCAGCGGTGCGATGAAGCAGAAGATGTGGTATCCTCTCCGTGTGTATGCGCTGGGGCCGTTGCATACTGCGAGCCATACGGGCCTGGGTCGTATCTTGTTCGGTCGACCTCGGAGCCCTTTGGACGCTCGGAGGGCTGCTCTTCGCGGAATCGGGAGTCGGCGGGGGTGTCGGAGTGATGGGGCCCCAGACCCGGGAGGCTGATATCCTTGAACGGCTCCCGCTGCGAGGGGCGATGGTCCCACTCGGACGAGTACGCCCGCGAGTCGAAAGGAGACGGCGACTCGGCTGGATGGGTATGCGCGTCGGTCTTGATTGGACCTGATGCAGAATGCAGCGAATCTGAAGAGGTCATCCGATCGCTCCGATACACAGGAGAGCCTTGTGAATAGCGCTCGTCCTTGAAAGTCGGGAAGGACTTGTCGGGCTGGGGACGCAGAAGGCCGAGTGTTGTCGAGGTCGACGGCCAAAGATATCAAAGACAGTGTCAGTGCCACAGATACCGTTCGTACCATGAATGTCGCAAAGATCCGATGAAACACGGGATTAAATCCTCGCACCCTCAGAATAGAAAGTACAGGCACCGTCGAGCGCAGCAATTCCGCGCCCAAACGACATGTCCATCCTGCCCGAATTGCCCGAAAGGCACGATCAGGACGATACCCACCGTCGATGCCCAGGGTCGAAAAGCATTGCTGAAATGAGAGTCGGGTTCTGGCCCAGGCCGGCCAAGACCATGGACGCTGCCGCTCGAGTCGATCGAAGCACCCGAGAGATCCTCATGACTCGCCGCGTGCAACGGCGCCCCAGAGGAAAGACGAGAATCGATAGGACGCCGCAGACCGCTTGGGAGTGGCGAGCTTGCAGCAGAGCTCGAACTGGACTTGATCGGGTGCATGAAGCCAGGACTAAGGCTCGAGTCGTCTGCAGCAGAGTCGTAGCTTCGGTAAGGATCACGCCGTTCGGAAGGCGAAGTCTCGTTTGATTCGGACTGGCGTGGGAGGAATCGAGGGTGGCCGGGGGTGGACACCGGGCTCGGGTCCATTCGGCTTCGGGAAGCAACAGGCGTTCCAGGGAACCCTTCGCCAGCGATATACGGCCGTGGGGAGTTCGACTGGAGCTTGTAGTAGGGGTCGGGTGTATGCTGAGACGACGCTGGTCTGTAGATATTCCAGCAAGAACAGGGTCGAGGCCAGAGTCGTATGACAGAGTCGTATGACAGAGTATTGTTCCAGTCCGAGTAGATGAGCATATGTAAATATATCGGTGTGGGCATCGATGTGGATGTGAGTGTGCATGTTCCCAGTCGACAGTGTTGCATTGTCGGCATCTGCAGCGCCGGCATGAGCACGACCAGTGCCCACAGATCGCATCCAGGAGCAGAGCCGTGTCAAGAAGCGAATCCAACCCGTACCGAATATGTCTTCGCTCGTCCGCCGAGCTCATATAAGCAGGGCCGGTGTCTGTGGGGCCGATATCGTCGCTGTGGGGCAAGCTCGGATCTGAGAGACAGGAACCGATCGACAGAGTAAGAAGGAGGCCCGCCGAGTGATCTCCATTTGCGATGCGGTCGTTCGCCACGGACCCGCAACCATCGATCGCGAGAGCCATTGTCCAGACAGAGGACTTGGGATTCCAATGGCCGGTGCTATGACGGCGCTGGCAAGGTCATGCCGTCGCCCGACAGAGAAACAGCCCAGCACGAAGGCGAGTGTAGCCCGCCCCTCGTCTCGCTCCTCCGGTTGCAGACGATCGACCAGTCGTCGGACGCGATGAGAGCGGAGCTTTGAATGCAGACCGATCGAAGATTCGGACAGCTCGCCAGCGTTGCAATTTGCGCATCTGTTTGCTTGGTGGCTCGTGGGTGCAAACTCGGCGATGGTCAGTACTTACACGAACGATCGAATTCAGAGCCCGGCCGAGCGAGACTGGATCCGGTGAAGGCAGGATGCTTGCGTGCCGGGTCCGGATGGGAGAGCGAAGTGGGCGGGAACGACGCCAAAGGCTCTTCACGACGATCTTCGGGCGCTGCGGTAGCAAAGGACGATGCCGCCGACGGGTCGTGTTGGAGCTGCTGCGAAAGGGAAGGCAGCGGGGCTGGCGACCAACTTGGCGGAGAGACCACACCGGCCGAGGCCGGGCGCGGCTGGAGCGAGATCCGGTTCGCCGAGACGGCGTTGATGTTGTCGGCGGAACTGGCGTTGGAATGGTTGCTGCTGAAGCCGCTGGCATTGGGCGCTGTGCTCGAACCGATCCACGGATCCATTGGGCAGACGATGGACAGGGCAACGGAGGGCGAGGACGAGGGAGATGCCAAAGGCGACAAAGACGAACCAGCGATCTAGAGCAGAGACGATCGAGTCGAGAGCACCAGCAGCAGCAGCAGCAGCAGCAACGAGTCCAGGCCGACAACGGCAGAAACAGCAGGTCGAGTGGAGGATCGGATGATAGGCGAGTAGCCGAGGCAGCAGGCAACGGCTTGCAGACGGTAAAGTTGACGGAGGATATGTGGTAAAAGCCAAGCACACGCAAGGGTGAGAGCGAGCAATGCCGAAGTGGGCAAGTAGTGCCGGTGCGAGCAAAGGGCAATGCAGATGCGAGAGAGAGCGCGCCGAGGAAGACGGGGAGTGTGGGCCCGAGCCAGCAAGAAGGACGCCTGGGAGGGAGGTCCGCAGACGGCGAAAAACGAAAACGGGCGACTGGGGGGGGGGGCAGCCGAGGCCATCCCAGGCCGTGCGAAGGGCCGCTGGAGGGTGTCGAAGGAGTCGCTGTTTGGGTTGAGCGCCGGCAAAGACGGACGTGTTCTGTGGCGCTCTGTGCCTCAATCCATAGACGATCGCCGAGGTGGATCGCCGGGGTGGATCGCTGTGGTTGATGATGGCATTGAGCGCTACGAGCGATCATTGCAACTGATCATTGCAACTGATCACTTCAGCGGGGCATTGCAGTCGACGGTGTCTTCTGTGCAAATACGTTGAGGATACAGAGCAGCCGTCGCCGCGCAATCGTCGCAATCGTTGCAATCGTGGCAATCATCGCAACCCGCTCCGCATGCACACTGCTTCGATCAAATACGCAGGCTGTCGGTATGCAACACATGGATCACTTGGGCCGCTGCTTGGACTCGTCTGCTGATATGGTCATGGCAGCGACGGTGTGTATTCAGGCAACAGGCAGGCACCTCTGAACGACGCCATCGCCCAGATGTACCCGCTTTGTGTTTTTGCACTCAATCGATACATGTTCGTCAGTTCAGACGCTGCTCTACCGACGGGCCCATCTCCTCGTACTCCTTCTTCGAGACCCACATCTGGTGGAAGGAGCCCAGCGATGCCAAGATCGAGCCTCCCACCCACGCACTGAACTTGCGCTCGATCATGTTCCCGGGCGAATGAAGCTTGACCCGCATCTGCATGGATAGGCCCGATGTTAGCACTCTGGCTGCAGCACAATCACCATGGAAAGCGACATCAGCAGCGCCGATGCTGCCAGCTCCACAGCGATGCGACGAGTGCACCTAGCCCATGTCCGATGTCTGGAGTTACAATGTCCGAGCTGGACCAGAGCCTCTCCCCTCCTCATGCATCTCACCATATTGGCATTCACCGAGAGCTCGGCGCTGAGACGCTCGTTGAATCCCGGGAGCGAACTTGTGCCGCCCGTGGACACTGCGTTCGAGTAAAGCGTGGGCCGCAAATCGGCGTCGCATGCCTGGATCGACAGATCCACCAGCTGCTGGATGCCCAGTAGGCCTGCATCCACCTTGCCCTGAAGTTGTCGTCCAAGCCACCGTCAGTAACGGCACCGGACCAAGGAACGACCCACCAACAAGCCCCACCGCGCTACTCACAGACTGCGACGCTTTGGGGTTGAACAGAATCTCCGGGGCTTTGAACCGCTCGAGGCCAAAGTAGTTGTTGTAGCCATTGGGGAACTCGTACGACTTTTTGGGTTGGAGGGACATGACCCTGGACAAGAAACTCGAGTCAGCAAGCAGGAATAGCCGACGCCAGCACGATACGGCTCACCAGATAGATAAGCATGCCCTAGTCTCTCAGCATCCCTGCAAATGGCTTCCCGCCCACACAGAGGCTTTGTCAGCAGTTCCGGTCGAGCCGCCCTTACCGGTCGTCCCAGCGAGCGCTTTCAGAAACATGGCAGACAGTCTCCTTGAAATCGTTGATCACTCGCTGTTCACGAAGGTCGATACACCGTTAGAGCCCCTCTGCAACTGGCTACCTGTATGGGCTCATAGCCGACTGCAGCTGCTGCACCTAATGCCGGCCCGAGCGAGCGTCCTCTGGTTCGCAAACCTACCTCAACAGACAAGGCATGGAAGCTCTCGGTCGAGTTGGGGCGATTGCGCTCCACAAAGCTGGCCGGGACGCCTGCATCAGAGGGGGATTTGGAGAGCACTTTGTATTGCGGTACAACGTCGATGCCGGAGCTGGAGAGATAGTGGGCAATCTCGCTCGAGACAGCGTCTCCGGCAAGGGCCTGGTATTGGATGCCTGGTCACCAGATGTGCATACGAGTCAGCCGCGACCGAAGAAAATACTTGAGCAAAGAATGCATTGGCACATGCTGCAGCGGACCGACACTCTCGCAGAAACTGCCCATCAGCAGCCACACGCAGAGCCGCCTGCCAGAGAGCCGGGTTGGGTTGGCGCCTCGGCCGATTTGATAGCGACGACTGCCTGTCTGACACCGATATCTCTCTGTTGGCCCGACGTGGCCAGGCAATCTACCAACCTCGTTTGAGAACATAGCCTTCGAATACCGGCACAACACTTGTGGCCGTGGCTCCCGAGTCGATGATCAGGGTCGTAGCTCGACCAGAGGAGAACCTAGGAAGCAGTGATGCGGGCAAAGAGTGCGATCGCCATCGTCGGAGTCAGCCTTGAACCACCCTGCGCCTGCTTTGGGCACACACCAAGTCAATCCGCTGCCTGCGCTGATCGCACCGAGCGCCAATCAACCTACGCTGTCAGAACAGGCGACTTGGCCAAGTAGAAAGCAGGCACTTTGAAGGTCTCGAACGCCAGCTCCATCAGCTTTTCTCGATCTTCGCGCGGGTTCCAGGCCGGCTCGGAGAGGAGGAGCGGGTGCTCGGCGGGGTTAATTCTCATCCTCCGAGAGTAGACATAGTCCCAGACGGCCTCATACTCGTCCCAGTTCTGAACTGCAGAGGATAACGTCGGACGTTGGTCAGCAAGAAGCCGGCGGCTGGTGGAGGATAAGATGCCAGTGATCTGCGATGCGAAAGGCATCGGACTAGATGGGGCATCGCCTCCTGCAGCATCTCCGCCGATCCGTTTCGACCATGGATCGAGAGAGGGCACTGCCCTGTCACAACCAGGCTTTCTGGTTCTTGACAGATACACACCAAGGCCCTGAGACACGGGCTTGCGGATGTCCATGTTCTCCCGCCAGCAATACACTTCGGTTTCGCCCAGGAATCGCTTGCTCTTCTTTGTTGCCGGGGCACGATCACCACCACCCATGATCGTATCGCCCTGGGCATCGGCTGCACCGGCTTCTCCAGCAATCGATCCCACGACAGTTGGAAAGACCGCCTTGGGGGTGTCTTCGCCAGCGAACCCAACGCGGGTGGACGATGATCCGACATCCAGAACGAGGGCCGAAACCTCGTCTGCATCGACAAGCCCGCGAGGACACAGCGGAGGAAAAGGAGGGTGAGTCGACGGCCATCGCCGCTGGAGCTGCATGCGGATGCGGACAGCTTGGGCGGCTCGCTGCTGCAGACATACCTCCTCCGTAAGTGACCATGGCAGGCGTCTGTCGTTGCAGATGTCAGCGAGATCGGGGAGCGGTGCGCATGTGCGGGCGCTGGGACCGATCGAGCCAGGCTGGTTCGCTGGCTGGCTGGTTCACTGGCTGGTTCGCTGGCTGGATCGATGGCTCGAGCCGGCTCGAGCGGTGCTGGGCCTTGCACACACAGTGTGGTTGCAGCCGTTGGTTCTCGCACCTTCGCGACCAATCAGCGCGGAGAAGGCCGCCATCCGCCCTGGATTCGGGGGCGCCCTCAAAAGCAGCCTCTCCGCTGACGCACCCCCGTTCCCGCAGGGTATCTGCTGCCCGCTGCATTTGCGATTCATCAATCCCTCGCCAAATACCGCACAAGCCCACGAGAATGCAGTCCGCCGAGCAAGTGGACTACTACGCAATACTAGGGTAGGCGCATACTGAACTGCCGTGCATCAACTCGGTGCGATGCGATGTGATGCGATGCGATACGAAGCAATGCGATGTAATGTGATGCGGCTGGATGATCTGGGGTGTGGTTGCTCCGGGGATGCTCGCGAGCAATGGCTTGCCCGGAGACTCTGAGTGCATCCACTGACGCATAGCCATTTTCTCATGGATACCGATGGATACTAGCCTCTCTCGATCTGCCAACCCAGATGAAGTCAAACGAGGTGAGCCGCTCAAGGAACGAGCAACACCACAAAATGCCCGTTCGGTCGGATTGAGCAGCAACACACTCGGCTACGGTGGCATGAACACACTCAGTTGCGGTGACATGAACACACATGCTGACACGGCCTCTCCTTTGGGCAAATATCCCGACAGCGTACCGAAAGGAGGCGCTGAGATGGCATCCAGACAAGAACACCGACAACCGCGATGAGGCAGAGCATCGGTTCAAGCTCATATCAGAGGTAAGCGATGCCCCGTGCTATCTGCGTGGCGTCAGAATCCCCGGTGTTCCGCCAGCAGCAGAGACTGACACATCCCGTGCAAAGGCATACGAGGTGCTCAAGGATCGTAAGTATCGCCTGAGTGCCAGCCACACCGAGCTGCCCCGATCGACTCGCCATGCAGTGCAAGCGAAGCTGTGTGTCGCCCAGGAACTTACAGCCAACCCATATTCTCGCCTTCCCACTCGCAGCTGAGCAGCGACAGATGTATGACAGCTATGGAATCGATGGTCTGAAGAACGGCCCCGCCAGCAACCAGCAGCAGTTCGGACGGGGTGGCTTCCGGCCTGGGTTCCATCCCGGATTCCAGTTCCACGACCCTCACGAGATCTTTCGGTAGGCTGTCGGGGCGGCGTCGCTGTGGCGATAGTCATCCGTTCGAGTAATACCGATATATAGTCCATGTCTTTGCCGCGCAAGAATCGGCGCCGCTCAAATGACCGATCGAGCGGCCGCCAACAAAACACCAACTAACTGTGTTGCGACTGCCCTCTCCTTCTCCTTTCCTCCCATCCGTCGAACAATCACTAGCCAATTCTTTGGCGGAGTGGATCCGTTCGCTCGAGCCTTCCGCGATCCATTCGGCCGCGACCCGTTCGGATTCGATGTCTTTGCCAATGACCCGTTCTTCAGCCCTGGGGCAAGACCGCAGCAGGGCGGGGTGCCTGGCCAACAGCGAGGCGTTGCCGATCCTTTTGCGATGCACTCGCCCTTTGGCAGTCTGTCGATGCACCAGCCCTTTGGCGGCTTCGTGAACGGAGGCAACGGCGGGTCGTCGTTCATGTCCTTCAGCAGCACCAGCAGCTCCGGGGGCAACAACGGCGCATTTATGACCTCGAGCTCCTCCAGCACCACCATCGTCAACGGCGAGAGGCGCACCGTAACCACCACGACCGATTCAGCTGGGAACCAGACCGTCGAGACCCTTGTTCAGGACCGAAACGGACGGGTCACACGGGAGATGGTCGTCAACGGCGTTCCCCAGGTCCTCGAAGACGGCGGCAGAAGCAAGTCCAAGGCCATCCGCAGTCAGTAAATCCAGATCTAAGTCACAAGCAAGCAAGCACGCTCAGTCAGCCAGTAATAGGACGGTCTCATGGGAGACTCGCTTCCACGTATATGCTTCGATAGCGATCGCCATAATCGATTCAGTGGTATCCCAGCATCGCCCAGCCGGTTGGCCAACTGCCCAACACCAGAGCAAATCTTTGTCTGAACTAGCCAACCAGCCAACCAGCCAACCAACCGGCCTACGAGTAGATCGGCGCTCAACCCACAGTACACTCGCGCACGATGCCGAACTCACTCGGCCCACAGCACTCTTTTTGTTTTGAAATTGCATGTTGTAGCAATCAGTGTGAGCAGCCGGGAGGAAGGAGACTCTCTGTCCGGCCCGCTGCAGTTTGTCAAATACACCATACCCAACGCAGCATCAGGGCGGCATCAGAGCGGCATCAGCAGCAGATCGTTTGGTCGTTGACCGAATCGCTGGGTGTCTGGCTTTGTTGGGCTCTGAGCCATTCGGGTCTGCGAATAATGGAACTTGGGCGAGACCAGCCACCCCCAACGCAGTATTGGGTGGGGATGTGCTTGGGGCATACCCAAGGCACGGCGACTTTGGGGGATCGCCTGCGATCAGATCCAAGCACCACCGCCGCCAGAGTGGCAAGCTGTGGCACGCCATTGGCATTTCGACGGCCGGATGAACCGCAAGCCGGAAAAACCTGAGGGCCCCACAAACAGGGGTGCGATCCACCATGGCGGCCATGGGCCCCAGGGCATCGTTGGCAGTCGTGCCCACTGCAAACTGCCACCGCCGATACCGGCGAACCATTCGGGGTGCACATACGGCCCCTCCTCCTCCCTGGTGCTCGGCCGCAACCCGCTTACGAATTGCTGCGGGCTTGGCGGCCCCAGGCGCCCCCTCGTTCGCGCGCTGACAAATTGATCCTGCCATCCAGATAAAACCTATCAACTCATGGCCCTCTCACCACACCGCACCACACCGCACCACACCGCACCACACCGCACCACACCGCATCGCATCATCGGCCCCTTGCCGCACACAGCTCGTCCATCTCCACCCCCTTTCACCGCGCCTCTTTGCCCAGCCATGTCCATCCACCCTCCTCTCGTTCCCATTGTCGGATCATGGTCGCTTCTGTTTGGCGGTTACCAGACCTACCTGATGTTCAAGGTCATCGGCCAGCGTGTCGCCAACAAGGTCTCGATCGGAGCCGGCGAGGGCCTGGTTGAGAAGGCCCGAGCGGCCGGCAAGAGCCAAGGTGTGTTGAACGAGATCCCCCCACGGCAACTACATCAATCGAGCGCTTGACACTGTGTTCGCACGCTCCATGCTGAATAGCCCGCTCTGTTCTGCAGCCGAGATCGATGAGATCGAGCACGGCGTCCAAATGCTTGTCCGCGCCATCCGAGCCCATGCCAAGTACGTTGCTGCCGCTTGGCTCCCTGTTTGGGGTGCAATGTCATCGGATCCGTTGCCGTGATGACCATCGTTGGTTGATCATGAGCAACTCTGCCAGCCGTTGTCTGTCTGTTTGCATCCTCGGACTCACTCCCACATCTCTCCGTACACCCTGCAGCTTCACGGAGCATGTTCCCTTGGCTCTCCTCGTCCTGGGCTTTGCCGAGCTGAACGGCGCCAACAGCCTCTATCTCCACTCCTCTTTGGCTATCCTGCTGATCGCCCGCTACCTCCATGCGGACCTGACCTTCCTCAACGAGAAGAACAAGCGGGCCTTTGGACCGACCCGAACCATGGGTGTCTCCGGCACCATCGCAGTGACCCTCATCTCGGCCGGCTACAGCGCGTTCCTCGCCTTCCAGCCCGCCATTACCTCTGCTATCAAATCCCTCTTCTAGTTACCTGCCATGCGCTTGGAACCAAAGGGCCACCCTTGCGTGAGCCTGCTTTGAAACTTTGATTGTGCCTTCATAATATACGCCCACATCTGACCGTGTCCATGCGAAGTGTCGGGAGTACATGGGGCGGGTGCTATCACCAGTGCAGATTGTCTGGACGGATGTGCTGCTCGCCAGATCGGCAAGCGGGGAGCCTGGACAGGTTTCAGGCTCGATCCAAAAACACTGGGCGCGGCAACCTCTCAGACGGCTTGGGCTTGCACCCGCATCTCCTTTCCAACCCGTCGACAGCTGCTGCATCTCGTTGTCGGTCGCCCCTTGCACCCAACATCCCAGCGCCGCCAAAACCGTCAAAATGCCGAGTGGTGCTGTCGATCCTCCTGCCGGTGTCGCACCCGAGGTTCATCAGAGCCTGGAACAGCTGTCGAGGAGAGAGCTTGCCATCGAAGCCACAATCGCCGAGCTCAAGGAAGTGGCATCCGTCAAGCTCATCAACGATCTGAATCTGGACCTGCGGGAGCAGATGAGAGCGCTCCAGCAAGCCATCCAGGTAGAGCCAATCGATTTGCTACCGGCCGTGTGCGCTATGAGGCAGACACGTTCCTCGATGGCAACGAACGACCTTTGGTTCTCGAGCATCGCTGGCAGAGCCGTATCCCTGAATATCCCTTTCCAATAGAACCTGCGGCTGCAGGCCGAATACTATGACGGCACATCCTCGGAATGGATCCTCGGCAGGCTCGAACGGCACGATGGAATGCACCGCCAGTAAAGTTGAGCCAACCTGTCGGAGGAACTGGAAGGCGCCCGGCTGATATGGATGTCGATGGATCTATCCGCTCGGTCCGGTCGGGCTTCTGTCGGTTACTCTGCGCTGCACGGCGCCGAGACTTGAGCAGAGTCTTTCTCCCCTGACTCTGCCTCCCATCACCCGCAGACTCCAGATCAGCATTCGACAGACAAACCTCTTCATGAAATCCGAACTGGATCGGCGTGCCGAACGAGAGCGAGAAGAGCTGCTGAAGACCAGCGGGACAGAGCGGCAAGAGCTGTGGCAACAGAAACTCGAGTACGTTATATTGACCCGACCGCCCAAGTGCCTGCACCGTCCCGGATATGGCTGGTGGGCTGGATCGGGCAGTTTGGTGCTGATGCTGCTCTTCAACCATCTTGGAATCCGCATTTCGTCGTTGGTCCGCCCAGCACCGAAGAAAAGCTCCTCCAGTCCAACTCGGAGCTGACGAGCATGCTCAAGAATGCAGTGCAAATGATGAACGCCGAGGTTGAAAAAAGCGCCCAGACAACCAAGGCATTGAGTGAGTGTCTCCTCGACCCTGGAGGGCTTTGATCGCTCGGCCTTTGGTTCATGATCGCACAACGCCCATACTTCAAGCGATCGAAAGGAAGCTTGGCTAACAAACTGTCTGACTTGCGACCCCCTCCTCCTCCGGGCAGATGACTCCACGGCGCTGCTACAGAAAACCCACACCGAGTACAGCAGCTACGATCGGGCCCTGCGAGGAGGACGTGCCATCATCACTCGCCTGAAGCGACGAGACTGGACCGACAAGGTTATGATCATGTTTGGCTTGCTGGTGTTTTGTTTGACGGTGCTTCACATCATCCGGAAGCGGGTATGGATTCCCGGACTGCCCTACGGCTCCAAGGAGTGTCCCGCCGGTTCGTGGACATGCTCGCCAAGAAAGGTCAATCCGGCCGTCGTCGAGGACCACCACCACCATCACCACTACCACACCGGAAGTTCCGAGAAGCCGAAGGCGGCTCAAAACGGGGACAGCCATGCTTCTGACCACGCCCACGAGCACCACCACGAGCACCACGACCATCACGACCGCTTCGACTTTGATGGGGAGAGCAACGGAATGTTTGTCTAGCACAGAAACTAGCGCCGCAGCTCGGTTGCTGGAGGGGAATCTTGTCCTGGGTGATTACTTGCGCCGACTGCCTCGGCCTCATGCATCTGGCCCCGTCGCGAGGTTTCTGCAATCGAGAAGATGCTCTCATGCTGAAGCCAGCGACCACTATCGTCTGGTGACTGAATATACATACATCGTCGCCAGCTGCATAATCCACTGTGCGGTCCACAACACAGCAGCTGTGTCTGTGGTTGTGGTGCTGAACAGGAATACCAAGTTCCGCGAGGGAACTCACCCCGACACAGCAAGGTATCGGCGCCAAAAAGCCATCAAACCCGATCTCCGATGTTGGTCTCGCAGCTGGCTTGATCTACCCTCTTCTCCCGCTGCTTGTCGACACATCCGCCCCCTATGTCCCCGACGGATGCCTCTCCGCCTGGTGAGTTCCATTCCTCGACGATGCCAAGAGGCTCCAGCCATGCCCGATGATGGCAGCGACGGATTGCAAAGAGGGCACATTTGCTGGTCGCGATCCCACTTCAGCACAGAGATCCGTCCACCCACAATCCTCCAACCCACATCCACCCATCTCTCGGCTTCACAAAGACTCACTCGTCAGCGATGCACCAGCATATCCGCTCCGGAAAGTAGCCGCTGCTCCCTTCAAAGGATCCGTGGCCGACTCATGGAAGACCCTGGACATCCGGGGCGGCCTCGGCGCCGTCAATCCGACCGAACCCAACTTTGTAAAGTCGGTGCAATGGTAGGTCGGCTGCCTCTAACATGCAGTAGCCGGGGAACTTGCGTCCGGCAGAAACGTATATAAGAGCGGCGGTGCATGTGCGGATACTGCATTGGCAACCCCATCGAGATTGAGAGTTCTTTGGGCCCGATCGCAGTGTCCGTCCCATCGCAATGCCTATCCATCACCCGATCTGCCAGCGCGGCCACCGGTTCATCAACTCATAGTGCGGTCGATCCTAACTCATGCCGACCCTGGCGATTCGTCCCGTGGACGACTGCTGGCTGCAATCTTGGCCAACGCCGTCCTGGTTGGCAGGAGTCCCGACGGCACATGTCTGCTCTCAAACTCGAACGACAATGTGATGCGGCTCTTCAACAGGCATGGCTTCTTCTTTGATATTTCTCTTTCGCTCGCTCGCCTGGTCGACCGACGCCACGTACTGAAGGCAAAATATCCCTCCGGACCCTCATGCGTTGCAGCTCCCAGACCTGGTTGGATGACCAAGATCACAGCGCAGGTCCGTCAGATACTGGGCAGCACGATCGCTGGGCCAGTCAATATCGGCGTGGGCAATATGCCGTGCCCGAGGGATGCGTGGACGATATCGCAGCCGAGGAGATATACAGCACGTCATCAATCTCAACTGCTCTCCTGTCCGTCTCGGCCACTCTGACTACAACCAAACGCAACAGATCCTCCTATTCTGCCGGTGCTATCCGTCAGGGAAGCCGAGTGTATATACGACTGCTGCTGGTACCCGATGATGCAGTCCACAGGTGCGTTCTGCCAGATACAGCCATGGTATTGACGAGCCCACCTTCGAGCACATTGCTGATCGAGTTGTTGGCAGCAGTGGCATGTAGTGGCACGCAGTGGAAAAGTATTTGACCCTCGCCCGTCCATCAGATCCCTCGACCTGCTGCTTTCTGTCAAGCTCAAAAGACCACCCAGTACGCCTGTGGGATGCTTACACTGGCGAGGTACGGCTTTGTGGCTGCATGATCCGTCGCCTCCACAATCCACGAGCAAAAATATCCGCACTCAGGCCACCGGACCCGTGGCGACGATGCCATGTATCCCATATTACTCCTCTCCGCAGCTGCGGGCCACCTATTGCCTGTACGACCACCTAGACCAAATTACTGCACCAGTGTCGGTAGCGTTCAGTCCGGATGGCACCAAGTAAGTCCGCAGTACTCCATCGACTCCGCAAGTGGGATTTGCCTTATCTGCGATAGCGACGGACCAACCGGCGACACTCATGCTTGGTTCTCGGCGCTTGGATGTCGCCTGAACAGGATATACTGTGGGCTCGACAGCCTGATCGAGATTTTCGACATACACTGCCCTGGCCGTGACTCTGTCAAGCGACCGACGACAAAGCCGAGGCGGTCAAGGGAAGGTCAAAAAGGCAAGGATCGATCCACGATGTCGCCGCACGGAGCCACTAGGGCAGATCAAAGTCGGCGCTTGCACCCAAGAAGTGCTCTAACTGGATCGACCGTCTTTGTCCGTCATGGTTGCCGCAGGAATCCTCTCATGCATTTCGTTCTGCCCCGATATGAGCAATCTCTACGCTGCGGGATCGTTCTCGGGGTCGATTGGGTTCTACGACGGGAACGACAACGACCGCCCGCTGCTGCTGTTGAAGGACAGTTCCCACGGCATCACCCAGGTACATCGCCGGAACGATGCTGGTGCAGGCCCAGAGAGCCCGAAAGCAACCGGAGGGACGGCTCTCTTGGGTTGCCGGCTCGTTTCCATGCTGCCCCATGCGATCGATTATGCGTCTGTTGCATCCTTTGCACCTCCACTGGACCGATCCGATGACTGATACTGCTGGCTGGTTCACCCGCACACCCGTCCGCTCGTGGTCGAACGGCTCCTTTCGCCGTCGTCCCGGTCATCTTCGTCCGCCTCGCTACTGATTGCTGCAGGTGTCATTTTCACCGGATGGCAACTACTTGTACTCGGCCTCGAGGTCGTCGACAAGCATTCTCTGCTGGGACATCCGGAACACAGAAAAGGTCCTCTATCGCATCAGCCGGAACGCACAAACAAGTCAGCGGATCGGATTCTCGATCGACCCAGGTAGCAGTCACCTGTCAACAGGAGACAAGGTAAGAGAGCGGAAGGGAGAGAATGCATCCCTGCCTGCCAATATTCCAGGCGGCGGTAGTGAAGCGTGACTATGACTGTGACGGTAGCTGTGGGCGCGAGTCACCGATGACAGAGTCTTCGCTCAACATCGGTGGGCAACCACCTGTCCTCGCCAGTGCCAATGCTGGTTCTAGTCCTGATGCTGATGACGATCTTGATTTCAGGAAGGGCGCATTCTGACCTACAAACTCGGTGAAGCCGAACCAATATTGGTCGGCAGCGATAAAGTGCATTCAGGTATGGTGCACAGCTGCCGAGGAGTTTATGATGCCCCGTCTCTACTTTACCGCTTGCCGAGAGGCAACCACATGCATTCGCCTTCCTTGATACGTCCGAGAGCATACCTCCGACATCGCAGCAAACTCACGTCTCTGCTCTATTCGATGGTGACCAAGACACGGTCTCTGCTGCTGCCCATCATCCCTACCTCCCGCTCCTGGCCAGCAGCACCGGACACCGTCACTATCGCATCCAGTCCGAAGTCGATCCAGAACACGTACCGCCGCCCGCAGCCAACTATGTCGACATCTGGCGGACACCTGGTACAATGCCGAGCTATCCAACAGAACACGGGCAGTGGGACGACAGCCATAATGGTGCAAACCAGTATGAAAGCGACCCATCCCACACAGCGGCCGATATCGACATGGACTCTGTCGTTTGTGATGCCAGCTAAGCGCAGTAGCGATCTGCCTTGGCTATCCATGAGACGGTCGATCTGTCTCGAGTTTATTGACATTCCCGAGTACATGTAGTTTATGCTACGCGTTTGTGAATACCGGCGAGTCATCATATGGCCCGTGATGGCCCACTGCCACTGGGAGGGGGAACAAGCTCTGTGAGCATCTACGGCGTGCTGGAGTATGCACGAAATAAGGCTGCAACAAACCCAGGGTCCTATCGTGCAAATGACAACAAACAACCAGGGGCAATGTGAGCGACGAGGATGAAGAAAAGGGCGATTGGGCTCCCATATTCACAGCGGCCCTGGTAGTCGGAGTGGCCGCCATTGTGCTTGAGCAACAGATTCGATACAGCCAGACTCACATTCAGCACTAGATACTTGAGGCGGTCGGCAAACTGAGCTTCGTCGAGTCCTCGGTGCGGCATGGCCGGCTGCAGATCCTCAATGTACTTCCACGCAGAAGTAACGGGGTTGGAGGGAACGGCGCCCCAGGCGGGCTGCGTGCTGGGAGGCTGGGGTCGCTGGCCGAGGACTGCCAGAATCTGTTCACCAGGAGTCATGCCGCCCGAATGAGCGGGGGGAAACGACACAGTAGCCCCAAAGCCCGGTGGAGCTGGATGGTTGGGCTGCAGGCCCAAGTGGTTATGGGGCGGGGAAGGCTGCACGGCAAGGTGCGATTGACCAGCGACAGAAGTGGTTAAGCCGTGGGCAGGTTGGTAGGTTGATCCCATGCTGACCGGCAAAATGAGCTAGCCACAGAGCTTGGATGACAAATCCCCAGGCGACAGCATGCATCGTTCGCTTGAAGGCGGTGTTGAGTATGATGGAAGCGATTCCGTAGGTGTCCCATACCTGGTGGCCGGCAGCTGGTAGTCCGGGCTGCTGCACCGAGTTGCCTTGCGGTCCAGTCTCGACTGCCCGCTGCAACATCGCCATGACATCGACCTTGGGCTCCTGAGTGGTCGAGGGCGTTGGTGGTTTCATCGCTGATATCTGTCCACTCAAGCGACTATACCTTTAGGAACCAATGTGCCGAAACAGGAGGGTCAGGACGAAACCGGGCAAGCATGCAAGTAGCTGAGACGCTGGACGGAACTCTGTCCGTATCCACACTCTGCAACAGATCTTCTGCGAGAGCGCAAATAATGAACACCGCAAGATGTCTGGAAAACACATCGAATTGAATCCATGATTGCTGGAGACATTGCGCCCCCATCTGCCTTGCGGCGACTACCCACTTTTCCAGCTCCTTGGCGATGCGAGCCCGATCCGAGGCTTCGTATATCCACAGACCGACGACTTTGTCTGCGACGAGGAGGACATAAACGGTTGGTTCCGGAAGGAAAATAGAATCGGGTCTCGATGTGGACGGCCCCTGGAATCCTCGGAGTGTACGGCCCCTGGAATCCCCAGCATCTACGGCCAAGCTGTCGACCGATCGCCGGACGAGGCTCACCGTCCAGGGTACGATATATGACGTAGTCGCCCATGACTTGGATCTCCATTTCCGAGTTGAGCTCTTCATTGTGGTTGTCGGTGCTGAGACGATTCATGACAAAAATGCCGTAGCGGTTGAGGGACTCTTTTCGGAATAGGAACATGGTTCCCTCGATACCCACTTTTTTCTAAGCAAGCCGAGAGATGGGTCAGATAGCACCGAAACGGCCACTGGGACTTTGGCTATCAGGCAGATGACATTGCTCGCTGCCCTCGCTTGAGCACCATCGAAGAGAAGGCGAGCGGCACGCGGGACAACCCCGACGCTCTTCACCAGGGTCAGGGGTGCGAGAAACGGAAGACGGCCGATGGTCTCGCTCGTACCCATGTCTCGGTTGCCGAGTCAAAGTTGTAGACGACGACATGGCTGGAGGTGTCGACGATGGCGGATATGGCGGGATCGTGCCGCCTCAGCACGTTGAGATTGACGGCCTGTCGGGCTGCAGCGTCCATCTGGTCGGGGGGGAGAGGGACTGACGATGCGTTGGAACGAGTTGGAACGAGATGGGGCGAGTGGAACCGGTATCAGCCGAGCCGGGACAAGTTGCTTTCCGTCGAGGCGGACCGGGCTGGAGCGAGATGCAAGAGAGCTGGCTGCAGACAAACGACGGGCGACTGGATTGGCTGTCGAGCCAGGACGGACCGCCCAATCTCGCTGGTGCATCGAGCTGCGTCCCGCGGCACAACCCACGAAACAGCCCGGGCGACCGAGCGCACGCCGTCGATGCGAACGAGTGCCCCGTCGAGAGGTATTAGCGCCGCGGATGTATTAGCGCCCGGGATGTACAATTGCCGGGGGTGAGGGCTGAGCTGGCCGTCATCGCTGCGGCGCTCCTCGGCCATCTGGCGCCTCGTCGCCAAGCCTTATTGTCGTCCTTCTTCGACTTCATCTCGCCCGTTCCGCCCCTCATCGTCATCCTCAACGCCCATCCTCATCGCCCATCGCCCATCCTATCCCCGGCTCGCCAGGGAACCCCACTCTATCGCTTGGCATCGTCGCGGACATGTCGCTGCTGTCCACCCCTGCCCACGAGCACGAAATCAGCACCCTCGTCGTCACCTGGAATGTGGGCACCAACTCGCACCCGCATCCCGGCAGTCTCGGCGGCGAACCCGATCTGACTCTGCTCCTGCCTGAAGCCCGCCGGTTCGCCAAGACCCCAAAGGCGCCCAGTCCAAGCTCCTCCAGCCAAGCCAGCCGCCCAAGGCATCTCTACCACGATCTGATCAGCTATGACTCCTCCTCATCGCCATCGCTATACACCGACTCTGGCGCTACGGACCACTCGGGCGGGGGCACGCTGCTGGACCCGAGCGATCCCTTCTCGGTTGTCCATCCGCTACTCCCGACCCACCGCTTCGACGACCCGTGGGCGACTAATTCCTGGGAAGACGACTCGTGGCTTCCGGAAGAATGGCGGAGACCCAAGCCCAGCCCCGTGGACGACTCGCCCGTCATCCCCAACATCGTGGTCTTTGGCCTGCAGGAGATTGAATCGCAGGTCACGGCCGCCATCAGGCTCCCGCACAACCAGCCTCCCTGCATCGGCGAGCCCACAGATCCGCTCCTTGCCCTGTGGGCAGAGCGCATGCTCGCCGCACTCGAAAAGGTCTACGGACACACCTACACCGTCCTCCAGTCGCAGCGCATGGTGGCCCTCGGCCTGATTGTCTTTGTCGACCCGGCCTTCCAGCAGTCCCGCCGACTAACCATCGAGGGCCGCTGGATGGGCGTGGCTGGCTCGGGCCTGGCTGGACTCTATGGCAACAAGGGTGCCATTGCCACTGCCATCGACTTTCGATATGAGGCCCTGCCCCGGATAGTCCCGTATGCCCCCAACGCCGCTTCGGTGATGCAGGACATGATGATGAGGCACAAGATGGAGAGCCGAGGCCCTTTCAGGTTCTCGCTCTGCTTTGTGAACTGCCACCTGCAAGCGCACGAAGGTCAGGCATACCAGGACATGCGCGACGCCGAAGTCGATTTCCTGTTTTCGTCGCTGATCATGACGCCCAACAGCGACATTGTCACGGGCACCGACTTGCACGATGGCGATGCCCCGAGCACCCCGATTCCGGAGGACAGGCACCCGATCCTGCCGGGGCTGCCTCGTGTGCTCTCGGCCGAGCAGCGCGAGATGCTGGACCCGCTCATCCGACACGAAAATATTGTCAACCCCAACGGCCTCGAGCGGGAAAGGTTCGAGCCCGTCCCCGAGCAGCCACACCGGCTCATCAAAGACAACAACCTGATCTTTATGTTCGGCGACTTCAACTATCGCTTCGTGGGAGCCTCGTCGACACTCTCTCGTGGTCACGTCAACGGCTTGATCGACTCGCAGGAGATTGAAAAGCTGGTCAAGCTGGACCAGCTCTGGCACGGAACCCGCTCGGAGACCCGCACTTACCATCCATTCAAGTCCTTTGTCGAGGCACCGATCAGCTTCCTGCCGACTTATAAGCACAGCCTGCCTCCCGCGCTCCCGTCGGAGCCAGCGCTGAAGCGATACTCCTCCAAGCGCGTGCCGGCGTACTGCGACCGGATCCTTTACTCGGTCACCGACAATGTCGGCACCCCCGATCTCGTCGATGTCCTGCATTACGGCTCTGCAACCGAGATTGGCTGGAGTGACCACCAGCCTGTCTCGGGGCTGTTCCTGATCCACGTCAACGAGGTCGAATACTTGAACGACCCGGGCTTTGGCTCCCGAACGCTCACTCGAACTCACCCGCAAGGACTGAACGAGATCCAAGCACTTCGCATCAAGCGCTTTGTCTCAAACTCGGTGTGGATCCTTGCGGTTCTGGCGGCGATGATCATCTTTCTCCTTTGCCTCCGTGGGCTCTAGAGCACCTTATCTTCTCATCCAAGTTAGAGGACAGCACCTTTGTCTGTCCGGCCACAGCGTCGACTGTATACTGGGGTCCCCGAGTTTCTATCCATCGTTTCCGGCCAAATCGCTCGGTTGTAAGCTGTGCTGTCGTCTCGTCGCACTCAGCCGCATCCAATACCATGAGAGAGCGGTGTTTTTTTCGAATGCAATACAAATCATATCGTAATCGCATCGATGGTGCTTTGGAGAAAGCAGCCAAGGAGAGTGCTGCGAGTGGCTCGAGCATTAAAAGTATTTCCCGAGTATGATGGGTAACTCGAGGCGCTTGGGTGTGGGACTGGCACCAAGAACGAGAGGCGCCTCGGTGCGTGCTCGCCCTCGCTTGGTGCCCTCGCTTTGACATCGATCTGCTTTTCGGATCGCGCTTCGGAACTGCCCTTGACCCGCTATCGATCCCGCTATCGATCCCGCTGTCGATCCCGCTGTCGATCCCGTCGATCCCGTTGTCGATCCCGTCGATCCCGTTGTCGATCCCACCCTGGAGCCTTTCAAGCTCGATCGCTGACACCATGGCCGCAGCACCCAGGCTCTCCAGTCAGGGCCAGAACCAGGCCCAGAACATCAAGTTCATCCACAAGAATGCAAAGGCCCTTGGATCGACCGGCACCAACAAGAAAAACGTCCTGAAGCATGTTCTGGATTCTCCTCACAGCTTTGCCTGGTAGGGAGCGCCACCAACGGTGACAGCAATGTGCCCTGCACATTCTGCCGCGATCGCAGTGTCCACGCATATATGCGAGAGCCGCCGATGAGGAACACGGAGACTCGTTCATCCGCCAAATCTGACTGGTTTTGAATGCGAATGTGTTTGCAGGCCATCGCCCTCCGATGGGGACAACAAGGCAATACTGGATCTGCTGACAGAGTAAGTGAAATCGACCTCTCTCGGCTGGCAGAGCTGGTGCATCAAAATTGCAGTCGATTGAGGGAGTGTGTGCATTGGTTCTCTCCCTGCCGCCCTGTCAACCCTCGGAATGACCCCGACCATTGGTCTCTTTGGAATGACTTTGACATTATTAGTGCGGTCTGTGCGCCGTGCTCTGGACTCGATGCCGCTCAGCTCGCCGCTGCAAAGCTGCCGTTCCCACCCTCGGAGTATGTCGTGGGCCTCAACTCGGTCACCCGCTACCTCCAAGAATCGTCCCTGGCCAAGCAAGCTGCCGATGAGGCATCGGCCACCCCACTACGTCTTGTTATTGTCTTTCGCGGGGACATTGAAGCATCGCATCTGGTGTCGCATCTACCCACGCTGGTTTATCTCTCCAAATGGAAGATTCTGCAGTGCACTCTCAAGAAGGGCTCTATGAGCAGTTTTCTAGCCCGGTTGTCCGCAGCACTGGGCGAAAACGACAAGAAGCACAAGTGGAGATCTGTGAGCGTCCTGGGTATTAAGGTAAGCTGCGGCGAGAGGTCGTTGTGATATGTGGCTGTTCAATCCGGGCTGGTGGAGTAAACCGCGAGCGCACAGCGACAGCTCAAGCATATCGCTGATGCTCTATTGCTTTGTTACTACTGCTGCCGCCGCTGCTGCCCCTGGCTGGCCTCTCAAAAGGAGGGCACGCCGCGCTTTGATGCTCTGGTCGAGTTGGTCGCTTCCAAATTCCAGTCGGTAGAGATACCGTGGCTCAAGCCCACCAAGAGCCTCCTCGGCTCGAGGAAATCGAGCACGCCTGCGGTACAATATTTGCCGACCAAGATCCGGACGATCCAGACGGCAATGCCGATCGGTCAGGCAAACTCGCGGCGACGCAATCAGGGAGAAGGGGGTGGGAAGCAGCAGCAGCGCCAGGCCGAATTCAAAAGGCGGCGAACAAAGCGACCAGCAGAAAGGGCCGCCCAGGTCCATGACACCAATTTGGATACTCAACCAGAGTCGAGCGCTATGGATGTGGACTCGGAAGCCCTTGATGGCAGCTGAATGCCACGACCCAGATGGCTGCACCTCGTTTGATCACACCATTTGATTACATCGTTTGATTCACATCGCAAATACACGTCAGCGATCCAGGGCATATCATTCGTTAGATGTGTATTGGACATGAGGATGCGCCCGTGGCGGCGTCGCATAATTATCTATTACGGATCGGCAATTGTGACTATAGCAGCAGTCCTTGCGTGGGAAGCGATCGCTCCAGGCTTCCGGCATCGGGTCATGGACTTGGTCGGGCTCTGGGCGCTGGAGATGCTCGGCTGAGTCATCACCACGTGACGCTCTCGCTCCGTCCTCTTCTCGGCGAGGACGACGAGGACGTGGCTCTCGGTGCGGCTCGCTCCTCGGTGCGAGAGCGCGAGTGTGGGTTATTGGTGCTGTCTCGCAGCCGCCATTTGAGTCTCTCCCTTCGTCCGGCCAATTTCTGTTCACCAGGAGGTCACAGTACAACCAAGCAGGGTAAGCAGCCGGAAACGGAGACATCGGCCAGCACCGATCCATCCATCCATCCATCCATCCATCCGTCTATCCGTCCGTCTGTCCATCTGTCCATGTGTCCATCCGTCTGTCTATATGGTGGCTTTGTCAAGGGCATTGAGCATCCGGATTCTCCTCGGCTCGGAAACACCGTCAAACTCTACCTCGATGTCGGCCGTCTTGGGCGAACACACTGGACAGACAGGATAAAGAAGCCTCGGCAGCATTTGTGCGGGAGTCGACAATTCATCTCGGAGCAGCTCACCAGCCGGGGACATATTGTGGCCAGCGACACTGCCAAACGGATGCGATCGGCCTCGGACCGGAGCTCATGGACACGGCGTCGGGACCGATCGTCACGGCTCCTTCCCCCCACCCTGTCGCGGCGTCTACATGCGGGACAGGCTTGCCGAGTGGATCGAGCCACTTTGCTCAGCTAGAACGAACAGAACAAGCAGATACTGGAGCGGCAGGCGACGACGAGGACTGGCGGCCGCACGAAAGTGTGGTCCGCCGACGGGCATTGTCGCTGGACATGTGCAACGGATGCAGACGGATGGACACGAGATGCGCCACTGGATTGGCACCACCCTCACAGCAAGCGAAGACCCCCTCCGCAGTGTTGAATTGTGGTTGCTATGCAAAAGCTAACTTGTTGCTCGCTCTGGATTCCACCTGCAGCAAAATGGTTTCTCCCATTCAGAAGAAGACTATCATCAAGAAGCGACGAGCTTCGTTCAACCGCTTCCACTCGGAGCGCTTCATGCGCGTCGATGTATGTGCCAGTACCTAGCCCCCGCCCGACATCGTGCGGCGAGGCGAGATCACCCGGCCGATTTGGCGCATCAAGCAAGTCAGATGCTGACGGTATCTTTTCCGATGTGCAGGCCTCCTGGAGAAAGCCCAGAGGTATTGACAACCGCGTTCGCAGACGCTTCAAGGGCAACATTGCCATGCCCAAGATCGGTTACGGCTCCAACGCTGCCACCCGCCACCTTCTTCCCAACGGCTTCAAGAAGTTTGTCGTCAGCAACGTTGCCGATCTCGAGCTCCTGCTCATGCATAACCGCGCCTACGTTGCCGAGATCGCCCACAACGTCAGCTCTCGCAAGCGTATCCAGATCGTCGAGCGTGCCAAGCAGCTCGATGTCAAGGTCTCCAACGCTGGCGGTCGTCTTCGTGCCACCGTATGTATACATGACATTGTGCTGTCGGGTGTGGATGTGCAGCTGCCGGAGCGGCACCCGAATCGTGCAGAATCGACCGATGCAGACCGGATGCTAACACGAGCTTGTTTCCACATCCCTCCCCTCTTGGTATCAGGAAAACGAATAAGCAAGATGTTTAGTTAATAAACCTGTTTGTTGCGATGCATGTTGTATTGAAAAATAATGACCTTTTGACACAGAATTGCTCTAAAAGAATCTTATTTTTCAAGATCCAATTCCGCCGCCATGGCGACGGCCAGATTCACTTTTGCTTGAGCCTGTGATTCCGAGCAGACGGGATGGTGTGGCTGATGCAAGTGGGCGCTGCGCATGGGAGTTGGTTTGGAAGTGGACGGGCTCTGATGTGCGCTCTTGGTTCCGATCTGCCGTTGTGTGTTGTGGGGCTTGATCGACTCCCTCGCGATACTCTTCCGGCCAACGAGACCCAGCAGCTGCATACATATTCGCACTCCCACTCTCATTTGCGCCTGCATCCGCATCCGCATTCGCATGAACGAACGGCTCCCGCCTGCGACGGAAACCGTCCAGCCCAACAAGAGACAGCGGCTGGACAAGCCAGCCGAGACCGCCAAGATCGAGAGAATCATCGCCCATCGACTGCACGACAACAAGGTAAATACCATTGAGCAGCCCCCGCAGCTTCGAGCAGGACCGGCCAACACACTCCTCTGACTGATGTCCCTTCCTGTTAAACGGGCTGCGGCTCTGCGGGTCCGTGGCTCTTGGTTTGTGACTTGCTCCAGCTGTACTTCCGAGTCAAACACACCGGCTCGACAGACGTTTTCTGGGTCGGGCACGATGAGGTCGTTCCCAAACTCTTGGTGCTGCTTTACAAGCGGACATGTTCCCCAGCCGACGCCCTGGATCTCTCTGATGAATACTTGACTCAACGACCGGCAAGGGAGTCGCCATTGCCGTCTGTGGGCATCACCCGCGCGACTGAAGGATCTGCTCGCACAGCCGCTCCTGCACCATCGCTGGACCGAGATGCCCCATCGCCAAGTGGAGTTGCACCCTCCAGGAGCGAGGGTGCAAGAGAATCGGCGCCTGCGACCAGGCCGGTACCGGTTTCGGCAGCCACACAGCCAGTATCGGGCAAATCGACCTCGACACTGCAGCCAGAATCAGGACCCAAGCGAGCGCCCATGGCGAGAAAGTCCCTCGGCGGACCGAAATTGCCCATATCGACGGCGAACCAGTCCCCCGCCTCGACGAGCGCATCGGGTCTCGGGCCACCCGCCGGTGCAGCCCAAGCACAGGCTCAAGACGTGCCCTCGGCAAGCTCACCAACGAATGCGCAGGCCATCAACCCCGATCTAACGCCGAGGGTCGAACAACGCCGCCAAGAGCCAGTTCCGTATCCAAGCTCGGGTTTACACGATGTGAAGATCGAAAATACCATCGACGGGGACCTAGGACCAAGTGGATTCGCCTGGGTGGAGGCAAACATCTTTTGCGATGCGCAAATAATCACAAGCTTCTCGAAGGCTCAATCTGTCGTCAGCTGCCAATGTTCGCTGATAATCAAGACACAGGTGTGCAGACCGAGGACTTGCGAATGCTACAAGGGCAAAGACTACGAGTTTCCTTACGATAATAATCGAAGGCTCGCCCTCGGCGCTGGAAGGCCCATCAGAGAATGCGGCAAGAAATGCGCGTGTAACCTCGAATGCCCTTCCAGAGTGGTCCAACGAGGACCAGATAACAGACGCATTGGCCAATTGGTGCTCTTCAAAACCCGGAACAAGGGTTGGGCAGTGCGCTGTACTCAGGACATAAAGCAGGGAACCTTCATTGGAGAGTATGTCGGCGACGTGCGTCGAACCGGGCACGATGCGCCAACAAGCTCTAGGTACATATTCGGATTGGATTACAACACCCACGGGGACCCAAAGTACGAGATCGATAGCGAACGAAACGGAAACATCACTCGATTCTTCAATCATTCCTGCGAAGCCAACTTGGTCCAGCGTGCGGTGTTCATCGACGAGCCCTATGACTCCGAGTTCCATCGCCTCGCTATCTTTGCGCTGCGAAACATCAACAAAGGTGAGGAACTCACCTTGGACTACAATGGAGATAAACGGCTGCAAACGCCAGAAGTCGAAATATCGAATGATGACTTCCCGTTTGATTGCGATTGCGGAAGCCGAAAGTGCAGAAGACCGACCGCTGTGCAGCCCCTGCCAACAGGCCGGTTTATGGCCCGAAAAAAATTGTCTGGGAAACCCCGAAAGAAATCGTAACGGCGAGCGATGACTCCACCTTTCGGGCGCCTGTGAGCTGCCTCGAGTACCAGAGCAGTTCGATCGCCGAATATACGCGACGGCATGGTGATTTGTGGTCCTGTGCATCATTAATGATGGCATTGAGCCTTCTTGGGGGCAGACATGCAATGTGAACATCACCCACTCTGTCCAAGTGCATGATACGCCCCTTCAACAAGCTGTATCATCTAAATGACTGCTTGAACGTCACTTGGCAATAAAATACTGGAAGTGCTACAGTATCTGCTCCAGCATCGACTCTTCGACACTCAAGGCTCGGCTTGGAACAGCCAATGCATTGAAGGAGCGTGGGCTCGACACGAGCGACCCGGCAAGAATGACCCAGTGAGAGATCGGTCGTGGCACCTGGTGATGAGGTCGATTTTGGGTCCGTGCAACGACCTCATGCACTCTGCCAACGATCAATCTCGGCCAACCCGCGTGCTGCCGACCGCATATTAGATCATGTCCGAATTTTGGGTCGCTGGCAAGAAATGGTGGTGCCAATACTGCCGGTTGTTCATCACCGATAACAAAATCGTTAGTATGCTGGTCGCTACGGACGGGCTTGCCCAGCGATCACAGGCGATCGCTGAACATACGGCCCGGTCGGAACAGGGAGCAATCATCGATGCAATTCTCGCATAGAGGGCATAACGTCCGAACAAGAGTGCCGTCTCTCGTACTCTATTAGGCTAACGCCGATAATATTGCATTCGTTGATCACAATCGCACCGTACCAGAGCCGGCAAACACACGAAGGAGGCAAAAAGCACAAAGAGAACGTGGAGCTATACTTGCGAGATGTCACCAAAAGATCCGAGGCCAAACGCAAAGAAGAAGCCGAGACCCGTCAGATGCTGGAGAAGATCGAAAAGGTAAGGACGGCACCAACACACAGCGCCCCAACGCTTCTATCGACATCAGGAGGGAGCAGTGCGAGCCCAAGAGGGTGGGCGAAAGCGATCCGTGCTGACAGAAGGCTCTGGTGCGATTGGTGGATGCCAGGCAGCCGTGAAGCAGTTCGTTCAGGATGCAGGGCTACAAGCGGCCCAGCAAGCCTATGCGCATGATGCAGCCCGTCAAGAGCCCAAAGTGTATCCAAAGATCAAGGCGGAAACGGCATCGTCCTCGGCCGTGTTTGAGGAGGAAGGCGCAGACGAAGCAGCAGCGGGCCTTGATGACGAAGGCAAAGGCAAGGAGTCGGTTGGAGCTCGCAAGTCCGAGATCCCCGAACACATGGGCATTCCGGGCGAATGGACGATCGTCGAGCTCCCTCCTCAAGCGGCTGCTGCGGATGAGAAGGATGGAACTGAAGCGCGCAAACGAGAGCTCATCGACGATCCCAACAACGACGATGAGGCTGGCGAGCCCGAATCGGCCATGGTTTCGTTCAAGGTGACTGAGAAGGTTACTCGGGCGGGGATCCTGGACGACGAAGACGAGTCCGGCAAGGCTGTGACATTCAAGAAGCGAAAAGTAGCTGCGAGATCAAATGCAAGGCGAACAAAGTGATGGCCTCGAGCAGGCAGCTGCAGCCAATATGCAGCAATAGTCAGCAATAGCCAGCAATAGCCAGCAATAGCCAGCAATAGCCAGCAATGGTCAGCAACGAAGCAGAATACAGTTGCAGATGCATCCAAGCCAAACAGCAGCGACGGACGATGGGCGATGGACGATCCAGGACGGAGCGGGCACAGCGAGCGATCATCGGGCTGCTGCCGGCTCGGTTGGTGTGAAGGCAGTCGCAAGGGCGAGAGGTGTGATGTGATGATCAACCGATGGACCACACAGCGAGTTATTGACGAAGCAGGGTCGTCAACGAAGCAACCGAGACTGCAGCGATGCCATTGTACCATCATCCAGGATCCAGGATCCAGGACCCAGCATTCTCTGTTCCACACCTAGCATTCTCCACTCCACACCTAGCATTCTCCACTCCACACCCAGCATCCAGATCCAGCATTCCCCATGCCACTGATGCGACGCCATCGCCGTCGCTCGCTGGTCAAGCACCACCCCACTCCAGATCGGCATCATTATTTCCAATCGACCAGAGATGGACGGATTGATTGCCTGGTGCCAAGAGACAAACGGCCGAGATCCGACATTGACGGATATCGATGGACATTGGAATGCCGCGACATGGATGGACATTAATGCAGCCACTCGATCCAATCACACCGCACCGATTGAACACCACCCACGTCTGAACAGAGAACACCGGTCCAGCAGACACCTGCAGTTCGCAGACAGCACCAGTCCAGTCCATCCATCCGATACCGAACGGCCACCAGCCAAACAGACATCAATTGATATCAATTAGACAGCAAGGGAGTTGAACCCTCGGCTGTCCGGAATGGGTTGTGTGTCCTCACTGACCGTCCTCCCTTGCGGAAGTCCTGTCCTGTGCAGGGTCATCACGGGTTTCCAAAAAGTGGGCCACTGCTCTTGGTGACTCTCCGACACGGGATTTTTTAGTAAAAGGCGAAAAAATCGTGCGAATGCGAGAAAGTCGAGCAGGATGCCGGTGCAAAGACTTGCCGCCCGCCCGCCCTTTTATACCGCTGTGCCGCCACCCGTTCCGTGTCCCCCGTTCCGTGTCCGATCACCGCGTGGCTTGTGCGCAGCATCGGTGGCTGGCGCCGTCGATTGGCTGGCCACGTGTCGTCACACACACACACACACACACACACACACACACACACACACACACACACACACACACACACACACATCCACACATTCACACATTCACACATTCACACATTCACACCTGACAATCACTCCGATACTACCCCGGTATCAGCTCAGTATCATCCCAGTATCATCCCGCAATATCAAACCTAGCATCCAAGATATACTGCAGCCATTCCTCACATGCTCGCCATCGTCAGCATGTCCAACTTGCTCGACATCGTCCTCCACGACTTGCACTGCCTGTTGGTGGACGATCGACAGGATCCATTCCATGTCTTGGCCAGATCAGCCATCACCACCGCCACCACCACCATCACCACCACCATCACCACCACCACCACCACCACCACCATCTCGCCGTCGCTCGCGCTCGACCGGCATGCACTCGTGGCCAATTGATCGCCGTCTCTATTTTTGCACGACCCCGGCGACTGGCATCCCCGTCCGTCCGCCATTTCCGCGCAGCACAGTTGGAAGTATCGGCTTGCCAAGAAGCTCGCGCACCATTCGGTCTTGGGCCAAAGTCTCGACAAACTCGGCCATGGTGATGGCGTCCGTTTGCATGCCCTGAAATGGATCCGTGATCGATCTTGCCATTGCCACGTGCTCCATCTGTTGGAATTGAGCGCAGGTTTGAGTTCCCAGGCAGGGAATATACTCACAGCCAACAACCTCTAGTCAATTTGGTCGACACATCAAGTCCAGTGGTCGGCAAGTTTGCTCTCACCAGCTCGAGGTTTGGATAGGCCACAAATATTCCGTATTGCGGCTCGCAGGTAAAGTATCGAACACCCTTGACAGTGCCATCGTTTTTGCCGTCTGGCAGTCATACGCAAGCATCAAATTGCTGTCCGGCCAGATTCTCGGAATGCTGAGATCCGGGACGAACTCTATCGCTGAGCACCTCAAGGGACAAGAGTCCCCTCAACAGCTTACGAACACAACGGGCCACTTGCCTGCACTATCGAGTCGGAGTCCGCCCCAGATACCTTGCGCAAACTTGGTTGGCCCGATATACTCCAGCGTCCCGACTTTTTGACTGCTCCGTATCCGGACACGATCACCAACTTTGAACTGGCCGATGCAGCATCAGCCGGAGATCAAGAGAGCGACGGTGAGACCATGCGAAGCGCTCACTTACTCGACCGGCCTGAGAGCTCGCCAGCTCCAGTTTTTAATGCAAACCAGTCGCAGACCCACATTGTAATCGAGAATCTGCTGGATCAGGACGGTCAGATCGCATATCTTGATGACGGCGTCTCCATCGTAGTCCAAGAGCTTGAAGAAAACTGACATTTTACCACAGTGCCGCAATCGGTCGGACCGCAGATGTGAGTGCGAGGTCTGTTCTCAGCCAGTCCGTCCCGAAGAAGCCACCCTGCCACGAGCCTGTACTCACATTCCAGTTTGGTTTCGATGCGATGCGTGCTCCACGAACGAACTGCTTCCATGAATTGCGGAAACGATATGGACCTTTGTCCGCCAAAGAGCTGGGCAAAGACCTGGCCTCGCGTGTCAGCGGGGCGGCCACCAAGAACAATCAGCGCACGACTCGGCCGACGCAGCGTACCCGAGTCAGCAGCCAGTCAACCTGCTCCGAGCCCTCGGGGAGCGCTCGCTGGTCGTTCACGGGCGAGAGCTTCAGGAAACGCTGGTGGCAGAACTCGATCTCGGCGATGTTGACTGCGGCGGGAGCGGCGCGTTAGCAGTCGGATGAGCACCCAAACAGCGACGAGCAAAAGGGCTCTCGACACACTCACGCTCGAACTGGCGCGAGTATTGATATATCTGCTCGGCGGTGAGCCGATTCTCCTTGGCGGTGGATGGCTGGTTGCCCATCTCGGTGCCTCTGGGACTGCAGCCTGAAAGCGTCCGAGCAGCCAGGAAGAGTCGACGATGTGGGGATCAGGGCAGCTGCGAGTCAGCAGTTGGTCATGATTGAGCGGCTGGACGCAGTTGGCGGGCGCAACCAGGAACGAAACTGCCCATATACCGAAACCGCTCCGGGCACCGCGGACGTCAGCGTAACTGATCGTGGGTGCAACATTCCTCTCTCCTCTCTTTTGCTTCCAGAAGGCACTCTCAAGGACCAGACACAACAAGGCTCGGACCAGGGTACTCTCGTTTTGCTTTGGCATACGCATTATATTAGGGGTTACAAGGCAAGCTCGTGACATTTACTTCTTGCCAGCCTTGCCAGCAGCCTTGGTAGCCTTGCCACCGGCAGCCTTGTCGGTCTTCTCGACGGCCTTAATGACACCGACGGCAACGGTCTGGCGCATATCACGGACGGCGAAACGGCCGAGAGGGGGGTAGTCGGAGAAGGACTCGACACACATGGGCTTGGTGGGGATCATCTTGACGATGGCAGCATCACCCGACTTGACAAACTTGGGGTTGTCTTCGAGCTTCTTGCCGGAACGACGGTCGATCTTCTCAACGAGCTCAGCAAACTTGCAGGCAATGTGAGCAGTGTGGCAATCGAGGACGGGCGAGTAGCCAGCGGCGATCTGACCGGGGTGGTTGAGGACAATGACCTGGGCGTTGAAGGAAGCGCACTCCTTGGCGGGGTCGTTCTTGATGTCAGAGGCGACGAAGCCACGGCGGATATCCTTGACGGAGACGTTCTTGACGTTGAAGCCGACGTTGTCTCCGGGGAGACCCTCAGCGAGGGACTCGTGGTGCATTTCGACGGACTTGACTTCAGTCTGGACACCCGAGGGGGCGAACGAGACGACCATACCGGGCTTGATGACACCGGTCTCGACACGGCCGACGGGGACAGTGCCGATACCGCCGATCTTGTACACATCCTGGAGGGGAAGGCGGAGGGGCTTCTCGGTGGGGCGCTGGGGAGGCTCGATGGCATCGATGGCGTTGAGGAGGGTCTTGCCGGTGGAGGCGCCGGCCTTGGTCTCCTTGTTCCATCCCTTGAACCAGGGCATGTTGTCGGAGGGATCGATCATGTTGTCACCGTGCCAGCCCGAGATGGGGACGAAGGCGACGGCCTTAGGGTTGTAGCCGACCTTCTTGATGAAGTTGGAGGTTTCCTTGACGATTTCGTTGAAGCGCTCCTCAGAGTACTTGACGGTGTCCATCTTGTTGACGGCAACGATCATCTGCTTGACACCGAGGGTGAAAGCAAGGAGAGCGTGCTCACGGGTCTGGCCATCCTTGGAGATACCGGCCTCGAACTCACCAACACCGGCGGTGATGATGAGGATGGCGCAGTCAGCCTGGGAGGTACCGGTGATCATGTTCTTGATGAAATCACGGTGGCCAGGGGCATCAATGACGGTGACGTAGTACTTGGGGGTCTCGAACTTCCAGAGAGCGATATCGATGGTGATACCACGCTCACGCTCGGCCTTGAGCTTGTCAAGAACCCAGGCGTACTTGAAGGAACCCTTGCCGAGATCGGCGGCTTCCTTCTCGAACTTCTCAATGGTACGCTTGTCAATACCACCGCACTTGTAGATCATGTGGCCGGTGGTGGTCGACTTGCCGGAGTCGACGTGGCCAATGACGACAATGTTGATGTGAGACTTTTCCTTGCCCATGGTGAAAGTTCTGCTGCGCGACGAGAAAGCAATGTGCGTTAGCGTCGTGCAGAGGACAGGGTGGGCTGGAGGGGGATGGTGTCTGATCAGCACCAGCGTCCGCTGAGCCGGGTCAGGAGAGGCCGAGCATCTCGGGGCTCAGCCGAGGCTGACGCGCTGCGAGATCACTAGATGCGCCTCAGCGACGAGGCTGGACGGGTGCGCAGATGCATTGGCGGATGGATGCGCAGATGGATGGATGCGCAGATGGATGGATGGATGGATGGATGGATGGATGGATGGATGGATCGAGGCGCTTGCGTCGGTCCGGCGACATGCGGCATCTATGGGCTTGCCAGCCGGGTGCTCTTACCTGTCAGAGATACGCGAGGGAGAAAAATTAGAATGCTGCCCGCGACCCCACAGTTATATCGGCGGCCACTGCTGCGCCACAACCCCTGGCCTCCGCCGAAAAAAAGCGAGACGAGCCAGCCACGGCGACGTCAGCGGCGAGGGGCCGGCGAGAAGGCGGAGAGAGAGGCGGAGACGCCAGCAGTGGCGCGGCGCATGACGTGTCGAAGCCATGACCTCCTGCGTCGTCAGCGATGCTGCTTCGATGCATGGAGCAGTCACTGTCCATCCGAGCCCAGGCGGCCACCATTGTCGAGCAGCACTGCGGGTTTGCCGTGGCCCCGTCGGTCTGCAGCCACCACCATCGATGTCTGGGGCTCTCGAGGGCGGATCTGTCTTGGCCGACGCGGTTGGGCGATGGTGATGCTGGTCGCGGCTGCATCCACGCCGAGGTTTGGATAGACCGGTGGCGTGGGCACGGAGCTGGACAGAGGAGCCTGTTGGATGAGGCGGGCTTGCCATAGGCCACATATAGTTCGCTTGCATCACAGTGCATTGGCACATTCAACGACACTGAATGGCCATGACGGAGATTCAAGTCGCCTGTGAGGCATGGCTCGCACAGCGAATCGACATTGGAGTCGGTCTCGGGTTCGGCTTGCGTCGGTTGCAAAGACCGCGGCTTCTCTCTGGAAGAGTGGAGTGATGCCAGAAGACACGGCTCTCGAGAATTAGCTTCTGGTTCCTGAGCCATCCCATTGTCTGCTTGCGTGTAGCCGTCTCTGTTGTCTCCCAAGAACGGCAATGATCCAGATCGGCTGCTGCGCAAGCAATCGCCAGCCGAGCCAGTCTCGATACCAGCCACTTCGATGAATATCCTCGCAGCCGCATTTGCGATAGATAGAAGGGTGCGACTTTGTCAATCGGAGACGGATACAAGCAGATCGCTGCCCAAGCGGCCACCTTGGCTCCCCACCAGAGATCGAGGAACGCTGTCTCCAGCGGGGGTGTTGGTGCCGTTGTTTGCGATCCACATCTCGTCGACCGCAACTGTCTGAGGCGGCCACTCGTCTCCGTGCATCCCACACCTCCCGTTCTCCAGGCGTTTCCATCGTCCCTGCAGAGCATTTGGCTGAGGGCAGCTCTGGCAGACCGGTGGCCTCATCAGCTTCAGCCGCTTCGATGCCACAGCTCGAGATTGGGGTCGTCCTTTGATTGGGACGGTGCTTCTGACCAACATAGTTCCGACGACGAGACCTGCGATCAACGAAATGCTCAGACCCAAGTGGAAAAAAAAATTACCGTCCACTACTGGCAACTGAGTCTGATCTCATATTGCTGCTGTCCACATCGTCGTCTCCCCAGGCCCCGACACCCCCTCTGCTCTTTCTCACGATACCAGCGACAGTACTTCCACGCTGCCGCTCCAGCATCCAGTCGTCTGTCTATCCGCTTCTCTCAAGCTGCTTGATACGACGAATCCATCGTCACTTTCGAGATACCAGAGACTGCTGCCCTCATCCTCCAGACTGCCGAGCGCCGTCGACATGAGCTTCAATGCCGACGGATCCATGAGCCAAGAGAGCCAGGACGCCTTCAACTCCATCCGCGAAACCTACCAGACATACTTCTCGGACGTTGAGCACATTGCCCTCACCTCGGGCCCGGCCAAGCCGTCCACCAAAGGGAAACCCCAGAGCCGAAGCGCGGCTCTGGGCTCCAGCACCGATGAAGCCGAGGAAAGTATTGCGCCCCTGAGCTCGTCCAGGGCAGCCCTGGGCTCTCTCGGCGCTTTCTCGGATGCAAAGAGGTCTCGAACCCATCTTGGGTCGCTGGGGTCGCTCTCGAATCTGCAAAAGGCTCCCTCGCAGTCGCTTTCGAACCTGCAGCGGGCAACTTCGCAATCCCAGTCCAACTTGCAAAAAACGACATCAATGTCTCAGTCCAACCTCTCTCGGAATGCACTCACTGGCTCGTCCAGCAACCTGCGTGGGCCAGTCCTGGGTCCGCAGGGCCTCGATGGCTACTATGCTCGCCAGGGCCGAAATGCCCTGCAGGGCGACGACAAGAGCGTCGATGCTACGGCATCCGAATCGATGTCCGTGAGGTCCTTTTCTCCCATCCAGGACATGACCGCTGCCATGGATAAGATGGAGCGGCAGATCGAAAAGTCGCTGCAGATGGCCGAGGAAAATCTGCATCAGTCCATGGACAACATCGTGCGGACAAAGATTGCTTCCAAAACCGGATCCCGTCAGATACTGGCAAGTTCAACCGACCACCCTGGCGGACTCACTCGGTCCCGAACAGCCGTAAACTCAAGTGACTCCCGTCCAGGCACCGGAGCCCAGGGCCTCAAGTCGTCCAAAGGCAGTCTCGCCCGCCTCGACTCGACTGCGTCCAACCGGAAGCTGTTTGCTGCCCGCGGCTCCATCGGAAGCTTCGATAGTGTGGCATCAGGCCGCTTACCGGCCATCGAGTCCCGTCCAGCACGAGCGCCCGAGCGTCGCTCCATCGACATGGTGAGAGATTGTTTGCCGATCCCTGCCCCATTACTTGTGGGGTGTTCACATTGATGTATTCCTTGGTGCATCCGGCCAGTAAATCTCCGATAGCCACACCGCTCTCCCCGATTGCACACGCCACTCCGGGTTTCATCCTTTGGCTGGTGGGAATCGCTACATCTGCCATGGACTGATTCTGCTGGGCATGCTGCTTCGACTAGACTCCACACCCGACTGCTGACTATTCCTCTCTCATCCCGACGGAAAAAGGGCAAGGCCCAAAGCAAAGAGCGGGTGCGTAAATGATTTGGCCGGGCCATCTTTCATGTTGGCTGTAGGCGGTACGCAGCGTCGCCGGCATTGCTCACACAGGCACTCACAAACGCTGCATGCTTACCCACCAACTCGCGAAGTAGATAGGACAATCCGAAGGCTCACTGAACGACCTGTCCAAGGTATTGCACCTATGGGGATCACGCAGTAACTTACATCTCCCGCCTTGTACTGCTCTGAGCGACGCCTTTGCATTGGTGCTCTTCGCAGCCACTGTCCCTCCATGTGAATATGCATGGAAGCTCCCAGATCTCTCTTTGCGGCAGCTAACCACTTGATTACATCTTGGGCTCATCTGTGCCGTCATCAAACTCGTCATCCTCTGCGACCGTCCCCTGTCCAGAGTGGCTCGAGAGACAATGTGGTCGCTCGACTCACAGATCCGGCCAATTTCCCACCGGCCTACAAGCACAAGTTTGAAGCCATTCGGAAGCACCAGGAGAAGGTCGCTGAGATGGCACAGTATCCTCCAACAAGCCCAAGCGGCTCTCGCGAGAGTCTGAGCAAGGTGGGACTGCTGTTCGTTGGCCAGTCAACGATTTCCAGGGCAACAATTGAATCAAATCTTCAGGGCATTGATCCAGCCCGAGCTGGGTGTGTTTCTGTGGATCCGCCGTGATGGCGCTGCTCCGAATCGTTTGTGCCCAACTCGTCCTTGCGGGCGAGTTACTGAATTTCCTGTCCACCAACCATCGCAATCAACAGCATGCGGCGCCAGAGTCTGATGTAGTGAAGCGTCTGACGGATCCCAAGTAAGATCTCCTCTCCTGGTCCTGAAGGATTGATCCAGCGGCTCGGGTCTTGGCGATATTGCTAACTCTGCCGATGCCTGGCAGGAACTTTACTGGAATCCATCGACTGAACCCGAGTGACAAGCTTGATTTTAATGGTGCGTGATACGTCACTGTGCCCCCATCGGATGGGCCATCCAAGGCTATCGCAGCATCGAGGCTGAACATAGGGATTGTGCACCACGACAGGGGCATCACCAATTGGCTGGCAGTTGCTAGCAATCTCGCTGTTTTACCCAGCCGTTGTCTGGACACCTGTCGACCTGCTGATTGCGTGACGCAAATGTATCAACAACGTCATGATTCCCCTCCTGTAGGATACCCGCTGTCATTCAAGCCACCGAGCGAAAACGAGAAGGAGAAAATTCGCACATCCACGACCAAACCCAAGATCGAGGTGAGCTCGCCCAGCACCGACATCCCCATTTGGTGCAAGTATCCTCTGTACAGCCACTGGCCTTCTCGGTGAGCCGCTGACGGCCTGTGCGTCCAATAGTTCTTCAACGAGTTTGCTCCGCCATCTACCGAGCGCACCCCAAGGTCATCAGTTGGCACACTTTCGACCGGGAACAGCACTCGTGCTAGCCGAACCACCCAGTAGTAAGCACTTCCCGATCAATGCCGCCGTGAGTGTGCGCTGAACAGCGCGGGAATGTATATACATGTACAGAACAATTGCCTTCCAGTTCTGTCGCCCGATACAATATACACACCTCCGGTAGTGGCCGCTAGCGATGCGATGTGTGCCACTGTAATAGGGTGCGTTTGCGGCGAACCTCTGCGTGTTGCGGCAATGAGCTCTGCAGAACCCAGAGCGTCGTTTATTCGGCGAGACGAGCCTTGACCATCCTTTTGAGATATGTTGACATGCCTCGCATCTGCTATTCATCGTCGGTGAGCAGGACATAGTCGCGGCTGCTCTGGCCAAACTTGATGGTGTCGCCTGACCGGAGTTCCACGTATCGTGACGCCGGGATGCGATCGCCGTTGACCATGACGCCGTTAGTCGAGTTGAGATCGATGATATAGGGTCTAAGTTCAAGTGGACGGAGGAGAGTATCGTCCACAGCACAAATACAGACACCAGCCATTAGCTTCACCGTGGATATGGCCATAGGGACTCGGCATATTGCACGATCGATCCAGGTTGCCATGCACCAATGACTCCCCCCTCAAGCCCAGCTTCGCTCTCTGCTCGGCACTTTGACTGCTCCATAGCACTGTGGCTTACTTGACTGTGCGCTGTGTTTGTCCCAGTTCGTCGGTGGTCACAATTTGGCGGTACTGGAGAGCAGCATGCTGCTTGGAGCATGAAGGGTGATCAATAGGAATATCGGCGACCTGTGTATGCAAATGTTGGGTGGAGTAGCAGCGTCAGCTTCGGCTCTTTGTACATTGATAGAGCATGCAGATGCCTGCTGCCGATCTTACCACTCGGTCTCGTCCGATCAGATAGGCGCTCTGCCGATGGATATGGAGCAAATCTGGCAGCACGAAATGAGGGCGGGATAAGTTTGCAGCTATCAGTATATGGATGATAGGCTGTTACGAAGCAGTCCCCAGCAGGCCAGACCTGGCCAGGTTGGGTATGGCAGCCAAGTCAGTTTGCAGATGGATACTAACCGATTTGCTCCTCGCCTTTGAAGACATACAGACGGTACCTGGCCGTCGGTTTGCGAGCCTCGATCGGCTCGCTGTCCCACGCGAATATCCGATATTACAATGGAGCATAGGAAGCAGTTGAAACCCGTCCGATTGGCCATGTTTCGATGCCGTGTGGTTCGCGGCATATGTCCGATGGATGCATCGGTTTGTCGGCCCAGTTGCGTGCCGTTTGGATGGTGCAGTACAGACATCCGCACCGCAGTTGCGACGCGATGTTGAGCAAATGCAAGGGTGAGCCGCCGCATTGAAAGCATGAGCACCGGCATCGATAGCGATCGATCGATGGGGAGAACGAATTTCGGATGGCGCTCGTCAGCAACTTTGATGGGTGGGGCTGCTCAATCTATGGCAAAGCCTCGTCTGGCTCACATCGATCTCCCCCCGTTATGTACTCTGTCGTATTTGTGCCTTGAATCTCCCGCCGCTCAAGCACGACAAAGTTCTGTACTTGCCTGTATTTCAGAACGACGCCTTTGAATGTGTTTTGGTCGGCGCCAAGCAGTCCTGACGGCTTATAGTCCGGCATCTCCTTGGGCTTCTGCGGCGATTGCGGCTCCTCGTCTGGAATGTTTTTGCTGAGCACACCAAAGATTGCCTCACGTTAGCCAGGTGCAGCGGAGCCATTGCGTATGACGCTCATCCTTGAAGCAAATCCAGTTGCATCGGATGCGATCGTTACGTCGCCCTGTTATCCAATGATCGCTGAACATACCCGAACCTCTCCGACTCGGGCACATCCTGTCGGTATGGCTTGAGTCCGTCCGAATCGCGATGATCTCTGCGGCCGCCATCGTTCGTCCTTGATGGCCGAGACCGCGGGCTGCGTGATCGATTGTCGCGGCGGTCGTCGTCTCGCCTGCCGGCTTCTTGCCGATCGCCGCCCCATCGTCCCCGGCGGTCGCCGTCTCGGCTGTCGCTTTCTCGGTGGTGATCGGCCGGGTTGTGTTTCTGGGGTGAGTCTTGGTCGGACATTGCTGTGGTGACGATGCTGGCGATGCTTCTTGCGAGGCGGTGGTGCGCTGTTGCGAATGGCCCAGTGCGATTCGGGATGCTTGGATCAGGGCAGCGTCGCCGTCCGCCGCGCAGCCGCATCTGCGCGCAAACTTGTCCTGGCCAAGCAAGTGCCGGAGGTGGCCAAGCCGTGCCCCTCCTGCTGCTCCTCCTGCACAGCCGGCGCCCAGCGTCCCCGACAGTCAAGCTTCCATGACCTGTGCTGGTGAGCGGCCGCAGCCGGCTGCTGTCTGTCCTGGCTGTCTGTCCTGTCTGTCCTGGCTGTCTGTCCTGTCTGTCCTGGCTGGCTGGCTGGCTGGGCCGGCCCAGGTCTGTTCCCACGCCGTCGGCAGCCTGGACCCGTGCGCAGCGGCCTTCATTCATTTACCCAGATTGATTTTTTTGGGCATTGCTCGCACAGATCGCACCCAGCATCCGACGTATCCAACGTATCCAACGTATCCAACGCATCCAACGCAGGACAGGCGTCCGTTGCATCGCGAGCCGACCACCCCGCTGCTGCATCCTCCGAAATGAGCTCCAACAAGCGCAAGTCCGTGTCGGAAACCCCAGCCGACAGCCGCGATGTGAGGCTGAGGGCCGACCAACCGGAGCACCCTGACGAAGGGCCGTTTCTCGGTAAACCCGTGCTTGCCCGTTTGCAAGCCGTCCCGGCGGCTCTGGATTTGCTCGACACTTCTGCACCGGCACGAGCGCTGATGCTCCATCGGATGCACCCGTAGCGGCGGCGACTACATCATGGACCCAGTCGGCTCGCAACTAATATCGATTGCTCGCCTATCTGTCGTGCCCACATGCCTCTTACCAATCTGCTCGGTACCATCTACCCGACTCTCCAACGGGCATGTTCGCATCTCAATCGGCTCGTCAATGGAATGTGCGCGCCGCCATCACGACCTCGTTGTCTTTGTCTCCGTCGATTCGGCCGCCGTGACCATTGGATGCCCTGCGTTGGTGGATTCGGTTTTGGGGCCGCGGAAATGCGGGGCTCGCGGCCTGGCTCACCTCAGTTTCTTTCTCAAGCAAACCCAAGGATGCCTCAACCTTGAGCTTCACGGAGTACCACACCGCAGAGAAGGTCGCTTCGAAACGAAAGCGGATCCTCGCGGCCGAGAATGACAAAATCACTTACGTCGGAAACAACACCGATGCTCGGGGCCATGCTCGGTTCGTTTCTGCTTATTCTTGCCTTGTGAAGGGGGATAGTGTGGTCTCTAGCACTAGTCACCGATACAGGACGCACGACAGCGACTTGTTCAGCGTCCAACCGATCAGTATAGTGCTCTTCTGTCCGTGTACTGGGCTGACCCAGCGATGGATTTCGATCGCTCTTGATCATAGATATGTCGTTGGAGTCTATAACAAGCGCGATGGAACGGTGAAGCTCCGGGAAGCCCCCACATTCCGCATCGCTACCCTGGTCAAATCTCAAACCATGGGCCGATCAGAGCTGATCGGAGACAAGGTGAGCATGTCGGGACAGTGGTCTAGATCGAGCTCAGGCGGACAAGCAGCACAACAGCGGAGCTACCACCCCCGGCACAGGTTATGCGACGCTGACGAATATCTGTGTCCATGTTCAACGCCTCGACTGCTGGGCACTTGCAGAACATGGCGGCCCGAAACGTGCTGGGCGAGAGCTTCGGCACCAAGAAGAAACAGAAGGAGATCCGTGCGTACGAGCGGAACCAGGTCGACATCAACACGCTCAAGGACATTGCCGGCATCATCAGCGACCAGCTCCACGACAAGGCCAGCGCCATTCCGACCCAAGGTAGGTCACGCAAGCACTACCACATCCTCGATCGATATCGCTTCGGATTTTATCTACTGGGTGTCTGGCACGCCATCGCCTCCTGGGCATAGTGCAATGTCCTGTGCAGCCCTGAAAGCAAACATCCCTCATATCCCTCCAGAGCAAATTCAACTGTCGGCTCTCCAAGACCGACCCATCCCGAAATACAACCCGGAGGTATGCGTCAAGACCAGCTTTGTGATCAGAGAGTCTCGTGTTGGGATGCAAGCCAGAATATAGCATCTCGAGCTCGTTGCTGCGCGACTGACCGGCCGATGCTGTCGATAACCCCAGGCAAAGACGCCCGAAGATGTGTACCACGTCGATGACATTGTGTCGCCACTGGAGCTGCGCCAGATGAACTACAAGTCCCTACTCTCTGTGCAGCTCAAGTCCGAGCTTGAAAAGGCGTTGTCGGGACTCAGGTGCGGACTCATTTTGTGGCCAAGTCAGCGCGCGCCAGCAGTCGGGCGTTCTGGAAACTGCACCGCTTAGCAACTCTGGCTCAGGAAGCACTGCGAGGGCTGTGTTGCGTGCAGATCCTTCGGCAGTTTCAAGCCAAAGGGAGCATTCACCGTGGCCGGGCTAACGCGAAACCTGGACAAAACAGGACTACCCAGTGGGTGGTGGAGCACTTGCAGCAGGCACTACAATCCAAGGCCGATAACGATCAGCTGCGAAAGGTGCGCTCGCTTGTGCATCGCCGATTGCTCGCTCTCCTCTTCTTTGGCAAGCCAGTGTTATTGGTCGATCGAGATACTGGGGGCAACTCTCCGTTTGCGACGGGGCATCCGTCAAACAATCGGGCTTGCTTCAGACTCAAGGGGCTTCGGCTTATGGAAGACGATAGCCGCTACACTGCATATGTGCTGATCGACGCTGTGGCCTCCAGATTCTCTATGTGTCGCACATGATGCGGTTCTACGGCTTGAAGGAGAACGTCTTGAACAACCCCAACCAACTTTACAAGATCCTTGGAAACCCCTCCGAAGTTGTTGTCGAAGGACTGCTGAATCGCTTCACCGAGCTCCAGGACGACGAGCAGTACGTTATATGCCGATGGTCGCGATCGAGGCATCTGACCAGACACTCGCGAGAGATGCTCGCTCGTTGTGATGCGACCGGATGCCCACAATCGATCGTCTCACCGCTGCCTCCAACATACTCCTGCTGATGACAACCGTATAGATACCGCATGACGGCCCGCCTCAAGGACAAGCTTCTGGCACACATTCTGGTTCTGTGTCTCATTATCGACAACTACACGATCGAGCCCTCAAGCATTGCCCGCGACCTCAGCTTGACAGCCACCAAGGTGACCAGCATGTGCAAGGAGCTGGGTTGCCGTGTCGCCAACCAGCGCGGAGACGAAATCGGCGCCGTGGCCGCTAAGACGGCCATGCTTGTCGTGCCGCTGACGTTCCCACAAAGGTCGCTTCACCGAAACTAGTGAGCTGCACGCACTACAGGCGGAGTATCGATCGTGCAGCACTGGGCATCACTGGGCATCACTGGGCATCACTGGAGAAGCAAATGCTGGGAGCAAATGCTGGGAGCAGCAGTCCATGTGGGCCCTGTGAGCAAAGTGCACAGTGCATCTGACATTGCCACGTTCGTCAAGCGATATGGGACGACCTCCGTTTTGAGATCACTGGTCACCTTTTTCTGGGGTCTGAATACACCACAGCCAACCAAATAAAATGGGACACCCCGGACTTTGAGCATTGGTGAATGTTCTCACTCAAAACGTCATGCTCTGGCCGTGACCGTCCAATGATGTGTTTCTGGATCTGAATCAAGGACGCTTTCTCACACAGATGGCTCACCGCAAGCGACTCGAGAAGGCCGAGCATCTTGATATCGAGTTAGTATGGAACTGTCCAGAGAGTCGAATGGATGCACTACACAAAGAGATTGCCAACCAGGACGGGAAACAATCGCATGGCTTGCTCACTGGAGCCTACGAATCAGCAGGCTTCAGGCCTCTAGTGTCGGAGCAACGTTTCTGGATTGACTGTACACATTTTCATCCAATCCGCCAAAGAATACCAACACCCCGCAACTTCCGCACGGCCGCCTCCGTCGCCAGCGTGGATCTAAACCCATAATTTCTTGTCCGGTGAATGCAATTCTGCGTTCCAATCCACCACACATCATCAGCCTCTCCAGGAATACTTCCACAGCGCGCAAATCGATCGTTGTTCACGATGATCGACCTCGCGCTCAACGAGTTTGGACAAAGGCTCGCTTTCTTTCCCTGGAGCTGCAGCCGGAATGGGCGATGCCACCACAGAGCTGGCCGACACACTGCCGGTCTTACTGCAGGTGATCATTCCTACTTCACGATACCGTCTGCACCACTAAATCAAAGAGCTCGTTGACACCGGCCCCAGTTTTTGCAGAGACAGCCTTGAAATCGACGCCCCATTCTTGCGCAACCTTCATGAGATCCTGGACCTTGACTGCCATGCTGTCAGTCTCGTCGGACTGGAGAGGCCATGTCTGGATGTGAGCCCGAGAAACGCGGATGGCCGGGGTTGGAGATACCGCTGCATCCCATTGAGGCTGGGCGCCAGTATGCCTACCTTAGTGCCGACGAGGAGAATAATTGCGTCCGGAGAGAGTCTGGGCAAATGGCAATCAAGGACGATCAAGGACGATCACGGACGATCGAACGTGAGGAAACGCACCCACGAACGGGACGCCAGTTGTCGGGAGCGGATTTGCCGGCCAGGCGACAGGATCTGCACAGCGACACCTGGAGTAGAGTCGAGAGCAGCCACAAAGCAGAGGGTCTCGCCATATCCTCTGCGCTTGGAACCCTACCTCTTGATCTCGTTGAACCAGTATGACAGCTCCTGGAACGACAGCATGCTCAGCAAATCGCAGCATATCAAGGCAGCCTGTCAAGAAGCACACGAGGGTTGGATCTCGGTGTTAGTTTGATGAGGTCGCCATGATATGATCGCCACGAGCATTCCGATAATACTACTCAACTGCCCTCGTGGCGATTTCTCAGGCACTCACATGCACATCGATGCAGAACTGCTCCAGCAATGGGCGGTAGCGCTCATGTCCGCCGCATGTCCACATGTGGAGCACCCGCTTCTGCCCATCGATCACGGTTTTGACAGTAAGATCGGCTCCAAAGGTCTGGCAGTAATCGTGTGCAAACGAATTGTGGACAGCCCTGATGCCAAAGAAACGACCGGGCTGTGAGAAGCGAGGAGTGGGTCTCGACGCATCGGTCTCGAGTCAACCGCAGCGGATATCAATCGGGTTGGCTCGCGTGCGCTGATTCCCGCGACGCATCTGCAGCAGCGCCGATGAGGCGGGGCCAATGTCGAAGTCGAAGTCGATGCGGCCCGTGGTGCCGGTGTTGGTGCCGGTGCTGGCGATGCACCGATGCCGTCGCCGCATGCTTGATGGCCGATGGTGCGTGGCAGACGCGAACGTGGGGGTGTGGAATGCCCAAGAAAGGGCGATGGCGACGACGAGCGATTGCCAGCGCAATCGGAGAGAGACCCACCGATTCACAAGCGATGTCTTTCCGGAGGCCGACGAGCCCAGAATGACGACCCGACGGGTCTCGAGATTGGATTCGGCCATGGCGGATGGCGTGCGGGCTCACAGGGCAGTTGGGTTGCGGGTTGGGTTGCAATATCAGAAGCAGTATCAGAAGATCTATCCGATGTAATATCAGAGGATGTATCAGATACAGTATCGGATGCGATTCGGAAGCGGGCCGCCGACAGGATGCAGTTGAGATCCGCTCAAGCACCGTTCGCATCGACCGACAGCCCGGGACGACGGATCCGTCGTCCGAGGGGCCAGGGCAGCGACCCAGTCGGTGGTCCGGGCGTGCAGCCCGCTCGCCAACCAGACAGAAATTCTCCCGCGGCCGCGCCCTCGACTCTGTCCTGCATCTGCCTTCCCCTCCCGTCGCATCCCATCCCAGCAGCGTTCCCTCGGCTCCCTCGGTCCACCATGTCTGCCCCTCAACGCAAGAAGGTTCTCTTGAAGGTCATCATCCTGGGCGATAGCGGGTGAGCATTCGCCCCCCTCCATCCCGTGGCTGCCCAGGAGCGCTGCTCGCTGAGGGTCGTCACCATCATCGTCGCTTCGTGGCTGCGGCTGTTCTGCCTCGGCCCGTCGGCTCGGCCGGGCTGGCTCCAAGGCCCTAAGGCTCCAAGGCTCCAAACCTCGCACACCAACCACAGCGCTCTGCTCTGCTCTGCCGGGCCGCCGGGCTGGATGCGAGCGCTGCCCATCTTGCTGATTGCTAATGCCATTCTCTTGCTTCGAACCAGTGTCGGGAAGACATCTCTGATGAACCAGTATGTCAACCAGCGATTTAGCAACCAGTACAAGGCCACCATTGGCGCCGATTTCCTGGTCAAGGATGTCCTTGTGGACGACCGAATCGTCACTATGCAGGTAGGAACACCCGCTCCTGTGCAGGGTCGCTCTCGGCTCTTCCTGGCTCCCTCAGCGAATCGGTATCGTAGCCGCTCACGAGTGGCGCTCGATGTATTTGCCACGGTCCGAGCGACAAGAGCCGTTGCCATCACCGCAGCGAGACTTTGTGATCATCGAGAGCTGTCCTGCCAGTGGTGGCTTGAAACAGCTGCGACGCTGGGCAGGCATCAACCCAGACAACCCAGAGCCGTCGCCGCCTCGCCTCCCCCACCGCCTTTCTCCTCACGGACTGCACGAGGGACCACGCAAGCACACCCTTTCGCAGGCGGTTGTTGTCTCGGCCCCGATGCAGCTCACTCACCCCTTCGATTCGTCGCTGGCAATGCTGTGTAGATTTGGGATACCGCTGGCCAGGAGCGATTCCAGAGCTTGGGTGTAGCCTTCTATCGCGGCGCCGACTGCTGCATTCTCGTCCACGACGTCAACAACCACAAGAGTTTCGAAAACCTGGAGTCTTGGCGATCCGAGTTCTTGCTCCAAGCCAGCCCTCGAGACCCTGAGAACTTCCCCTTCGTCGTGCTCGGAAACAAGATCGATCTTGAAGAAGCCAAACGCCAGGTAAGCCACGTTGCCACATCTGCCCTGTCCCTATCCTTGCAGCCAACGATATCGCTAGTCCTTAGCCGTCGCTAGTGACGGCATTTTCATGCGCAATCGTCCTTGTTACTGCCCCTCCCCTCTCTCTCGGCAACTGATCGCCCGCGCATGTTCTCGGACTGCAGGTCACCTACAAGAAGGCCGCTGCATGGTGTCAGTTCAAGCGCAACATCCCGGTAAGCGTCGTTGTTTTCGATCAGGGTCTGTCTCCATTCCCTTCAACACTCACGAACGTGCTCTCAGGCTTTACGCTACCATGCTGACCCATAGTGCTTCATCGCTCATGCCGTCCGACACTCTAGTACTTTGAGACCAGTGCCAAGGAGGCTCTCAATGTCGAGCAGGCCTTCCTCACTGCTGCCCGAAACGCCTTGCAGCAGGAGACCGACGTCGAGTTGTAAGTCGGCCCTTGGGCTTGAAGTGGCCCAGTATCTGATGTGCTCCTTCCCCATCATTGCACCCAACTGGAGTCGCCATCCCGCTATCCGCTTTCAGAGTTTGACCCTAACGCTTAGGCTCATACTGCAGGTACAGCGACTTCCCGGATCCCATCCGAATCGACAGAGACTCTTCTGCCGTCAAAGAATCGGGCTGCAGCTGCTAGAAGATGGGCGTCATTGAAGGCGTCGGTGCGCCACCACAGGCCCTCTGACGACCACCCAGTCATATCAACCAATACCGATCCGACCCACACCAAAGCCAACACCAGAACCAGAACCAGAACCAAAACCAAAACCAACACAACCTCCTGGGCTGGCTCGTCAGCCTCGTGCTGGAAAAGAGCCGCCTGATGCCACGCACTCCAAATACACCACGAATAAATGCTTGTCCCTTTGCTTTGATTTCCCTCCTTTCGTTTCCGTGATTCGCCATCTCAATGTCTTGCACCACCCTACCTTCTTTCCTTCTTTCGGATGTCCGCAGACTTGCATTCGACGCACTCCGCGTTTGTATTGAATACAGAGACTCACCAACACAGTCGGCATTGCAGAAACCCCAGGGCGTGTTAGGGGCGCTGAATGGCAAATTGGCTGTGCCGCGTTTGGTGCTGCCCAGGGCCGTTGGTGCCGAAGCGAGACTGCGAGACTGCGCTGTTGTGGCAAATTTGGTGTATGGGCCGGAGGCAGAGACTTTATTCGGTCGAGTTCGAGGACATTCAAACGCTGGATCGGGGGGGGGCGAGTGAATATCCGAAGGCCGGATTGAGACGTTCTCGCTCATCGAGGAATTGGTGATTGCCCAATCGATCGCCCTCCCGAGACCGCCAGGGTTCACTTTGACACACTAATGATTTCTTGTTCCAAGAGCGCCTCATCGACGGCATGCATCATAAAGGGCTCGCCATTGACGTGCAGCACCGGGACATCGTACATGTACACCCGGAGCCATTCTTTGTTCTCTCGCTTGTCGATGTCGACGAGGACGTAATCAAAGTCGATCTTTTTCTGAACGCGCTGTATGGCCTCGAGGGCTTCCTCGCAGAGACCGCAGTACTGCCGGGTATAGAGCGTCACCACCGGGATCGAGGGCCGTGGAGAGGCCGAGGAGGCTGTGGTGAAGAAGCGGGGCGAGGCCGCTCGGGAGAGAGGCGAGAAGGGACGGAGGCTTCGAAGGGTTTGGATCATGGCCGGGGCGGGCGGAGCAGGATGCTGCGAGAGAACAGCCTTTGCAAGCTCGGCAACGAGGCAATTGGTTGAGGTGGAGCGAGGCTTGATCTGATCCAGATGAGAGGCGGCAAACTCAAGCAAGATCCGATGGAAGGACAGGATGAGAGACAAGCCAATCGCGGCCAGGCCAGCGCTCAGTGGCCGATGCCAGTCGCCGGGGTCGTGCAAAAATAGAGACGGCGATCAATTGGCCACGAGTGCATGCCGGTCGAGCGCGAGCGACGGCGAGATGGTGGTGGTGGTGGTGGTGATGGTGGTGGTGATGGTGGTGGCAGTGATGGCTGATCTGGCCAAGACATGGAATGGATCCTGTCGATCGTCCACCAACAGGCAGTGCAAGTCGTGGAGGACGATGTCGAGCAAGTTGGACATGCTGACGATGGCGAGCATGTGAGGAGTGGCTGCAGTATATCTTGGATGCTAGGTTTGATATTGCGGGATGATACTGGGATGATACTGAGCTGATACCGGGGTAGTATCGGAGTGATTGTCAGGTGTGAATGTGTGAATGTGTGAATGTGTGAATGTGTGAATGTGTGAATGTGTGAATGTGTGAATGTGTGTGTGTGTGTGTGTGTGTGTGTGTGTGTGTGTGACGACACGTGGCCAGCCAATCGACGGCGCCAGCCACCGATGCTGCGCACAAGCCACGCGGTGATCGGACACGGAACGGGGGACACGGAACGGGTGGCGGCACAGCGGTATAAAAGGGCGGGCGGGCGGCAAGTCTTTGCACCGGCATCCTGCTCGACTTTCTCGCATTCGCACGATTTTTTCGCCTTTTACTAAAAAATCCCGTGTCGGAGAGTCACCAAGAGCAGTGGCCCACTTTTTGGAAACCCGTGATGACCCTGCACAGGACAGGACTTCCGCAAGGGAGGACGGTCAGTGAGGACACACAACCCATTCCGGACAGCCGAGGGTTCAACTCCCTTGCTGTCTAATTGATATCAATTGATGTCTGTTTGGCTGGTGGCCGTTCGGTATCGGATGGATGGACTGGACTGGTGCTGTCTGCGAACTGCAGGTGTCTGCTGGACCGGTGTTCTCTGTTCAGACGTGGGTGGTGTTCAATCGGTGCGGTGTGATTGGATCGAGTGGCTGCATTAATGTCCATCCATGTCGCGGCATTCCAATGTCCATCGATATCCGTCAATGTCGGATCTCGGCCGTTTGTCTCTTGGCACCAGGCAATCAATCCGTCCATCTCTGGTCGATTGGAAATAATGATGCCGATCTGGAGTGGGGTGGTGCTTGACCAGCGAGCGACGGCGATGGCGTCGCATCAGTGGCATGGGGAATGCTGGATCTGGATGCTGGGTGTGGAGTGGAGAATGCTAGGTGTGGAGTGGAGAATGCTAGGTGTGGAACAGAGAATGCTGGGTCCTGGATCCTGGATCCTGGATGATGGTACAATGGCATCGCTGCAGTCTCGGTTGCTTCGTTGACGACCCTGCTTCGTCAATAACTCGCTGTGTGGTCCATCGGTTGATCATCACATCACACCTCTCGCCCTTGCGACTGCCTTCACACCAACCGAGCCGGCAGCAGCCCGATGATCGCTCGCTGTGCCCGCTCCGTCCTGGATCGTCCATCGCCCATCGTCCGTCGCTGCTGTTTGGCTTGGATGCATCTGCAACTGTATTCTGCTTCGTTGCTGACCATTGCTGGCTATTGCTGGCTATTGCTGGCTATTGCTGGCTATTGCTGACTATTGCTGCATATTGGCTGCAGCTGCCTGCTCGAGGCGACGCAGTGTCCTCTCCCGAACGGACCCATACCATTGCTCCCGGGTCAGATCGTACCGACAAACATCTCCGTCGTAGAACGCAGCCCATTCGCGATGGGTCTCTGTCTTGTTGGTTCCAAAGACTTTCTCAAAGAACCCCTTCATCGCCGAATTGGCATCGGCCGTTTGGAAAAACACAGAGTCGACCTTGAGCTCTGCAAAGCCATACTCCAGCACCAGGAAGTGGGCCTCGGTGCCGTATCCCTGTCCCCAATGCGAGTGGTTCAGGATCATGCCAAACTCGCCAACCAGCAGCTTGGTGTTGGGATCGTCTTGCTCGACATTCTCCAGCGACCTGAATCCAGCCGTTCCGATCAGCCGGGTGCCCTCGTAGACGTCGAATGGCAGCTGCTCACCGCGGAGACTCCCTGGGCATGCGTATCCGCCAAGTGTCGTCAGCATTGCATGACAATATCGTAACGGGCCGTATCCACAGCATCCTCGATCTGCTGCTCCCTGATCGACGACACTCGCGCTGAACTCCTCAAATCAACGTCCTTACCTTCCAGCTGTCCCTCTCGTCGTGCCGCCATCGTTTCCTGGGTCCACTTGCTCAGGAACGGCAGATGCTGCATTGTGAGCGGATCGCTCATGATCTGAATCATCGCATCGTCTCGCTTTTGGATATCGGCGATGGTCGCTGTCGACGACGACGGCGGCGTCTGGCAAGTGAGTCTTGGTCCTTGCAACTTGCAAGCCATGGCATCGGAGCTCGGTATTTTGAACGGTGCGTTATTGGCCCTGGGCGATGTCAGCGAGAGCCCGAGCGGATTGCACCCTTTCGTCCGATCGAGAAAAGAAGCGTTTGTTTGCCAGCGGCCCGGCTGCCCCATCCCAGTTGATCGTGGATATCGCTGCTCTCTGGCAAGCACCCACGAATCCGTGCCGTGTCAATCCCTTGGCAGAGGGACGCAGTCATGGACGTCTCACATCGAGCGATTCGGTGTTTGATGTGAATGTATTTGCACCGCACCACCAGGGCGGCTCCTGTTTTACATGCGTCGCTCATCGCTGCGAGACTCGGCCGTTGTTTCCAGGATCCCTCAGCCGGCTCGACAACCTAGTCGACTCGGTACATTTCCTCGAGAACTTCGACGGCAGCCTTGTCGATTATCAGATGCTCAAAGTCCATCATGGGGGTCAGACTGACATTGCGGGCCCATGCCACGACGACGGGCCGCTCGCCATGGGGCAGCTCTTCGCTTCGACGCAGCCGCTCGAACGAGTCTGCGACCGAGATCAAGTTCTGGATCTCGGTGGGATCTTCGCTGCCGTACAGAACGTAGCAGCGCTTGCCCATCATATTCAGGTTCTCCAGGCGCTGTCGCAGCTCCTCCTTGCCCTCCTCGGCAAGCGCCAGGCTGTCGACGATGGTGATCTGGTCCTGTGCAAACTTGGTGGACAGGCCCGTTCGGATGCATGCATCGTAAACCTTGCGGTTGATGTCGTGAGTTTTCAGGTGCGGGCGGGGACCGTGGACATTGTAGCCTTATGGCGATTGTGTGCAAAGTTGCCAGGATAGGGTCAGAAGACAGCCCCATGCGAGCGGCAATCGATGCTCGACCTGCCAAGCCATTCGGCAGGCCGCTCTGCCAAGCCGTTCAGCCGGGCCGCTCTGCCAACTGGCTACATCGGCCCTTCGATCTGAGTCTCTTGCAGAGCCACGCTCCTCGGGGCAGCCGGTCAATCCTGCAGACGTGTCCACACTCACCTCCTCGGAACTGCGGGGCTCGCAGAGTGCCAACTCTCGCCTTGCCGCGGCCCTTTTGTGCATATGCCTTCTTCGTTGTGCCACGGACCTGGCCGAGGGCCTTGGTGCTCTCCGTTCCCTGCTTCATCCATGCCTCTTCGTATCGAAGTCCCCGACGAAGCAGGTCCTGACGGACAGTGGAGCCAAAGACGGATCGGTCGAGCTCCACCAATCCCGCGTACTCGCCTGTCGAGAACGATCGCAGCCAGGCGTGCACATATTTCGCTTTCCACCACTCGTCTAGACAGGTTGTTGCCGGGTGGTTTGTCGCCGCGTTGATATGACCGGGTGGTCCCGTTGAGTTGACGCCGAGGACGCATGGGTTCCGGGGCGATCAAGTTGGGCACACCACGAGAACGGTCACCGATCGAGGATGCAGGGTGAGGGTCGAGTCGTCAGTATCTCCTTCGACGAGCACATTTCTCGTCGGTACAGGCGCCTCTGTCGCCACCCGGCATATTCGATGTTTCGTGAAGCCATTGGATGCGGACACTCCAACACACGAGATGCTGCCACGAGTGGTGCGGGGATGTAATTACTTTCACGATCGGTGAACTGCGGCACTTGATCAAAGGGAATCTTGGAGTCGTCTTGCAGCTTCACAACAGGTGTCAGCGGATACAGATGAATCGGCACATCCGATCCCGAGGCCGACTTGAACTCATATTCGCCAGCATAGAGGGTGCTGTGTCCGGCAGCCGAGACAGACGAGTAGATCCGTGACTGGAAAGCCTGATGTTCGGTTGTTGATTGATCGAGGAATCAAGTGGCCAGTCGTCGGCGGTGAGACACGCCCATGATGGATAGCCGGTTAGCGTCGCCCAGCCGTCAATCGCTTCGCCACTGCTGATCCGCCGGCGACACTCTCATCCACGATCTTGTCCAATGAGGCCTGCCCGATTATGCCGCACCGTCCCATGCGCTCATATATGCCACGTTTCTCGTCGGTTGACGGCTCGCACTCTGGGCCACAGGGGGTCTCGGGGAGGCACTCCGCATACCGTTTTGAAGCTTCCCAGGTTCGATGCAATGGCTCGGACAGACGCCAGGAGAGACATGGTGCTGTGGAAGTGCAGAGTCAGCTCGTGGCCAGACGACGGGGATCGCTCGCAGGCTCTTCGCGCTCGGGGCTGGGAATCGTTTTGCGCTTTTGCCGATCGCCAACACTGAGGGCCGAAAAAAATGCGTCTCACACAGTCACATGCGCCCACGGGACCCGGCCGACTCATGGCGGCGCCTGCGATTGGTTGGCTGGAATGCGGTGGATCACGTGGCGTCGGCGTGTGTGTGTGCCATGTCGCGAACGACTCGAGACACGTGAGCGGCGCTCTGATTGTGCTCTGATTGTGGTCTGATTGTGCTCTGATTGTGCTCTGGCCGATGCTGCAGATGGCGACTGCAGATGGCGACTGCAGCGACGGCGACGACGATGCTGGATGCACCGGTATCCTCCCGTCAGGCCAGCGTCGGGCACCATGAACACATCTGCTTGCCTCGTTTCAGTCAGCGGATGCGGCGCTGCCGACTGCGTTGGTGGACAAGGCCGGCTTGCTGATTGTGCGCGAGTGCGTTGGGCATGAGCGACCTTGGCAGACGAAGGGGCATGCGGTTGTCGCCACGAGCAAAATCTCTCCAGTCTTGCCTTCGGACGGGGGTTCGTTCTCATCGCCGCAGCTGCACATCGCCAACGTCGCCAACGTCGCCATCCTGGCCATCGGCTCTCCTTCCCGGCCAACGCAGCTGCCCCCGTTCATCAAGCTCCAGCCCTCCTCGCCATGCTCGCCGGAAACCTGCCCGACACCGAGGTCCCGCCAGGCACCCCCAGCGAGGCTCCGGTCCTTCGACTCAGCTCGTTCTTTGGCGAGGTCATCGTGGCCAAGTATCGGCCGCAGCCGTCGCTCGACGACCCCAGTCCGCTGGGCTCGCAGTCGGTTGCCATTACACCCATTTCCTGTCCAACGGACGAAGCCCTCCATGAGATGCAGTATGACATCACGACTCTGACAAAGATCCGCCATCCTCGCCTCGCCCGCATCTTTGGAATCGCCCAGCAAGCCCCTCTTGGCGACTATGCGATTGTCTCGGAGACCACCGTTATGGGCACATTGGCATCGCTCCTGCGCCGCAACCACAACAAGGCCCCCCTGAACGTCGCCTGGAAGGACCGCATCCAGATCGCCGCCGATGTCGTCGAGGGCCTGCTGGAACTGCAGGAGACCTATGGCCCGCACGGCAGCCTCACCTCCGATTGGGTTCTGCTCGACGATGACCTCAGGGCCAAGGTCGCTGGGTTTGGCTTCCGTTTTGGCCGTGCGGGGTTCCTGCTTACCTCACGGCAGCCTGGGATCGATAACCTGGCCAAGATTTACGAAGCCCCTGAGCTGAGTGCCGATCCCGATGCACCGGTAAGGCGTGTGGACGAGACGAGCAGAACTAGCCCTGCCAGCGAAGCTTTGGGGGGCACCACTGCAACGGCCCACTTCTTTTTCTGTGCAGCACCGATACGATATGCCGGTCTTGCGACGCTGTGCCCTGCTATGCCATGTCAACCAACCTCTCTGTCCGCGGCGGCAACCTGCCCTGTGTTAGGTCACATTCCTGTCCGATGTATTTGCCGTCGGTGTCATCATGACCGAGCTCGCGCTACTCAAGGGGCCATTTGGCCAGAGCCGGACGGTGCTCGATGATCCCCTGGCCATCGATCTGCAGGCGTTTACTGGCCTTGAGCCCCAGATATGGACCGACCTGAACGAGGGCATCTTGCAGGATGTCGGCACCCCCAAGTCATTTGTCGCCCTGATCAAGAAGTGTCTCTCGACCCGACCCGAGAGCCGCCCGGATATGGGCCAAGTATACGACCAGCTGCTGCAGATTATAGCCTCGACCGAAGCCCAGCTACAACGGGATTTCGAGCGCGAGATGCTCGAGGAGCTCCAGAGCAAGGTCGAAAAGGTTGATGTGGCAGAGTTCAGATCACTCCGGAATGGTATGCTTACATCAGTGCTCCGATGGACATGCCGCACTGAATGAGTCACGGAACGGTGCTGCTTATCAGTCGAGAATGTGACTGCGTTCGTCGTAGTTGCTCACAAATGCGTTCAACATACTTCTTTTCGATCGCGGCTTTGGCGACCCAGTCAAAAGCGCTGCCTCGCTCCATATCAGAGGTATGTGTGCAGGCATTGTCCAAAATGCTCTTCCTGTTTGCCAAACTGCGCTATTGCTCGGCAAACACCGATTTGTACGGGCAAGCAACTCGATAATGCCAAATGGCCTCCACTTTGGGCCGGACTGACTTTGAACCACCCGCTTTGCTTCTGCCGCTCAGACTCCTCTGTCGACAAGCCCAAGATCCTCCAGTTCCAGTCCAACTTCAAAAGCAAGCTGCGTGAATGGAACTCGACCTCGTGCACGTTCTTCAGCCTGGGGGCCAAGGATTCTGAGCTCGTGTTCGAGGCTCTGAAGATCAACACCACCCTGCGCGAGCTCCGGATCCACGGCTTGGCCCTCGGAGCCGATTCTGTGCGTCTTGGCGACGCACTCCTCAAGAATCATTCGCTGCGGGAGCTCGACTTTTGGTCCAGCCCTATCGGCGACAGAGGTGCAGTTGCGTTGGCCAAAGCCCTCGTTAACGGCTGCCGACTGCAAAAGCTCAACATCTACGGCGGCTCACTCACCAACGAAGGCATACAAGCGCTGTGCGAGGCCATCAGCACCCACAACGATGTGGCTCACTTGGGTCTCGAGAGCAACATGATCGACATCGACAGCGCTCGAGCCATCGGCGAGATGCTCAAGATCAACGGAAGCCTCCAGGTGCTCAAGCTTAGTGGATCGCAGATCGGCGACGAGGGGCTCCGGCCCCTGCTGAACATGCTCAAGCATAATGCAGTACTGAAGGAGCTGCATCTCCAGAACGTTCGTGCCGGAGAAGAGGGTGGCCGCAGCCTGCAAGCCCTCAAGTTCAACACGAGCCTGGAGGTGCTGCACCTTGGCAACAACACCATCGGAGACGAAGGTGCTCTCAGTCTTGGCGAAGTCTTCAAGGTCAACCAAGTGCTGCGCCAGGTTACCATCGGAGACAACCTGATCACCATGGTCGGTGCCGGGCACCTGGCTGACGGCCTGCTTCTCAACCGCTCCGTCCAATCCCTGGTCCTCACGGGCAACGAGATCGGCAACGAAGGCGTCAAGCACTTGGCCAAGATGTTCCGAGTCAACGCCGCCCTGGCCCATCTGGATCTGGCCATGTGTAGCGTATCGGACGAGGGATTGAATGCCTTGGCCACATCCTTGAGCGTAAACAGTGGACTCCAAACGCTGCTGCTGGGCAACAACAGGATCTGCAACGGTCCGTCGCTGGGCGAGATGCTGAGCAAGAACCAAAGACTGCTCAAGCTCGACCTGAGCCACAACCAGCTCAACGGATTCACCATCGATGCCCTGAGCGATGGCCTGCGCCAGAATCCGTCGCTGCAGGAGCTCAATCTCGAGTCGAACGGCGTCGGCCTCTCTGGCGCAGATGCGCTATCCAGCTGCCTGAAGACCAACCGATCGCTGCTGGACCTGAATCTGGTGGACAACCATCTGGGCGAGCGCGGCCTGCAGCGTCTGATCGACGGCCTCGTGCACAACGAGACGCTGCGGCTGCTGGACCTGTCCAACAACAGCATCAGCGAGCACGCGATTCAGATGATGGAAGAGCTTCCTCGAGTCGAGCAAGGGCTGCTGGACGTGTACATGTTTGGATGATTTGGATGATTACGCAGCGCTCATAAAGCGAAACGGTGCGCCCTGGTCTCATTTTGAATGGAATGCACACCACATACGTATCATCCACCTTGGCCGTCCAACCGAAGGAGCAGGAGCGGGGAGTACCTCGCCAGCCCTGCCATATGGGGTCCCTCGAGCGCCCCGAGCAGTCCTGTTCCCCGGCGACCGTGGCAACAACGACCGTGACAACAGCGGTGATGTGATGGCTCGGCGAGATTACATCTCAGTGAGACCCCGATTGATGAATACGACTCAGTAATGACAGCCCTCAGGCAGGACATCTCGTTACTCTGCTTAGAAACACTGTAGCCGCAGTGCAGTAGAGTGGCGGAATGACAGTGGAGTGCACAGTCGGTATCATCATTGGGGGAGCAGGATGCTTAGCGACGCTTCTTTTCATTGGTTGAAGGCAGCCTCAAAATACGAGACATCATGCGCAGACAAGATGCCGCCGACTTTGCCTTCAGCATCTCGATGCGTCGGATCCGGTGACGGATAGCTGCGTTTCCTTGAGCAAGCTCAGGTCTTTGCGCTGCCGGTCTTCATCCACACTCTGAAGACCCCGCATCCATCTTGTACACTTTTCCCGAACCACCGATCGTAGTTCCATCTTGAACTCGTTCTCGTACTCGATGCGGCACAGTCTCTGGATGCTTCGGTGGTCGCTGAATCTTTGAGCTGCCTCGACTCTGCGGGCCGAGTCCATGGGACTGACCCGCAGCGATAGCTCCTGTAGCATCTCGGCCTGTGCGCTCTTGACCTGATCGCAGGTGACAATGGGCAGGGCCACTGACGTTGCGCACTTTGGTGGATCGGCCCGCATCCTCGAGACGGCACTGTGGATCTCTCCTTCGAGGGTTACTTGCTCGCCGATCCACTGCTGGAGCATCTGATCTTGAGACTTGATCAGGTTCTGCTCGCGCACAATCTCGCTCAGCTCATACTCCCAGATGCGCTTCCATTCGCTGCGGCAGCGATCCAGCAGCTGGCGGTACTCGCTCGTATCGCTTCCGAGATCTTCGAGGATTTGCTGGAGATCTCGGATGGGGCCGAAATCGATCGCACCGCCCGCTGTGAGTCGCAGAATCTGCTGCTTCAGCATTCCGAGCCGATCGGCAATTTCACTCTGGAGGGCTTTGAGCTCGGTCTGGCTGCGTTCGACACGGATCCTGTTGGGATGTGGATTGCTCTGAGACAACTCGGTCGCCGCTGTTACTGATGTTGCTGCTGGTGCTGGTGCTGGTGCTGATGCTGGTGCTGCTGGCGCAATCGCTCCGTCGGCTGTTTGGCTGGCGGCAGGTCCTTCTGGCGATCGCTTGGCAAGCTCGATGCGGACTAGATCAGCGAGTTTTGCAATTAGTGCCTCGGTCTCTGAGGAACCAGGCTCATGCGAAGACGCATTTGCGATGTGCCGTGGGATGCGTTGGTGAAGGGTCGAGGGCGAGTTCTTGCAATCCAATGAATCGCTGCTGATTGCTCCATTCGGGCCTCTATCGTGTGGAGGTGCTAGAACCTGGAACTTGAGAGTCGCTGGATACTCGAGTGCTCTGGTCCAGTCGTCCGGGATGTAAAACTCGGCATGCTGCGGATCAAAGACTTGGAGGATGCATGCGCATGGGTCAAAGTGCGGGGCATGGGCAAACCTCTGTCGGAACAGCCGCCAAAGCTCCGACTTGATCGCCTCCTCAGTGCCAGGTAGATCGACATTCACGAGTCTGTAGGTGAGCCCGAGATGTGAAAGAAAGACGGTCACTCCAGCATTGACCTGCTGCATCGCAGGTGGGACTGATACAAGAGTAGTTAGCGCGACGGACTGCAACACGCCGTCAAGCACGGAAGATGGCTCGATGTGTCGCGCTGCAACGAAAGCAGCAACGGACAGTATCCTGTCCAGGCTATTGCTCCCGAAGCAAAGCCCTCAGATTGCATCGGTTTTTGGAGCTCACCTGCCTCGCTGCGCGTCGTGTCGTCGTCATTTCGTGCCGAGGTGCACCTAAAACAGCTACTTTGCCCCGAACAGCGAGAGAAGTGAGGGTGCTCCTCTGGGCGATGGATCTCGATGGACATGGGTCTGTCTGCGTGTTCGTCCTGGCATCCTGCTGTCAGAACGTGGGTTGGTTCAATGGCTTGTTTGGAACTGCGAGCCGCAGGCCATGTTGCTACTGGCGTTGCTGTTGGTACTGCTTCCGGTAGAGCGCCGGTGCTGGCCACCATCTCATCGAGGAGGCTCTCGACCAGCTCGAGGGCTTCGCGACAGTGATGCGGCTCGGCTTCGTGGCCGTCGTCTCCTGGACCGGCGAGCCGGCCCAACACGGCTTGGAGCTCAACGAGGAGTGCGGCATTCAGATAGGGCCCAAGGGTCTGGACCAGGACCTTCGTCTCCAGAGCGAGACGCGAGGCGTCGTCTTGAGCGGCAAAGGCCGAGAGCGTGAGAAGAATGTGTCGACATGCCTTTGACGCCTTCTGGACGGCCTCCGGGGGTGGAAATTGCTGCTGCTGCTGCTGAGCGACGCTCACTGACATGGGTGAGGGCGTGTGTGCGGATGGAGGTGGACGGAAGTTGAATGATGGCAATCGGCAATCGGCAATCGGCAATCGGCAATCGGCAATCGGCAATCGGCAGATGGCCGAAAAATGGCTGCTTTGTTGCTTGGACTCCTCGTAGAGGCGTTTCTGGGAGAACGGGTGCGAGCAAGAGATCACTTGCTGGTACTTGTCGGTGCTTGCCGGACGAATGACTCGCTTGGTATCGTGGCGGGACGTGCAGTCAAGTCGATCGTGCTGCTCGATCGTTAGAAATCGAATGGATGGCTCCTCCCCCTCCCCTTCTTCCTCGTCGGTTGCGCTCAGAATGGTGGGCTTGGGCTTGAGGCGGCTCTCGATACACTTCAGTCTTGCTGCTGCTGCTACTGCTGCTGCGATCCGGGCCGTGCATGACATGCTCGCTTGGCCCGATCGGCCCCCAGCGACAGCTCTCCAGAGTGGTCCAGCCAGGCCAGACCGCGGCATGACAATGGGCGAGCGTCAATCAGAGGCCGCCGTACACTTCACAGCGAACTTGATTTGAACCGGGACACCTTCACACACGACTTGTGTGGGTTGCATAGCTTGTGTGAATCAGACGACTCTGATTGGCACCGAACTCCATGAAATCCGCTCGCCGAGGTCCTGCAGCGATATTGCTCTTTGCCTTGCGTCTTCCTCTTTCACACAGGGACACCCAGGGAAATGGCTTGACCCACTTGGCTTGGGGTGATATGATCCGACTGCGCCGTGTTTGTCCGAATGAGACGATGTGTCTCATTTTTCCTTCAACACACTGCACACTCGGTCGCGCTATTTTGGACATGGCAGTGATGGATGCATGCATAATCGCAGCCAGAGAAAGCGACCATCTGAGCTCAGGACAGAGTGCCGTGTTTCGGTTTGGTACAATGCACATATACTGTATATATCCATGGCGAGAGCATTGATGACTGGCCATAGTGCGTGTATGCAAAGAGTGGCGGGCACAGAGGGGGAGGGGGGACCACTGCTCTGTTTAGGCTGAGAGTTTGGGGACTTCCCTTTGGAACCCGATTTCATAACAGCAGGCCCAGGTGTCTGACGCGCAAACATGAAATGTCAGTATCCAAATCGACGTCATCTCTGATCAAACCGAATACAGGTGGGATGCTGGTATGCGCGTAATTCGATCCAACATGATGGCAACAGCCCGGGCCCACATTCACACCCGCACCCACAACTTACAGCCGTCCAGCGTATGCTGTGAGCTCTGAGGATTCTTGTGCACAGAGAACTTTTTGAATCCAGCATTTTCGAGACGAGTGAGGGTGTTGATCCAGTACTGGGCAACCTCAGCCTCGGTTGTGAAGGACGGGTTGGAGCGGAAGTGGGTCCACATGTGGATCTCGAGGACGATTTGGTCGATTTTGTGGATGTATTCGCTCTCGAACAGGTTCTGGATCACGTCCCATTCGGCGTACTCGGTGTCGATCTTGAGGACGCTGATGTGGCTGTGGCCGAGCAAATGCATCCAGGTGGGGACGGTCTTGACAGTCCAGCCGTGGGTGTTCTGTCGATTGGCACTAGTCAGCTCGCCGCCGTTCCAGTCGTCACTGTCGACCGGACCAATGCCTCCGTTGTGGAACAAGTGGCGGCTGGAGCGCTGATACGAGTCGACGCCCATCGAGGGATCAAAAGAATGAACCTGTGGAGCGGCGAGGGGGGCATTGGGTATGTGAGTAGCGACCGAGCCCCGTTGCGATGGCAATGGAAATTGTAGCAATGTGATGCGATGCGATGCGATGCGGACGACAAAGGGCAGCCCACCTCACAGCCACCGTCGACTCCACCGGCGCCGATCTGGTCGTCAAAGCTAAAGTCGTTGTTGATGCCAAAGGAGTACACGATGCACTTGGTGCTGGTCTTGGGCAGCAGGTCGCGGCAGATGGTCCACACGCCGTCTCCCTGGCCTCGCGGGGTGCCGCCAAATACATCGGTAGAGGCACAGGCATCTTTGGCGATAGGCTTCTCGATCAGATTGACCAATCTGGAGATATTTGGCAGCACACAGAGAAAGTAATTAGCCGGGCACGGTTCAAAAGGCTGCGGGCATGAACTTGACGCCTGCGCGATATTCATCGATTGCACATGGGCGTATCGGTGCGAGAATACCGAGGACGGATGTGCAGGCAACAAGACCATCGCCTTGAACCACACGACACAGTTCTCGGCCGAGATTGGTGGCGCAACATGTGGAGAAGCGGTGGGCCACGCTCACCTTTGGATCTTCTTGGCAGCAGGCTCGGGGTCGGCAGCCACATGCTCTACGCGGTTGGCAACCTTGAAGCTCGGCAGTTCTGGAAAGGAAAAACACATGACACAAATCAGCGTCGGGGTCGATGACAAAACATGCACGCTGCAAGCACAGGTTGCTGTCGAGCAGTGGAGACCGATCGCGACGGCGTTTGTGGGTCAAACCGAGCTCGTGGGTCAAACCGAGTCCCTATGCGTCTCATCACTTACGTCGAACAAAGCCAAGCTCGTGGCAGCACAGGTACTTTGCTAAAGGTGCAGAGAGGATACAATCGAGTTTAGTGTGGTTTCTCAAAAGATGCGCTTGGCAAGAATGGCTCGTCGAGCACGGCGTTGATACTATGGGCCAATTGCGATGGCCGCCGGTCTCGGGCGCTGTGGCGACGACAGTCGCGAAGGCACCAATTGCACCACTGCCGGGCCAAACTGAGCCGACAGGACATGACGCTGACATACCTCCTTCTGAACCTTCTACGCTACTCAGCGGGTTTTCATGTTTGTAGAAGAGCTTGAACCCGGCCGACTCCAGACGCAGCAGAGTGGTCATCCACCATGCCATCTCCTGAGCATCAGTGCGCTGCTTGTCCTTGCGGCTTGTCCAGAAATGAACCTCAACGACGAGCTGGTCCACCTGGCGGATGTAGCCAGTGTCGAGGAGGTTCTGGAGGGCACCCCATTCGGCGTACTCGGTGTCGATCTTGAGGAGATTGATCTTGTTGTGGCTGAGGGTGTTCATCCAAGAGGGGACGGTCTTGACAACCCACCCCTTGGTATTGTCGTGGTTTGCACTGGTCAGACCGCCGTCCCAGTTGTCGCTATCGACGGCTGAGATGCCTGCATCGTGGAACCAGTGACCGGGCGTGCGCTCATGAGACTGAACGCCCATCGATGGATCGAATGAATGGACCTAGGGTGGAGGATGGATAGACGAGGAATGAGCGAGGCGAAGCAAATGAAGGGGGGGGGAGCAGATACCGGGTGCATCGGCGAGGGCCCCTTACCTCACACCCATGATCGGTGGCCTTGAGATGGATTTGATCGTCAAAGCTAAAGTCGTTGTTGATACCAAAGGAGTAGACCACGCACGGGAACGTGGTCGGCGGCAGGAGGTCCATGCAAATGGTCCAGGACCCCTCGCTCCCGACCACGGACGAGCCGCCAAAGGTCTTGGTGTGGTTGCAGACCCCATGGACGGGCTGGCGAACGTAGTCCAAGAGACTGACCGGCGATGGCGTCGATGTTGGTGGCGGTTGGGAGATGGGGGGGGAGATGCGAGGATCGGGCGGCGGAGGATTGGAGGACGACGCACGCGATTAGACTGGGCGGAAGCAGCCGTCCTCCCCCTTCCCACCAACAGCCCGATGGGTCGATGGGGGGGGAGACGGCAACCCAGGAGAGATCAGTGCTGTCGATAGCGAGATGCCACCACCTACCTCTTGGCGGCGGTGTCGGTGCTTGAAAAGACGACTGGGGGGATGTCATGAGAGATGCCTGCATCTGAAAGAGCGGTGTGGTGAGCGGCTTGGGGGTGAGTGGAGTACGACAGCAGCAAGTCGGTGTGGCGGGCTATCCGGCCACAACGACCAGGTGTATCTGCGTGGAAGAACCAGCCAGGAGAGGCCCTTGGAAGCACGATGGATGCCATCGACAATGACCGGGCTGTGTCGTCGGAGGCAAAGTGCACAGCGCTGGCCAGCAAAGCCCAGCACGAGCAAGCAGGACTTACTGGGTGGGCGGGAAGCGAGGCTGATCAGCTCAAAGTTGAGCAACACAACGACGAGCAATACAACGGCCGCAATAATCAAAGGGGCTGGCCTGGAGAGAATTCTAAGGATCATCCTGGGCGATGGACGAGGGAAGGTGCTGGGAGAAGGCGGAGTGTGCTGGAGGAAGGACCAGAAAATGAATAAAGGGCGAGGAGAAAGGCGCAAGGCACGGTGCGATGGCGGAGAGGGACGATGGATAAGCGGGCGGATGGATGGTTGGATGGTTGACCAGCAAGCCGAAGGGGCGATGGCCAAAGCGACGGCCGGGCCACGGCTGGAACAGCGGACTCAGCCCCTGCCGAGGCCGAAACGGCAAGCAGCACAAACTCGGATTCCAGCGGCAGTGTTATGGCTATTGTTATGGCTATTGTTATGGCTATTGTTATTGCCGGCTGGCTAATGGCATTGGCTTTGTTGTCGGCGTTATTGGTGTCTTTGGGTTTGTTGGTCGTTGGGTTTGTTGGTCGTTGGGTGGTGGATGTGCGCGTGGTGCCACCAACGGCCTCCACAGCAGGCCTTTGCCCGGGAGGGTCAGCTGTGCAGATGTCGCAGCCAAGAGGTGGAATGGTTGGGCGGGTGGTCATGGTGTTGGCCATGGGGCCTCACGGACATGGACAAGCAAGGGCCGGCAAGGGCGAGCAAGGACAGGCTGAGCAGCGCGGTGACATGCAGCACTGAGCCGCACTTGGGCACATGGTGATGCTCTGGATCTGCACCGACCGCACCATTATGGTGCGAATGCTCATTGGATCTGCGGTGTTGTGTCGATCGGGACCCTCGGGGGATAGGCCGAATTGCGTTCGCCGATGGCTGTGTGGAGGAACATTTGGCCATTGGTCACTGGCAATTGAACATTTGCACATTCATCCATCGCATTTGCACATTCATCCATCGCATCTGCTCATTCATCCATCGCATCTGCACATTTGCTCATTCATTCATCCATCCCGTCTTCCCGTCTTCATCGCCAGCGTAGGGCTCGACAGAGTGCACAGCCAACAGCACAGCCGCGAACGACGAGCATAGCATCTGCTGGCTGCGTCCTCGACCATATCCGCTGCGTCGCCATGACACATCCGCGCGCTTGCCCGCCCTCTTAATCCACTTTCTCCCTCAGACCGACGATCTGCTCCTATGTCTCGTGCTCCTGGGCGATCAACATCACCCTTTGTCCAACTGCCGATCCGTCGTGACTTTGCTGCAAACACATACGCCTCCATCCCGAATCCCAGACACATCCAAACCCCGGACACACCCAAGCACCGACTCGCCTGCGCCTCAGCCCGTGTCTGAACCGCTTGTACGCTGCACATACTTCCAAAAGCGTCAGTTTCCCTTCTCAACATGGACTCGCTCATACACGATGTTGATGACCTTGCAAATCTCCTCGCGGCCGGCCCCGAGCCTGGACCATCCACCAAGGTGTTGATCACGCCCAGCTGTCACAATCGCTGTTGTGGGTGCGGAGCAGGCCGCATGCATCCTCTGCTTGCGCGATTCGCACCCCTCCCTGGCTCCTCATCGCGATGGGCCTGCACCCGCATGGACCGCTCGTGTGAATCCATCTGCCGCTGAGCCATCTGCCGTTGAGCCATCTGCCGCTGGGCTTGATCCCACGCCGCTCCATTCTCACCGTCACCACTATATACCCCAGGCACAGACCCATGCCGGAGGCGTTCCCGTCAACCCCGGCATGATCGGGGCGGCCCACCCCAGGCCCAAGAAAAAGTACAACCTGTATGATTTTGATCGAAAGCCTGTCCTCGAAAAGGACATCTGGACCGACGACGATGTCGAGGATATTTGCTACGACGACGCCGCTGATCCGAGGCAGTGCCCCGAGTAAGTCGCCGCTGCCTTCCCTCGCCGCTCACGACCCGGCAGAGGCTCACTGTCAGGATCTCGATCGGTGTCCGCTCTCTCTGGTCGGCATAGCAAGCCGCCACAGCCCCAGCCCCAGCCTTTGAAGCCTCACTCTTCTCTCCTTTCCGTGCTCGCACTGCCGCCCGTCCAGATACACGATCACGTATCGTCAGCGGGTGTGTAGCGAGGACATCTTCCTGGGCATGATGGGCAAGCAAAACTCCATCGAGGACTGCAACGAAATGGTGATGCACGTCGAGATGCCTCTGGCCGTTGCGCTGAGCGACATCCAAGTCGACATCAAAGATAACTGCGTTTGGGTCCAGTGTCCGCAGTAGTAAGTTCTGCGCCTTGCCTTGATGTCGACCGCTGTTGCCTTTTGCATTCGCCACTTCATGAACGGCAGTCGGGGAAGCACATGAGCCCGAGGGTGTCATTGTGCCTTGCATGGCCAACCGTTTTCCAGGCGGCTGCTTCTGCGACTCGTATGCTGGTCCTGGTTGGCCGCACACTGACCGGCTGTCTATCCGGATGTTGACCGACGCCGCCCCGTGCTCTCGTTACCACCATGGCATTTTCGCCCGAATCCCTGCCCATTCCCCTGCCGTGGACTATACTTCAGCAAACTGCGGGCCGATCTTCCCGTCAAAGTCGACGAGGCCGACTCCACGGCGCGGTGGGATGCCGTCGACAAGCGACTGATCCTCACCATGCCCATCGTCCGCGAGTTCAAGATCTAGCATCGGTGTGATCGAGACCGAAGCAAATAGATTCGTCGCTGTCTTTCATCACCATCCGAATGAATGTCCATCGTAGTTGCCTCGTTGCCGTTATCGAGGGTGAATGCCGACGACTGCTATTGTGGCGGATGAACACGGAATTTTGACCTTGCTCGCTGGCGATGCCTAAGCAGAATATGAGCTGGTGCAGTTGTGCAGTATTTGCGCGCCCATTCCAGACTGCCCGGCTGCTGATCGCTGCTGATCGCTGCTGGGCGAGCGCGGGAACAGAGCGGCGGCCCAATAGCCAGCGATAGATTGCACTGACGTGCTGTAGCGACCATTGTGCTCATCATCTTGATATTCGAAATGGCACGCAAGTTTCTGGTGAGTGAGTGAGTGAGTGAGTGAGTGAGTGAGTGAGTGGGTGAGTGAGCGGGTGAGTAGGCGAATAGGAGCCAGAAACACAATCGAAGCCATCGCAAGGGAGCATTCGGACAGGAAATGGAGGAGCTCCAGATCCTGCTGGCACCGAGTCGCTGAGGCCCAGATACTTGCGTCGCATGCTCAAGATCGGGGGCAACTGGAAGATGAATGGCTCGGTCGAGCAATGCATGGCCCTCGCCGCCGAGCTCAACAGCAACGAGTGGAATGCAGATCGACTAGGTAAGTACCGGCGAGTCGTGGGTTGCGAGCTGCTTCCTTTGGGTCATGGCCCGAGCGTCGCTGATTGTCTGTTACGCCTTCTTCGTCAGAGATTGTGGTGGCGCCGCCTTCGATCTATTTTCGCACAATGCGACAGGCCCTCAAGAAGGACGCGGCCCTCATGGCCCAAAACGTACATTTTGAAAAGTCCGGAGCCTTCACAGGCGAGGTCAGGTACTGGGGAGCAATGGTGCGGCCGGACACGAGGGGTCTGGTGTTGTCGAGGTGTCTGGCCAGGGATTGAGGAAATGGGAGAGGACGATAGTTGCGCTGCCAGGTTCAGGGTTCCTCAGAAGCCACAGAGCCACACTCCTCACCAACAATGCTACCAGCACGGAATTCTTGAAGGATCTTGGGGTGGCCTGGGCCATGACAGGCCATTCGGAGCGCCGCGAGATATTCCAGGACTCGAACGAGGTGGGCAAGCGGGTGGAAATCGGAAGGCTGCTGGCTTTGATCGCCGATGTGCCGGTTCTGCAATCGTCCGACAAGATCGAGAGGGGCTTTGCTTTTTGGCTCCGACTGACTCGCGCTGTGTTTGCCACATTTCGCCGATGCCATCAACCTCTGCGGCGATGGCGATGGTGATGGTGATTGTGATGGTGATGGCGCATTCAGATTGTTGGCAGAAAGACCGCCCGTGCCCTCGCCAATGGCGTCAATGTCATTGTGTGCTGCGGTGAGAAACTCGAGCACCGCGAAAGCAACCGCACGAACGAAGCCATATTTGGCCAGCTGCAGGCCGTGGCAGATCAAATCGAGGATCCCAAGGACTGGGCCAACCTGGTGATTGCCTACGAGCCGGTGTGGGCAATCGGCACCGGCAAGGTTGCCACGCCAGAGCAGGTGCGCTGTCGGTACGATGGCATCGCGAGAGTAATGGCCGAGCGAGCTATAGACCACGCAAATGCACGAGGCTTCGACCCACTGGTTGGCATCAGAGTGACGATCACATCTCCCGCTGCTGATTGCGCTTTGTCGTGGAACTAACCAACCAACCAACCAACTCTCCCCATACCCAGGCACAAGCAACGCACGTCGACATCCGAAACTGGATCCGCAAGCGGGTCTCGGATGCCGCTGGAGATGCCATCCGAATCCTGTACACGGGGTCGGTCAACGCCAGCAACTGCGCGGCATTTGTGGACATGCCCGACATTGACGGGTTTGTTCTGGGCCGGGCATCACTGGATCCGAAGGAGTTTGCCAAAGTCATTGCGCTGTCTGCGAGCTGCGCAAAGTGACGAGCAACGGGCCATCATCGGGGCAAGCGTGTGCTGTCCGGGCGCCCAAACCAACAGACTCGGACATGCACACGGGCCAGGTTTGGAGTGCAGGTGCCGCCGACGAAAGGGTAGAGCAACCAAGGTCGGGGTTTTCCCACGCGCAGGCCAGGGTCGATTTGCGGTGGCGGCACGGGGCTGAACAGAGCACGTTTTTGCGAGAGGCGCGCCGGATGCCAAATATAGCGCGCACATGTCAGTGGCGCGACAGTGGATACAGTGGGTGGACCGAGTGCAGCGGGTGGTACACAGTTGCACAGAGTGTCACAGAGCGGCGGATACACAACACAGCGCGGTACAACACAAATAACACCGGCAGCACAACGCAGCACAGACACAGTGCCACACACGCTGCAGCACACTGCGCGCCACAGACACAACGGCGCCGTTGCCCCTGTCCTTTTGCCTGATCCTTCGCCCTCTTCTCCCGCCATCGTCTTCCTCTTCTCTCACCATCGCCCATCGCCCATCGCCAAGGCTTCTGCTGCTCGCCCCGGGTCTCGGCAAGTCCTGTCCTGTGCGTATTGCCCTTGGCCATCTGTCGGCAACAATTCCTCTGGCTATCCGTCCCAGTCTCGAACCATGCAGCCCCCGGCTCTGTTGCCGTTGGCTCCAGCTCGCAGCCGCTTCGCTTTAAGAGTGCCGTCCTTGGTCCAGACAGCAACCCGGCTCATCGACCCAGGATCGCTAATCTCTTTGTACATGGCTTTTGGTCTCTCCCGGTTTTGCTCAGCCACCTCAACGACATGCCTCCCCAGATGAAGCGCCCATCGCCTCTTTCGATCGAAGTCCCCAGCTCCTCCAGCTCGCCCTCGCTCTCGCCCGCCACCCCATCTCTGAAACCTCCCAAGAGCGTCTCGTCCATGGCCCTGAACCTGCACACCGCCGATGCTTCCGCCACCCCGCTCTCGGCCCCGGCCACGGCCTGGCGGACCTTTTTCGAGGATACTGAGGCAGTCGACCGGATGCCCATCGACGAGCTCCGGACCAAGATGAAGCAGCTCCTGTCCGAGCAGCGCGAGAAGGACAGAGGCAAGTGCCAATCTTTTCATGCCTTTCTCTCCTGCGATCGCACAGTCTTTGCCCCTTGTTCTATGTTTGGTCTGGTCTATGGAGCCAGCAATCACCAACCAGCCATTGCTGTCGGATTTATGCATCAGCTGCATCAGCTGCATCGACATCAACGCCGACAGCATCTCAATCTGTGTTTGGTGCTCCTGCAGCAGCCGTCTCGCTAATCCCCACATTCCGACCCCTTCTCGCTTGCCATCTCTGCCCTCCCACCACCCCTGTCCACAACCACACCTCGACTGGTAGATCTCTCGATCGCCGGCGAGCTGGGTCAGCAGCTTGTCGAAGCCAACAACACCCTCGCCATCCAGTACGAGGACCTCCTGCAAAAATACGAGTTCGTGCTGCGGGAGACCCAGAACGCCAAGGAGGACGCCGAGATTGTCCAAAAGTCGTTCGCCAACGCCGAGCTCAAGGCCCTCGAGGACGCTGACACCCAGGAAAAGCTCAGTGCGCTCGATGCCCAGGTCACGGCGCTCACGCAGTCGCTCGAGATTGCCTACCAGAACAACCGCAAGATCGAGCAGGTGCACAACCGAAGCATCTCCTCCCTCCAAAAGACCAACTCGGAGCTTCAGGACCAGCTCAAGAGCGCCCTTCGTGACCTGCGCGAGGCCGAGCACACTCACACCAAGGCCGTTGCCGGCCTGGAGCGCGATCTGGACCAGCTGCGGACCGAGCTGCATGCCACCGCCGAAACCGCCCAGCAGCTTGAGGCTGAGCGCAAGCGTCTGCTCAATTTGATGAACAGCTCCATAAAGGAAAAGAGCAACTCGGACAAGTCCGATGCCGAGCAGATCAAGCAGCTTTCCAGCGTCATTGTCAACCTCGAGAGCGAGAATGCCCAGCTGACCCGCACCAAGGCCGACGCCACCAACAAACTCAATGTCCTCAGGGAGGAGCTGAACAGCGTGCAGGTCAAGTACGACGAGGCCGAGGAGATTGTCTCGCAGTACAAGTACCTGAAGGACGAATACGATCAGCAAAAGGTCCTCATCGAGGAGCTCAAGGCCAGCGTCGAGGAGCAGCGGCAGTCTTACCAGGGCATGATCGACGACCTGGCCCTTGTCGGCCAGCTCCCCAACAGCGCGATCGCCCTCCGCGGCGGCATCGACCACAACGCCCTCGTTCTCACCGACGACTTTAACGGCGACTGGCAGTGGGTCAAGTGGATCGAGCGAACCCGAGTCAAGGCCTGGGAGCGTGACATTCGTGGACTGAGAGAAGAGGTGAGTGCAGGTGACTTGGCTTGCCGAGCGGTCGAGTGCCGCGAATAGGCACACACTCTCCTGCCGATACGTGCGGATGGCGCATGTCACCCATAAGCCTGTGCCGCATATCGTCCGGCACGAGTATGTGTCGTGTGGGACTTGCTGTTGCCGCAGCACCATCTGTACTCACATCCATCTATACTCACATCCATCTGTACTCACCCATCCACCTCCCTCCACCCCCGAACAGATCGACAATCTGCGCGAGAACCGCCAGCATGCCGTGCTCCGGTTGCGCCAGCAGGTCGAGAACCTTGTCGTCACCGTGGCAGCACAGCTCCCCGCTCCCGTGCAGGCCCTGACAAAGACGGTATTGGGGGTGAGTGGCGTTGCCGGCGAAAACTCGGGATTGGCTCTTCCTTCTCCCGGACTGATGCCCTCATACTCGCCCTTGTGGAGCGGCAGCCCCACAAAACTCACTCCCCGATAAGCCCAAAGATGCCCATCCCCGAGTCTCCAAGCGCGTCTGTCTCCCCACCTCTCTCCGTGGTGTCTGGTCGGCACTTGCGGTGCCGGCTCCGTGATTCCTGGTCTGCCAGCCTTCCCACTTCTGGCTGTCCATTCCCCTTCCCCCTCCCATTTCGCTTCTTGTTCACCACCCTCCTTTCTGATGTCCTTTCCGCCTTGGTGTCTGCTCGTAAACGGTCGTCGGTGTCGTATCGTTATTATTCCTATCGCCGCCATTGCCATCGCTGCCGTCGCGGCTGTCGTTGCAATCGCAGCTGTTGTTGTTGCTGTCGTTATTATGGCTGTTCGGCGTCGGCCTCATGTGTGTACGGACCTTGTATTATCTCGTCTGCGCCCCGATGCCGACCTCAGTCTCCAATGTGGAATCTCGTTGCTGGACCCATATGCATTCAACAGACCCATCCCACACCGCCCCACTCACACCGGCTCTCCCCTTGCGCTCCATTGCATCGTCCCCGGTAGCTGCACGAAGGAGGAGGGGAGGCCGTGGACTGTCGTATGGACTTTCCTTGCCCGTATCTCCCTAACCGTCCAATCAACTCCTCATAACCGCCCGCTCCAAAGTTGGTGAAAGGATAGTTGGCTCCCACCGTCCACTCGGCCGCTGGGAGTGAAGGAGAAGGCGGACGTCGGGCCGTTCCAGACCTGCTCTCCTTGAGCGACTCGACCTTTCTGAGCCTGATTGCTGAAAGTTTGCGTGAGCCAGAGAACGCAAGCTCCTCAAGCCAGGAACAGCCGCATATCATGGACCGTCCGCCACTCCCACGGCCTGCCATCCCAGAGGAGCCGTCGATCCGTTTGCTGCACCTCGAGACACCAACCTCCGAGAAGCCCTCCCTCCTCAATTGCAAGTCTGGGCGGCGTCTTCGCTGAAACGTCGACGGGGACAGATTTGGCGCCTGTGAATTGTCTTGAGACAACCAGTTGCTGATGACTGTCTTTGATTGAGGGTGGGTATTCCACACCCTCCCCCCAAAAGAAATAGCCCATTCAGACAAGGCGAAGCCATTTTTGTTCGAGCATGTGGGTGGTCATGATCGGGGGGGGGGAGTCATGCCAGTAGACCAAGGTCCAATCCGCTGCATCTGCGGAATGGATCGGTGAAGCTGCGGACTGCCCCCCCCCATTTCCCAGAGTCTCTCTGGCTGCATTCTTGGCCGCGCCGATCGTACAGCTCCTGCCAGGCCGACTCGAAGTTGTCGCTGTTTGTCTGGCACTCAGATTCCCTTACTCAGGTCTCACACCCTTCACTCACATCCCCTCGCTGCCGTTATCAGCAGCGCCCGCCTCGCCTGCTGGTTCGCCCCTCAGCGTCTCCCTGCCGTGCGGGAGGCGGCAGCCAAAGGCGGGAGGTCAAAAGCATGAGAGTGCTCTGCCTCCCGCCAATCTACCGACTGAATCAAATTGCGGCATATGCAGCGCCTTCCCCTCCCTCAGCCGGCTGGCTCGGTGTGGGCCAGCTGGAAAGTGTCCGCTCGGTCAACACCAACATGTTTGGCTGATACACTCGACTTTGTGCCCGGCCTGGGATCGGCCCCGCTGTCCGCAACCGACATGCCAGGCCCGCCGCCATCCACAGCCCATTACAACACTGGATTCCCCGAGCACCTGCCACTATATGATCCGCCCCCAGGCCGCCCCTCAGCGCGGCGACATTTCTCTCGTCTCCATCGCAACTCGCATCCACTTTCCCGCTCCCGTCTGTCAAGCGCGCCGTCCGTTCTGCTTCTCGCGACTTTCACAAACTCCATTCACATCCACCACCACCACCGACAACAACCACCGCCGAAATGAGCGTCGTTCCGGAAGGATCCATCAACCCCATGGAGACCCAAGGTACGTGCCTCTGCTTCTGTCTCGTTGTTCGCCGTGGTGATCGTTGGAGACGCGTTTCCCACGCTGAGATGGCGCTGGCTCGGTTCCGGATGGGCATGCGGACAGTCCCAGCGCTTCATCTGCCTCCGATGGGCGCTGTGGAATCGTTCGCGCTGACGGCCTTGCATTCGCGACGGGTCATCGATTGATCTCTGTTCCTTACTGATCCTTTCGCTCGCTCGCGCGCTCGTTTGCTCATTGGCTCGCTTCCATGCTTGCTCATGGCTGCCAGGCTATTCGGCTGGGATCTTTGAGTGCTTCAAGGATATCCCCACTTGCCTCTGCGTCTGCTGCTTGAGCCCCAGCCTTGTGATCGGTCTGACCCAGGGCGCCATCAAGGGCAACGGCTTTGACTTTCTGAGTTGCTGCTGTGGAGGCATTGCTGCCTACCGTCTGCGTCGCTATGTCCAGAACAAGTTTGGCATCCAAGAGTCGGAAGACGCCTCCATGATCGCCATCGGCTGCTGCGGCTCCTGCGCCGTCTGCCAGGATGTCTCGGAGTTGTCAAAGCGCGGCGAACTGTCACTAGGCGGCCAGCCCAAGGGTCGGGAGCCCATGACGGTCAAGTCTTAGACTCCTCCCTCGTCGCGCATGAAGCCGCCGGTCGAGCGTGCCGAGCGACCTTGCTTTGTCTGGGGGCCTCTGGCATGGAAGCAATCGTTGCGATGTTCTCAGCGAAATAGATCCTCTCCTCTCACTTTTTTGCTGGCCTAACTCGTCCCTCGCGATTACTCACTTTATCTGTGATTACTTCTTCCTTTCGCCTGCTCTCTCCTCCCATCCTGCTTGTCTTTCTTTGACCTTTGTTTCAACGTTCATTCTGCCACAAGCTGTTGTTGGTGTTATTGTGGTTGGGCAGCACGGGTGCGACTGGACGCAGGATAAGAACGACACATCTGCATCCTCTCTCATCCGTCACGGTGTACCTCCGCTCAACGACAAATACACACAATTTATAAAAAATGGAGTGCGCGCGAGGCTATCCTGCCAAACGATGGCAGCCGTTCTGACTGTTGTGGTACTATCGGGATGTTGTCGAGATGCTGTCGGGATGCTGTCGTGGTACTGTCGGGATGTTGTTGGGATGCTATCGCCCGTCAGAGGAGCATATATGTGGTTGATCTCTGTTGCCGGCGGTCGAGTGACGCACAGTGCCCATTGATATCGTGATGTGAGAGGTTCGCAGACAACGGCAGCAGCTCACTTCTTCCGGAGCTGGCGGCCCTCTGATTCAGCAGACCATCTGCCCGACCGCTGACGTCGCAGTGGCGGTTGGTTGGCTGTCTGGCTGTATCAGGTGCGTCCCATCGACAGTTGTGTTCGCGGCTGATGTCATTGCGACCGGGGTAACCATCAAAAGGACGGACCTGTCCCCAACTCGGTCTTCAACCGGCCTCGCATCTCCATCAAGCTCCATATCGCTTTCGCCCTTGGTCGATTACTATCTTGGCCAAAACCAAAGCGTGACCGTAGAAGCGCCTGTCACTTTATCACACCTCGCTCCGCTCAGATTTCCACCCCGTTTATCGACAACGAGCAACATGCATTGCGCTTTGCCACCCTTGCTGCTCCTGTTGTTGGTCGGCTGGGTGTCGGGACTTCCTCCTTCGCACAGGCGCCGTGGCCAAGACACAAACCCGCTCCCGGACGTCATCAACGACGATTCAGTTTTCCATGAGTGCGTCCATGACGACGTTCTCAAGCTCAGCAACTTCCTCCACCCGGCCAACCGCACCAAGACCGACACTGTGCAAGCCTATGTCAACAAGCTCTCCGGCGAGACCATCCATCTCAACACTTCCAGCTTCCAGTCGCTTCCAGATACAGATAACCTCGTCTCCGTCCAAAACTGGCAGCCCATTCGAATTATTCTTGACAACACGCAGCTGCAGTCGGACCTTGCCAGCAGCAACCCAGGCATGTACTCGGACCTTGTCAACATCGTACTCCCCAAAATTCAAGCCTACTGGTCACAGCTGCTCCAGGTCAACCAGGTAACGTGCGGGCCGCCTGTGATTCCCAGACTACGAACGATAAAAAATGAAATCACGACAAGTAGCACAATAGCACCGTCACCACAGCCCAGCTATCGGCCGCCGGTGTTGCATCTCCGTTCTAACCCAACTGGCTTTCTCGGCCCGGTGTGGCCACAAACATCCCCAGGCCATCGGCAACCTGACCTTTGCCAGAACATGCACGTCAATTTGGGGCAATGGGGTCTGCGCCGCCGTGCTTCCGACCGAGACATGTGGTGCCATCACAATCAACCCGAAATATTTGGCAGCAACGCAGGTCTGCGCATCATCATCAACCAGCGGGGTAAGCTGTCTGGTGGCCAAGTCGGGCTCCTCTCGCTCCCTCGGCTCACACACAACCATACAAACTCGCGAGTCCAATCACAGCAGAGCATCCTGAAGTGCTTGCTGTCAACCCAAACCATAATCACAACCTTGCCTCTACTTACTCGACCCGCTCGCCGTTTGTTCCACCCCCACACTGCTACCAAACCAACATTGGGTGACCAGTGTAACACTCTTGCAGGCGGTCCCGGTGTCAGCGGAGACATCGTTATCTTTACGTCGGCACAGGCGGGTGCCTCTGGTGCGCCGTGTGGCCCGGGTAGCTCGACCATAGCATACGCATCGCCTTGCATTTTGAGCAGCAACGATCGTCCCGTGGCAGGTGAGTACGTCGCCATGACTCTGCCAGCATTCGTCGATCAGTTGTATATGCATCTGCGGTACTGATGCAGATATCGCTGTTATTGGACCATGGGACACACACCTACAGGCCTGCTCAACTTTTGCCCGGGAGTCCTGACAAACCTATATGGGCGGCTCAATGGCACAACTCCTCAGGCACCCAACAGCTACAATAATCTGGTACAGACCCTCCTCCCAGCTGGCTCCGACAACGGCTGTCGATAGGGCCTGATATCCGCATCGGGTCCGCGGCATGGGATCTTCTCGAGCGAGCTACTGAACAATGTTTCACCGTACGATCTCTGCAACTGATCCACAGATCAGCGTGGTTGTCCACGAAATGACCCACATCTTGGCGTACTCGTCATCGCTCTTTGCATTCTATCGCGATGAGAACGGAAATCCCAGAACCCCGCGCAGCTCCAACGGCCAGCCGCCCCAGGACTCCACTGGGGCATACATCGCGAGCCCAAATACCACCCTGATTACGACAACCGAGCGAGGGTACACCGTTCAAAAGATTATCCTTCCAAATGTGCTGGCCCGGGCCAGGGCCCAGTTTGGATGCCCTACCCTCAATGGCGTTGAAATCGGTAAGGAAAGCAGTTTGATAAGAGCTGGATGTGAACAGCGCACCGACGACGAGGAAGCGAGAATGGTGCTGGTTGGCACATATGACGAGACGAAAAGCGGGTTGGGGATCTGTCAGAGCGTGGACTTTGTGTCGACGGCCGTGTTGGTATGGACCAGTCGCCCGTCCATATCTGACTTTGGAAATTGTCGACACTGACTCTCCTCGCCTCCACTCCTGCTCGCCTGCAGAGCATGCCGGATCTTCGGGCACTGCAGGGTCCCATCCTACGAGTCGACTTTGGCCCTTTGACTATATGGCCGGTGCACTGCACACTGGGGCGTCAATCGGTAAGCATCACCAGGATCGCAATGGGAGCGGAGATTGACAACCGAATATCCAAAGCACATCGGGTTTGTCGAAAGGCATTGCATCGCTTGGTCCAGCACCTAGTATAACACATCCGGCACTCCAGACATGAATGCCGTGACTTTGGCCCACTTTCAGGACTCTGGATGGTGTGAGTATCGCCGGATGTTGGTGCTCATCGCATACATGTCTAGAGGCACAGTTCCCGTGCGGATCCGTGCGAGGACAAAAAAACGTGCTATTGGGACGGGTGCTGGTCGTTCTCTTGATTAAACTAGCGCATCGCTTTCAACTCGCTGGCTGCCCTACGTGGATACGGCATCCGCCCTTTCGCTTTAACCAACACATCATCTCTTTGCATCAAGACCAAGTCAACTATGACCTTGCAATCAACTCAAGATTCGGATACAGTGCTGGCTGTGACTTTGCTATGAAACCCTGTCTCAACACACCTGCAGGCACGGCTCTCGCCATCCCGACAGACCCAAACTCGTTCTGCAACTCGACAACAGGATCCATCGTCTGCGTCAACCAGAGGACTGCATCCGGTGTCTGTGGGGTTTTCACAGGCCAGACCATCCCGAGCCTCTACAGGTACCCAGCGCCAGCAGTTGAATCAGAAACAGTGACCTTCGGCACCAAGGTTCTATGATTAAGGAACACTAACGAGGGACGGAACTGTGTGTCGTTTGCTGCCGCAGATATTTCACGCCGGTTTATGGATCACCCACTGGCGACGGCATGGGAGGCAGCGATCCATTGATGGTATGCACGCTCTCCATCACATATGCGAGCTGATTGTGGTGGTCTGGATAGGGTGCGTGCGGCAAGTCCAGCCGAGTATTCTCATCCTGTATACGATCATGCTTGAAATCGCATGCTCTAGGACTATTGCCCATTCCTCAGGTTGGTTGCCCTGGTATTATCGAATGCGATCGGTACTATATGGGTATATGCTAGACTGAATCGGAAGAGTGACTTGATCTGAGTTGACACTAACGGAGCAGCAAACCCCCCCCATAGCACTGCCGCCTACTCGAGCTCGACCACAGGTGACTGTCGGTTCACTATGAACTCACTCAACGCTCAGCAGTCCCAAGCACTCGAGACGTAAGCATACCGCGCACAGACGGGCCAGACACATGGGCAAACAACAGTCCGGAGCAGGGGGACGGCCAAAGTGGAGAGTGGCCGCTGACGTATCGCTTGTTTGCGCCGAAACTGGCTCAGCTACGGAGCCACATCGCGATGCTTTTCATCCACTGTAGCCCCACCTGGATACACCCGCTCACAAGCCGGGGCCTTCTGCTATCCGGTCACCTGTCGAGCCAACGGAACCCAGTACTCGGTCCTCGTTGGATCTGAGACCATTGACTGTGGCGCCGGGCTCGTCGTAAAGTATCCGACTACAGCAGCCGGATCGATAACCTGTGCGGCAGCATCGGAAGTGTGCGATCCGCCGGCAGTTTCGCAGTGCCCGAACGGGTGCACAGGATCCAATGGAAAATGCCTGCCATGGGGTGTATGTGTCTGCAAGAACGGATTTACCGGAGCAGACTGCTCCACACCATCGGTCACGCTCTCGAACATCAGTTATCCAGTGGGATACTCGCCTGACTGGAACGGCGCTGTGAACGGCAACAACGTGACGCTGTTCTACCTGGTCAGTCAAAACGGAAGCACTACTCCAAGCACGTCGCCGTTGCGCAGCGATCCAAAGTACGCTTGGTTGCAGAGCCTCGTGACAAGCATGATCCTTGCAGGCACTGGTCTGCTGTTCATTTAACACCGGTTGCGATGGAAACTGCTCTGGTGACGAGAGCCATCACGGAAACGTATCATCGGACCGTGGGGCAGCTGAGAAGGAACGATTCACTGGCGCACTAAGGAGCGTTGAGAAATGCAGGGCTTGAGCACTGCAGCAAGCCGTCGGATGATACTGAGGACGAGGGCATTTGATTGTCGACATCTCTCAGAGACCATACTATGAACAACGATTTATTAGAGAGATTTTCATTTTTGAGAGATCAAGAGGGGCTCGGTAAACTTGGTGCCAGTCGAGTCCGTGGGTATCGGGAAGCACATGGGAGCGCAATGCTGAGCAAGTTGGAACACAAAGCCTGCGATTCACTCGGTGGCAGGCTGGGAGATGGGGTAATTGGACACGTGGAACGGAGGATGCATGAGATGCAAATGAGATGCAAATGAGATGCACATGAGATGCAAATGAGATGCAAATGAGATGCACAGAACAGCACCACATCGCACGACAGTCAGTGCGGCGGGGTATCCTGTGGTGGGGAAACAAATGCAAGTGCCGACTCGCTCGGTGCCATCATCGACAGTCCGTGCGGCGTCATGTACTGTGATGGAGTAAACTGCCGCAAGTCAGGATGTCCGAGTGGTTAAGGAGTTGCACTCGAAATGCAATGGGCTCGCCCGCGCAGGTTCGAATCCTGCTTCTGACGCTTGTCTTTTGCTCCTCGTTTTTGGCCCATATCCTGTCTCCTGTCTCCTGTCTCCTGTCTGCCCATCGCCACTGCGGTGTGCTCTGTTGTTTTCCTTCTGGATGCCATGCTCGCCGTCTCCGGTTTCTGCCGTTGAATGTCGTTGAATATCGTCTTCCAGTGTCGTCTTCCAGTGTCGTCTTGATCCATTGATGTGCATCCGCTGTCCCGATCCCCACGTCGATCGCGATCTCCATGTCGGTCTGGATCGTGCCTCGCTGTGCGCTCTGTCGTTCGGCTCTTGTCTCGCCCCCACCGCAAGTCTCTCTCGTCCATCACAACTTCACATAGTCCCGTCGCTGCATCTTCTTGCATCCGGCCATGTCCATGGCCACGAGTATATGCGTGGCCCTCCCGCATTCTATCCATCGGCCCCTCTCAACTCATTTGGCCAACAGCATTGTCGGCATTGGCAGCGGAGCCCACCTCCTCGACCACCTGCGACAATTCCGTTCTTCAGCTGCCCAAGCCACCGAGGTGCAGAATCGACCAAACAACCAGCAGTCTCTTCCCAGAGCATCTTTCTCCGACGATAGCCGCCCATCCGAGCTATCTCCAGAATCCGTCCTCCTCAAGACCGCTTTGCATTCCTCCCTCCGTCCATACCAGAAAGAGTGCATCCTCACCTGCATCAGCGAGTTCCAGAAGGGCATCAGGCGGCAGGCCGTGTCGCTTCCTGTCGGCAGCGGCAAGACCCGTATCTTCACCGCACTGATCGAGCACATCGACCCTCCCAAGCCCGGTGCCAACAAGACATTGATCCTGGCGCACCGTGAAGAGCTGCTCGATCAAGCATACCACAGCATAAAGCGGCAGTTCCCCGATGCTGTATGTATCGCATGCACATCCGCCGCGACACAGCGCTATCTGGATATCGAAACTTCCATCCCGACTCTTATCCCAGCTGATCCGGCGAACTCTCTTTGTCCCGACTGCTGACCATCGGCAGCGCATCTGTCTGGATCAACGAGTACAGAAATACGACCCCAATAGCGACATTGTCTTGAGCAGGTGCGAAGCACTGTCTGCAGCATGACGATAGGGCACCCCAGCTTTGGCCTGGTGTGCGAGACTGACAGCCTTCGTCAAAAGTGTGCAGACGATCGGCCGCGATGGGAGCCCGAGACTCCTGCAGTATAACCCCGAGGATTTCAAGTGCATCATCATCGGTGAGAGGCTGTTGCTTCGTCGCATGGGGTCGATGCTGGCCCCGACTTTCATGCCAATCCTTCTAACGACGACGACGGCCCGGTTGGCACTGATGCCGCCCCCCTCTCTGTCCAGATGAGGTCTGTGATGTTTGCAGAGCAACCAGCTGGACTTGCTTGTTCGTGGGGTTGTATCGCTACAGCTGTGAACAACAGTCTCACAACTTCATCTCGCCGTGCTCCTGGTTACAGGCTCATCATGCTGCTGCCCCGGTATATCGCCGCATCCTGGCGCACTTTGGCGCCGACTGCCCAGGCTCGCACATCTATGTCTGGGGCTGTTCGGCAACCCTGAGGCGCCACGATGGGGTTTCGCTGGGGGGCATATTCGACAAGGTTGTCTACCACAAGGACCTCGACAGCATGATCGATGAGGGATGGTGAGGATACCTGCAGCGCCGCCGATCGCCGCTACATGGCCTCGGACTGATGCCAATGGATCTGTCAATGGTGTTTGTTGGCCGTGCAGAGAACCATCCGACCTGCCCACTTTCGGTGACATTGCAGCAAGCACTTAGTGCAGAGAGCACTTCGTTACTGACGCCTTTTGAACGACCCGGCCGCCTCCTGCACCACCACGACCCCTACTCGATCTCGACCCGAAAATGATTCCCCAGGCTTTGCAGAGTCAATCCCATAGCGGTCGAAACCCGCGTCCGGATCGACGAGGTTCCCGTGGTGGCTGGTGACTATGCGGTCGATGCGCTTTCCAAGGCCATCAACAAACCCGAGCGTAACAACGTCATTGTCCAAATATATCTGTCGCGTAAGTCTGGCGCAGTAAGCCCACGATGCAACGCGCATATCGGAGGTCGGATGGCTTTGTCAACTCGACTAATTTACTTTGGGGAAATCGGATCTTCAGAGGCAACGGGACGCAAATCGACGCTGGTATTCGCGGCGGACATCCAACACATCGAAGACCTGGCCAGCGAGTTCAGGAGGCACAATGTCGATGTTGCCACTGTCCATGGGAAGATGAAGTCGGCCGAGCGGTCTGGAGCACTCAAGCGCTTCCGAGATGGCCAGACTCCCGTGCTCATTAATTGCGGTAGGCACTTGTCGCTTCGTGAGGCCTAACGGATGTTGGGAGGTACTAACGACGATGCTTCACCGTCAAGGTATCGTAAGCGAGGGCACCGATATCCCCAACATCGACTGCATCATGATGGCACGCCCAACGCGATCGACGCCGCTACTGATACAAATGCTGGGGCGAGGCATGCGTCTCCACCCGGGTGAGTCCAGCGCCGCTCCGGCCTCGATATGTCAACCAACGTGGATCTGAGGCGGCTAACGACTCGCTCCGGACACAGACAAGCACGACTGCCTCGTATTTGACTTTTTGGACACCCTCGACGGCGGTCCAAGGCTCCGGATTGCTCCGACTTTGTTCGGACTGCCTCCCGAGCAAATCTCTGAGAGCAAAGGTGCGATTGACACCCTCCACAGGGCCTCCATTGTCTGGATTGATGTCTGGGATACGAGTCTCGCTCATGACTGCCACTGTCGAGGAGAGTGTGCGTTGATCGTGGCTCTGACTTGTCACTCACTCGGGACACTATCTCACTTGGGATGCGACGCATGTGCTTTGTCAAACCGGATATTGCCTGAGCTACAGACGCAGATAATGACTTGGGTGGTGACTGTGCCGGCCCACGGACAGCCCAGTTGGACATGCTTCCCAGTGGCGGCGACAGAGCAAGCAGTCCACCACTCCTCGCCGAACCAGAGCAAGTGCCACAAATTCGGCCAATCGAGATTCGCCTGCGAGGAATACCGATGCTGTTCAGTCGGGACGAGGCGCAGAGCCATGCGGCCGTCCTTCAAACCATCTCTCGCTTTGCTTGGATGCGGGTGGGTCTATCGGATTGCGCCCTGCCCTTAATGGACAAGTCTTGGCTTTTGATCAAACAGTCGACAGGTAGGCTTCGCTGTGCAGAATGGGCCGTATTTGCGGCTGCTGAGCTGATGGGAGTTTGCGCAGCGACTACAGTATCCTTGACAGCGACTACAGTATCCTCGACAGCGACTACAGCATCATCGGCAGCGGCGGAGTATTAATTCTTCTCGATGCTGGATCGGCATGCTTCCCTAGAGGGCGGCCCGTACACTGCCTCGATTAGAAAACGAGTCAAGCTGCCGCCTTCGGCACGCAGCCGCACCAAGTACATCGTCTCCTCCAAGGAGCTGCTGAGCAGCGATACCCTCGAGTCGGCCATCCGGGGTGCTGATACCTGGGTTCTTTCCACCATGCCCTATGCCCAAGCCCGAAACCTCTTCCGCAACGCGTCCTGGCGACGGCAGCCAGCCAGCCCAGCACAGGTCGAGGCCATCAAGCGCATAATGGGCGAGGAATATGTCCAGCGCCTCTCTGCGCTGACCAAGGGTGAGGCCCATCAGATCCAGACTCGGCTGATGATTTCATACTCCAACAAGTGTCCTGCGTCGCTGAGGCCTGACTCCACAGGCGTTGGAGGCAGCACAACCCCGGCAGCAGCGACATCCAAGACACAGACGACGACACCAGCCAAACCGCGCGGCGCTGCGACCAGGCCAAAGAAGATCGGCCCATCCTCCTGAACGTGCCTGCGTCGTCGTCCAATCCCCACTCCCGCATCGTCCCCAGACCCAATGTACCTTCGCTGCAGAGCTCTTCGAATCCACTGCATCGTCTCCGTTCGTCAATCCACCCGCACGCTGGGGGGGGGAGGGTATTGCTGCCGGCCAACCTGGCACACATGCACATATACGTTGTCCTGTCGGTGCGAATGTCGTCAGGCCTGGTTCCCAGCCGCTGGGCCGGGTCGTAGCTTGTGCACTGCACCTGGTCTGGCGCAGCCACCGCCACCGCCTGTCGCACGGCCACTCCCCCGGCCACCCTTCCGCGGCGAGCCGGCGTCGCTCTATATCTTCTCCGCCTCTGCCTCCATCTGCGCCGCGGCCCTTCCTTCCTTCGCAGCATCCCACGCCGATCGCCGAGCCCACTGCCAGCCATGAACGATTTTTTCTCGCCGAGTAAGCTCACTTGCTGTCGGGTCCGTCTGTTGCCAGCCGCCGCCTGCCGCCCGCGAGCGGCGAGACTGGTGCAGTGCCATCCGTTTCCTTCGCTCCGACCCTTCCCTCGACCGGCCTCTGTCCATCGCTCAGCTCTCGGCTCTCGGCTCTCGGCTCAGATAGCGCATCGTGGCGGCACGCACTGCCGGGTACCAAAGGCGGGACTGGCGGTGTGGTCGGTTCCTGTCGACCTTCGTTGCCAAACAGGGCCAGAGCTCTGCGAATCCGTCCATCGAGGCCATTCCGACCAGGCCACCAACCCGCCGACGGAGGCAACTTGATGCTGACTTCCCCTCCCTTCGCATGCACGTTGCCGCAAATTGCCGGCTGTCAGAGCGTGTGAGCTTCGATCAGGATCTCGAGGTATGCCAAGCGAGCCGTATGACCTTTCAGCCGGACACGCCACCACAGCGGCACCAGCAACCCCGACGACGCTGTTGTCTGGAGCCGACCGCGCGTAGCTGATCGTCATGTGCCCCTCGTCGCTGACTAAATTGCCTCCCGACGACTTGCGTCGATTTCGTGGGTCGCCCTGGCACCCAAAGATCGACAAGCAAAAGAAAAATGTGATAGGAATGCTCGAAACAAAGTCCGCCATCGTCGCCCAGATTGCGAGCTATATGAAAGCACGATATGAGATGGAACACGAGTATGCCAACCGGTTCCGGGAGCAGATCAAGAATTTTTCGTCCCAGATGTAAGTTCGAATGTCATTCGGACGGTTCCCCGCAGCCGCAGCCGCACCCGCCGAAGCCGAGGCTTGGGACAAGCAACGCCACCGCCTCCAGGGCCCGTGAGCGCGATGCACACACAGCAGCCGCTTGCTTGATCCGAGTGACGCACTCTGCGCCGGGCGACAGGATAGTTAAGCGATACCCAGTACTTGCACTGAGCCCTCGAGGCTTCGGCGCTCTGACTTGGCCGATGGTTGTTCTACACTAGCAACAACTGGCACGAAAACCCTGTCCTGTGCCGCCATCTCCAGAGCTTTGTCCAAGCGGAGCTGGATAGCGTCGGCCTTATTCTGGAGCAAGTCAACTTGTTCAAATCGACGCACGCTATTCTCTCCGATCAATCTGTAAGTACTCTGGCTTTGTCCCGAGCCAGCCTGTCGCTTGGACTGACAGAGCCACGGCCATGTCTGATTGCGAGTGTCATTTCACTTTGATAGAGCCATTACGGCAGAACAGCAAAGGAGTGTGGAGAAGCCATCTCGAAAACCCTGGAAAAGTACAAAAGTCAGCGTGAGATTGACACGGCGAAGGTATCAGCATATTGCTCCTGCAGTGGCGGATAGTCCAGAATCCCTGCCCAGAATCCCAGCCCAGAATCCCAGCTCATCCAAAGAGCGAACAAGTGTAGTCGTCTGAGTTGAGGCTGTCAAGCCCTTGGCTGCGATGTCGCTCGATGCATGGCGTGAACGGTGTCCATGCGTTGGGGTTTTGTGGTTGCTATCGCCAAGACAAGCGACTCTTGCGTCTCATGAGACGTGAGATGGGGATACAATTGGGTCCACCCCTCAGCCTACGCCATGCGCTAACATGCCGCCGACGAATGCGCACCCGTAGGTTTACAACGCCTACAAGAAGGACTCGGAACAAGTGGAGAAGGATGAAGGAAACCCCCAGAATGTAATGCACAGCTTTTGTCGTCGGCCTTATTGTCATCGGCCTTATTGTCGTCGGCGTTGCCATCGTCGCCACCGCCGGTTTTGGCATCTCATTGACGACTCCCCTTTCATCATTGAAAGGCTATGAGGCAGCGAGCCGTCGCAGCCAATAGTGGTGAGTTTGCTTGCCGCGTCGTGGCTATCCAGTCAACTTGAACGAAGACCCGCGCTCAACACATTGCTCATTCCATTAGATCGGGTCTACCGCCGGCAACTCGAAAACGTGGAGTTAGCACGGAGGGACTACAACTTTGCCCGTCAGAGCCATCAATCGGTAACGGCTGCAGTTCGTTGCAGTGCCATCTGAACTCATACTGACAGCGACTTGGTGTATGTCTGTGCTTGAGCGAGCGATTTTCTGCGGAGAACTTACTGTATGCTCCACCGAATTACTTGGCCGCCATAGAAAATCATCGCCATGGATAAGGATCATCAAAGCGCCATCATCGCTGCGATGACCTCCCATGTTGCCGATTTGAGCAAGCATCAGGATCAGCTTGCTAAGGTGGGCCGATTCTTTGCAAGCAGGGCTTCCGTTATGGTGCCATCCACCGTATCTCTGTTCCCCTCGAGGCAGCGCATAGCTAGAGAGTTGGTCAAGGATATGCGAGGTGCCTAATCGCTTGCATATTCATGTCCATCAATCAGCACCGATTCAATCTTTCCAGGTCGCTGGATACATTCTCGGCTGATGAGGTGGCCTCCGCTTCCTTGGAGAGCCTTGACTGTGCTTGGCCCCAGTCCAGGGCCCTCAAGTTTGTCAACTACCAGAACAAGCCATTCGAAGGTCATTCTCGACCCAACCTGCGTTGCATAGCCGCAAGCGCTGGCAGCTGGTGTCCCGGTGTATTCGGATGATAGCGGCTTCAGACTGACGGGCCACCGTCCATGCTGTAACAGATGCGGTCTTCAAGATTGATGTCGGCAGCCTGATTTGCAAAAAAGAGGATGATGTGCCAGTCCTGCTCAGGCGCTGTGTTGAGGCCATTGAAGCGCGTGGTAAGCCCCTCTTCTGTGCCCCGCCTCAGCCGGATTCTCTCTTGATGCAAGTGCCGTTGCGTGCGTGGTCTCAGTGTCAATGCACCATATTAGAGACTGCATGTGCCATACCGCCACCCATGGAGCGATTCTGTTGCGCCTGATCAATTGTGGAGTGACCAGGATGCGTGTGGGTCAGCTGACATGGTGGCTAACTTTCAGTGCCGTCCGCTCGCAGGTCTTGACCGCGAAGGACTGTACAGAGTCAGCGGCAACCGCGTCGCTGTCGACAACTTGAAGTTATTGGTTGAACAGGATCTGAGCCAAGTCGATCTGACGAACGAGACGCACGACGTGCACGTAGTTGCTGCCTTAGTCAAGCAGTATCTGCGTGAGCTCCCCGTCCCTCTGATTTCCTTTGCGGAGCCCGTTTTGGGAGAAAGCGAGATGCACATCTACAAGCGCGAGGCGAACTATTTTTCACAATATCGATGTAAGTGGCGTATCGATCTGTTTGGGTTCTCAGGATGCTGTGTGAGTTGGGCCGATCGCCATCCTCGGGGACTGTCTCCCTCCTTCATTCGGGTCCGCGAATCGGTCCGATCTGCGTCTGACAGCTACGACGGGCGGCTGTTGGTAACTCACCTGGACGAACGCGATGCATCTTCAGCTCTTACGCCCGAGGCCCGTAAAGAGGAGCTGCACAGGATCCTCGGCGCTCCTGGCTTTGGCCGAGAGAGACGTGCCACGTTGGCCTATATTATCAAGCATCTGATCAAGTAAGCCTGGCCTGTGTTTTGCATCGCGGCGGCCCAGGGTCCCTAAATCTACCAAGCGCACTCAGCGCCGGAGCTGTATATGGCCAGAGGCGATCAAACGGCGATGATGGGTATCCTCGGCTTGGGCCCAACGGCTACCATTCCGACCGTGATACTAATGCTGGATGGTGTCTGTCCCTATCGATATTCAGGGTGGCTAGTCACTCCGAGCAAAACAAAATGAACATGCAGAACCTTGAGATCCTGTTTTCGGCCGTACTGTTCCGCTCCGAGCCGGATGATGATATAGCAATCACCGAAAAGAGCTCCTGGTTTGGAACCAAGTCGACGCCGACGATGGTGGACTCCGAAACGGCGCTGAAGAACCTGCTGGAACGCAAAATGAGGGATGAAGCAACTTGCCTGGTGAGAACCCTGGGCCCTCTGAATTGCAAACCAGTACCCCCCCCCGGACGGGTGCAACGGAGGGAGCAGGAGCGCATCAAACGATGGCTGACAAACCCGACTTTGTCGCCGAACTGGCTAGATCATCTCGGACCTAGCAGATTATGCCGACGATGTGCTTGCAACTTCATCCGAACTGCCCCCGCCGCGCTTTCAATCCCTGGGTGCCACAGTGCATCTGCCACAGGCGATCAAGGCCTCGCTCAGTCCCCGAGTCCCAGCCAGTTTCTCGAGCGCCCCTCCTCCCCTCAGTCCCTTGCCTGCTCAAGTCCCGCTCCCAGCCGCGCCGAAAAACGACTCTCAGCATGATGGCAGCAACCTTGAGCCAGCTACCATCGAAGCCACAGCGGACCCTCGACCATTGGCTGCCGCTAGCCACGTTCCAAGTCTGAAAATCACGACCAACACAGTCGCAGCCATCGAAGTGACGGTCGTTGAAGCCACAACCGGGAGTACCTTCAACCAGGTCCCTGCTGCGGCCACCGCGGTCGTTGGTGAATCGGGTGCCGAATCAAATGCCCCAGGTGCTACGGCTCCGGTTGCTGGGTCGACTGTTGTTCCGGCTGCTAGCTCAGTTGCTGGGCCAGTGGGTGATACCCGCGGGGACATTGGCGCAAAGCCCAGTTGAACAGGCGACTGGAAACCCGCAAGGCACCATCGATCGCACATTTGCGAGCGAGAACCCAAGCAACTGAGCACCACACTCTGATTGTCTCTTGTCTGCCGTCGAGCTTGCAATCCATCCTTCCTTCTCTGTCAACTGCGTGATTGTACATGCGACTTGTGCCTTGGCTGTTGAGAATACACAGACCACCCGACCCGAAACATCGATATCGTGAATGTGTGTGTGTGTGTGTGTGTGTGTGTGTGTGTGTGTGTGTGTGTGTGTGTGTGTTCGATCCCGTGATCAAATCGGTTCACGTGAGCAGTGTTGGAGGCGACAGGCGAGAGCACGCCGAGAGCACGCCGAGAGCACGCCGAGAGCGCCACCGAGAGCGGGGTCCCTCGGCGGCCAAAACGTGTCGCTGCACCGCCACCAAGGCGCTCGGCCGCGGGCTGTGCCAAGCGCGCGTCCCAACAAGCCCAGGACATGCCCCGCAGCGGCCTCGGCTTGCTGTTCCTGCACAGAAGCAGCGCACCATGTTGCCCAGGGGACGAGCCCACAAGCGAAACAGCAAGCGAAACAGCAAGCGAATCGGCGAGCGAATCGGCGAGCGAATCGGCGAGCAGGCCAGCAAGCAGTGTGGGGCGCAGACGAGGCAGCGCACTCGGCCGCCGATGGACGGATGGATGGATGAATGAATGAACAGCACCGATGTGGGCCTCGGCGACCGCAAGATCGCATCCAACCAGCCGCCGCCGCTTTGCTCTCGTCTTCCTGCTCTCCTGTATCCTGTTGCTGCCTCCCACAGCTGCCGCCGCTGCCGCTGCCTTCCGAACCGCCTGGGTCCATGTTTCGTTTCCTCGACTCCTCGCCAGATTCAGGCGACACGCTTCAGCTGAACAAGTTGCTGGAGCTGCTCCGAGCCAACGAACATGCGCTTGCCAACATCATCGCCTCCCTGAGACAAAAGGCCGGTCTGGACTCCACTTATGCGAGAGCGTTCAACTCGCTGTCGTCTCGGTTCATCCGCCGATCCTCTGCGTATGTCCCTCATGCCACCCGTCGCCTGTGGATATGTGTGAATCCTGGCGCTAGTGCTCCTCGGCAGATGACGAAACGAAGAACCGGGCCCGGCACCATCTATGATATCGAGATGCCTGTTGTTCAGTCTCGGGTCTTCCCGTGCCCGACGATGCATCATTGCCATCGCCTCCGCCTCACCCTCTTCTCTCGGCCTGACCCCAGTCCAACTCCGCACGGCCCGGTATCGCAACTGCAGGCACTGGCCGAATCGATAGTCACTCTGCCGCTGAGCCTCTCCACAGACCCAGAAACTGGACCTGATTCCTTCGACCACGAGGTCATCCAGGAGCTGGTCTCCGCCAAGGTGGGCCGACCGCCGAATCGGTGGATTTCTAGCCTGGGCTGATGGATCCAGGGCAGGTCTTAGACGGTTGCAGCGCATGGCCTGGATGCAGCAGCGACTCTGGAGGCGGTCTGCTATCGAGATATCGTCGAAATTTCACGGCCGGGGATGAGACAAACTCGCTGATAGCCCGCCTCTCGTATTAACCAACCATTTGGCTCACAGAACCAAGTCAGCGCAGATATTGACACCCTGCAAAAACACATCAGCAAACTCTCCTACGAGCTCACAACAACACGAAGGCATGTCTCCAAGGTAAATATCGGCGTCATATTGCCGACTTTGAAGGGGTTCGGAAAATATGTTGGGTGCGAGTTCGTAGCCAGCAGTCACGGCCAGGCAGGCTGAAGGGGGCGAACAAATGCCTCCAATGCCATGCGACCCAGCCATTCATGTAAACCGGCGAATGGCATGCTAGCTAGTGCGGTGGCGCTCATTCGATGGCATTCTTGGTAGCTCCATGGCGAATACGTAAGATCAATCGACCATTTGGAGAAAGAGCTGTCCAAGAACACAGTCTCGCTTAAGGTAGCATCTCCCACACGCCAAACGGAAACAGTCGTAGCGTGCTCGCTGCAGCTTTGGCTTCTAGTGGCTGAACCTTCGAACTCTGTGAATCTCCAAGGGCACGCTCTAACCCGGCACGCTGTTTCTAGATTGTGTCATTCAAGATGAAGGTTGACCAGGCCGGTAGGTGCAGCTGAGTTTATGCTTTGGTGTTTTGACCAAGAGGCTCCAAAATGTCGGCCGGCTGTGCTCTTGTCCTGGGACAACGGGCTCACATGGTTTGAATCGCTCGCCAGATACCTCGTACCGCCATGCCATCGTCGCCGCAGAGCTGAAGCGACTGGAAATCAAGGACAGCTGGGAGAAAATTCGCTTGGTAACAACAGACCCTGCTTGATCGCACTGATATTGATAGCGCTTAGTGGACTTGGATGCAGACCGACGCCTCCTGTATGCATGCTTGAAGAATTTCCAGATTTGATCAAGAGCACCCTCTGAGTTGGGCTGCGTTGCATTATGCGTCCCCGTTCACCACCACCAGGCATCTTGGAATTTCGAAAGTTGCCAGCTTCAACGGATCGAGCCGGCGATCCAGAAACTGGAAAAGTTTGTCGCTCCAACTGAGGAGGTAGTTACTGTCCATGGAGGGCGCCTGGTCCTATACGAATCGCTGCAATCAACGGCACACAAGTGTGGATAACACATGTCCGTGGGAGTGGTTCGGGAACAGGGACTGACGTCCTGGTTCTCTAACTCTCCGGCGGCCCGACCGAGTCCTTGACTCACCGACGCTCTCGTCGTTTCCCCCAGCCAAACTGGAGCACTTTCCAGTCGGAGGTTGCTGATCTCCGAGCCAATGTTGAACAACAGCGGGAGGCCTTTTGCAAAGTATTCGATCAGTATTGTCCGCCACCACGAGCATTCGTTCTGCATGACTTCAAGCTCCAGCCGCTTCCTGGTAAGACCAGCTGATCCGTTAGCGAGTATCCAAGTCGCCATCTCCTGTGGGTCCGAGCCCACCATCGCCTGATCTGACCCGACTGATACAAACCCGGGCTTATCCTTGGGTTCTAGCGCCGTGCTTCAAGATCGAGATCAGCAGCTCGCTCTGCAGCAAAACCGATATGGTCCCCGACATTCTGCGCGGATGCATTGAAGCCATCGAGGCCAAAGGTGAGTAGCTCAACACAGCGCCGCTAAGCTGACACAGTATCTGACAAAGTGTGTCCACCAAGGCTCGATGATCTCGCGAGCTTGCTGTCACATAACTACTCATTCTGATCCACGAAAGCCGATGTCGATGACCCTGGCCCTTGCAGCCCATTTCGACCACTACTTCCCACGCCCTTGACTAATCAAATGAGCTCTTCATCAGGGCTCGAGACTGAGGGCATTTACCGTATCCCTGGCAGCAAGAAGCAGATCGAGAGCATGATATGGCAGCTCGAGCACGGTCTGGATTGTGCCGAACTGAAGAGTCCAGACCACGATATTCATGCGATCGCAGGGACCGTCAAGCAGTATCTGCGAGAGCTGCCCAACCCGCTATTCGCCTTTATTGACAAGCCGTCGGAAGACTGGCCGACCATCAGCGCCGGGCAAATGGAGCGAGTTGGACGATACAACGGTACAGCTGCCGTCTTGCTGTGCTTGTGCCAGGGATTGCCCACACACATCACCCTAGGCGCCATGTTGTGAGCGCATCTCCAGCGAGCTGCGCCGATGCTCCGAACCCATCTGACTCGACTATTTCTCATCATAGACTCCGACTTGGAAACCAAGCTGATCAATTTGCGTACTTCCATATCATATCTGCCAGCGGTGTACCGTGCGACGTTGCGATACACGTTGCAGCATCTAAAGAGGTAGGCGTGTCCCTTCGCATAGCTATGCTCTATAGATCCAGCGACCTGATCCAGAGGCTCGCTCTCCATCACGTTTTTGTGTATCACTGCTTCGTTCCCTACTGAAATGGTGACCTGCGATGCTATATACTGCCCTCCGCTGTTCCGCACTGCTGTTTTGCGCTGTACTGCACTGTGCTGTCCTGCCACGGATCACTGATCCCGCCGGCGGGCCAAACGACTGCTTCGACTCTCAAACAGGGTATCGAATAGGTCGAGCGAGAACAAAATGACGGTCGACAACGTGGCGACGATCTTTGCCGATGACATCATTCGGGATCCGTTCGCGGACAAGGAAGTGCATCCGAGTCAAGCAGGTCCAGACCGAGGTGTCCCAGTCACCCAGGACGATCAACTGTCCATCATTCGCAACATTGTTGCGTATGGCCAGCTGCAGGACCAGGTCAGAGATGCAAGTCGTGTCGGAGAGCACACTGGACCAGGGACCAAACCGACTGGGATGGAGATTCTGCAGCGAGACTGACAATATGGTCTCTTCAGGTTATCGCGGATCTAATACGGCTTCAGGACCAACTCTTCTGAGCACTCCGCGAACTGCCGAGCCGACCTGCGCCAGCGGACGCTCACTTGCGGCTCGGTCCATGAGATTGCCTGAGGTGCCCGAGCCTCCGGCGCTGTACATTCGCTGCCGTTGTTTTCAATCCACATTCTTGTTGCCCAAATTCATATCCTTCTTCCGGCCAATGCGGCGACTCTATGGGCCTGTGCGAGCATGGGGCATTGAGCGTGTGGCTGGTGTCGACTTGGCGAGACGAGAGGCCGGCGAGAGGCGGGCGAGAGGCGGGCGAGAGCGCCGAGCCCTCGCTGTCGTCCTCTCCCAGCAGCCGAAACCCGTTCGTTCGCTTGGGCCTCTTCATGAGCCGCACCCACTTTCCCTGACCGCACCGTCGATATCCCTCCACGAGCAAGCCCATAGAGCTCTCAACCAAAATGTCTGAGCAACAGCCTGGTTCGGCGATATCCCAGTGCCCGCCCGAGCTCTTGGGGCGAATATTCTCGTACAGCCTCGACTCCAAGCAGGAGCTGCTCAACTACGCCTTGGTTTCCAAAACGTGGTTCGGCCCTGCAATCCAGCAGTTCTGGTATGCCCTGGACTGGTCTGTCGATGACTGTAAGCATCTTTTCGAGACACTAGGCGTTTGTATGAGGCGGTTGTGGAGAGCAGGGTGTGCTCTATCGCCCTCCGTGCATATGGCGATGTTGCGCCGAGGTAGCGGAGGAGCAGTGTTTCGGCTCGTATCAGACGCTGCTGTGAAACGGATGTTTTGCGTATCGTTTGCAATATTGTATGGTACGACGCTTGAGTCTACTGGCCGGCGCTTGGGTCGACTGCCGTTGGTGTGATGACAATGTCGATCTAGCTCAGTCTACCACGTATCCAGCCTGCGTCAGTCGGCTGCGTTGCAGGGTATTCAGGCGGCCGCTCGCCTCTGCGATCGTTTGCCTGATGCCGTCGCCAAGATCCTGCCTCCCGAGCCTGTGCCTTCTCGATAGCTGTCGTCTAACGCAATCGTTCGTCGCGCATATTCCTCGCGCTTTGGTCGCTCCATCGCCCCAGGGGATCTGTTGCGTTCGCGCCTGTCGAGCTACCGCTCGCTCTATGTCGATTATCGCAAGTACATCCACCGTTTCCACCTGTGGGCCGGCGAGGCGAACCAGGGCGATTTGAAGCTCAGCAACATTCGCAAGATCCTGCAAGGCTGCACCAAGCTGACAACGCTCCACGTGGACTATCCGGTGCTCAATGACGACGATCTGTGGATCATCAGCTCGGTTTGCCAGCGGACGCTCACGTCGTTCTCGGCAGTGTCTCCGCTGGGCTCGGGATTGGCCTGTATTACGGACGAAGGACTCAGCGCCATAACGTCGCAGTGCAAGCAGCTCCGCCACTTTCGAGTCAAGACCACGATGCAGGGCACATCCATCGACCGCTCGATTGTCAAGCTGGCCGAGAGCCTGCCTCCAAACCAGCTTCAGACATTTGGGCTTGAGTGGGTGGGCGAGGTTTCGTTTGTCGACAACCTGGGCAAGCCTCTCGATCTGGCCGAGGCCGAGAGGCGGATGGCCGATGCTCTGGGACATCTCATTCGAACGCACCCAGGCATCAAAACCTTTGTCCTGGACTGGCCCGTGGCAATGGACTTTACGCTGCTGACCATGAGCCAGCATCTGACCAGTCTCGAGGCGCTTCACATTGGGAACCCAAAGAACCTGGACCACATTGTATCGGTACTCTACGCAAACCCACGCATCCGACAGCTGTCGTTGTTTGAGGTCCACCAGGCGGCCGACCCCACGGTGATATTCCGTCCCCTGCTCGGTCTCCCGCCCGGCCCGTCGCCGGTTCAGATGATGGCGACACCCGACCAGTTCGTCGATGGCTCCACTTCACCGCAACTCTCGGCCATATCCATGGATCTGGATTGCTTTACTGGCACAGAGAACACTTCGCTGGCGCATCTGGAACTCGATGGCGTTGGTTTTGTCCGGAATGTACTCCCGCTGGTCTCCAAGTTCACCAACCTCAGAGTCTTGATCGTGAATGCCTCTCGCCGCTCGGCCTCGCTGCATCACTTGACGACGGACCAGCATCTCGAAGCCATTGCCCGGAGCTGCCAGGGCCTGCAGATCCTGCGAGTTCCCATCCTCGGCGACGGCCCCCTGATCCAGATCGCGCAGTCCTGCCTCGATATCGAGACCTTGGATTTGGTCGACGGGCGCCATGTATCGCCGTATACGCTGACGCTGGTGGCCAAGCAATGCCAAAAGCTCAAAGAGCTGCACCTAGGATCGGCGGCACTTGTTCGAGACGAGACCATTGAGCTGATTGCTCGCTCATTGCCCGGGCTCGTTGATCTCGGTCTGCCATACGGCAACACCAATCTCACGGAGCGATCGCTGGACCACATTTCGCGATACAGCTTGGCGCTCAAATACCTTTACAACATCCCCGTCACCATTTCGGTGGACCATTTCGTCACATACCTGCCCAAGCTCAAGCAGCTGATTACGGTCGGTACCTGCACCGGCGTCAGCGGGGCGCCAGGTTCGCCGGTGAATTCCATGCGATTCTATCACCCCATCAGTCGGGAGGACCAGGAGCGCATCAAGGCGGTGTGTCCCAAGCTGCGACACATTATCCACAACCGACGATAGAGTCGGGCGGAACAGTGGACACGACACGGGCCAATAGGAAAGCCCTCGATATTTTGTGGAGACAGCTCCGTGATCATAGTACCTGTGCGTTTCCATTGGGCAAATGCATCAGTCCGACTGCAACCAGAGCGCTCGATGAATGTTGGCGCATTCGAGGCCACCCCAGCCCAGGTCAAAGGCCTTGATCAGTAATTCGAATACAGAGCCACGACATAGGACTCGTTTATATTCACATTGCATGGCTGATGTTCACATGGGGAAGTGAAGCTGCTGGCGGAAGGGCCAGTCGAATGCTGCGGGTTGTGGGGGGGGGTCCTCTGGTTCGCAGACGGAGTGATCCGAGAGCGGAGAGGCAGCCCGAGGTCGAACAGTGGCGCGATGCAGGCCAGAGGTCAATGGAGCAGGCATGAAGACATACACACTGAGGTTTGGTGATGGGGACGATGGCTGGAGGGTGGAGCAGAGAATCCGATGGAAATGGCGGTGTTGTTTGTATTATGTATCTCATTTTTGACCAGAACGACAAGCGGGCGTGTAGATCAGTGGAAAGATCGTTGGTCTCCGAAGCCAAAGGTCGCAGGTTCGACCCCTGCCTCGCTCGCTTTGAACTTGCGGAGTTCGAATTGTCTTTTTGCTCCGACACCGAGCCACAGGATCGATTGATGGGGGTCGGTTCTCGCAACGAAAGCGGCCAACCAGTGTGGAGATGGCTGCTGCATTTTGCCGCGGACATGGCCGGATGCAAGAAGATGCAGCGACGGGACTATGTGAAGTTGTGATGGACGAGAGAGACTTGCGGCGGGGGCGAGACAAGAGCCGAACGACAGAGCGCACAGCGAGGCACGATCCAGACCGACATGGAGATCGCGATCGACGTGGGGATCGGGACAGCGGATGCACATCAATGGATCAAGACGACACTGGAAGACGACACTGGAAGACGATATTCAACGACATTCAACGGCAGAAACCGGAGACGGCGAGCATGGCATCCAGAAGGAAAACAACAGAGCACACCGCAGTGGCGATGGGCAGACAGGAGACAGGAGACAGGAGACAGGATATGGGCCAAAAACGAGGAGCAAAAGACAAGCGTCAGAAGCAGGATTCGAACCTGCGCGGGCGAGCCCATTGCATTTCGAGTGCAACTCCTTAACCACTCGGACATCCTGACTTGCGGCAGTTTACTCCATCACAGTACATGACGCCGCACGGACTGTCGATGATGGCAACGAGCGAGTCGGCACTTGCATTTGTTTCCCCACCACAGGATACCCCGCCGCACTGACTGTCGTGCGATGTGGTGCTGTCCTGTGCATCTCATGTGCATCTCATTTGCATCTCATGTGCATCTCATGCATCCTCCGTTCCACGTGTCCAATTACCCCATCTCCCAGCCTGCCACCGAGTGAATCGTTGTAATCAGCCTATCGCCAGCTCGTATTGATTGTTACCCGGTCATACTCCCGATAGCGACGGCAATTCTGCCTCCACTGGAGGCGTCAGTGAGCCCGCAGCGAGCACCTTGGGCATGCTATGTTATAAATGTCACTCAGTATTCAGATCATCGGGCGATCCTTCTCACAAGGATTCTTGATTGATTGCAGTTCAGTAAAAGTACAAAAGGCAGAACGGACGCAAAAACATAGATAGGCCGCCCCGCCACATCGGGGCCTCGAAAATAACATAAAAGATCAAGGTGGGACCACAAATCACAAATCATAACTCAAGATGGAGAGCAACTCAAAATTACAGACATAATCGGAGTGGTCAAACAAGCCCAGTCGCTGGTCATTCTGGGACGGTATGCCCCACTTTGTGCTTCAGAGCGACATTCCGGCAACCAAGTGGGCCTTCGCCTCCAAGACTCTGTGCATCGGCTCGGTACCGAAACACTCAGCTGAGGCATGCTTGATGTAAAGAGGGAGAAGACTCGGATCCAAGCCGTCATCGTCGGGCGAGAAGAGGATGGGTTGATCGCATGTTTCAGGAACTCGGCAAATCGTGGGCGAGCCAGGGACGGGCTGGTCACTTCGGGGGCTCGTATGCAGGCGCAGGGACGGCTATGCTTAGGTTCGCCTGACTGGGTGTCGGCTGAAGTCTCGGCGAGTATGGTGGCAAAGGCTCAGTCCGCTCTGGGCTCGACGACATCTCGCCATCGGGGCCTAGTTCGATGCATATTTCTGCGGCACGGGTGCCATCGGCAAGCATCATCCTGTTCTTCTGGCTGATGTAGGCACATCGTAGGCATCCTATGATCATGGTCACGATGCAAGCGACGATCGCCCACACGTTGAGACCCATGTTCTCTGCAACGAGGCGGAGTGGCGGATCAGCGTTTCGTCAAAGTGCTTGGAATCGTACAGAAGTCACCGGCAATCACGCCGAGGCTGGCGATAGGACAACAACCGATACCCTCTCGTCCAGGGGTGTCACTCGACCCAGCCACCACAGGCGGCTCTCGACGGCGATCTCAGCACAACTCGGCTTGGATGGCAAGCACTTGGTGGATGTTGTGACGAGGCGAGGAGCGAGGAGCAACTCCAAGTGGACATTCCCGAGCCCGCATTCCGCATCCCGACAGGAGAGTGCTTACCAAACTTATCTCGTTTCTCCAGCGAGAGGGCCAGACTGCCAGGAGTTGAACCGAGGGTCGCCAGGAGCACCAGCAGTGCTGTCCCTGATGTGGTGATGGTGAGACGGGCAGGGCTATTTCGCAGAGCCTGGAGCGCGGCTGGGAACGACGAATCTTTGGGAGCCAACATGGAGCCGGCGCTGCATCGACAACCGAGAAACGACCCTCTGGCCAGACGGAGAGCCGTCCTTCAGTTTATAGTCCTGACGAGCGAATGCCCCCCTCGGTAGTGACGGATTCCAGCGCAGAAGCGACGCTCTTGGGCTGCCACTCTGCAATAGTGTGCTCTTGCTGTACTCCTTCACGCGATCCCAGGCTCCAATACTGTCCAATCGCCAGCGACCAGGCCTCTCTCGCCTTTCGTGCTCGCCGGCAAGGCAAACCAGCCATGCGATCAGCAGCAGACAGGAGCAACTGTTGTGGAGAGCGATTGACCCAGCTGCGGAGAGCAGCGATGTGCAGTTGGCCGCAAGTGGTCTGCACTGTCCTGGTGATCTCTGTGGCTGCAACTTTGTCAACCACATCCACGAACGCCGAAGATGTCCTTCCGCCATGGTCGCCGCCCACTTGCCCAAGGACGGTCTGGGGCTGCGGCGGCACTCAAGGCCAGAAATAGCGGGCCAGGAGCGACTGGTCGACCTCCATTGATGCCCGGGCGGCATTCACGGCAACGGCCAGCATCGACGACGGCGAGCAACCCAGCGCAGCGCCGTGCAACATGTCCTTGCGAACACCATGCACTCAGTCCCGAACTTCCGTCAGCCCCGTCGTCTTTGCCGAATGCCGGAGGCTCTCTCATCTGCCCGGGGCGAACTGGCCGCAGGTCCCTTCGGCCACAACAGCGCTTTTTGGATTCGCTCAGCCGCCGGCTCTGATGCGGCCCAGACCAAACCGGACATGCCGTCTCCCGCCGTCCGTCCCATGCAGACGAGGGCGACAGCAGCCCGCCTGCCAGAGCCGCCCGCCGAGCCTCTGCCGTCCTGGGATTTCTCGGGCCGCTGTCGTTGCTTCGATCTGCTGATCTCGCCACTTGCTTCCAACAGATCATCGAACGTTTCTCGCCCACTAGCACCATATGGCCTCCGCATCCATCATCAGCGCCGAGGCCAGCGCACCCTCCCTGATCGTCAAGTTTGGGCTTGAGCTCGTTGGCTTGAGCAACAGCAGCTGCCTCAACTTCTCAGACTCGGTCTCGCCATGGCCCAATGCCGCTGTCGCCTCGTCTCCACACTCGTTCGTCTCTCACCTCAATGCCTATTCGGCTCCGACAAACCACTGCCTGCCACTGTTCGACGAGCCTGGAGGGAACTGGTTTGGTCTCTACTCCGCCAACCAGACGACCATCGTCTTCTCAACATGCCCGGACCCGACGTGCTCGACCAACTGCACGGTGCAGGATGTTGTGTGGATCAACAACGACCACACCTTTTGTGACTACCGAGCAACGGGCGACGACGGCTGGATAAGGTGAGCAGCTGGATCTGTGGGCAGCCCTGCTGGCGCTCCAAAGTACTTGCGATACGATCGTGGATGCTGCCAGGAGGCAGCAGCCGAGAGTTAGGACCCTGGTATTTGCAAGGGTATTGCTTTCTGATTGCCGAATCTGTGTCGATATACTCGGTTTGGCTGACTTTCTGCTTTGTCCTTGACGATGTGTCAGTGGGATCGCAGATGTACTTGGCACATCAACCTTTATCCAAGCCACATGCGCTGGAAACTCGACTCAATCGCCATCGTCACTGTCGTCGCTGCTGGGGCCGCTATCGCATGCTTACACGGCCGAGGATGTTCCGATCTATCCTGCCTGCACCCTGCTCTCGCCTCGCATCCGTGGTATCGGTATCGGTGATGGTGTCGGTGTTGGCGTCGGATCCCAGTCTATATATGCTCTCAGCACCAGGGCGACACTCTCCAGCGACAACGGCTCATTCTCCTGGATATACAGCTTCGGTTGTTTCGATGCCGAATGCAGCGAATGCCATCTGGCTGCCCAGTTTCTGCTGCAGCCAGATGGCTTCGGAAGCGGCCAGGCCCAAGATGAGTGCGGTCCCGATGCTTTTTATCGGCCAGTCGATGTCACAGGCCGGTCCTGGGATCTGCAAAAGGTGCTCTCGGACAGGTTTCCCAACGGCACATGTGTCGTTGATTCAGCTTGCGAGACAACCTCGAGCAATATCAACCCAACGCCAACGGTAATATCCGCATCGTGGTCGTCGATGTTGCCCGAGCCCTCGCTCGCATTGGCTTCGTCGACTGTTGCGCTGTCGATTACCCCAACGGCGCTGTCTGTTACTGGTACCGAATCCAGCCATTACATCCCTGCCTCATCAGAGGCCGAAATGTTCGTCTCGAGTTCACGTCAAACACTCGACCAACTGAGTCTGTCTCATCCAACCGATGCCGCTGTGGGTATCTCCATTCCGACCGACAACCTTCAAGCATCTCCCAGTCCATCGGAGGGCTTGGTATCTACCGGGCCATCCTCGGCTCCCCAAGAGTCGCCCAGCACTCCGCTCTTGGCCGAGACAGCCCGGACGAACAGCTCGTTGTTTGTCGATCTGGATGCCCATGAATCTGACCCTTCCAGTGTCCCCGCGCCTGGGCCGAGTGCTCTTCCCATCGTCGGACTTGGCTCTAGCATCGTCGTGGTAGGAGGTACGACAGACTCGTGAGCCATCGGGGGTACACTATGCGCCGATGCGGTTTCGTCGAAAACTATGTTCGATGCCAATGGGTCATTCCACAGACCCGTTCGATTCAGCATCAAGCCATTTGTGCTTACTGCCATCCACATCCACCAGGGCTTTGCTGCATTGCGGCCATCTACTCGGTTCATCGCTATAGACAGGTCCGATCCTCTTCGACTCGACAGCCACATCAAGATTCCTTCAAACCAGGCTCGCCACCCGCACAGGTCTCGAGGCAAAGCTCCCAGCGGACCTCTCAAAGACCCCCGGCAAAAACTGGGGATCCACGGTTCTCGATCTCGACCCTCTTTTCCAGAGGCTCGAGCGATGGTCATGCATCCAGCCAGAACAGCACCGAAGGGTCAGAAATGCAAGTCGTGGGAAGCAGCGTCGTCAATGATGATGCTCACAATTCAAACTTGGACTTGGCCCTGGACCCGGAGCTTGGCCTGGAATGGGCACTCGAAAATACCAATGGCATGGGCCAACGACGGGGGCTGCGTGACAGAGCCATGTCCATGTTCTCGGCCTACCGCCGGACCAACTCGGTCGACCTTGGCGAGGACTGGGATGACACCGATCTCATCCCTGCTGGCAAAGGGGTTCCACAGCATCCAACCCTCGCCATAGAGAAGAGGGCCCAGCAGGTGAGGCACATCTTGAGAGGTCGTCGGCAGTGAAAGCTGGTTGTGAGAGGCATGTCGTGCACTCCTTCGTTTGCCCGACTGTGCGTAACTCTCCCGTCGACCCAACAGGACGACCGAGCCAGCATCCGATCGTTCAAGACAGTCGACTTGGCGGATTGAAGGCATTCCAGTACAGTCGCACTCACACCGCGAAGTAGGCAGCCCGGGGTTTGCAGCCCATGACAGCTTTCTTTGGTCGCAAATACATTGGTGCTTAGCCGATATCTGCAGGCAGAACTCGTCGGGTGGAGGGATTGACTCTGTTTCATTGGCGGATATGCTATCCAAGCCAATGCTGGTATGGCTCCAATGCACGCAGTATGCCTCATACATCCGCTGCGGCTGCCGTCACGACCCTAAGTACAGACTCGCTGATCTCATCGTTTGGACAAAGTCCCTATACACTCAACACATAAGCAAACGGGTGACCCTCCCTACTCCATATATCGGCGTAATATGAGTGGCTTGCATCCAACAGAGCTATTATTCCATGAAATCGGTCAACTTCGAGTAGAGACCTCGGGTTTTCCTCCGATCTCCACAATCGACCCTGCCATACCATGTCACTTTATGCTGATTTGCTGCTACAGAGTGCGGTTGAGAATGATATCACCTGTGGTTTATGAAAGCATTGGCGCATTATGATTGAGCCCTCCTCCCACCAAGAAATGACAGCGGCAGTCTGTAGTGGGACATAAACATGGACATCGAATGCAAACGAGCACAATCTCGATCGGCACGGGATATGGCGCTGGTGCCCAACACATCAATCGGTGCAGAGCATGGCAATCAGCACAGGATATCTGCCGGGATATCCTTGAAACGATTTTCCTCGTCATTTGAGATGTCATTGTGCCCAACTGCGAGACCATCGAGCGGGGATGGAGCCAGATTTGAAGAATGAGCGAGTGTTCGTGTGTTTCCGCGACCTGGAGAGGCCACAATGGACGTTTTTTCGATCTTTTGGGCCAGCTTGCGCATGGAAGAGTCGATATCTTGGTGGCCGTGATTCTTTCCGACGATCCGCTTCTTCTTTCGAACCTGATTGGCGCTGGCCGGGCGGGCCGGAGACGAGGTAGAGTCACCCGTTCGCTTCTGGCGAGCAGTGAGCGCTGGCTTGCGAGGCTTGAGAGTCTCCGAGGCGCTCGGGTTCAGGCCGGGCGAATCATCGAGGTCGGCGTCGTGGCTTGGGTAGCGGGGGATGTTGGTCCCGCCTGCGACGGTTGTCGAGACATCCCGGGAATCTCGGTCGCCGTAGTACCCGTCGTCGTCAGGATCCTCGTTCGCTGCGAAGGGCTTGGGCTGATCGGCACGGGAGCGAGCGACGTAGACTGGGTCGTCGCTGCCGGTTTGTGAGCCATGGACAGGGCTCTTGGGCTTTTGAACATGGGCTTTGGCCAGCAGTGAGCGCTGGGGCGAGGGACTCTTGCCACGCTTTGGCGATGCATTGAATTGAACTTGCTCTTCAGCTTGCTCACGGTGCTCATGCTGTGCGCTCTGTCGATGCTGCGAGGCCGGGTTTCGCTTTTGCTGACGAACTAAGCCTGCAGACTCGGGCTCGGAAACCTCTGTGGGCTCGGCTTGAGACGCGGACATGGGGCGCCTCTGTCGCTGGATCACCTCGGCGTGGGCTTCGTCCTCGGCATCATAGCCGGCCGCGACCGACTGTTTGGCGAGGTCTCTTGGAGCAGCAGAACGAGCGCTGCTGGCCTTGGCGGCGGAGTGCTTGCGGTCTGAAGGCAGCCGGGTGGGCTTGGGCTGATCGCGCGAGCCGTCCAGATCATCATGTTGGCTCGCAGCGTTGGAGCGGGGTTGAGCCGAGCGACGGTTCAAATTGGAGCCTCTGTCCCGGTCGATGTTCAGGGCTGCGGGCAGATACGCCTGGCGGTTGCGGAGCGATGTTGGGTCGCCGAGCTCAGGATCGTACTTGAGATACGATGGATGTGAGCTGGACACGGGGCTGGCCGACAACATGCTGTGGCCGAGACCCGAGAAAGACTCGATGGGTCCGTCGTGGCTCAAAGTGCCATCGCTGCGCTTGCGATCGTGGTTACCATTGTCGTCATCACCGTCATCGTCGCCATCGTCGCCATCGCTATCGTCACTGTCGTTGTCGGAGGGCTCGCGGGAGGGAGCCTTGGGGTTGGATGTTTCCCAGTATTCTTCTTGGTCGCTCTGAAGGCTTTGCGCACGTCGAGCGGGGTGATGAACGAGAGCGAGTCGGGTGCGAAACTGGTTGAGATTTGGTCACTCAGCACGCGAATGTAAATCACGCGGATAGGACGAGGGAGGCAGGGGAAGAGAGGGGTGAGAGAAAGAGCGAGTGTCAAGGGAGGTGCCTCCAGAGCAGTCCATGGTGGGGGGGGGCATGCATCGATGGTTCATGGATGCATCTGCGTACCTGCCGGCGTTCGCGTAGCGACCCTTCTTGAAATCCTTCTTGCCCATATCTGCGGGGGGAGGAGTCCGATGTGGCGAGATGTGCGGCTGCAGGGAAGATCCAGGGGAAGCCGACAAGGACGAGGGGTCGCGCGAGTCCGGCAGGCAAGGCGGCCGTGCGCAGCGGCACGCGCTTGTGCGCAGCCGTTCTGTGCGGGACTTCCAGAACCCCGCGCCACGGAACCGCCTGGCTGCCCGCGTGACCGCCCATGTGACCGCATCGCCTCGGCTGTGTCTCGGCTGTATCTCGGCTGTGTCTCGCCACACAGCCACTGTGCTCTCGCTGCTGTCGCTGCCCTCGCCCGTGTCCTCGCTCCCTCCAACGCCACACGCCCCTCGACCACCAGCTTTTCAATCCAACCAACCCACCATCCCATCTCTTCCCGGCCCCCCCTCGTCCTGTCTCATCTCATCTCCCATCCCACAGAGCTCCTTGCCCTTGGCTAGTCCCGCTCTCGCCTACCCTTGCAACACTGTGCACCCCCCCGTATCGACAATGGACGAAGAGGTGTTTGATCTCTACGGCGAAGAAGAGGAGGAGTACCACAAAATCAAGAGCGAATCCCCTGGCCACGATTTTGTAAGTCGTCCCTTGGCCACCTCCTGATTTGCCATGTCTCCTGCGTCGTTCTGTCGGGAATCAGCTGGGCCTCCCGGTACTCTTCTCGCCGGCTGTCTCTGCTGTGTCGCCCGACGGTGCCGCTTGGGCAGCCCTGTTCTCCTTGTGCGCTTTCCCCCTTGCCTTTCGCTGAATATGCAGTCAATACCCAACGACCGCTGCCATCACGTCGTCTTGTTGCCCGGCCTTGAGTCCGTTGGATCGCTCCTGGCTTGGACGTGCTCGATCCATAGTGGCCATCGCCACTGAATTCCAGCCAGGCCATATCGACATGACTGTGTTGTTAGATACCGAGTGGCTCCGATTCGCCAAGCATCGTGCCTCCGGTCTGGCTGATGAGATAAAGACGAGGCAATCCACTCTGCTGTTGTAGCTCCATGCCTCCACGCATGGAGAGGTAATACTCAGCCACCGACTGCATACCCAATCGACTCGATCCTCAGCATGGTCGCAGCGACTGAGGCAGCGGCGTTTCCAAGATCGTCGCATATCTCGACTGCCATCGCCGCACAGCAGGCCCGGAAAGAGGAACCTGTGAGATCATACATCTTCCAAGCCGTTGGGACTTATTCAGGACTAGCCCAAGACTTGCTCGACTGGCTCGAGCAGCGGCTATGGTCCACAGTGGCAGGCTTGTGGCTTGGCTCCCCAAGATGGGCTCGATATCTTTGACCTGTCAAACGTGTTTCAGATATGCTTTGGATGTGGCTTGTGGCTCGACTGGATAGTCCGCGGAGATGACAGGATCTTGAGTCCAGGCGGCTGTCACCCAAGTGCCAAACCTGCCCTCGACGCCATTGGCCGCACATTCCTCTGCTGAATGCACCCGTCCCAGCTCCGCCTACCTCCTCGAGATTGCAAACAGGATCAATGATTTCGCTCGTCCGTACAACCCGCATTTCTCACATGTCACTTCGTACTCCCATCCTTGCCGAACCTGGCCGGACTCGGGGGCTTCATGTTGGCCTTGACCTTTGTACTGTGGCCTCCCCCGACGGTTTGTTGACCTCTCTCATCCATCGCTTCCCTGGTGGCTCGACTATGTCTTTGGTGCTTGGTTGTTTGTACGCACGGCGCCGTCACTTTCTGGCTGGCTTGCTTCCTTTGTGCTTGTTGTGCGGTATCTCATGTGCTGCATCGACTGTGCCATTATATGCTCTCTGGATGTCTTGTAACGCTGGGTGGTCTTTATTCCTTCGTTTGTTGCTGGGTGTTTGCTTTCTGGTGTGTGTCCGTCCGTCTGTCCGTCTGTCCGCCTGTTGACCTATTGATGTCTGCCAATGACACCGGCCTGTTCGTTGTGAATCCACTCGCTCCCCCCCCTCTCTTGTCGTTTGTTACTCATGTACTTCTAACGCGACTCTCCTTCCTTCCTTCTTCGCTCCACTCTCGTCCCTCCGACCAACGGGTGCATGTACGAATCCGCGTAACAAATCAATAATATATCGCGCCAATAACCCGATTCACGCTCTGGCTCCTGGACCGTCACCCATTCCCATTGCTTTCTATCCTCCCTCCCAACCTCTACTCCTCCCTCCTTCCAACACCAAAGTCGTCGAATCTCAACCAGACCAACTTGCAGCCCGAAGCCTCCGAGCCAGCATCCGATAAGGATGTACCGAAAGCCCAAACTCGGAACGAATCTGAAACCCCAAAAGATCAAGGTAAGCAGCTGGCTCTGCTTTGGCCCTTGAAGATTATTCTTTCTTCAGCAGGGTCTGCCAAGGATTGTACACGCCTCCGTCGCTGATACCGCCGAGATCACGATCCGACCATGCGAATGTCCGGTCATAGGCCACCCGATCGAATCGACCCAGTCCTCGGCTGAGCGGAAGCGCGGCAAGCCCGATGTCTCGGGCTCATCTTCCAACAAGCCTGGCGTGTCCCAGGGAACCAGTGGTTCAAGCAACTCTCGCTCAAGCTACCAGCGCGCCTTATACGTCTCGGAGCTTGCGTGGGTAAGGACGTTCGCGGTGGCCGGTCGAAGCAAGTGCTGTCTCATTTTGCCTCGGTTTGATATTTGTCTGGCCCGGGCCCTTGACGACTTTGACGGGGCTCAAGTGCTTGCAACGGACGCTTGGACGTTATCGTGAGCTCCTCCCCACCCCCAACAGCAATCGACGACGCAGTGCAATGTCGCACAGGGCCGTGCGATGCTGTGGGTTCCGTGGCAGTCGCGGCATGTATGCGATTGCGGACTACCACTCAGGCTTTTGTTCTCCGTGCGCAACCCGCCGTTCCGCTGTCAGTGGACGACGGATCAGGATATGAAGGGCGTCGTGAGCGAAGCCGGTCTGTCCGACGATCTTGTGTCGAAGGAGATCCTGTTCTACGAGCACAAAGCCAACGGCAAGTCCCGCGGAATCGCCTATCTGGAGTTCAAGACCCATCAGGCCGCGGCCGGGTTCAAGTCCTTTGTGGAGCAGCGGTAGGCCATTCTTTTTTATTGCCCTTTGCTCAATGTGAACGTCCAGAGGCGATAGCACACAGCCTACGAAGCTTCAGGCAGTCGCCACGACGCTGCACCAGCGACGGAAGGTGCTGAAGCGAACGAGCTAATGACGTCCCACTGAATTGCACTCTGCTCGATTGAACCGTGTACGATCGCACCTCTGTTGCTGAAATTGCTTGGACACTGTGCTTGCGGTGAGCAGCCAGATCCACGGAAAGAAGGCCAGCGTCAAGTTTGTAGACACCTTCAAGGGATACCCCTTCCGCTTGCTGGCCAAAAATGAACAGCACCAAGCCAACAAGGAAAGCTCCGGCAGCGGCGGCCACAACTACGGCCACCACAACCAGCCCTACCAGAATCAAGCCGGCGCCGGCAACATGATGGGCATGGGCCACACCGGGGCCTACGGAGGATTCTCCCGCGGCAGCAACAGCGGCGGCAACAGCGGCGGATATGGGCCTATGGGCTACAATCGCACCGGTGGCAACAACGCAGGCGGGGCCATGATGGCCATGATGAACCCCGCCCTGATGATGGGTGCGACGACCATGGGGGTCGGCATGGGCGGAATCGGGATGAGCCCAGCCGGACCAGGCATGATGATGATGAGTGGCGGCATGGGCGCTGCTGGCCCGGCCATCAACCCGGAAATGATGCCGATGCTATACGGCGCCGGCGGCAGCGGTGCCGGATACGGGATGAACAGCAGCTACGGGTCGGCCGACAGGCGATCCAACGGCGGCGGACCTGTTCGGTTCGGACAGCACACCGACGGACAGCATTCTGGCGGCAACCGGTACGGGGGCCCGTACATGCGCTACTGAAGCCGTCTCCCGGCTGCCGCGAGCTCTCGATTCCTCGTTCACGAATGATGCCCCTGCGTTGCGGCCGCGATGTTGCCGATACCAAGCCACCTGCAAGCTGTTTCGTCTTGGCGCGCACCAACCATGCAAGTCTGTTGTGCCAATCTCGCCACTCAACCTTGTAGCTCAAGCGGCGGGATTTGTGCACTGAACCACGAATATGCCGCCATAACAGAAAGATGAGCAGCCTCGATCTGGGACAGCCCATGTTTCTCCTCACCAGCGGACCGCGAGATCTTGAGCATCCAGCAGACGCAAGTAGATTCGTGCGGCAAGGTGGACGCAAGCGATTTTGCACAACGGACCGGACGAAAGAAAGAAGCAGCACAACCGCAAGGCACCAGAATGCGAGGTTGCTCCAAGCACAATACATCCCACGACTATGAAGCCAAGCGAACAACAAGCGCCCACCCGACGAAACGGGCCGCTCTGTTTTCCCGAGGACGATTGCGACCTTTTCTTTTTATTGTTTTTATTGCTTTTGTTTTTTGCTAACACTGGACTTGCCAATACACGCAGCGCCCTCAGAACGAAGCGAGTCTCGGGCTGTTTCGATTTCGGGTGGGCTGTCGAAGCCAGCCGTGGGAGACAAATGAAACCAGCCACGGCACGCCACTCTGGTGACACAGCCTCGAGTTGGCCCTTTGCCGAGCCGGGCGGGTTCGCGCAAGGCCGAGGCAGCAAGGCGCAAATGCTGACAAGTCTGCAAAAGACAAGCCCGTCTTGCTCGCGGTCTGTCCATTCGACCTGCACACGGGGATGTACAGGCTCTGCATCTTGTATCAACAGCGCGGGCTGTGCGGGCATGCTTCTCTGGCACTGTCGCTGTGGCTGCGAGGACAAGATCGGCAGAGGATCCGTTACAGCGGGCAGGTCGAATAATGGGGGACAGCACCAGACAGCACCAGACAGCACCAGACAGCACCAGACAGCACTGGACAGCACCAGACAGCACTGGACAGCACTGGACAGCACCGGACAACGTCAATGGATTCATATCCGTAGGTGTCCGTTCCGTTGTACCTCATCAGTCAACTTCAACTCCATCGCAACAGTACCAGCGTCGATCGACATCATTTCAACGCACCAAAGCCACACAAGCAATCCGTGTGCTCGAGTCTGCGGTTCGGCGACACTTCACCGCGCCTGTCGGTGTTCACCCACAGCTGACCGCGGACATGTGCTCGCTGTGCTCGTTTGTTCAACACCGTCGACACCGCCATCCTCGACCATTCCATCTATCGTCCCATCTATCATCCCATATATCATCCCATCTATCACCCATCATCTATCATCACATCCATCCCATCTATCGCCCATCTATCATCCATTCCAGCAACACCGCCCACAGCCCCCTCCCACAAGGCCAGCCGCGACCCGCCCCTCCCTTGTTTGTCGCGCAGCACCGCCGCCACCCGCTTTTCTGTCGTGGTCGGCCACGCCCTGGCTGCTGTCCAGCCTTTATATTCGCTGCCGCTCGTCGTCCTCGCCTTCCTCCTGTCTCCGTCTTGGTCTCCGTCTTGGTCTCCGTCTTGGTCTCCGTCTCGGCCTCTCTCTCGGCCTCTCCCGTGCTCGTCGTCTTGGTCACGGTTACCGCACCACCCTCTCCCTCTCTGTCTGCCCGTCTGTCTGCCTAACCATGGGCCGCCAAACGGACCGAAGACGCATCTGCGCCTTCTTCTTCTTCGTGAAGACCTTCCTGGCCCTGCTCATTGCCATGGCCGCCATTGCCTTCTGTGCCTACAGGATATACGTCCTGCACGGCATCGAGCTCAAAAAGTGGGACAAAGGCATCCTCGACAACCTGCCCAACGCCTCTGCCTGCTATGCACCCATCCCCGGCGTGGCCACTCAGACCTTTTCCACTGGCAACTTCAACATCAGCAGCAAGAACCGCCTCGAGCCCCCCAACGGCAAGTTTATCTTTGGCTTCCATCTCGACTGGTCCAAGGACTTGCCCGTCAACATCTCCACCCGTGTTGGCCACAACCCGGCCCTCATCAACGCCTTCATCAACATCACCGGCACCGACTTCCAGCAGAGCATGGTTGAGTTCCACGTTCAGCAGGTTGCTTTGATCGGCGGCATGCTTGAGCTGACAGTTGTCGGCAACTGCCAGCTGGGCGACCTGCTTGCCAACAACGGTGCCATCCTCTCGACCTTCGCCACCTTCCTGCGGAACATGAACTCCAAATACAACGTTCCTATCCTCGTGCGTTTCCTCCACGAGATGAATGGTATGCTTTGCTTTCTGGTCTCGCCAGCCCGTCACCCACTTTGACCTCCATTTGCTTCGTTCGGCCCCCTGGCATCGTCACCCCGCCCGTGTCTCCCCTCCCCCAATCGTCCTGTTTCTCTCTCCTTGCCGATCTTCCTCCTGCTTGCAATAATGCACATCCTCCTCCTCCTCGCCAACTCTTGTCACGTTCGCCTCCTGCCTGGTCCGATCTCACCTGTCGCTGAACAGCCTTTGAGACTCACCCGTCCTCCCTCGCCAAACACAGGCAATTGGTTCTACTATGGCCAGCATCCGACCGACTACGTCAAGACCTTCCGGACTTTTGCCAACTATCTTCACGCCGTCACCAACATGACTGGTAAGGCACCCTACCACTCTCTCACAACTATTGCTTGCCACGCTGCTTGCTGGTCCATGTGGTTTCTTTGCCTAATCCTCTGTCTCGCTCCCTTTCCTCCAGCTCTCATGTGGTCCCCCAACCCCGGCGGTTCCTACCCCTGGGGCGCCAACATCACCCCTCAGAACAACCCCGACTTCAAACTCCTTGATAGCAACGGCGATGGCGTCATCACCGAATTGGATGATCCTTATGGCCCTTACTGGCCTGGCTCGGACTACGTCGACTGGGTCGGTCTGTCGCTGTATACCTACGACGTCGACACCTCGGGCCAAACAATCGTCCAGAACTCGAGCTACCTCCTCCACCACGTCAGCGGCCTGAACTGGGGCGGACCCCGTCCCTACCTGGACTTTTATGGACGCTTCTCCAACACCTACGGCAAGCCCTTCGGCTTTGGCGAGTCTGGCGCCTACATCATTCTCGAAGAGCCCGATGTCGGTCGTGAGCTCGCTGTCAAGCAGGGCTGGTGGCGAGCCATCTTCCAGGTCTCGACCATTGCTGGCATGCAGGCCACCTACCCCAACTTCAAGCTGATCGACTACTTTGAGGAGGTCAAGATCGAAAATGATTTTGCCAACCTGACCAAGATCGTCACCAAGGACTTTACCGTTACCGAAAAGGACTCGATCCGCATCCCGCTGCAGAGCGATCTGCAGCAAACCCAGGGCCTCCTTTGGGCCGACAGTCAGCAAAAGAACCTCACCTTCAATTGCGACGGCACAATCTCTTTTACCGGTCCCAATGCTTAACCTCCACCTGCATTTGGCGCCGGGGGCCCCTCTTTTGTCTCTCTTTTCTTTACCTCCCCGTTCCCATTTCCGTTTCCGATCCCTTTCGTGGGTTGCGCAGGGAGGCAACGGGCACGTCCCTTCTTGTACCTCCCCCACCTCCATCCGTACATGCTCTGACCTGTATTGATTTGAGCAAATAGACAACGTATATCTCATGATCTCCATTCGGACTGATGCGCGCTGTCGCTGCATCAACTCGGCTGGCTCGCTGGCTGACCCGGGTGGTTGGTGGTCTGCCAGGAAGGCGTCAATCCTGCACTCGCTTTGCCTCGTCCTGATGCGTGTCATGAGTGCTGCTCAGATTATCCCCCACGCCGAGTAACAGAGGTGCTGGATTTCTTGATGGTGATAGCCGAGAGAATCGGGTTGTCTGAGGCACTCGAGGATATCCTTGATGGCCTGCGCCTGCCGCACGGCAATCCTGGGGCAGTCCATGGAGAGACAGGGGGGGGGCAGCACGGAGGCAGCACATTAGAAATGTGGACCAAGGCATTCACCAGCTCGCTCGTTGGCATTTGTTCCAAGCGTCTGCGGTCAAACTTACTTCATGTTTGTGCTCTGGATCCAGTCTATGAACTTGGTGTTCTTCTCCACCAAGGAGCGTTCCAGCAGCGACTCGACTTCCCCGTGGCGGTTCTGGACCTGGATATCCCTCTGTACCTCAGCCAGGTACGAGATCAGGTCAGCCGGAAAGGCGTGCTTCAGGTTCACGCAGATCAGGTACCTGTCATCATCGTTGTTGAGGCGGCGGCGGGAGCGAGTCCAAACCCACTCACAAGGATCAGTAACGGATGTCTCTGCTACTGCATGTGTCGGGAGTCATCGCTGGCTCAGAGCAAGTGTTTTGTCCTTCTCTTGCCACACTGCAGCAAAACGGACGGTCTTTGGTTCGCACAACCTATGGCTCGCACAACCTATGGCATATAGGCCTCCATGTCTCTTTGCTGTGACACCGCCTTCTCGGCCACATTCAGCCGACTGCCATTATGCTCACTCAACCATTCCTACCTCTCTGACCCATCCGGGGTGCCAGCGGTCGGCTTGACAATGGTGATTTTTTCGAATGCTTGGTGCAGTATGAAGATCAGATCGCATGTGAAAGGCAAGAAGGCATTGTAGATCTTGCAGACAAATGTGCCGCCTGGATGTGCAGAGACCAGGAGGTAGATGAAGTGGAGTGGGGTGGAGTGGAGGATAGGGCACCAGGTTCGCATCGTGTTCATGAGCATGTCACGACACAACGCACAGACACAGCCGCCGGTTTGACCGCAACCGAGGTGAGTCAGTCCAGACGGATTGCAGATGATGGAGCAACAAGAGGCGTGCGTTGCCAGTTATGGGACTGATTGGGTGCTTTAGAGAAATGTCGAGCCAACGAACAAGTATGCGCCGAGGGGCACATCAATGCCGGCAATCTCACCTTCGCGCAAGATGCGAAACATTGCAAGGACACGGCTCAGGAGCGGCAACTTGATTCGGTCTTCGCTCGACATGTTGCTCCTGACATGGTCCTCCTACGCAGCGTGCTTTGACTGAGTCCATGCCAACAAGGCCGCAAGGCAGCGAGCCACCATTGCTTGACAGGCAGCGTCTCGGTCTCGTCAAAGTACATCCACCAACGAGGCCGACCAGGCGTTCCAAAATCACGCTCATCATAGCGCTCGCATACGAAGGCAACGGTACGTAGTAATACACACCCGGTCCGAGACGACAAGATCGATCGGCTGCTCGTGTGGATTGATGAGCTGTACGAGACTTTCGATGTTTTCATAGCTCAGACAGCTTCCTGGTTGGTGAGGAGAGCGGCGGTCAGCATTGCCAACAGCCCCTCGTCCTACGTGGGAATCATATCGGAGCCAGGGGATGCGCACCACTGCCAGGGATGACTCGCACAACGCCTCTCATTTTGCCCTTCAGTTGTCCGGGCGAGTGTGATTTGTCCTCTGGATGTGAGCTGGTTACCTGAGCGATCGGCGCCTTGACACAGCGTCAGATTCAGAGAATCGAGCGATCCCAGATACCTAAGCGCCTCGGATTCTTTCGCGACATTGCTCGTCATTTTCCAACCATGGACTGATCCATTTCGTCGTCTCTGCTCCCACAGGATGTATTCTGGATCAAACCGAGATAGACAAATGCGAGTGAGTTGACTGGAAATGATCGGAGGTCCGTCACAGCCGTCAGGGTGCTGGCCCAGACACAGCTAAGCAGAGTTGAATCGAAATCGTGGCTACCTGTGAATCCGCCGTAGTCGGCGCTGAGATCCACAAATCGGAACGGGTGCGACTGGATCGATTGGGCAAATTGGAGCAGTTAGTGACTTCTTAGTTGCGCAGGTCTCCCAAGTATCGTGGTGCGGAGGTGGGCGGAGGGACATGATCGACGAATGGTGCTGCCTCAACGGTGCTATCTAAACGGCGATAAGATTCGATCTGGGGCCAAGATACGGCAGCCCAGGCGATGGATGTCATTTGCATCTATCTATTCGAAACGCCCATCCAGCCAGTACAACCCCATCAATGATTGATATGTACCTTCGCATGTAGCACATCGGCGAGGTAGTTCAGATTGGCCAAAACTACGGCACCTGGGTGCCAGAATCTCGATTTGGACCCGAGGACATATGGGCTGGCCTTGCGGCGAGCATCCACGAGTCGTGCTTGATTATGAACGTGGCCCAGCTTGCTCTAGAGCCCAGGAGTGGGTCGATGATGAGAAGGGGAGGAAATGAGAGGGGGGATGAGAAGGGGAGAACACGAGAGCATCCTTCTGTAATAGCAACATCAGCATCAGCATCAGCATCAGCGCCAGCTGCCGACCTTCTCATCCAAAAGCTGCTGGACAACATCTGCATCGCAAAAGAGATCGTAGTTGGGAGCTTGGATCTGGATGCAGCAACGATTCCGAGAGCAGATCAATTAGCAGTTGATTTGCAGTTGGTATCGGCGACTGAGCCCGGCCATTCGCCGCAAGCTCATAACTACGATGTCCGCGTGGGTGCAGCTCTGCGACACATTGCAGTTGCAGCGTTGCGGGCATCTCCCGTCGCCACCAACCTTTTCAACGAAGACCTTGGCATATCCGTGACCATCCAAAGCGAGGCCCTGGCCGCCAAGGATCCATCCAAGGTTCTTGTTGAGATACTGCTCGCGATCATAGGCGCGAAAGAGTGGTCGCGGCGCTGGGTCGCTGTACTTTCGCTCCTGATATGCGTCTTGGTAGGATGCGTCAGGGTAGCGGCGGTCATGGCCCGATGGCAAGTTACCGGGGTAGGACGATCGGTCGTAGTCTCGATTACGGTCGCGATCCTGGTCTCGATTCCTATCTCGATTCCTGTCTCGATCGCGATCCCAACCTCTGTCCCGGTCTTGGTCTCGGTCTCGGTCTCGATCTTGGCGGTCTCGACCAGGGTTGCGGGATGTGGAATACGGGGCATATCGATTGTTGCTTGACAGATGTGAGGGAGGCCCATTCAGCCTGGACAACGGAGCGGGGAGAGGCGAATCCAACAGGGTCGCATGATACTGATCGTTGCTTGAGTACGGATCGACGAGCGGGTATTTGGACATGGCGCTGGAGGGACTGCTGCTGATCTGGACCACAAAGTCGGCAGGCCGATGATTCGGAGGACAGCGAACAGAGCTTGGCCGATGGAGATGGCACGGCGGATCTGAGACAGCTTCAGCCCAAGGCCAATCTTTGGGCAATCAGGCGGGAACTGCGGGGAGCCCTGTGCAATACGGCAGGGCGAGATGCGGGGCAAGGCGGGGGGGGGCATAATGCAGGACGATTTGGGTCAAGCCATTTCGGCTGGCGACCCCAAACGGCACAGCCGGCCCTTGGATCGTGGGGACATCACAGCCATACATACCATGAGCAACTTGTTGCGTCTCTGCGCCATCTATCCACTACAGAGACAATCGCATCCGCCGTTCTGGCAGACACCACACCGGCCATTCTGTAGACTCGCGGCGGGGAGTTGCCGGTCAGAGGGCCGACAGATGCCCCATGAGAGAATCGCAAATGGCCTCTCAATCACACATACGTCATCGACAATGGATCACCCACAAACAATGCCTATCTTTTGGTGGCCCTTCGCTTTGGAGGTGTCGTAACAGTTCATCTCTGGCGGGCGACGGCCAAACCTTGGGTCCAAAGCTGCTTCAACACCAACGAACCCAGCGCAGAAGAACTGGAGCCTGCTCTCAGCCAAGTGAACGAAACGAAGCGCTGCGATAAGCTCTGCTGCTCGACCAGGAACAAACCCCGAGTCTGCACCATCACCAACACCAACACCACAGCCATAGCTGAAGGCCAGAAACGTCCTTCCACAAGCGGCGTATCTCATCCGGACTGCCGTTCTCCGCGAGAGCATCGAGCATATCGACTCTATCGGGACCCGCGCGAGACCGCCACCACCACCAAGAGTCGTATCGACACGCCCGCAGTTGCCAGCGGCGGCATCGTCTGTTGAATCCGGCGCAATGTCGAGCTCGCCCTACACATCGTACTTGCGATGCGACCTCTGCCACAGCATTGACCTGGCGTGGTCCGAGAACACAACTTCGCCGCGCAAGACCCGGAGCAAACACAGGGACATCATGATTCCCTGCCAGCGCTGCCGCGGCGAGTACTGCTCTAACGCATGCCTCGAGCAGCACCGCTCCACAGACGAGTGCTTCGAATATGACGTCAACATCGATCGGTTCTTGGACAGCATCAAATACATTGGCTTCGAGAGCATTCAGTCCCGCAATGACCAGGTTCAGTGGCAGGCGTACAACAAGATTGCCCAGTTGGAGCAGCAGCTCTTTTTACTCATCACAGGCATGTCCCACTACGAAGTCAAAACCTTCAAGAACCTGTTTCCCACGGGCACTGGGTGCTTTGACGAAGAAGGCACGCAGCTCCATCGATTCAAGGACTACCGGGTCCGGTCTCTGACGGCGACCGAGTTTCAGAGCCACCCGACCTGGTGCGGCTGGTCGGTCACCATCGAGCGGGTTCTCAAACGAGAGGTCGTCCGGGAGTTTCTGATCCGCAAGTGGACTTCACCCAGCTACTTTATCCCAGACTGCCAGCACTATGGGCCCCAAGCTCTGCCCGGTGACTCGGAGATGCTTCCAACGCTCTCGGTCCTGGTCGAGGAGGCCATCAACCAACCCCACAGCATCGACCAGATCATCGATCTCGCACTGCTCTTTGTCGAGCGTGCCAATCGCCGCATCTCCAGCCGTGAAACGGCTCAGCAATGTCTGTCGGTGGGCCTCGATGGCTTTCTGGCCCACGATTTTGGAAACGCGCGACTCTACCTGATCACGGCCGTCATTATCGAGCTCACCTGCAACATGGGGGCCGAGAAGTTCTTTCAGCTGATGGCGATGGCCCAGTGCCGCACCAACTTTGGCGCCCGGACGCCCTGGGGAACCAAGACCATCAACCTGGACATTGAGGAGCTCCAGATGATTGCCCGCATCGATTCGCTCTTCCACTTCATCAACCATCTCTCGTGCGAGTACCGACTCCTGGAAGAGTACCGAAAGCGCATCACCTGGTGCGAATGCCTGCAGATCGAAGATCCGCTTTCGCCCAAATACGACCCCAACCGCTCGGCCGCATCGGATGACATCGGGCTCTCTGAGCTGCCGCGCTACTACAGTACAGAGTGCTTGGTATGCCAATGCTCGGCCCTGAAATTGATCGAATGCCCTGGCTGCCGCTGCGTGGGGTACTGCTCCAAGGCGTGCCAGGATCGGCACTGGCCCGTGCATGAACAATACTGTGGTCGACAGCCCCACTGGTGGGGCCGCTCGCTTGTCGGCATTGACATGCCACGAATTTCGCTTCGAACGATCGGCCATCTGGATGTCCCTGGAGATGCAGAGCACGGACCAATGATGCTAAGAAGATCCACGTCTCAGGTCGATGACCAAGAGCGTTCCTTGGACTCACGTCGCAGCGACAGCTGCGACTACACAGCCACGGACCAAGTCCAGTTGATCGTCACAGTGCCCGCCCAAATCAGCGATGCGCCCCAGAATCCAGATGGAAAAGAAAGTGCTTATGGCGTGGATGTATCCATCCAGGATGTGAGCTGAAAACAGCGGAAGCCGCATCAATGAAACTGGAGGCAAGGTCCGAAGGATATGGCCCTTCTGAACAGGACCGCGAGTCAAGTATCGATTCCACCGAAAGTGACAAGCAGGTGCAGAGCGAGTCTGGCCACAGCGACACAGGGCTAGATAGCATTCTGTCGGTCTCGGCCTGTATCCCACCGGCCCATGAGCAAGCGCATGGCCAAGACAGTAAGTCGCGTAACCAGCCAAGCAGCGACATGAGCCAATCGGCCCTGGATTTGGAGGCCGACCGCGAGGAGGTGATGGATTTGTAGGCGAAGCACCTGTTGCCGCTCTCGGATGAGTCCGGGTGTCTCTGGAGAGGGATATTCCAATACAATATGTTTGCATGCAAACACCAAAGCACAACCCGAGCATGGCGTGTGTGTGTGTGCTCCGCAATCCAGAAATCGGCTGCGATCGTGTTGCATTCGGGCTGGCATCGATCGACTTGATCTCACCATCCGGACGTCGTCTTCGATCTTCGCCCACAAACAAACCGCCATGGACCACCGCACATCCATTCAGGCCACTGCGGAGAGTCTCAAGCACCTGGACCTCGCCGAGCTGTGCGCCGATGTTTCTTATTTCAAACGTAATATCGCCTGCGCCGTCGCCAAGAGCTTCGTTAGAAATGTTGCAGTGTCGGTGCCCCACGCACACCTTATCGGCATCCGAGTTGCCGCATCTGGATATCACTAACATCTGCACACTCTGTGAACTTGTCCTTCCAGGTGTTCTCAAGGTTTGTCGCTCGCCGCCGTGCGCATTCTCGCTCTCATCCCTGCTCCTCAACCTCGTCCGCAGCCAACAGGATCGTTTCGGACTGCCCCCCCCCCTTGCATCCAGGATCTCCGCAGGATCGATGACAATATCATCAACAGCCTGAATTCACTGACTTCGCGATCGTCGAATGTCGCCGAGGTCAGTCCTGAGCCAATGGCCTGCCCTCCCTCGACTTTCATCGTCGGACCCGCCGGTGGTGCCCATATGGCCCTCAGTGCTCAACAGTGTTGCATTGCAGTCTTGCAGCCAAATCCACAGCGTTCTCGTTGAGGCATATCAGCAAAGATCCAGGTACGTCACCAGCACGTCGGAGCTGGCAGTCAAAGACAAAGTTACTTCCGTTCAGCCCTCGATTCATATGGTTTTGCTCGCTGACACATTGCCCAACGATGCTGCACCCTGGACCTGCAATCGGATCCAGTCTCATCACCAAATGCCATTCACTGAGCCAGGAGGCGACAGGTCCGTTGCCTCTCTGTCAATCGCATCTTGGAGCAAGACCAACCATTCCTACGGCGCATTCTTCCGAGACACTCTAAAGCAGCTCGTGGTCTGCACAAGTTCACTGATATTTGCCTTGCCCACCCCTATCCCAGCCCAAAGAAGCCAATACGCTGCTGAACACCCGAGCGACAAGCACGCACAGGATGCGTATCGCCTGGCCAAGACCAATGTAGGAAACAGCTACCTTGCATGCCACACCCAGTCACAACTGTCTGCTCTCGTGGTCCGTTCAATCGATGCACTGGAGTAACCATCGATTTCTAACAGGAGCAGCACATCAAGTACGAACTCAACGTTGAGGAGATTGTCCGAGACCGAACCGCGGACGTTTTCAAAACTCGCTGCCGATCGAGCATCAAAATCCCGCTGATCAATGCTTGATCGCGCCGCTTTCTTAAACGCGGCATCGACGACCAGCTATCACTGCTTCTGTGTCTGTGGAATGCCTGACGCACAAGAGCTGCCTTCCGCAACATAGTTGGCAACATGGGTTTCGAACATCACGACATGGCGAATGCAGCGGCAACCGTACCGCGATCACGGATGTCAGCTGCGAGAAGTTGACATCGCACCTTGAACGCTGTTCCTGACAGCCGACCGACCACGGCATCTGGACAAACTTGTTGACCGCAGCATATACACTGCAAGCGGGATCACTCGCTTTGCGGTCGCTGGCCACCTTCTGGACCCTGAATACACATTTATCGCCCTCAATGATCACCCGCTGCTTGAACGTAGGACACGTGGTGAGTCCTCGGGTCTGTCATCTGAGGTCTACTCGCTATTAGAAGCGATTTCGGCAGCACCGCCAAAGCCAGTGGATGTGGTTTGGCACCACTCCAGCATCGTGGCACCATTATTTATGAAGATTGGCTGGTGGGCATCATGCCACGGGCGTAGTGTCCAGGATGAAGCTTCCGAAGACGACGGAGTACAACAGCGATGGCGATAGCAAGTCAGTCAACAGCTACAGATTAGTCCGCTGTAGTCGACTCTGCACGCCTTCGAGAAGTTGATGGCTACATAACAACAGCGTGTTTCGGGTGTGCCATGCTCCAAGAGATACTTTGGTCGGTGCCGCCACGATCCCACAGTCTCGAGCAGCCGGGGTTCATGTGGCGGTCATGGGTTGGCAACACAGTCGGATGCCCGGTGAAGTGGTGCTGGATTCGGGGTCTAGTCCAGCTTATCCAAGAGATCCTCCTCGGTTTTTTCTTTTTCCAGTGCCCCAACAGAGGCAGACCGCTCAGGAATGCGGGCTCGAGAAGCCGAAACGGAATCCGGCGTGGGCGACAAAGCCAACGGCAGTTGACGAGATGATGGCGTATCGCGCGGAGGCGTTGGTGGCTTCACACTCATGGACTTCCAAGCGTCAATCAACTGCTGCTCGCTCTCAGCCAGCGTCGCATTCAGTCGCTGAAATAGGCAGTGTACCTGCACGTTAGAGACGGCAGTCTCGTGCGGGCCATGCAGCTGGGTTGCCGTGCAGGTTGGGATCAAGGCAGAGTCAAGCTCGAGCTCGAGCTCGAGCTCGAGGTGAATGAAGCAGGGCCAGGGCTGTCGCCATCGTACCTGGAGGTCTTTGAATTCTGTTTCGACAACTTTGCGGTATATTCCGATCGATTCTTGAGACTGCTGCTTCAATTCGTTGTACGATCGCTCTTCGAGGGAGCTTGATGCAACAGCCGCCGAAGCCCCCCCCCCCGATTAGATTCACATCCCGTCCATGCGGTAGTATCCGACGCATGTGTGGGTCGATAAACCCCTCCAAGCTGCGCTGGCGGACAAGGCATACCTGCCGTAGCCTGGGAGAGCCGACAGACACTCCCGATAGCGCTGGTCTGAGCTCTCGACCATATTGAGGATCTTGCTCGGGATCTTCTCAAATGGACCGCTGTTTAGATCGAAGCAGATCGACGGTGTAAACGTGTCAGTCGCGATTGCACAGCCATGTCTGTCTATCGTGCATGCACCGGCTGCTATCAGGCCGGATGTGTCGCGCCTGTGACTCCTGGGTATGGATTTGTGTTGTCGACCTCCGATGTCGATGTACCTTGGCTTCGACGAGGACTTGGTATAGCATGTAAAATCGATGTTTTGGACGCCCGAGTCCAGCACAGTGTTCGTCAGGAGCGCAAAGATTTGGTTGGACACATTGCTCTGGTTGTGGTAGCTGAACCTGGCCTGTTGGAGGCTTTCATAGATGGCTCGTTCGCGAACAGATACCGAGTGCTAGCAGCGCAGTCGGTGGTCATCCGGTGGTCAGTCAGAACCAAGGTGGAAAGCAGGCCTGTCGAAAGAGCGATGCGCACGCAGACAGCAGCCATGGGATCCAAACTAAGGGATGGGCACTGAGGGCGGTCGCTGATACCTTGGAGTTTCGCCGACAGCGGAAGAATCCGATGATGGACTGGCAAACCGGGACATGATCAGTGTCCAATGATATGGGGACGGGGTGGCAGAGATGTCATTGATTTGGTGGTATGGAGGTTCGAAGGGGCGGGATGCGAACAGAGCGATGGCAGTAACGGAGCAGCATGTGTGGATATACGTTGGAAGGGAGCCATGGACTTGCTGTCCAGGACGCAATCTCACCTCCTTTCGGGTCTCCAGCAGCTCCTCGATGAATGCCAGGTCAACCTGCCCGTTTGGTCCATAGAATCGCTGGATGAACGGATTGATGGTGACGAACGAGCATATTGTTATCTGTGTTTCGTAGTTGGACGCATCCATTGTGGCGTCGGTGACGACGGATCGATAGACGTTCTGGACTTGGCCAAGCTGTGAGATGAGGCAAGGTGTTACCCTTGGCGGCACGAGCGATACAGAGAGATGCGCATACTTCACAAGGCATCGCCGTTGGGCGATCGAGGGCGAATGGGCATCCCATCTGGTCGATGCGATATCCTGATGCGACAGCCCGATTCCTGGCCGGCGACGTGGCGAACAGGCATACCAGCAGCCCCTCGACATCGCCAGAAAACGGCATGGGCGAGGCATTGAGCATTTCATACTGTAGGGCGGCCAAAACGACGCCGGAAATATGGACCGTGGATGTCCAGCTGCACTCGGACATGGCGGAGGGGCGGCAGAGATGCAGGACGCAGGAGGCAAGATGCAGCGAACGACGGCCTGCAACGAGCTTCGGCCTTTGTCCCAGCCTGGTTTCGGCCAGCCACCGGCCGATCCGGCTCGATCCGACCGGATTGCATGTCAAGCCGCTGGTGTGGCGAGGGCGGCCCAGCAGCCAGCTTGGATCGCATCGCACCAGGATGTCGTCCAGAGCCCTCCGCAAGCTGCGGGACCAGCAGCGTCCCGCCGAAGCACACGCAGCCATTCCTGAGCAGAGCGTTGCCAATGACGAAGACGATAGTGGTGACGACGAAGTCATCCAGCCTGCGCAAAAGAGCAACCTGTTTGATCTGGTAGGGTCCCACTGGCGCTCTTGCCAAGCGCGAGTTTGCATCAACCGCCTGTCCTCGTTTGCCTTCGATCGGATCGGTCGACGCTGATGCCGACGGGACTTTGTTCACAATTTCAGCTTGGCGGCGGCGACAGCGACAGCAACCGCAACGACGACGACGACGACGACCCCCGACCCTTGGCGACCGTCCCCAGAGTCGCTGCACCCAAACCAAAGCCAGTACCGAGCTCGGACGATGAGCCAGAGGCCCCAGTTGCTCCCCAGGCGCCCAAGGTAGCATCCAGCTGTTTCTGCGTGCCATAAGCTTGATCTCTATGGCTTAACAAACGCCTGCGCACCACAGAAGAGCAAGAAGAGCAAGCCAAAGAAGAAGAAGGGAGGCAAGTCCGCTGCCAAGCAGGAAGCTGTCGAAGCCGTTGATGATCTCGATGAGATTGACCGCACCATCCAGGAGATCAATGCAAAGTATGTCCATACCATGTTGCTCTGGACCAGTGGGCGTCTCTGGCCGTGCCGCCCAGCGTGTGTGAAGGATCGCTCATTTCGCCGTATGCCCGCCTTTCAATTCAGATACGGGAAAGTAGCAGGCGCCGCACCGCTCGCGGCCGCCTCGTCCTCTAAGCAGGCTGATTCAAGCTCATCGCTGGCCTCGCTGCTGTCAGTCGACGCTCGCCACATGGACGCCGATGCCGAGATGAGGCGAATGTTCGGATCCAAGATCGTAGGTGTCGGCTACTTGTCATCTCGGCGCTCGCAGGCGTCGACTTTTCATGAACACCGCGGCTGCTGACTCGATCGCACACTCATTCAAAGATCGAGGAGGAAATCAAGAAGAAGCGCTATGTCCGCATGACCAAGAAGATGCTCTTTGCCACGCCGCGAGACACCTGGCCCCGCATCGACAAAATCGGAATTACCATGGACGTCCTGCGCAACGAAGATGGTGAGGCTTGTGCTTCTGTTATGCGACTTTGGAGAGGATGGCTGCCAGTCGCATCGCTTACAGGTGGCTGCTGCCCTTTGATCGACTACCCAGGCTGCACCTACTACACATTTGTGCACTCCAAGGCGTACCAGGATGCGCAGTGTCGGTTCCTGGACTGTCTGCGGACACACGATCCCAACACCATCTCGATGTTGCTGCAGATGCAGCCCTACCATGTCGATGCCCTGCTTCAGATGAGTGAAGTGTACCGTCATTCGGGCGACCAGACCACGGCAACCGAGTACATAGGTAGCGTAGATAGAGGAGAGGCAACCTGTATCGAAGAGTTGCGCCGCACTCGCAAAGTACTCTCGCAATGCATGTTCGCAAAGTACTCTCGCACAGCATGCTCGCCCATCTACAACGTCTCTTGCACACACGACTGATTCTTATTGCCGCGGTTTAGAGCGTGCGCTGTTCTGTTTCGAGCGAGCCTTCCATACAATGTTCAACGTCGCGACAGGCCGCTGCCGTTTGGACTATCGGCGGGTCGAGAATCGGTAGGGTCACCATTGTTCAGCGACAAGGCATGGTGAAAATGCCAGACGTGATGCTGCTGTCTTGTAGCACTGCCTGCGAGTCGAGTTGATGCTGACAGCGCCTGCTATCTCGACGCCTGTCGCAGACCCTTCTTCCTGGCCGTTTTCCGCCACATGAAAAGCGTTGCACAGCGGGGCTGTTGGAGAACAGCCTTTGAGCTTGCAAAGCTACTCCTCAGGTACGGTGTAGACGAGGCCCTGAACCATTCCTATGAGTTGCACACCTACCGCGCCTGCACTGGCGTCGTGCATCATTCGCTTGCCCATCCGTGATGCCATTCATATCGCATGGGCTCTGAGTCTCCAAGACTCTGCCTGCCACCAACTCTCTCTATGCTATCAGTCTCGAGCCCGAGCAGGATCCTCTTGGCGTCCTGCTGTGTATCGACTTTTATGCACTCAAGGCGGGCGAGTACAAGTGGCTCCTGCAGTTCTGGCAGGAGTTTGAGGTTTCCAAAGAGCTGTTCCTGCTGCCGAACATGATGTGTTCTGTCGCGCTGGCACACTTCATGTTGGAGGAAAAGAATCAGCAGGTACATCTTCGAGCAGTGGCGCACATGCCGTTGTTAGAACGAAGCGAGGGTGGCCACGGCGACCCGCATTCTCTGCAAAGTGAATCTCTGACGCCGATTTCGCCCTCTCACCATCAATTCGTCAATCAGGACCACGACGAAAGCTCCCGGTTCCTTCAAAAGGCCATTCTCTACTACCCAACGCTTGTTGGCCAGCTACTCGACAACACGGCGCCCATTGCTTCGACGGTGTTGTCCGACGCTCAGTTCACTGTCAGGTAGGACTGAGGTGCCAGCTGCATTGTCACATCAAACTCAGACACTCCTTCGAGAGGAGCCGCAGCCTGTGTCGAATCCCGGCTGGACCCTCGCTCGGCCCGTGTGTCGCATTCTGATGCCGATCCGTGCCCCAGTCCCTCCCAGAAGACTTTGCAAGTGCTACTCGATCTCTGCAGCACATACAGCCGGCCTCTGTGGAAGCAGCCCGAAGTTCTAGCCTGGATGAACACAAACATCTCTGCCGTGCTTGGAATGATCAACGACCTTCGTGATCCGCTCAAGCTCGAGGGTGAGCAGATCCGGGCAACAAGGTTCAACAAGGATGTTCCGCGCAGTATCTGCCGGCATATCGTTGTCTCGGGTAGGATGAGCTTTGTCTCTGTCGAGCAGTCGGTGCTTGCCGAGCCTCACTGTGATTGTCGCATTCATTCGGCCGCTGTTCTTGGCAGAATTCAATGCTCTCATGTCGGCTCTCTCGGGCGTGGCTCGGTCGGGCATCAGCATGAACGATCCGCTACCTCCAGACGACGCCGTCCACTCAGTGTACGACGACTATGCCGAGCTCCATAGGAGTGCCAACCCCCTGGGTGACATTGGGAATGCAGTCCTGGGGCTGCTGCAAAGGTTCAACATCAATCCCAACAATGTCGATGGCCAGCTTGTGGCTGATATCCAGCGCCAGCTCATCGAGGCCCAGGAGGGCGAAGGACATGCCACCGTCCCCGGCAACTTCCCAGCTGAAGGGTCTGACGAGCAAGTCTCATGGGTCGAGCAAATCCAAAGCGTCTGGGCCTCGTGGTTCGCTGGCGGCCAAAGCACCGACCACGATGTCGATGCCGATGCCGATGTCGAGGGAGCTGCATCCGGAGATGAGAGCGACGAAGATCGTGATGGGGAAGACGGGAATCTCAACGATGATGTGGATGGACACGGAGGCGATGCCGACGGAGACCATGCTCCCGCTGAATAATACAGTTGCTTGGGCTTCGCCCGAATGAACCGCTCAGCACCACCGATGACTGTTTCGTTGGGAATCTGCAGCGAATGCGGGCTCGGTTGGATGGGACAGCTGTGGCTCTTGTCTGCCGCAGCACTTGGGCCAGGTGGTCCTGGAGCAAACCCGTGGCGGATTGGCCTCTGATCTCGATCTCGATCGTGGTCTTGATCTCGATCGTGGTCTTGATCTCGATCGTGGTCTTGATCTTGATTCTGCCAAGATCGCATCTCCATATCGACAACCCCGCGTGCTCCGACTTTTGCTTCCACCGCCTCGTCTACAATGTCGATCAAGCGACGAATGCTTCCTGTCAAGGACCTGTTCCCAGCTGGTCCTCTCCCCACCCAGCCCGCTCGCACTTGGACCATCATGACCTACAACCTGCTGGCCCGTAAGCTCACCAACCCAACCCGGCAACCGGACCCAGCCCAGCCCAATAGCATCCGCAAAGCTCCGTTTGCTCACGCTGCTGTCGCTCCGAAATCGTCATCCAGAGTGTCTCGTGCGAAGAGAGCTGTTTCCGTATGCCAAGAAGGAGGATCTGAAGGTCAAGGTGAGGGCACCAGTTCTGCTGATGAGACGATCAAGTCGGCGGAATGGCTCGACACTGTCTTCATCCCATGCACATCGTGCCACCGGCCTGCACTGACTCGCCCAGTAATCCCTCTTTTATCAACGCTCAAGACTCGATACCCAATGCTGATCGACGAGATCACCCGAGTCCACAAACCCGACATTGCCTGTCTCCAAGAGGTTGACTGTCTCGAGGAACTCAAGCCGCACCTTGCCGATGCCGGATACGACCATGTGTTTCTGAAGCGAAACATGGAGAAAGAAGGCGGACACGGCCTGTGCATCATATGGAAGTCTGCCATGTACGAAATCATATCTATCCTGCCTTGGCGAGTGCTATCGTTGCCGTCACGAAAGTGCATGTGATGCGAGCTCACCTCTGGCTGCTCCTCCCTCCTGCTGTCGGCAGGTTCAAAAAGATCGACTATCGGCCACTTGTCTACGACGAGTCGCCGCTGACCCACCCGACTCCCATCAATCCCTTCACGGGCAACGTCGCCCAGCTGCTGGCCCTGGGAGTTGTTCAGCCTCACACTGCGCGTTGCTCTCTCGGCGTGATCGTCACCAACACTCATCTGTTCTGGCGCCCCGAGGCAAACTACGAGCGGTTGCGCCAGTCCTACGTACTGATGAGTGCTGCAGCCGAATTCAAGAGAGCCATTCTATCTGGATCGAGCGAGTTCCACGACTCGACCGAAATCAAGGATGAGTGGCCCATCTTCCTGTGTGGTGGTGAGTTGGAGGGCCGGTGAAAGCAAAGGACGGGAGAGAGTGAAAGCAAGTGGCATTGATCGATCATCCAGAGCATGACTGATACCCACTCTCTATGACACGAACGCCCGCCGATGCCAAGATTTCAACGCATGTCCCAACGACGCTGTGTATCCTGTGTTGCTGCATGCTCCCATGACACCCGAGCAGGAGCAAATGATCCAGCCTGTCCAGCGGCCTCCTCGCGATGGCGACCCTCCAGCCCCAGAATCCGGAGATAGCGGCGCTCGGCCGCTCGAGAGCCTGGATAATCCTCTGCCGGCCGCTCAGCTGGTGGCCAAGATCCAGTCGTTTCCGCCCTTTGTTAGCATGACCCAGACTTATCGGGACGCCGACCCAAACCACAGCATCAATCCCGGTTGGCAAGGAGCTGAACGATGGGGCGGAGAGCCCACATTCACCTGCTTTGCGGTGTGGAAGGGCACCCTGGACTATATCTTCTGGTGGGACTTTGCTGTGTCGGACAAGCCCCAGGTTCCCGTCAACGTCCTGAAGGTCCTTGAGCTCCCAAAGGTCGAAGAGCTCGTGCCGGGCCTGCCAAACAAGAACTTTGCGAGCGACCACTTGGCCGTGATGGTAGAGATTGCCTTGTATGCTTAGCGACTGACTCCAGCGCTCTGTGTGGCGGCAGAAGCAGTGTTCTATTCCTAGTCCGAATGGACAGGCGTGAATATCTGCTTCTTCCCCTGATACGCCAGTATATTGTTCAGTACATGGCCACTATGAATATCAGACAACTTGACTCAGAACGCTGCCTCTTTGACAATCTCGGCGACTCGCGCGGGCTCCTCCAGTAACAGCGCAGTTGCTAGAATCAAGATCGTGTCTTCGATGTAGGGAGCTTTGAATGAAATTTGCCCTTCCAGTTTGCCGTTGGCCTCATTGAGTTGTCCGCGGTCGTACCGACCGACGATCTGTTTGGATGGGTACACCTTGAGGAGGTGGTACGTGGATGAGTCGGAGTACTCGCCGGTCCAGCCATAGGTCAGCGACGAGCTCATGCTCTTGAACTTGTGTTTGACGTGGATGAGGCCGCGCCGCTCAAACTTGGTGACGAAGGATTTGTCGTTGAGGGTCTTGATGACAAAGTCGCTGTTTGTTTTGGCGGGATGTGCACAAGTTACGATGCGGGATGGCAACCAGGGAGCATCGCAACTGTGGTGCCGGATCGCCGTGCAGGTCGCTGTCGCCAATGCAGCCATCCCAAACTCCAACGCCGTTTCCAAGGCATCGCCACGCTCGTCCCAGCAGCGTTCGGTCGACTCACTAGTCCTTTGAGCCACCTGTCTTCTTCAAGGTCAACAGGGCCAAACCCTGCGGGGTGGTGTCGCAGAGTTTGATTGTCCACGATTCCGGGAGTTGGCCAGATCCGGAGCTCGAGTTTGAGGCCTGGAGTGCCTACACCCACAAACGCCGCATTAGCGCTGCCTTACGTTGGACGGATTGCTCGTCATACAAGATGTCCGCCTGTCGGCTCGCTTGTCGCTGTCGCATCCTATCGATTGTTCAAGCTGCCTGGAACGCGAGCCGCTCGATTCGCATCCGTCCTCGGCGGCTCGAATGCCACGAACCTGGAGCACTTCGATTGACAAAAGTGGATCGGGATATTCCAGACAAAACGCTGCATTGCCCTCTTGTGCAATGATCGGGATATGACGGGTGTCGAGCCAGCGCTCATTCCGAGAAAACGTAAAGACAACGTCCTTGCTTAGCTCATCGCGCTCATCGGGTCGGTCAAAGCTCGAGAGACTGCGATAGGACGAGGCGATATCGAGCGAGCTTCGAGTCGGTGTGGTCGACGGATAAAGGTCCTGAGTTTACAACGAAACTTGCCACTGTTAGGTGCTGGATCGAGTGGAGGTGCTGTAGGTTCATACCCTGGCTTTGCAGGCTGACGCAACGTCATTGGGCGCCATGCCGGCATGCGCCATTTCGCATATGCTAACATGCCCGATTTCACCCATGTGTCGACTGAAATCCGGCCGGGCAGCTTGACGCTTACCATGACGAACTGCAGGTCGATGGGCGGCGGGGTCTGTGTTCCAAGTCGCTTGTTGAGCTCAGAGCAGACCGCTTCGATATCGGGCCGGCGATCTGGCAAGGCGTCCCAGCATGCCGACAAGAGATCCGACAGCACCCAGCCGGCAGGAAGAGGCTCTCGGTTGCCCCTGCTGACGTACTGCTGGATCTCACTGGCAGCGAGGCCGTCGAACGGCTTGGCGAGAAACCACACTTCGTATGCGAGCATGGCGAAGCCGTAGACATCGGACTCGGCTCCCGGATGTGAGTCGAGCAACGGCTCCAGACACTCGGGGGCCGTGTAAACCAAGGTCGACGTTGGAAGGAGATTGGGGTCGCCGAGAGCAGGACGAACAGCGGACAGGCCGTAGTCCGAGAGCTGGGCACGCAGGGTCCCGTCGGTGTCGTACTTGAGCAAGACATTCTGGCTCTTGAGGTTGCCGTGAACAATGTTGTTCTGGTGGAGATAATGGAGTCCCTGGGCGATACCGACGATGAATCCGTATTTGATGGCGGCGGTGATGTCCGAGTGCGGGAACGTCGAGCGATACAGAAAGTTGTGAAGACTCTTGAGAGGATGGTACTGCATGCACAACGTCGCCGTTTGGGCATCGTAGTCGAAATGCGCCTCGAAGATGGTCACGACATTGGGATTATGCAGACGCAGCGACCGAATACGCTGAATCTCCTGAACAAGCCGACTGCGCGACGGGGCTGACGATGGAAAGGCCACAACCTTGACGGCGATACGGTGGGTGCGATTGTTGTGAGTGCGGCGAGCCTGGGCCATGGTTGATGGTTGATGGTTGATGGTTGATGGTTGATGCCGAGAGCGAGTAAGGAATATGCTTGAGAAGCCAAGCCAAATGCTGGGACCAGACCCCTTCAGGCAAATGCACGGCAGAAGCAACGCAGGACCAGCAATCCACCGACCTCGTATACATGCGACGAGTTTTCCGGGTCGACCAGGGCCTCGAGAAACAGCGACGGGCTCGCAGGCATGGCGCCGGAGAAGCAGGTGGATGAGCAGCGATGGAGGACCGAGGCAGACAGAGGGCGATGGCGGAAAGGACGTGTCCGGGGATGTCTCCGCGTCGTGTGCTGGTTGGAAGCGACGGGGCAACCGCGGTGTTGACCCTTGACGGGCGAAGAGCATAGCTCACTGTGGCCTCGTCTATGACCTCGTGTGGATGTGATCGATGGATGTGATCGATGGATGTGATCGATGGTGGTGCTATCGGTGCTATCGGTGCTGCTATCGCACAAGCGACGATCCCAGCTGTCTGCTGGGCAGGTCGCCATGGCCGCCCTGTCTCCAGAACAAAAGTGCCGCGCCAGAGCATTCTGGCTCCAGCCACGTGCGCGCCCGCCGTGTGACGCGGAGTGACTCGCTCTCCGCTCGCCAGCCGGGGTTCTTCAGTTCCCTCCCGCGCGGCATGCTCCCGTCTGCTCCCCCCCATCACCCCATCTTCCGCAGATCCATCACCAAGCACTCTTCCTTGACTATCCTTGATTATCCTTGCCGAAGCTACTGTCCAGAGAGCCTCAAAACATGGCCGAGATACAACCCACCCGCCGCCTGATCCTTGCCACCGATTTCGACGACACTTCCGTCGAGGCTGTCGAGTGGACCGTCGCCAACCTGCTGCAAAACGGCGATGAGGTGCATTTGGTCCACGCCGTGCAGGACGACGGTATTATCGATCCAGACTTTTCTGGTGAGTATTTTCTGCACCGGCCTCGCTCGATTGCTTGGCTGGGCTCATTCGCATGGAGGATGGGCAGAGGCAGTCGCAGCTTGGTGCTGATGGTCAACCTTTGCTTTGCAACAGATATGGGTGTCGTGGCTGTCAATGATGCAGAACAGCAGCGGGCTATCCGAGCAGCCGAGCTGAACGCCAAGCAGTGGGCCGACACTCTTGAGAATGAAATCTTGCCGCCAAAGCGGGTGAGTCCACCATGAGTCTGATCACCGCCCCGCCCCGGTTTGACCTCTGTGGAGCTTTGCCCTCCCCTTTGTGCTCACCTCGCATCAATTTCGTTCATTGTGGCTCAGGTCAAAGTTGTTCCGCATGCATTTATCGGAGCACCCGGGCCTCTGATTGTTGAGAAGGCAGAGACCCTCGACTGCGACTTTATTGTCGTCGGCACCCACCGGCGTGGCCTCCTCTCAGAGTAAGTAGCGGTCGTCCGGTGTCAATCGTATGCATATGTGCGCCTCTCAATATCCGGAGCATCTTGAGATCTCGGTAGCACCCTTCTCAAGCCGATGAGCTGATTGATGTCTTTGACCTTCAGACTGGTCCTGGGCTCGGTCTCCAACTACTGCCTCACGCATTCCAAGAAGCCCGTCCTCATCGTCAGTCAACACAAGGGACAATAGGCCAAAGCCGATAATGTGCTCTGGAGCCCATCTGTTTCCCTTCGATCGCATGCACGTTTGATTTGATTTGATTTGATTTGATTTGATTCGATTTGATCAGCCCAAATGGTCCCGTGGCGAGAATGTGTATGTGGGTGTTCGACTCACTGCTGTTAGGTTCGCTGCCTCGAGTGATGATATACCGGCGAACAGCCTTGTCTGTACATAATTTTTGCTTTTTGGATCGACAGCGCCCATAAAAACGAAACCGGACACCCGGCGCCTGTCGCCTCTGTTTTGGATGGAAAATACACCCACATCCGCGATTTGCAACGACCATCCCGGCCCCGGCTCGTCTGAGAGAGTGTTGCTGGTGTGGCCATGAAGGCGCAACCATGGGAGCCGGTTCGAGCCGGCAGATCGATCACGTGGACATTGCCAAGCGCAGCACTCAGGTCACATGATTGATCGAGCACGTGTGGGTCCCGGGATGCCTCGGCGAGAAGCTTCTCGCACCCGCCTGGGCGAGCCGGGAGCGTCTCGTCCGATCAGCAGCAAGATCAGCAGCAAGATCAGCCGATCGACACCACAACGATCAAACACATCGCTCTCGGCAGCAGACTCGACTCCCCTTTCCCGATCGAACGTGCCATCGCCGCCATGTCGACGAAGCTGGAAACATGGGGCAATGAGGAGAGCATGAACATGAACAACATCCTCTTCCAAAATATCATTTCGTCGCCGTATTTCAAGTCTTTGTACGAGAAAAAGACCTATCACGAAGTCCTGCACGAGATCTGCAACCATGGTGAGTGGGGTGCCCCCCCCCTATATCTGCATAGCGATCAAAGCATGGTTGCACCCGCCCATTTTGTGATCTTGTCGTGTTGAGTGTTCCAGTGCAATCGCTGGTGATCGGCCTGAGACCCCCGACTCCGAGGAACTCATTCGTCCACCACCCTGGCATTTTCTCTCTCGCCTCAATGTCTAATGGGCCATCCAACGCTGGAAATCGCCACCGGCTTGGGTGGGGGGATCCACGACTCGCAGTTCAGTCTCTCGGTAAGTGCTGTTTCAACGAGGCTCGCATTCGAGCCCCCGATCACCAATTGGATCGGTAGTTGCAACCGCCTTTTCCTTCGCCCACGGTTTCAAATCCCATGTTGCCACTCTTGTCTTCGACTGCCCAACGGCTCCTCCGCCCAGTGTCGCAGCACGGCCGGTGGCCTGGAGGGGAGGGGGCATCGTATTGCTACCGTTTCGCGATGGCTCCTTCCGATTGCCGCTGCGACCGAGCGGCCATCGAACACGCTTGATCGAAGCAGAACGGCCTCGCCGTTCATGGCCAGACCGGTTGCTGAGATATGCAGTGCTCCCACCACTCCGCTGCCTCGTTGCTTTCCACGGTGTAAGAGCCGCAGCCTGCTCGCCGAGCATCTCATGGACGAACCTGCTATCATCCTTTGCCAACCACGATGCTCTGGGGGATGCACGGACCACCGGCGGCCCTGGGTCTATGCTCCATCGACATGGCTCTCGCAAGACACTCGATGCTTGTGCTTGTGCTTGGATGTGGCGCTTGTAAGCTCACATCGCTCTGGCGTCTCGCATCCGCTGACCACTGCGTTTCTGCTCTTCCGGGTTCTTTAGAGCCGTTCATGCGAGGCACGGTGGCCAGCACGGCGTTCTGCTTGCTCTACAAGATGTGGACGCTTCGACTGACGATCAAACAGATCGAAGGCATGATCAACTACTCGGGCAACGCGTGAGTGCAGCACCGATGTTGCTGGTTTTGCGGAGCTTGCGCCTGCCCTGCAGCATATGCTCTGCAGCATATGCTCTTCGGTATATGCTCTGCGGTATATGCTCTGCGGTATATGCTCTGCGGTATATGTCCTCGAAGATACTAATGGCTGCTGCTCTCGGCTCGCATTGATGAATGCCTCTTGCCCTCCCTCGCGGCACTATCGCGGCAACACCACGTCCTCAGACACGTTCGGGCAGTTGGATTCATGTACCTTCGTTACGTCTGCAAGCCTGCCAACTTTATGGACTGGTTTGCAGATTACCTGGAGGATGACGAGATGGTGCAAATCCAAGGTGGCGTTGCTCCTCGCAGCATGTAAGTGGATGTCTGGAGCTGACAAAGTGCTCCGAAAGCCACCGCAAACCAACGCATCTGCTCATACTCTGCTCCGGCCTATTCCGCACAGCACCATTGGACGGCTCATTTTCATGCTCCTGACAGAGCCCAAATGGCTCGGCACCATTCTCCCGCGCATTCCCGTCCCCATCGCGCGCGACATCGACAAGTATCTGAAGGACAACCCCCCGAGGCGAAGCGCCAAGGACGAGATGTGAGTACTGGTCCTCGAGGCAGCGCATCGTTGGCCACCCGGCTCAGACGATTTATCATTCTTGCATGATCACAGGGATGTTGATCGCGGACGCGACCAGGGTCCTGCTTCGACACGCAGCCGAAGCCGCAGCCCCGAAGACCGGCGAAGACGGAGCCGCTCACGCGAAGACCGGCGACGACGAAGTCATTCCCGCGAAGACCGACGGCGGGGCGGGTATCGAGACTCGAGTCGCAGTCGCAGTCGCAGCCGGGATCGGCGAAGACGGAGCCGCTCACGCGAAGACCGACGGCGACGAAGCCGGTCCCGCGAAGACCGACGAAGAAGGCGCAGCTACAGCCGTGAGGACCGACGGCGCCAGAGATGATACGGACAAAGAGATCGTTGCCGGGGCAAAGATGCACGATCAGGATGGGCAGCGCTTTCTGAGCAACCAAGCCCATCTCCATTGCGCAATCCCAAGATCCAATATTGATGAATGATGTCACCCGATGGCCGTTTGTTGCCCCTCCCATCGATCATGTCTGGGTTCTGGGTGCTTCAATTCCGAACTGGAGCTGGGTCCATGAGCGCCGATCGACTTGCGCCCACGAACCCGCAGATAACCTGCAAGGGAGATTGTCGTCCCCTGGTGGTGCTCTGGCGGGTCCTGGAGCTCGCTCTGGAGCGGGTGTGGGCAACACGAGGGCGCCGGAACCAACCAGCGGCCGCGGCGATCGCGCTTGGCGTGCGTGGCGGCGGGGGGGACGCCACCCGTGGGCACGCCGACGGGCCGACACGCTGTACATGCGCGGCGCGCGTGCGCGCATTGGTCGGATGGGGCTGTGTGGCACGAGAGCCGCAGCCGTTGTTACTGTCGGGGGTCGCTGAGTCTAACGAGCAACAGTGCAGCCACGGCACAACAATAACCACAATAACCACAACAACCACATCAACATCCACATCAACATCGACATCAACACACATCAACAACCATATCAACAACCACAAAACACCACATCAACACCCGCAACCACTCGCGCAGCACAGCCGCGCACCACACACCGCTTGCACGACCGGCAAACTCACACCGGCTGCGCAGCGCTCGCGCACGCTCCTCTGCGCAACGTTTCCATTTCGCCTTTTTCGACCCCGTCGAAGTGTCGTCTCCACCGGCCAGCCGCCTTCCCCCCCCGTCTCGCCAGATCTCATCCCCGCCCGGCACTCTGCCTTTCATCCATCCTCCGTCGATCCTCCGTCGATCCTCCATCTGCCTCCCGCAGCCTCCTCATCGCTTTCCAACACAGTCTCTCGCACACAATGGCCAACATCCCCGAGCAGTTCCAGGTCTACCTCAAGAAGGTGTGCATCTGTCCAGTCCGCTGCCAACCCCCCTGGTCGTTGTCGGACATACTCTCTGTTTCCCTCTTGCTCGTTCGCTGGCTTGGCTTTGTGCTGCTGCCTCGTCTCTCTCTCTTCTTCATGCAGCTCTTTACATTCGTCGTCCTCCGAATCCAGCGAATGCGCCCGGAATCGCTTGTTTTGCCGCCGCCAACTGCCTCCATCCGCCGTACTTACCCTGGCTCTGACACCTTTTCTTCCGTCTCCCCAGTTCGATAACGAGCTCTCCAAGATCCCCCTCGCCGTCGAGGCCGAAAAGACCCTCAAGGTCCCCAAGACCTACCTGGCTGGTGGCGCCATCGTCGTTTTCTTTGTCCTCGTCTTCTTCAACGTCTGGGGCGAGCTCCTCACCGACCTGCTGGGCTTCCTGTACCCCGCCTATGCCTCGTTCAAGGCCCTCGAGTCTCCTGGCAAGTCGGACGACAAGCAGTGGTATGTGCTCACCATCCGCCTCTGTCGCCTCGCTCGTTCCTTTGCGACCAAACCTGCGCTGGATGGTTCTCTGCCATTCCCTCCATCCTTGGCAGTCGTGCGTCTCGTCCCCCCCCATCGATACACTCCCGGGACGGCTCCACGCAAGCCAGCCACCGCGGCGAGTCGCTCGTGGGATTGCTGTGTGGAGACCCCGCCCGCTCGTGTCCGCTCTTTTCTCCTTGGCCTCTTTGCCCTTCTCTCTGCCATGCCTGCGGGCCGCTTTGCCCCCCTCTCCTGCAGGCGCCGTCTCGCCCACTGGACATCCCGTACACACCCACTGGGCATCCCGAACTCACCCGCTCGCTGCTGCCTTGCTCTCTCCAGGCTGACTTACTGGATCGTCTTTGGTCTCGTCAACACCGTCGAGTTCTTCACCGACTACATCCTGTACTGGCTCCCCTTCTACTTCTTCTTCAAGGCCTTCCTGGTCATTTACCTGATCGCCCCCCACTTCCGCGTAAGCATTCGGCTGCATCGGCGGCTTCCGCCCCGAGTCTTCTCTGACATGTCCCCTCCGCCGGTCTCCACTGTCTACTCCTGCATGATTGGACCCGCGCTGCACCTTGCTCGCTGTTTCCTTCGTGGCGTCCTTGCTCTTCGACTCACTTCTTCGTCTCTGGCTTAACCAGGGTGCTGAGGTTCTGTACGTCAAGTTCATCAAGCCTGTTCTCCTGAAGGAGCAGAGCGCCATTGACGGTGCCATTTCCAAGGCCCAGGTATGCACCCGAGCCGCCTGTGTCGTCTGTCTCTCCGCCTCTAATCGGGTAGCGCCGTGGCTGGACCACATTCACCATCTCTGCCTTTGCCACAACTGACCCATTCTGCACTTGCTCTGCTTGACTCCGTTGCGCGCCGTGGCTCCGTTGCACGTCATGGCCTCACAGACCAAGATCGAGGAGACCGCCGCCAAGGTCGCCGTCGCCTCCGAGAACCTCAAGCAGGATTAAAGAGCATGTCTGTCTTGTCTACTCCGGCTCCCTCCAACCTCCCGGAGAAGGCTGTCTATATTTTTGACCGAGCTTTCGTGTATCTTGTTTCGTTGTCCTTGTGACTCTGGACTCTGCTCCTGGCCTCATGGTGCTGGTGTGATCTGAATGGACGTCAGATGCCTCCTCCTCCGGATCTCTGTATCCAGTTCCTTCGTCCCGTGGTCGTCCAAATGAATCCCATGTCCAACCGAATTCGTCTCTCGGGCGGGTGGTGGTGGCGCTTTGCCTGCCATGCCCGCTCCGTCCTCCTTTGATTTTGTGTTCCTCACGCCCAGGCATCTCTCCATCGTTCCCAACGTCTTTTGTCCTTTTTCTCTTCTCCCTTTCTTTGTTTCGTATTGGTCTGCAATGCTCCTCTTGCCGCCGCGGCCCCGAACGTGAACGGCAAAAATACATCGCTTCCAAGACACGAACCAGTGTGTCGACATGACGGCCAGCGGCCACTGCCGGCGAGCCGATGCCGATCTCGATGTGGGCGCTGACCCAGACACACATGCCATGGTCTTGCTGCGGTTCCACGTGGAATGCTACCTCGGTCATGGAAACCGGGCAGTCGCCGATCAATCAGCGCCGCCGACGGACATGGCGTGGAATCATGAGATTGCAGAGGCGAGAAGCCCACTGTTCACCAGTCCCCTCCCGCCCTGGATCCCACAGTTTGCATCTACAGCGCTCGTTTCTCGCAGATGACCAGATCGCCGCCCGCCCGCACTTATTCGGTTGCCTTCGGACTGCCCAGGAGCCTCGTGCTGTCAACGGCACAGTCCAGATCCGAGAACCATTCCACCCGCTTTCTATATTCGACCCCCTCGCCTGGCAATGTCCTCCGCCCTCAGCCCCGGTCTTGGCATGTCCGGCCCGCCTGGAAACCTTCCTGGCGCCCTTCCCGCCGCTGCCGCCGCCTCCGCCCTCTGCTCCGATCCGTACTTATAGAGCCGCTATCCTGCCCTTCGACCCTCCGTTCCACAAGTTGAACTCGCCTCCACTCTGTCGGCCCGTCGTCTCTCGCCTCCGTCGCGCTGCTTTTGCCTTGGCTTGAACTGGAACGCTCCTGTCGCGTCGATCCTTGCGTTTTCCCGCTCGTTCCCTTACTTCTCCCCATCTCACCGTCATCCCGCTCGCAAAAAGAATGGCTGCTGCTTCCGAAAATATCAAGCTGCACTGGGCTTGGGTATGTCGCCGCCCGTTGCGCTCTGCAGCTGGGCTCCTCGAGGCTGCACTCGCGAGATATGCGATCCCAGTGACCCTTGGCTCGCGTTACTTCCACTGTTCCATCGAACCTGCTCGTTCCCGTCATCCTTGCATGGCCATACGGTGCATGATATCTGAATACCACACCTGCCCTTCGGGCGAGTGTATTCGCTCTCGTGCGCTGTCCGCTGACTCGCACTGACGCCCGCGATGCTGTTCTCCTCATGGCAGTTCGAGGCCGAGCTGAACAAGTACCCAATCCTGGCCCTTGCCGAAGCAAAGACCAACGTCAAAAAGTCGTATCTGGTCGCCGGCGGCGTCTCGCTCTTCCTCGTCATGATCCTTCTGAATGCTTGGGCTCAGCTGCTGACCCAGCTGCTGGGATTTGTGTATCCCGCTTACGCCTCGTTCAAGGCCCTCGAGACGCCCCAGACGGATGACGATACGCAATGGTATGTGCTCCGAGCCCTCGGTTTGGCCACGGTCGCCGAGAAATGAGGAATCCTTGCTTCGCCATCCTGTAGAGCCTGCTCCTGTTGATACCGTTCTGCCGCGGACGAGGTCGATCAGGCCGACACGGTTTGATCAGGTCCACCGTCCGGATCTTCGGTCGATTCGCTCTCCGTTGAAGGTCCTGCATCCAGTTTTGCCCACTGACCACGGCTGCTCTCGTTGCCGCTGCACACAGGCTCACGTACTGGGTTGTGTTTGCTCTGATCAACACCCTCGAGTTCTTTGTTGATTACATTCTCTACTGGCTGCCGTTGTACTATCTGTTCAAGACATTTTTTGTCATCTTCCTGATCCTGCCCCAGTTCAAGGTGAGCAAGTGTGGCCCATTCCTTTCCAACGCATGTGGGGGGGGGGAGACATTGCCGCCACCGCATCCTTCACTAACAGCCTCCCTTCCCTTTCCGCTTCTCATCGTGCGGGGGATGGTGAATCGCCAGGGCGCCCAATACCTCTACGAAAAGTTCTTCCGACCGCTGCTCGTGCAGCAGCAGGGCAACATTGATAAAATTGGCTCCAAGGTCCAAGTAGGTGCTCGGGCGACTCGGGCCATCGTTTGATAGCATAGGGGATCGATCGCTGAGGTGGTCCACTCGATTGGCTGTAGCGACACTGTATTCGTGCATATCCGTTGATGGAGGATCTTTGGATTCAATCGCGTCCGTTGTCACCATGTCCCGCCGTTCACATGTCTCGATGGCCCATCTCATGCTCCCCGCCCCAGAGTACCATGGAGAACGTCGGACAGAATCTCAAGTTGGAATAGGCCCCCCCCCGTGCGGCGCTGTGTTGGTGGCTTTCATGTTACAAGGAACATTGCGTGAAGCATCCCGCAAGCATCACAACATGCGGCTCTTGGATCCAGTCTCTCCCATCGATCCATCCGCTCCGTCGATGCAAGAGTTGATTCCACATAGTGTAGCTGTGGCCGATCAGCAACATTCCTTCAGGACTGTGTCCTCCTTTCTGATTTTGTTTGATCTGACCCGAGGTTGATTTAGGCCTGGGTTGATCCTGGTCCGCCAGAGTCTATCGTGTAGACAAGTATATATTGCCGGCCTTTCCTTATCGTCCTCGTTATGACATCTCTACAGTGTTCCAAATCGTGCACGAGGGAACAATTCACAACCAGTGTTATTGGGCAATAAATCGGCCGCCGCTTGTTCTTGACTCATTTCTTCAATAGTGGCAAAGGCACTGAATATCTAACCGGACAAGATGGGCAACGAAGATGAAGGTTGGTGGATTCAGCCGCAAGTTTTGGTGTGGAGAGGCTTGCTGAGTGGGTTATTGGGTCCTAGAAAAGATCTGTGACGGAGGGAAAAGGAGGAGTAAGCCACCATGCGAACCGGAGAGAAGCGTCGAGAAAGTCGCGGCCGAAACAGAGATGGATGAAGAAAGCAAGGCGCATTATTGCCGCATCTTCTTCTCCAGCGAGCCCAGAGACACAGGCCGAGTCTACGCTCTCTTCACAGCTTCTACGGGGTTGAAGCAGAACAAAGGCCAGGGAAATGGGTGGGTTTGCACTGCACATGGATGCCTCGCACTCACCGAGGCAAAGGTTTCTGGATCTTGAGCCCCCGACAGCTCGTGTTTGCCGTTGATGACAAAGTGTGGCACCCCATTTACAGAGCTACGCTTGGCCGACTTGTTCATTGGATGCCGGTGTGTGGGAAGCGAGCAGAGAGCGAGTGTGTCAGGCCGAGTCCGCGATGGATGAGGATCACTATGGACCTCACGCATTCCATGTAAAGAGAAAGCTTGATCGCCCTGTCAGACATAGCCATTGCCTTTCTGCTTTTGGCTGTGGTTCTGCAGGCGCATCCTTGTCGCATTACCTGGATGTCCTTGCGGACTCTGTCGACATCCCGATCGGATTCAAGCAGCTCCACGACCTGCTCGCGGTTCAGGCCGACACTGGCAGCTGCATCGGCCAGGACTTGGGTATCCGAGATGTTCCGCTCTTGCTCAAAATACGCCTTGAACAGCTCTTCGGTCAGCTAGCGTTAGGCATCCCGGTCGGAAGGGGGTGATATAGAGCGGCAAATGAATCAGTTGGGCGATAAGATTCTGGGAGGAGGACCGACTGTCCCGCGATGAAGCTGATGCTGATGCTGATGCTGATGCTGATGCTGATGCTGATGCTGATGCTGATGCTGATGCTGATGCTGATGCTGATGCTGATGCTGATGCTGATGCTGATGCTGATGCTGATGCTGATGCTGATGCTGATGCTGATGATGCGAAATGCTGGACAACACAGACGAGCCCTGCCAGGCACACCGTTCTCACCTGATATTGGACACCCTCCGATTTGGCGAAATCAAGTAGACGATGGCTCTGGAATGTGCTGCACATATTGGCGGATGGATCTGTCAGCATCAAGTCCAAGGGGTGGGGGGAAGTACTGCCCATACATCGATGTTCGTGGAAAAGCATCAATTTGTCGTCGACCGACACACCGGTTGTGGAGCGACGGTTTGCCGCCTCTTCTGCTCCGTGCTTTGCCTACCTCGAGATGTCGCCGTTCCAAGAAAAGTTGATGCCCTCTTGCTTTCCCACCTGGTTGGTGTACGCAGTGATTTGCTCGTAACGGTCACGTCCGAAGCGTCCGATGTAGTATTCTTGCTTCTTGCGGCCCGTGGTGGACAGGGTCGAGTCGAGCTCGTATGGCTTATAGATGATGTCGAACTGGACATTGGGGTCCTTGGCCCGGGCCTGTACGATACACCAAGCATGATGCGACAGCGGCAATGACGGCGGAGACACGGTGGTTGCTGATAAGCGCAAGGTATGGGTTGCGGATCGCCTTCTGGGGGATCAATGGTTTCTTCCACGCCCCCATTGCCGCTCGCTTCTTGCTTCTCGACGATTCGGTGCTGCACTCGCTGCACCGGGTGCGGATGTGTACTCACGATTTGGATGGCCTTCTCGAGACGCCGTTTGCCAATGAAGCACCTGTCGGTCACCGCAACGAACAGCAATCGTCAGCCGTCGGTGTCGTCACTCTCGCCCTCGCTCCAACGCTCAAAGCAGGAGTCGGTCGGACCCGCTTGCGGCGCTGGTCCTACCAGGGACAGACAGTGTCGGAGGTGATGGCGATGGAGATGACCTTGGACATGGCGGATTCTGGATTGGAGGAGAGGGGGGAGATCGTGCTCTGTTGGTCAGATGGCGGTGTCTGTGCTGGGTTTTGTACCTGTGGGCGGTTGGGTTTCCAGGGCGCGGTGTTGGCACACAACAAGCCCACATTTCGAATCCATCGCACGCGCGCGATTGGCTCTCGCTGTGGCGAAAGCGGGCTTGCCTTCTCGTCGAGAGCGAGGACGGGACCGAGGCCGGGCGAGGCGCAACACGCCCACAGCAACAAGGCTGGGCACACTTGGGTCGCCAGGGGCCTGGGAAGCCGGCATTTGTCAACATGGTGATCGCTGCGAAATCGCCCCGCCCGCCACATCACATCACTCCACAACGCATGGCATCACCATGCATCGCTGGATCCGATTTACGGGATCGAGGGTGTTGGCTGCTTTGGACGTGTGGTCCAGATCTATTCCATCCCGCCAGGCCCTGATAGCGGGGCACACAGGAACTTCCAAGATGCACACATTCCCAGACAACGTGGGAATGGGCCGACGGCTGTGTGAGGGAGCGGGCATCCGTTGAGAAGCATCTGGATCGAGCTGCTAGCACACTTGCTTGCTCTCGACCACGATTTCTGCAGAACGATCGAGAGCCGGACAGAAAGCGTGGCGTCCGAGTCAGAAACGCTTGGCTGATCAGAAACCACTCGACCTGGGCCACCTGCGATGCTGGAATCGGGCAGCGACAGTGCTCCTGTCCGGAATGCTCACACAATCGCATCGATTCCACCGGGGCCGATCGCCGCAAACACACCCCCCTACCTTCGATTCGCGCCAAGTCGATTTTGAGTGTTGTTTCCCAAAACTTTGTGTGGTTTAGTGACACTGCGGGTAACTGTTCGCCGGCGTAGTATATTGCGGCTGGCGCAAGAGTCGACACCGAGAGCAATGGTGTGAGCATCTCAGACAAGCCCGAGTATCGGCTCTCTGTCACCCCCGTCCTTCCGGCTCGAGACCGCCTCTTACCTGCGGCCAGTTCGATTGGGCTATAGTACAGACAGAGGCCATAGTTTGAGCTAAACAGGAAGAGCATGACGCAGGAAAGGTGAGACGATGCCTCGCCATGCATTTCCTCGATTTGGTTGGCTCCCTTGATCGGCTCCCAGACTCAACTGTCGATTGTCAGGAGCTGTGCTGATCGAACACATGGCCATACCTCATCCGCGCAAACTCATAGGCTGCCTTGCTCAGCTCTTTTGACGCTGTCATCATATCCGCGTCAGATCGGTGATATCGGATTCGGCAGACAGCGATGCCAGGCCGAGGACAAGGAAGGAAGGAAGGAAGCTCGAATCAGCAAAGTTCGAAAGCCAGTCAGCTCTGCAGAGCGTCTCCATCAGGCGACTCGACGACAAGGTTTCGAAGCGGGCCGAACAGGTACCGTTCATCTCCCTCAGCATCTTCAGGACCTTGATGATAGCTAATTCGATATGGATATCAAAGCAAAGTGCCTCTGCAACAACGTACTCGTTGTGCAGGATGTTGTCCTTCCATTTCCAAAACTCCTGTGGTTCCGTATCCCACCGGGCCAGGGTGTCGACGAAAATAAGTTAGAGAGATGGTCCAGCACCAGGGCAGAGGGATTCAGTGTGATGGCGATGGCGATAGTGATGGCGATCTGCGACTAGTGCTTGCGCTGCGATGGCCAGAGCACTCGATGCTTTCGCAGCCGCACCTTGGATGTCTCGTCGAGGGGCTCTTCGATTGCCAGGTTCACAGAGGAGCTCGAGGTGCAGTTGTGGAATGCTTGAATAAACGCCGACAGATTCCGGAATGACTCGTCGACCTTGGATGCCAGATACAGACAGCTGGCCGCAATATCCTGGCGTTGGCGAGAGAACACCGACACACGCACATATTTGCCCAGCCCAGAGAAAGAAAAATGTCAGAGATACACATGCACGAAAGTCATGCCGTTGCTCTTCAGCTCCATGGTCGGCGATATCGGACTGGAGATGCCACAAGAGCGGGATATGCGGTGGATAGAGCAAGGCGGGTTGACTCACCGGTCCTCTGTACTCCATCAGCGACTCACGAACGTAGAATCGGTGAAAGTAGATGCACGCTGTTGACACAACCAGGGATGATCTGCGGCGCGGGGGTGGTGGGGTCGATACATCGGTGTTGGTTCGTCGTGCGTTTGGGCGATCGGAAGAGGACACAGATGCAGACGGAGATCAGTAAGTGACGCAAAGATGCGGATACTGATCTCGGTATCGGAAACATAAGCTCGGCGACCACGAAGCGAGAAGCGGATGCTGAGTAGCCGTAAAGCCGACCGTGCGATGAACCGCTCGTGCAATCGATCTCGTCGATTGATGAGGGTTTGATCCGTACTCATCACAAATGCGCGAGGAAGGGGGGGGGCAAGCATAGCACTGCAGCCAAAGCACACAGGATCAGGAAGTCTCAGAGGAGGGGGTCGGTAAAAGGAACGGCTTTCCGTACAGGCCAAGCCTCATGCCCACGCGATTGATGAGGTCGCATCCAGCTTGAATCTGCGTGCGGAACTCATCCTCGGCCATTCCGTCCCGTATCGAGGGCAGGTTTGGGGTGAGATCCTGCTTGTTGTAGAGCCATGTCCTCTCGCCTTGGATGAGGCTGTCGTTGGAACTGGCGCTGCTGCCGGCAAAGCTGCGAGGATCGATCCCGTCGGCGCTGTTGGGATGCGGGCTGGGGAGGGCGGTGCTTGGACTGGGACTGGCTGGATTGCCGGCTGGATTGCCGGCTGGGTTGCTGGCGAGGAGCCCGGCACTGGTATTGATGGTCGTGGGGTGCGGTCGGCCTGCTGTCGACGTCGAGCCTGGAGTCCGGGCAGTAACCGGGTGAGAGGACGCAGACGAGGCCGGGTCACGACCGTCGTCAAGATTCCGTCGCCGGTGGTGATGTTGGCCGCCCTTGAAATGCGGCCGCGAGAACGACGGCAGGTTCGGTGTCGATGAAGACGAGGTCGATGGCGGTTTGGGCATGGAGCGGCGGCTGTTCTTGATCATGGACGCATCGGAAGTGCGAGAGCAGGCGTGGTGGACGATGCAGGGCGGCCAGAGGCAAGGCAGACCGAGCGATGGTGGGTTTGTGGGGGGCATGGGGCGAGGGGCCGCGGCACTGCACTTCCTCGGTCATGGACGGACTGCATCGAGTCTGCACCATCGCCGACCCGGACCGCGAGGACCGGCTGTCACCATAGAGCAAGCTCGAGCGCAGGTGCGGGCATCCCTCGTCCAGCTATCTCGATACCAAGCATGTCAAAGTTGTCGCCCCTCGGCTGGACTGGGCTCCTCGGCGAGACGGGGAGCCATGTTCGGCCATCCAGAAACATCCACACAGCAGACCAGGAGGACGCCTGCAGGAACGAAGCGGAGACACAGGCCCAGCAGGATCGAGATGGATTGATGCAAGTCCAGTTGGGAAGGTCATTGTTCCCTTGGGCACCGCCAACGGCCTCTCTACCATCTCGCACTGCCGCTGCGTCCGGACAGATAGGCTCTATCTGGGTGGATGGGTTTGCCCCCTGCTTCATCGGTATCGTCGACCCCACAAGCGCCCTACGGAATGCCGGGCAGCTCGTGAATCGTCCTGCCTGTCGTGATGTTTTTGCCTTAGAGTCTGGCAGCGATTCGGCGCCGCTGCTACTTGGGACAACCACGGAGAGAGGAGAAATGCTGCAGCAGAGTCATGGTCTCGCTTGGGCTCAGCAAGCCCAAATTCTGGCGTCGGAGAAGAGCCATAGCGAGCTGACGGCGATCGATCTCGGGTTCGTGCTGTCCAGATTTCATGGAAAAGAGTGTCGAGCTGTCAGTGGTGGCAGGCCAGATAGCTGGTGTACTGACAGATTGGCACAGGGTCATAAAGGGCCACACCGGAACGACACTGTTGACTGCAGTCCCGCACATGGCCATTCTGTGGTCCTCGATACCATCCACTTGTAAGTCATCACTCACCTTTGTGATAAATGACCGAATCGACTCGACAACTAGGTCGGACCGGAACACTCTGTCGGACGAGAGACGGAGGCAGGTTGGCCACAGTTGCGGGTATACCCGGCGATCGGTGAGGTGGACTTGCCTCTGGGTTCCAAAGAATCCATTCCACAGTATCAGAAAGCGTCGTCCCGATTCCGTTAGCCCGTGGATAGCGTCGATTTCCTAAGTGCCCATTTCATAAAGGAAAACAAAACAATGCCCAGATCCAGGGTTGTGGAGCCAGAGTCAGTCCCTCGATCAGGATGAACAAGCGATATCGCCCAGAGCGACCAGCGAGGCCCCGGGGACTCAGGGAGGACCAAAGTTGCTACCTGCTTGGCCAGCCCGGACACCCATGACGAGTCCATAGCATCCCCGCTATCGTATCCAAGCTCGTCCTCGTCGATGGGCAGGCCGGTCTCGGAGTGATAGAGCACCGGCGCCGAGCGGCGAGCGAACCCGGCCTGCAGGGCGCCGATATCGCCTGGCAAGAGCTTCTTTGCAAACGGTCGATTTGGCAGCGATTGCATGGTTTATCTGGCGCAAGTGGGTGGATGTGTGTGATGCAAATGGACCAGGCGACGCTTCCGACGCTTCTGACGGCCTCGATAGCAGAGTCTGGGCCGCTGCCGAGGGCGAGATCCAAGCCAAAATGCGGACCACAAGCTTGAGCGGAAGCGGGCAGGTATATTCCCGCGGCCGGACCAAGCACACGCGAGCAAGCGAACCGCCGCGAAGACGCTGCATCCTTCGATTCATCAAACTATATTCAAAAAGCCGAGACGGACAGAGTATTTTTGATCAAAAGTGGGATTCGGCAGCGACGACATGGATATGGGTGTGAGGGAGCTGTATGGCCAAGATGCAATACAGACACGAGTTGCGGATAAAGGCGAAAGACGAGAGAGGGGGTGGTGCGGAAAGAGCAGATGGCGAGCAAGCTTCGAGAGAGAGAGCACAGCGACGCTGGGTGAAAGGCGGCAAAGTCAAACGAGAGCTATCTGCAGTGCATCATCCGGAAGCAAGTGCTGTCGGCTCGGCAAACAGGACAGGCAGTTTAGAGGTCATCCGAAAAGGACTTGTCGGTGGCGGCGGAGGTGACGACGGCCGGGTTGCTGAAGTGCTTGTAGATGACGGCGTGGATGTAGGAGGGAGGGTTGTCGGCAACCTGGATTTTGACGTAGTAGTTGGTGCCGGCAACGACCTGGCTGCGGTAGGCCACAGGCACAAAGGTGGAATAGGTAGCGCTGGTCTTGGCCTCGATTTGAGGCTTGAGATCCTGCACCAGCTGTGGGCGGGAGACGGAAAGGCATGTGTGAATAGGTGGCGGCTATGGGTATGAAGCGACAGCGCCGGGCATCAAGCGACAGGAATCGAGAGCGATGCCGACGAGGGACGCAGTACAGGACCGACCTGGACGATCTTGGGATCGGTGGTGCTGTCGATGGTGGTGAGGGAAGCCTTTCCGCCGGGGTTCATGGCAGCAACGAGGGGGGACGAGAGGAGGGAGATGAGGGCAAGAAGGACAAGCAGCGAGCAGAGCTTGCGGAAGAGCATTGGAGAAAGCAGATGGAGGGTGGCGGACTCTTTACGATGGTCGCCAAGCAAAGGCCGAGTTGGTCGCCAAGCAAAGGCCGGAGGGGGCGCCGGGATACAGCCGGCCCACTCGGCACGGCGCGGGGTCTTGCTGTGGTTGGATACCCATTCGTGGGTGTCATTTGCTCTGTCCAATGATCACCCAACTCTCCAGCAACGATGCGTGGGACATGCCGAAAACTCGGCTGGCATCGCCCAGAGGACCCCGGCAGAAGCACCACGGCAGGGGCGAAGGGGCATCTTGGAACCCGGTTTCTTCTGTCGATGTCCTCGCTGTCCTGATCAGAGAGGGACATATCCCCACTCCAATCCCGAGATGCATTCAGTGCCACAGCCGGGCCCATCGACGGAGTATATCGTCTTCGAGGCTTGGGGTTTGGCTGGAGAGGAACTGATCAGGGCTGGCGATATGAACAAGACCGGAGTAGGGGTTGCCGCTGGTGGTAAGTCATACACAAGTTCCAAAGACATTTTCAAGGTTTGGGACGTCATCACAGGTCGGGTCAAGCGTATTTTCCAGGGACACACATCCCGGGTTCTCTCTGTGCTTCCAAAGGGTACTGGCTCACAGGTCCTTGGTTTGGCTGTCAAGGCCTATGCAGTCAACTGTGAGACCCACGTTCTCGATCGGTATTGGTCTCTCCTCCGTCGATACTGCAATCTGGTCCTGGTTGCTCCCAAGGATGTCAAACGGCACACACACGTCGATGAGTGCATGAAGCTGATGGAGAATCCCCTCTCCAAGACACTCCTCGGTGATCTGAGGAAATCCTTCACCCACCATGCCGACCAGCTGTATGAGCTTCGGTACGAAAGCCACCAGGACCTGTACAAAGTCGTACCAATTCTGGCCAGTGAGGTCTCTCGACTGACCCACCTGAAGGAGGCCCTCTTCATGGTGGTTTTCCAGAAGTTGATCATCTCCAGGCTCGTGAGAGAAACCATTGGCCTGAAAGGAGAGCGTGGGCGACTGAATGAGGAGATGTGTCGCGCTATCGAACGTAGGCTGCCTGACAAGCACAACGCACTCCAGACCCAGCACGATGAGGTGGACAAGCAGATCACTGTCAACATGAAACGGATCAAGCGCCTCACCGACCGGCTTGCCCAGACCAAGAAGCGACACAAGGCCCCTCGAGCACAGTGCACCTTGGTCCCGCTCTGCGATGCCCGAGCCAAGTATGTCAAGCTGGACACCAAAGCACTGTGGGAAATCCTTGGATACCAGACTGGCACTGGGCTCAAGTGGGACGACCTGAAGACCAAGGTCAATGGCACCACAAAGCAAGAGACCTTCTGGCAGACCAACTTCAAGCTGGATCCGAGACTCTTTGGTGCCAGGAAGGAGGGGAAGCAGCTCTTTGGCTGCGAGATCAGCACCGATGGGGTCGGGTGCTCGATCACCACGCTCAGATACAAGATCCTGAAGAAGGATCCTGATGCCAAGCCAAAAACCGAGGACAAGACACCCAAGCTCACCCCCGAGCAGAAGATCCAGACCAGAGTCGGTCCCATTGACGACTCTCGGACCACATGGATCGGGATCGACCCTGGAGTGGGATCGATCTTCACCGCTGTCATTCGGGCACCCGGTCAACCAACCATCCAGGAGCAAGACGGTGTCAAGGTGACCAAGGCACAGCGTGCCAACGAGAAGATCGTGTCGTTCTCCAACAAGGAGTACCAGCATCGATGTGGCACCACCCAAGCGACCAAGTGGATCCAGAGCACCCACAAGGCCCTTGATCTGCAGGAATGGATGAGCACCACACCGAGCCCCAAGATCCCTGGAGTGCCTTCTTTCTTGCGATACATCTACCATGTGTTCAATGGAGACATGCTGGAGAAACAGCTGTACTTCAGCCTGACCCGGCGACGGCGATTCAAACGGCTTGATCTCCACAGCAAACGACAGCGCACCGTCCACGAGATGTGCAAGCAAGTCATCGACCAGGCACCAAGGGAGACCGAAGTGGTGATTGCCTTTGGGAATGCATCCTGGAAACAGGGGAAGGGATACGCATCCAGTCCCAGGAGACTCAGGTTCGCCAAGTATTTCGAGCAGTTCCACCACCACCAGAGAGGCCCACCAGACCGATCCGTCTCCAAGATCCATGTGTGCTCGGTGAACGAGTTCAACACATCACAGGTGTGCTCACATTGTCGGGATGCCAAGCGACTCGAGAAGGTCGAGCATCTTGATATCGAGAAACCACACTTTGTCCGGAGCTGTACAAGCTGCCATACGCTGTGGGATCGAGACATCAATGCCTCAAGGAACATGATCTCGGTATGCCAGTCGATCATCGCCACAGGAGATCGACCGGGTGTATTCAAGACTGTGCTTCCCAAACCAACAAAACAAAGAGATTGCCAACGAAGACAGGAGTGCAATGCCATGGCCTACCCGCTGGGCCTACAGTCAGTCAGCGGGTTTCAGTCATCTGAAACCAGGAAGGAACTGTCCCGTTTCTTTCTGGACCGACTGTACACACCCCGCTCTGCGAGCGGCGGACAGCGCTCTTGCACACATTGAAAATGAAAGCAACCCCGCGTAGACTCTGCATCCGGACATGGCATCACAGGGCACGGCATCCAGGCACGTCGTCCGTCGCTGCTGGTTACTGCGGCTGCGGCTGCAGTTTGCGTTGTCGCTTCGGCTCTGGTCCACCAGCAATCGGGCCACTGCTCTCCGCAGCCGTTGCAGAAGCCGTCACCACACCAAACACCAACATCGTGGCTGCCGAGGCAACAATGCACCAGCTCCAATCAGCAGCAAGAGGTAGATTGGCGCCAATCGGGCCGTGCGAACGAGTGATGGTGGTGAGCAAGCTGCGACGAGTCCCGGTTGCCCAGGCCGAGCGGCATTCCGTGGCGAGGCCGTCAGGCGCTGCATCATGCCCCCATCAGGAGGGGCAGTAAACACATCAGGTGTCCGGCCGCGGGCACATCAGGCGGACGGGCAGGTGGGTTGTGTGGTGGCCAAGGGCCTGTGGCCCAGCAACGGAGAAGCAGCTGGGTCCTGGGGGAAGATGCGGGATGGTTGTGGGGTGGATGTGGAGCGGCCGCTGTCGTCCTTCCTGAGGCAAATGAGCGAGCACGGCCGGGCGGAGCAGACCAGGAAAAAAAAACGGAGGCGCCGATGGATGGGATGAGAAATGGCGGCACGGAAGAACGGAGGAGGCCGGCGGCATGAAGCATGGCAACGGCTCTGGCGGCATGGATCATGGTGGATGGAGGGCAGAGGATACAGTGCGACCAGCGGCAGCGAGGCCAGCACAAAGACGGCGAGGCCTGGCAATCCATACAGCAGCGGCAGGGCGAGGAGATGCCACGCAGAGCGACGGAGGTGGGAGTGGGAGAGGCCGATGCCCAGCGAACGAGGCAGCCGAGGAGAGCAAGCGTAAAGATGCGAATGTTACCATCTGGACGGTTACTATGCCCGGCAGGCAACAGCAATCCGTGCAATAACAAGCATTTTGATCGATGGAGCGACAGAGCAGTGGCAGCGAGAACAGGCCGAGCGAGAACTGCCCGAGCGAGAACAGCCCGAGCGAGAACAGGCCGAGCGAGAACAGGCCGAGCGAGAAGCCCCCCCCCAGCAAGGGCGGGCCGCCCTCGGCAAAAGCCCTTTCCTTCGGGGGTCGCCAACCCCACCCGCCCTTTTTGCACGGCATTGATCTGCAGCATTGGGTCCTTTTCCTTCTCCACCACACCGCCGAGGCCCTGCTATTTAGCCCTCCTGTCCCCTCTCTGCTCCTGCCCTCTGGTCCGGAAATCTCCGGGGAGCCGCCGCGTCCAAGGTAAGTCGTCGCCGTCCTGCGATTCGTCCTTGGGGAAGGGAGGGGAAGGAAGCACAGCGCTGTCGGCATTCGTCGTTCGTCTGCAGCATCGGCTTCGTGTGCTTCTTCAGTTTCGTGTGTCTCTTCAGCTTCGTGTGCTCCTTTACTTGCACCATTTCTCGCACTGTTTCTTGTGCTATTTCTCGCACTGTTTCCCCCCCCCCAAGTACTCGCCCAATTACCCCTCCCCGATTACCCGTCCCTCCCCAATTACCTCCCACTACTTGCACGGCTCTGCCGGTGCTCCTCCTCTGTCTCGCCGCGGCCCTGGGGATGGACACCCTTGGGCGTGATGCCCGCTGGCGCACTCACCCAGGGCGCCTGGCCGGCAAAGGGCAACATGGCGACTGCCTCCTGCTGGCTCGTCGCCTCCACCGCTGCGACCACTGCGACCACGGCGCGACTGGCACAAGAGCACAACAAGCAGACACAAGCAGACACGCTCTTGCACTTCCACTGACTGCCTCCGGTGCCATTGCCGCCTCGCCCTTTCTCGTCCTCGTGGTCTCGTCCTGGGCTGGCCGCGGCTCGCCCCCCCCCCAGCACACTGCCCGTTTCTGTCTCGGCCCGCTTCTGGGTTCGCTCTCGTCTACTCTTATTCTGTCCTGTTGGGTTTTACGGGATTTCCTGCTGTTCATACCGGCTGAATCGGGCGCCGCCATCCACTTAACCCCTCCGCCTCACCTCTCCCGGTCTCCCGGCTCGTCCGCGCCTCTATCCTCCCTCTGGCCATAGAACGCTCATCTTTCCTCCTGCCTGCCTGCCTGAATCGGATATCCTCGGCGGTTCGTGCAATTCTCTACCTGGCTGATTATGCGTTTGTCCCATCCCATCCTATCCCATCGCCCATCTCCCATCTCCCATCTCCCGGCTTGCGGCCCATTCGGCACAACCATCCACAGCCATCCACAACCATCCGCCGTGCAATTACGCCGTTGTCCGTGCAATTGCCCGCCTGGCCATGCGATTGTGTGCTTGGCAGGATCGGGCTGCCGTTCCGTTATTTCGTACGATTGCACCCACTGCTCGTGCGATTACGTTGGCTGCTCATGGCCTGGACGCTGTTTGGGCCGGCCTGTGTCTCTTGTCGGGGCTGCCATTGACTGGTGCCGCTGCCACCGGCAATTTCACCAGCCATTCGCAGCCTCGACTGCCCTTTTCGGTTCTCCCGCTGTCCACGGACAACACTATCTCTCCCCACCTGCTGCCTCGCTGCTTCTCCACTGTCGATCGACATCGGGGCTGCCTATCCATCCTTGCCCATTTCTCTCTCTCCCCCTTCCTTCGCTGTCTTTCTGCTCACTGCATCTTTGCACACCACCTTTGCTTGCTACATCTCTCATTCCGCAATCCGTCTCGCTTCCGCCTTGCTCTTCGGGCGAATGGTCGGCCATTGCGTGAATTCCTCGTTCCACTGTCTGCACACTCTCCGTCCCCATCCCGGCCACTGCCTTCGCATCTCATCCCTGTCACTGCCTTGGCTGCCTCGGCTGCCTGCTCGTACAGCCCCTTCGCCCGGTCTCTGTCTCAACTGCGCCAGTCTTTACTACCCACGCCGACGCCTCTGCTTGTGTGTTTCTCTGCACCCTCCGTGCACCCCCCCCCTCATCTACCGACCTCTGCTCTCGCTCGACCCTGGCTGCCCCGTTGACACTCCCAACGCCCTCACTTCTCTTGATCTTGCCGGCTTGCTCCCTTCTGTCCGGCCAACCCTGCTGCGTCTCCACTACTCCTCTCCACATTCGCCCCACAACGTCAATTCTCGCTGCCACTGCTCTCACTGCCACTTTGATTGTGCTTTATACCGCTCCTCCTCTTTGGACTCTGCTGCTTTTACTTGTATCGAATGCCTGGATTGCTGTGTTGTCGCCCTGCCAATTCTAACGCTTGCACTATCGTCTGTCTTTGCTGCTTCTAGACTGGCCCCTGTTCTCCTCTGGAATCCGCCTTCCGTTATCGTCGCCTCGATATAAGCCTCTATCGCCTGCCCACCAACGCCCGTCAACGACAACCGTCTTGTCTCCTCTGAACCTGCGTGCTCGTTTCTTCTCTGCCTTCTTCCCAATCGCTGCCCAGCTACTCCCAGTCAGCGTACCACTGCTTGCTTCCCTCTCGGTTTCTCCCAACCCATGCACTCCAATCTTTCGTCCCCGTCACTAGCCAGCACCACCACCGCGACGCTCTACTACCCAGTCACTGTCATCGATAAGAGTGAACTCGGCGGATCTGCACTGTTCAATGCCGTTACACAGAACATCGAAGACCTATGCAAAGTGGCGACGGAGACCACCTCCTGCCAGATTCTGTATGCCTCGGATCCGCTGAGCCTCTCCGATGCTCGTCAGCCGCTCGTCGCCGGCTCCCATAGCGCATACGAGTTTGTCTTTTCCATCACTCTCTCGGGTCTACCACAGCAAGTCGCTGGAGCCAGATCGCTCCTCCTCCGCAGCAACCCGAGCCAGGTCAGTTTGTCTCTCCTCTGCCTCTGGCGGGTTTGTGGACTTGATCGTCTTCGCGTTCTGGGCAGTCTCGGTGTCTGGGGGGTGGGACTGCCCGCGCTGTCGACGAGCAGTATGCCATCCTGACATTGGCAGTGTCTGCAATGTGCAGTCCTTGGTGTCATCCAGCTATTGCCTTGTCTGTCTGTCTGTCTGTCTGTCTGTCTGTCTGTCTGTCTGTCTGTCTGTCTGTCTGTTCTTGTGCTGCCGCTCTTGTCGCTGGCTATCCTGATACCGTTTTCGTCCTGCAATTGGTCGCCGTGGCTTTGCGAATCTCTCTGACCCTCTGCTCTCCACTCTACTCTCTGGTGCTGGTCTTTGTGCGATCATATCGATGCACTCGCTCAAACACACACCCGTCCTGGCAATCTTATCCTGCCGTCTCGAAACACAACCATGCAACCGTTTCCCAATGGTCCGCGACGCCTCAACCCCAACCAAAACACCGCTCTTGCCGCTTTGGGAACACCCCGTTTCTGCGCCCTGGTCGATCCATATATGGAAACCTCACTGGACACACGCCTTCCTCATTGATCGCCATCGTCGTCCTGTTGCGCCTCGTTGTTGACTTGCCCGCATGGCCTCTGCTTGTGGGGGGGGGGGCAAATCTTCTGGATTTGGTTCCTTTGGCTTCCCCTGACCTGTCTGGCTCGATGCACTTCCTTGCATTGTTCGTGCACTGTCGCCGGAATCTGGTTGCCTGATCAACGGACCCCGGATCACTGGCGGACAATCCTCGCTGGTCTCGGTTGCTTCTGGGTCGCAGGCATGCATCTACATCACCATCAACACCGCTCTCATCACAGCCCCAAACAACGACATCAAGCCCACCGTCAAGCGGTGGCTCGACGAGACCACTGTCGCCTTTGGCATCTGCATCGACCTCGTGCCGATCCAGAATCCGGCCTTCCCGGGTCCTTCCGACCGGCTGTACGTGGAGCTCTTTGGAAAGCGGGACCAAGTCGAGCTTGCACGGCTTCACTGTCTAGTTTATTTCGACCGACTGGTACGGACGCTGGGCGCTGCTGGACCTGGATGTTGGTGCTTGGTGCTTGCTCCTCGATTCGTGGCCCTCGATTCTTGGGTCGTTTCTGTGCCCCGTGTCTATTCTCACACTCACACTCACACTCACACTCACACTCACACTCACACTCACACTCACACTCACACTCACACTCACACTCACACTCACACTCACACTCACACTCACACTCACACTCACACTCACACTCACACTCACACTCACACTCACACTCACACTCACACTCACACTCACACTCACACTCACACTCACACTCACACTCACACTCACACTCACACTCACACTCACACTCACACTCACACTCACACTTCGCATGCTCTGGCTTTCACCCCGTAACTCATCCAACGACGGTACCGGTCAACAATCCCCTGCGCCCCGACCTGCCAATGCTGCTTATCAGCTCGGTCTCGACGTTGCCGAACTCGATGTCGACCCAGTCCACCAACCCATCCTTTCCGGCAAACAGCGCATCAACCTCACCACGATCATGAGCGAGACCTTGACCAACATCTACGTTCCCTCGCCGATGCCATCAATAATCTCTCTCGGCCACCCTGCGTTATCGCAGTTTTCGCGTATCATCATCACAGGCGATCGACAGGGCGTCGAGCTAGCCAAGGCCAAGCTGGCCCAGCTCCGCGATTCGATGGTCAGTAGCTCAATCAATTCTCGCTTGTACCGTTCGCTTGAGCTACATCGTGTATTGGAAGGGTGCGGGAGGCTTTGTCAAGCAGGAGCTCACCCCATCATGCAGTTGATATCCGCTACCGGAGCCGGAATGCCCCTCGGCTGGTTGCAGTCGACGCATGATTGGTGTCATAGTGTCTCTTCTGGCACACTATACTTCCCCGCTTCTTCCCTTCGGGTCGTATTCTGTACTCACTCAGTGCTCGCCCGTCTTTCACAGCTGCCGCGCATCAAGACCCGGCAGATCCCGGGACTGCATCGCAAGATCGACTGGATGTGGATGAATCGTCGCGAAGGCGTCCTCAAGATCATCAAGGACAACGCCACCTTTGTCCGTTTCCCGCTGCTCGAGAGCAACGAGACCGACATCTTTGTCTTTGGCGAGGACGACGTTTATATTGACAGGGCTGTTCGGGCCCTTATGCTCCTTGTACGTGCGAGCTCAGTCCCCCCAAGCAGCGATTTGCAGGACGGTTGGAGAGAGAGATTTTAGGAGTACGAGTCAACAGCGACCCTTGCGGCCCCTTCAAGGGTCTGATTCTTGCAGCACGTGCTTTCAAAGTGTCGCTGCCATGACTTCGTCGTCGGTCTCACCCATCAGTTTGTTCCGTCTTCTCGTTGATCTTGGCAGGCATGCGAGCTTTACGTTGCCCTGATCCAAATCGGCCCCATGGCTCCTCCAAAGATCACGCCGTCCCCTCCGAAAACCAACTCGCCCTCTCCCTCGGCGCTGATACCTGGTTTTCATATCCTGGGCTCCATCATTGGTGGGATCTGCCGTCGATCTCGCGCAGAAATCATCTTCCAGAAGAACTTTGTTCAGATATACGGCGAGGGAAGCTCAATGAAAGAGGCCTTCAAGCGGGTGATCGCCCTGGATTTTATGGAGGTATGCGCTCGAGATTCGGCATGCTGATGATGCCCATGCGTGCACGCGTCCGAGGTTCCACTCGACCAGGAGACTGACTGCTTTGGTGGTCCTATATCATGAACTGACGCACATGTGTGTAAACATGCAATATCCACAAACATGCACGCTCTCTTCTACTCTTCCTCACTCTGTTATTCCAGGATATCGTTCGCGACATCAAGTTTCAGCTTGAGCTTGCCCTCGAGCACCGCGAGTTCATCAACGGCAAAAAGAACGGCAAGATCAACAAAATCATTCGCAGCTCGGGGTGCCGCATCTCTTTCCAGGAGATGGGGCCGGTCAACATGTTCATCGACATCTGCAACTCTCGGCCTGAACAGGCGCTTGAGGCCCTTGCCCTGGTTGAGGATGAGCTGCCGGCCGAGATCTCGTTTCACGTTAACGAGAGTCATCACAAGCGTATCATCGGCGTTGGCGGCAAGAATATCCAGCGGATTATGAAGAAGCATGGCGTCTATGTCAAGTTCTCGAACGCAGAGGAGTACGCCCGGACAGGGGGCTACGCAGAAAATATCGACAACGTCATCGCGAGGACACCGACAAAGAACAAGGCCAACTTGGAGCTGTTAAAGGCTAGCATCATGGAGCTTGTGGTTCCACGGGTATGTACTTCTGATATCTCAGGGTCTTTGGACGCGAGAGCAACGGTTGATTCCTCTCCCCGCTGTGTCTCGTCCTTGAGATGCAAAAATACGGTTTTTGGCAAGCATATCCATATGCTGGAGGTGGGATGGAGATGGGATGGAGGTGGGAGCGCATTGCATTTGGACTGCAGCCAGCGTGGTTTCATGTACCGGTCGTCCCGAGGCGCTCCTCCGGACGTCGTTGGTTTCCCTGTTGAATGGAATTATCCTATGACTGGCGTTTGATCGGATGCAAATATCTCCTGCGAGTCGCTCGAGTCCCCTCCCTCTTGATCAAAACCATTGTCGTCGGCCGCTGTTTTGACCCGGATGCGCTCCTTCCTTCCAACAGGACCAGGCAGACGAATGCAAGTCCGTTGCCGTTCCGCGCGATTTCCACCGCATGTTATGTGGCCTGCGTGTCGCGCATATCCGTGAACTTGAGCAGAGCTACAAGGTGCAAACAGTCTTTCCAGAGCGCGAGTCAGGCCAGGATGATGTCCAGCTCAAGGGCCCTTCTTCCCATATCCAGCAAGCCGCGCAGGTGTTATGGGTAGGTGACAACGGTGTCTGGCTCGGTGCACGGCACTAAATGAGAGGGGATGAGGCGGAGGTACGCATTCATCTCCATTTCGCTGCCAGGCGCATATCCTCCAGCACATGCCAATGCAACAGGTGGATGTGCTATTTGCAGGCCAGCACACTACCTCGGAGACCAGCTGATCTTTTTCTTTTGCCAACGCGCACACATCACATCCTCCGCCTCCCAATGGGGTGTTTCTGTTCGTGCAGAATTTGGTGCCGCAGATGACATCAGTTCATATCCCCATGTCAAAAGCTGTGCGCGAGCACATCAAAACGCCCGAGTTCAAGGATACCGTCATGCGGCTCCGTCAGGAGTTTTCGACCGATCTCTCTGTCTACCTCCCCCCGGATGAAGCCATGGCCGATGGTATCTTCAACCTCTTCTACCCACGGACACAAAGCCCTGGAAAGATCGAGGAGGCAAAAGCTTTGCTCAAGGACGCGGCCTTTCGAGCTTCATTTTCTGCACAGCCGGGGGCGAGTCGGATACCTACGGTTGCACCGAGCTTTGGGGGCTCGGGTTCGCCCGCATCCATGTCACCATTTAATCACTTCAACAGCAAGCTGATCACTCCGATCATTGGAGGTTCGTATTTGCCCTAGAAGCGGCGTGCTTTGCCTCTCCTTCGAGACATTGCGGAGAGAGAGAGAGTGTGTGTGTGTGTGTGCGTGATGCTTTCTGCAGCTCGTATTCAAGCCAGTGCGCAACTTCAACCCAACCTCCTTTGCAGGACATACCATCGGGGACTACGGGTCCCCGCCCGCGCTTGGCGATTATGCCCCATTCGGCAACAGTGCTGCGTTCATAAACTCGCGTCGGGTAAGTCCTTTATTCGAGAGTCACAAGTATGGAGGATGGGAAAAGGGCCAAACAATGAGCAGTAAACATGACTCTGTCGCCTGAGTCCGGCCTTTACATCGGCAGTGGTATTGATCATCGTCATTCGATTGCGTCTCGCATCCACTCTGTGTCAAACCAAGCCCCCGCTGAGATTTGCACATTCCACCCCGGACCTCAAATCAATTTTTGATATCAATCAAGCCAGTGTGCACGAACGAACACCATCCACAAGCGAGGTCCTGGCTGACCCACAGTCGTTCCTCTCCTCGACCTTGATGGCCACGTCCATTTCATCCATGTCGGGCCCGGACTGGGGTAGTCGGGGTACAGCATCACTGGTACGGACATGACCTTGCCACGGTTCGGATCATATCCCGGGTGACGTATGCAAGAAGCCGCTAGGATGAACTTGTGGCAAATGCAGGAAGGGGAGAGGGGCGAATCAAGGACATACCACGGCCTAGATCAATCCCATCTTGCAGACTTGTAGAATGCATCGGAGTGTGCCTCGAATCTGGTTCCTTACCAGTGTGTCACCGACCCAAGGCGATAACCTCACACACACATACACACACACACTCTCTCTCTCTCTCTCACTCTCTCCCTCCATCAGCCGCGACACAATCCCACGTCTGCGTTTGCTCACACGTCCGTGATAGGCGTGCCTTTACCAAGAGTTTCGCTGAGTGACGCTGCCAATGCGCCCATATTCACATCCAATTCATCAATCCCTGAGGGTGCGCTTGATAGCCCACAACTCAAAGTGCCCACAAGCCTGAATCGCGGCAAGGCCCTTTCTCGAAGTATGCCATTCACTTCGATGGAGCAGGTATGGCTCTAGTTCATATATCCGTCAGGAGCCTTCCCAGCACTCACAGAGGCCGATCAAATCTTAGCTTGGTATCTGTGTCTGGATTCATGGATCTTTGTCTTGTTCTGGTTGCTCATTTGCTCATTTGCTCATTTGCTCATTTGCTCATTTGCTCATTTGCTCATTTGCTCATTTGCTCATTTGCTCATTTGCTCATTTGCTCATTTGCTCATTTGCTCATTTGCTCATTTGCTCGCATCCCACATCCTACCGCTCAGGAGCGCGTAATTCATCGACCTCCTGGACTCCGAGATCCGTCCGTCTTTAATCCGATAGGTAAGCCCAGTGCTTTGTGGTGGCCCACCGAGCTCTGCTGCAGCCCGGCGCGTCTCCAACTGACAGCGTCTCAATTCCCACCCGGCTATCTTGCATTCCAGACCTTGAGTCTTTATACCAGCAGCAGCTCTCGGCAGATGAGCTCCATCGCCAGCTCGAGGGACTCGGACAGCCGAATGAGCCTGATTATGCTGGTAGGCAGTCGCTTGCGCATTAGTGATGCTCGACTGGATGACCGGCTCACTCCCCTGGTTCTGAGACTCACCTTTATTCATTTTGCCATCGTTGCGACGATCACGAAACCTGCTCAGCCGTGGAGGGACTTCTCAAGGATATCGGGCTCGACCGGTACTATGGTCTGCTGCGGGACGCGGACGTTGACATACACATGCTTATGACTCTCAAGGACCCCGACCTCCGGGATCTTGGCATCTCGGATTTGGCGGCACGAAGGAGACTCTTGAGTGCTATTGGAGACTGCAAAGAACCGGATGCCTTCAAAGGCGGGCGCAAATCGCCTCCGTCACCATCATCTCCATCACCGGACTCGTCGAGTCGGTTCCTGGGATCATCGTCCTTGGGCGTGCCTGGTTATAGTATACAGCCGACGCCTGGCTCGGATCGCGGCAGTGGCGGCCAGGGCCATGGTCGGGGCTCCGCCCAACATCAACCCCAAAGCCAGCAACGACAGGCGCCTCAGCCAATCCAGCAACGCACACAGTCACATCCGCCAATATACCAAGGCTCTGAAGAGTTGGTGAAGTCGCTTTTGGGGCCTCTGCCTGGTCTGGTGTCGTCTCAGGACGTCAAGCCCAAAGCGCACGACTGCGCGACGACCGGGGCTCTGTTCCAGGATTCATTTACCCACCACCTCAAGTCCACAATCGATACCAGTTTTGGTAAGGAGCTCGTTTTCAGAGACCGCCCGGATTTCTTCTACTTGACCTCACCGCACTGCCATTGATCCACTCACACACTCTCCTTCACTTTGGTTTCCTCGATCCTTGGATACGACCGTCGCGGCCGGCGACACTGTGCTTCAAACACATTGCCTTGGGTGTGGCCACAGAAATGTCAGAGGGTCGGAACGCTGAAATGGCCCGCTCGTAGCACCCCGCATGACAAGTTTTTTTCATTTCCCTTTCCTTCTTGTTTCTATTTCCAATTGACTTTCAGCACGATTCCCTTTGACTCATCCCCAACCCCTTTTCAGCATCCATTTCTCAAGATAGCGACCAGACCCTTGCCACAACTGCCGCCTCCTTCATCCTCTCGAGAATCGTGGTGTGCCATCCAAACCACGCCCCCCACCCATACTCTTTACTAATGGATATCAAGCCTCCCACACTTATTGCATCTTAATTTTCAGCGCTCAGAAAAAAAATAAAATAAATCAATGCAGCCAATCCAATAAAAAGCAGGCTTTAGTCGTTGAACAAATATGTTATCACTCAATACATCGCGCGCTGGCTATGACCATTCAGTGATGTGTTTCTGGATCTGAATCAAGGACGCTTTCTCGCACGGATGGCTCTCCACAAGCGAAAGATACCACCTGGGCGACGGCGATTCAAGCGACTCGATCTCCAGGTGTGCCCACAGAGCCGGGAACCCAAGCAACTCGAGAAGGTTGAGCATCTTGATATCGATGCACCACGGAACTGTCCAGAGCGTCGAGTGAATGCACCACACCCCCACATCGAGTGGATGCACACACTCCCACATCGCCACAGGGGATCGACCAAGTGTATTCAAGACTGCGCTTCCCAAACCAACGAAAACAAAGAGATTGCCAACCAGGATGGGAAACAATCGCATGGCTTGCTCACCGGGGCCTACGGAAGCTCAGCAGACTTGGGTCGCCGATGCCAGAAAGTGACTGTCCCGCTTCTCTCTGGATGGACTGTATCCTCCGCACAGCACCATTCGTGAATGCATTCACGAAGACCACTCTCGCCCCAACCTACCGCCGTGGCCACGACCGACCAGCAGGCATATGCACCCCTCTCGGTCCGAACCCTCGTACTCTAGCCATCGAATCACATAAAACTCCACCCTCCCCCAGTCCGACCGAGCCAGGCAAAGTTGGTATGGCAGCGTTGCTGGCGCCGACCGGACCTTGAGAAGCTTCCAACCCCCCTCCAATATGCCGATAGGACGGACTTCGGACGCCCGAGTAGTTCGACCGGCCGCTCCCTCCGCACATTCAGACGGCCCGTGGGACGACGCAGCTGTCCGGCCACGGACGGCGTTGCCACGAGGGGCGTGGCCCGCTTGTCCAACCTGCCGAACGGATTTGGAAACGGCGGCTGCCCGGCTCGCTGTCCTCGAGCAGAAAAAGCCCTGCCTCTGCCAGCGGTCCGTGCCCCTCGCTTCCCTTGAATTGTCGGTTCGCCCCGGTGCTGCCAGCTGGGTACTCCATCGTTTACTCGCCCACGCCCGCTCTTGTATCTCTGCCATCCGTGCCAGTCATGACTTCCAAAAAGCGATCCCGAGCCTCCTACAACTACCATCTGCAGCCCAGCAAACAGAGGCGCCCGGCTGCCATCAAAATTGTCCTCCCAGCGACCCCTCCGCTGTCCAAAGACGTCTCCCCGGTCGAAAGAGAAACTCCCCAGGCCAAGCATTTTGGTGAGTTTGCTTGTTAATGGCAAGGATCCGGCCCCCGCTCGTCAAGAGATTTGGGAGGTGTCTTTGACCCAGCAACCTGACGCTTCATCTTCCATATCACCAACTCCAGCGATTGATAAGATCTCAGAACCTGTCAGCGAGATCCATGAACAACAAGCTGCTCCTATCACGAGCATTCCTCGATCCCTTGAACCGGGCCCTGATGTACAAGCTTTGATTGGCGACCAGACAGCCAACACCAGCATCCCAGCGGCTGCCATCGATGGAGCCGTGATCACTCCTGAAGTCGATCAAGCTTTCAACGACTTCAACTTTTGGCGTCCATCGTTCCCTAGTCTTGATCTCGAACTCGGAGAAGCCCCTATCAAAGAATCGACCCGATCCCCCTTGGATTGGTGTCAGTCGGCCGAGTCTAGTTCCCAGGCATCTGTCCGAGCGGATCCAGTGGCTAGCAGCGCTCCAACTAATTCAACTGCACCAGCCGCTGCAGTTGGTGCCAAACTCAATGAAACCAAGACCTCGAAGCCCAAAGCTGCCAACAAGTTCGTGTCTGCCCCCGAAACGACATCGTCCAGAAAAGCCAAGGTCACCGAGAATCTCGGCCCCAGGGAGGGCCAGGCCGTGCAGCCGACCAGCCAGGCCAGGATTTTGGCTTCGTCCGGCCCTGAAGCCACACAACTGTCTGATGCTGAGTCAACGCCAGTATTTGACTGGTCCGAGCCCTTCTTGGGAGGCGGCACTGACTATGTGGAAGCGGATGAAAGGGCATACTTTGGTCCTTTCAACCGCGCTGCTACAGTTATTGATGGACCAAAGGCCGCCGATACCTTCGTATCGCCACTGCTAACGAGCCATCCAATCGAAGCAAAGCCCTCTCCCGATCTTGTCGAGTCAATCTTTGGTCCCAACGCCAAACGAGCCCTGCCTCCTCCCATGTTTACAGCAGATCGTAAGCCTGGATACTATTACGCCAGCGTGCCGATTCATGGCCCTTCCAGCTCAAGCTCAAGCCGCGCCAGCGATCATCCTGGTCAGAACAGCACTGCTCCTGCTGCAGCACAGTCCACCTTTCACCAGGTCAACGCCAAAGACTACATCGATGCTGAAGAGCGAGTGTATTACGGTCCGGTGTCTCGACACTGTCAGCCATATGAGCTTGTCCTCGAACGTCTCACGGACCCAGCTTCCGCTGGTCAGAACCAGCCAATCAAACGTGAACAGCTCAAGTCGAACTCCAGTCTGACCGCTGCAACAGCGCCAGCTCGAGTAGCGCACGACCAAAGCGTCCCAGCTGAGAACTTTACCAACAGCGTTCAGCTGATGGTCGAAACCCAGCATCAATGCGAAAGCATTCGAGATGCAAACCCATTCCACCGCAAAACACCGTTTTGGCTGGACGATCCGATCGCCGCTTCCGCCCCGATGCCGGTGAACGGCAGAGTCCCAACGCCAAGCGAGTATCTTGATGGAGAGGAGCGTCTCTATTACAGTCCATCCAGAGAGAAGCGGGACAGTCACTTTCTGGCATCGGCGACCCAAGTCTGCTGAGCTTCCGTAGGCCCCGGTGAGCAAGCCATGCGATTGTTTCCCATCCTGGTTGGCAATCTCTTTGTTTTCGTTGGTTTGGGAAGCGCAGTCTTGAATACACTTGGTCGATCCCCTGTGGCGATGTGGGAGTGTGTGCATCCACTCGATGTGGGGGTGTGGTGCATTCACTCGACGCTCTGGACAGTTCCGTGGTGCATCGATATCAAGATGCTCAACCTTCTCGAGTTGCTTGGGTTCCCGGCTCTGTGGGCATGATTTTTGTCATGATACCGATGACTAAGTGCGGATTCAGCCCGAACATCAACAACCCTGATTCGAAATAGGGTGCGCCGCTTCAAACAGGTGCTTTTAACAGCGAACTGAAGCAGGATACGTCAACGCGCGGAATGATTATGTGGATTGAATAATATCAATTGATACGCGCGGATAATGTCGATCGGCCCTCGAACTCCATGATATCCGCTCGCCTGGACCCTCTGGCGATATTTCTCTGTCTTGCGCCGCCCATTGACGACTCTCGGACAACCTGGATCGGGATCGACCCTGGTGTGGGATCGATCTTTACCGCTGTCATTCGGGCACCCGGTCAACCAACCATCCAGGAGCAAGACGGTGTCAAGGTGACCAAGGCACAGCGTGCCAACGAGAAGATCGTGTCGTTCTCCAACAAGGAGTACCAGCATCGATGTGGCACCACCCAAGCGACCAAGTGGATCCAGAGCACCCACAAGATCCTTGGTCTGCAGCAATGGATGAGCACCACACCAAGTCCCAAGATCCCCGGGGTGGCTTCCTTCTTGCGATACATTCGCCATGTGTTCGATGGAGACATGCTGGAGAAACAGCTGTACTTCAGCCTGACCCGGCGACGGCGGTTCAAGCGACTCGATCTCCACAGCAAGCGACAGCGCACTGTCCACGAGATGTGCAAGCAAGTCATCGACCAGGCACCAAGGGAGACCGAAGTGGTGATTGCCTTTGGGAATGCATCCTGGAAGCAAGGGAAGGGATATGCATCCAGCCCACGGAGACTCAGGTTTGCCAAGTATTTCGAGCAGTTCCACCACCACCAGAGACGACCACCAGACCCATCCGTCTCCAAGATCCATGTGTGCTCGGTGAACGAGTTCAACACATCCCAGGTGTGCTCACATTGTCGGGAAGCCAAGCGACTCGAAGCCAGAGAGAAGGGGCCTGGCTCGCTTCTTTCTGTGTATATACTGGTGATGATGGCTCTTGGTCATGGATGGGTTCTAATTGTTTCATCCAATACGTGGCTTGCTGGAACGCAGGTATAAGGCAATTTGGTTCATGGTATTCGTACTCTTACATGATGACAGTCTCCATTATGAACTCATTGGATATAACACCATGCTATATCGAAAAGAGCACATGACCAGAAACCTCGACCGCATCCAGATACTCCCTCTCAGATATGTTTCCATGCTGGCGCACGAATCTCACGATTCTCTGGATTTCGTCTTTCGGGAAGTCATCCACTGGTATCAACTTGAGGAGTTGAACAAATGTCGTGTGATCGAATGGGATCCTGTCTTCAATAACGCTGTTATTGACGAGATATTCCGCCAGTTGATTGAATCCGTATGTTGTAGTCATAAAAGCGAAAACGAAATAAAATTGTGAGACTGGCCCTTTGAGCATGCATTCAATATGGCTTGCCAAGTAAGCTCTGAATGTATGTGGGGGTTGTGGCCTGGCCCTCAAACTGTGATTCATCTTGGATTGCTCACCTCTTGATTTTTGAAATCAATAGCTGCTCTGTTTCGGATTTTTCGAGCTTGATTCCACCACTGTTGACAACTTTATTGAGCAGATCGTGATACCACGGATGGTTACGAATAAGTTGTGACCTTTCGGATCTTTTCTGAATCGCCGCTTTCTGTCGCATAGCGCTGAGGTCATCTACGTAAATTGTGTTCTACACCATAGTACCAGTAGGAAGAGCGGGCCAAAAAACGTAAATGACCATTTCCAAAGCAATCCATGTCATCCTGTCCTATCCTGTTGCTCTGACCTTGCCAATGCTGAATGCCTTGAATTTACGTTCAAAATTATCCTTCCGTTCGACTTCCATGCTGTAGTGCCGCAATGGACGGTATTATGACCAAGTTATTTCCCCAGTCGCTACTCACAGTTTGTCGAGCTTTTCAGCTCTGCACGAGGGTCACACTGGAAACAAAGCTCACTGAAACAGATTGTCTTCCAAAAGATAGTTTAGCCGCGACTTGCGCTCGTAGGTTTGATCTCGAGTTTTGAAAAACTATGGAGAGCCCATATCGCTTGTTACTATAGATGGATAGCCTTGGCAGGTCATCACGCCTTTCGTATCCGGCTAAAACGGGCCCACGCTGTCATATTTTTCATTTCTGCCAACTATTCAGCTCACTCATTTGAACAATTATGCGTAACAGAAGTGTGCTTTGGAACGGTCGATGCCACTTACCTTCTCTGTGGGCGAACTATCATCTTTTGGACGGCTCGAAGCTCTGGACTTGTATCGCGCGGAATCATTGGGTCGCCCCGCTTTCTCGCTCTTGTCGTTATCGGCAGAGGCAGCTAACTTAGTTTTACCAATATTAGCCTTTGAAGCATGTCGAGCTATGCCTGACTGAAGCTTCCGTTTCTTCTTTTTGTCCTTGTTCGAAGCATATGGTCCTATGAGAAGCTGTCTGGCAATCTCGTCCATACTGAGTGGAACTTCATCTTCGGCTACATCCGCCATTCCTGCACATGAATCCAGTCTGATCAGTTTGCTTGCTTGCTTGCTTGTTTGTTATTTTCTTGGTATTCCTCCCACATACAATTTCATGATGGAGTTGGTATCTCAGGAGCACTAATAAGCATACCTTCCAATCTAAATCCAGGCCTTTGTGTCAAGGTTTGTCAATTAGATGATGTTACTCAGTGGCAACTTGCTCCACAGATACACCACCTACCCTGATCGCGCCTTCTTCTGCTGACTGATATCTGTCATATCGTTCACCATTGGCTTTATCCCTTTTGTATAAACAATACTTCGGCTCAGTATAGAATGCAAGGAAACCTGCTTCTGGAGATAGCCTTACCAGTTTCGGAGTTTTCCCGGAGGAATTTGTCGTAAAGGTTGGTAAAGTAGGCTTGGCGATCCTTATCGACTTTCAAGTGCTCCCAGTCGACCTCTATACACCAGGCAATTAATTATTAATTGCTGTAATATCATCAGGGAAATCCCCCTTAACTCGATCTCCACACCAAGGCGTTTGAACTAATGCTACCTACGATCGGGGAGTTTGCTTGAGCCGGAGTTTTCATTTTTGGCGTATTTTGCGCGAATATCGACACAGGTGTCTTCGAAAGGGATCCCAAACTATCATGGCCGTCATTCGAAAAAGAACCCCGAATAAGAAAGCCTGCAAGGTCGATCACCGTATGGTCTAGGTCATCCCCCCCCCCCAAAGAAAAATTCGAACCAAAAAGGGCGAAATACTGGATGCACTTTGCCATAATGAATTAGTGATGCTTTCACTGCTCCTGGGATGCATCTCAGCGACTTGTACTATAGCTTGACATATCCACGACCAGGTGCAATTTTAAGATCACCTTGACATTGTGCAAGCGAGTTTTTGAGTCGTCGAGCTTTTCTTTGATTGCGTTGTAGCCATTTTGCTTCTGGGAGAGCATATTCGCTTGTTGGAAGTGGTCCACAAGGGCATTTGCGTAAAGTCAGGATGTGATCCGTAGCGCGATCCATTATCATGCAGTTTCTCCGATAAGCAGACTCCTGGAATTGCTTGAGATACTCTGTCGATATCATGACCATACTCGCACAAACAGACATATTATCCCTCGCTGTTGATTCAGAGATCTATCCAACCACAACTCGACTCAGCAACCCATTGAAGTTGTGATCGTCATCCCTTTACTTCCCCCGCCTCCATTCACGAGTTCGGTGATCGATAAATACCCATCTTGAGTCGAGCGACGGCTTTCGCGGCCTCTGTCGCTTTTGACACCACTTCAGCCTGACGCTCTCGGGTCGGCCTGCAGAACAAGTTGTACAGAGCAGCGTAGTAGTAAAGTTGAAGACGATTGGCCTTGGCACTCGTTACAACTTGGCATTGTTTACGACATACCGATGAAACACTTCCGGTTCAAGCTTCAAGCATTCGGCAATGAGGCGATCAGAGTCCAAAATCGGATCACCTACGAGTCAGACGGATGGCTTAGGCTCCACATCATGTCGCGCCCACTGTAAAGTTATTGTGAGATCGAGCTTATGTGATTGGTAGTCAGCTCTCTCCACGTACCTAATGCTCGGTATGGCTCCTTTGGATCTGACGAAAAGCCACAACGCTCAACATCCTGTCAAAATAAGGTGGGAGGGAGAGGTTCATCAGGTTGAAAGATCCTTTGTTTGGACCCAAAGGGACAAAACTTTGCTTTGACGTGCAGAATGGTGTTGACAAGGCCGAGGAAGCCAAGTCCGTGAAGGCAGCGATGATGACGACATGCATTTTCTTGCCTGGGACCTGCGAGCTTTCTCGCTGTTGATCCACTGGCTATTGCGAACAAGGTATTGATTTTCCGTTCGCTGAAAAACTTTCTCTGGTTCATACTGTTTGAGACGAGCAGGCGAGTTCTCGATTATGGCCTGGCGGACGGCGTACGATAAGGCCGAAGGCTTCTCACTTGAATCCTTCTGGAAATTTCCATAGTGTGCGAGATGGCCAAACCCGTGACGAGTCGGTGCGGATCTTGAATTGGTAGGCGCAGTCACTTGAGACGGGGCACTCGCTGAAGTTGGCCCTGATCCTGTTGCAAGATCCATGATCAGTTGTGGATGACCTTGAAAGACTCTATGTAGAATGCTGCCGGATCAAACCAAATCGTGCCGCCGAGCAACGATGATGGCAGTGACTCAAGCTTGATGTCAAGCTCGGTATCCGTGCGAACACGTTCGTTTGAGCCGGTCAACCGGGATATCTCGACTTTGGCAAGAGCCTCGAGCCTCGGTGATGATTCACCAGCGTCGGAGCAAGGACGTTGAGATACCGGCAGTTCGCCGCGACTGAAGACGGCCGAGGTGGCGGAGGCGCTACTGCTTGCAGCGCAGAGGAGACGAATGGGTTTAGAGAAAAGGTCCAACCGTAGGCTTGGACACCCAGACCAGACAGCAATGCACTTGCGAACGACAACCGGAGGCCCAGGTGCATATGTCGTCTGCCTTGTGTGACTCGGCCTCGAGCACCAACAATACGAGCGTGCACTGATTGGCCAGCGGCTGCGGCCAGTGCACGTCACGCCTGGGTCACAGGATGGCGCACACGTGACTCTTTGACTGGAGCGGCCTGGGCGCCAAGCGCGCGGCCCAAGCGGCCCAACCCAAGTCGCAGCGGCTCGACCCAGCGCCCCCAGCAGCCTCTGCCGCGCTGTCTGCGACTGCTGGTTTTCAAACATGGACCTTGGATTGCCGAGCTTCACCGTCACCCTCAAGGCGGCTGATGAAGACGATCCTCAGCTGCTTATAACCTGCAGCAAGGTTCGTTACCATTCTCGTGGCAGCGCAGTAATCTGCCGCTGGTCCCCATGAATCTGCGCAATCGATTGACAATAACTCGGCGGATGCGGATGCTGATGCTGGATGAACAACAGGACGGCGTAGCCGAGTCGCCCTGCAAGCGAACCTTTTCAGAATTCGAGCGGCTCCATGCTCATTTGTCGGCAACGTATCCAGACTCAATTGTGCCGGCGTTACCCCGAAGGGTGACCCAACTCCAGATCACCGAGATCCGCCTGGGCGAGTTCCTAAACAGCGTCTTTGGGAACGAGCGGCTTCGAAGATCGGAGGTGCTTGGACTATTTCTTGATCGAACCCAGTTTGCGGTATGCACGGTACTTGACTGTCGCTGGATCTAGTCTTTACCAGCGTGCTTCTGGTGGGGAACTGGCTGTCCCTGTCAGGAGGCGGTGATGACCGGCAATAGCTCGATGGGCCGCCATGCAGTTGCGACTTGGATTGGTCAGCGATTATTGACTTTGGGAATCCTGTGGACCTCTAGTTTGCCCCTCCAGCTCCAGTTGCGAGACGAAATCAGTCCAGTCTCTTTTCCGGGCTGATGCCGAACCCACAAACAAAGGAAATCGACTCCTTCTTTGTCAGTGCTGCGGCAGAAACTACATACTTTCAAAGCCAATGCGGCCGTTGGGGAAAGTTAGACGAGCAACTTTCATGCCTTGTTCAGGGTTTGTGCACTCCTATGGCTTCTATGCATGCCTTTCGGAGTTGATACCTGCAGACAGCGCGACCGCCTGAGCCTCGGTCTGGATGCTCTGTCCAGGAGCTATGTGCTGGATGTGGCGCTTGTTGCTCGAATGCCATTGAGAGCTTTGCTTTTCCGAAGTGGCGAAATGAAAGTGCCAGGGGAATTTTGCAAATGCAAAACGAGAAAACAGTGGTGCGAACACTTTCGACGATAAAACTTGTCCAAATGGGCTCACGCACAGCCATTTCCCAGAGAATGGTCGACTATCAATGGATTTTGGAACAAAGCTCGGTCAATTCATGGAAACAGCCAGTGATCGGTTACCGGGGTGAGTTTCGAGCGCCTCATCTATCTTTTGAGCAGCTACCTAGAAGAGTTCATCGAACAAGCGCTCTATCCCGTCCTGACCTTGTATCTTGCCCTAATACAACAACAACAACAACAGATCCCTTTGGAAGATTGCGAAGATGCTCCAAAAAGCAGATGATGTTGAGGCAAATATGGTGTGTCCTCTACTGATTGGAGCTTGTTAGAACGCCTATGGAACCTTGTGGATTAAAGACATCTTGGGAGCTGAGTGTCGAGCTCTCCGCGGGTGGGAGGGGCCTAACGACTAGACGATGGCCGTTCATCGAATACTCAACGAGCCACCACCACCACCACCACCACCACTGTCGTCGCCGTCATCGTCATCATCATCATCATCATCATCATCATCATCATCATCATCATCATCATCATCATCAGTGCGAGTTTTATCGACAGCACGGCGAGACCTGGCTGTACTATCAACGAAAAGCACAGGCAGTCAACGTAAGTGAAATAACAGCTGGTTTGAGTAGACAAAGACTGATCAAACCCAAGGGCGTGTTTTCAGAGCGGGTGGAAACTGCAGCAGCTTATATACCACCCATGTCTGATAGGACTTTGGCAGTCTGTTTTGAGCCATCGCATGCAGGTACTTGGAGCCTACGAAATGTGCTGCAAAATCACCCAGAAGAAGATTCTGGCCATGGAGAAGCTCAAGTCCTCCACAAGTATACGGGCTGAGAAAGTCGATATGGCTCTGTCTGAACTATCGGAGGTAAGCATGACACGAGCCGAGAACAGCCTTCAAGAGTCTAGAATGGCCAATACAGAGTCGATTGACGATGCGCCGAGAACGGAATGTCCAGATCTTGAATCTTCGATGGCCAATACTACTCCCTTCGTTCCTTCGGGCACCAATAGGCCAAGAAAATCGAAGCCGAGGCTCGTGATTCGCTCAAGACGGTATCTCAGCAGCTCCGACAAGACTTTACCGCACACACCGAGAGTTGGGATCGCATCATGAACGAGCATATCGGGCGACTGGCGCAGAAATGTCTGGAGTATGCCCGGTACCAGACTGCAACGGTCGGATGCATTCTCGACGAGCTCAACCACGGCCCACTTATAGCTTGAAGTGATCCAAAATACCATAGCCCCCATGCTGTGGGTTAGCTTAGCGTGCATGCCGCATACCACGCCGGACATGCAGAGAAGCTCAGGATAACTTGCCTCTGGACACGCCGAAGACAAAGTGGCGATCCTCACCAATCCCTCTCAACGATTTGGCGCACAAGCCAGTCACAAGGACTTAGCCACAAAATGGGTTGAATACAGTATATTCACAAGAAACGTGCCAGGCCCTTCTCTCTGGCTTCGGAGGCCTGAGGCCAGCTGATCCGTACGTTCCAGTGAGCAAGCCATGCGATTGTTTCCCATCCTGGTTGGCAATTTCTTTGTGCGGTGTATCCACTCGACCCTCTGGACAACTCCATGGTGTATCGATATCAAGATGCTCAACCTTCTCGAGTCGCTTGGCTTCCCGGCAGTGTGAGCACACCTGGGATGTGTTGAACTCGTTCACCGAGCACACATGGATCTTGGAGACGGATCGGTCTGGTGGTCGTCTCTGGTGATGGTGGAACTGCTCAAAGTATTTGACGAACCTGAGTCTCCTGGGACTGGATGCGTATCCCTTCCCCTGTTTCCAGGATGCATTCTCAAAGGCAATCACCACTTCGGTCTCCCTTGGTGCCTGGTCAATGACTCGCTTGCACATCTCGTGGACAGTGCGCTGTCGTTTGCCGTAGAGATCGAGTCGCTTGAACCGCCGTCGCCGGGTCAGGCTGAAGTACAGCTGTTTCTCCAGCATGTCTCCATCGAACACATGGCGAATGTATCGCAAGAAGGAAGCCACCCCGGGGATCTTGGGACTTGGTGTGGTGCTCATCCATTGCTGCAGACCAAGGATCTTGTGGGTGCTCTGGATCCACTTGGTCGCCTGGCGGGTGTCTTTCGCTTGCGGGGAGCCATCTGGCGAGAAAATAGCGACGATCACTGGTTCTGCCCTTGGGCAAGAGTGAATCTCTTCAAAGCCAGCGCATTTTGGACAGGCGCTACTGCTCGCAGAAGCGTTCTTGATTCAGATCCAGAATCGCATCGCACAAGTGGCCCATTTGTGGGTCCATCTGGCTACTGAATGCAAGCGCTGACTCGCAGTGCTTGGCCATGATTGCAATGAGCGGGTGTGTGTATTCAAGTTCCAGAAAAATGCTACAGTCATAGCTCAAAACGGGGGATAACCCGTTTGATTTTGGCGGGAAGGCAGGCCAGGCTGATCACCATCGGGAAAGGAGCAATTGTCGCGTTCCCTTGGAGAATGCGATTTGCTCTGTCGACTGGCATTGGACCGCCTTGGATGCTCATCGCTCAATATGGCCGAATCGCTCAAATGTTCTGACCTGCTTTCTGACGAAGTCTTTGCGCGTGAAATGTCACCGTTCGATATTAGTTCGGAAAGAAAAAGTCAAGGCACGAGTTGGGAGCTGCAACTGCAGCAAATTGGCGATCCAGAATCGCTTGTAGACAATCCTTCCTGCTTCAGTGAATCAATCGCAGGCCTTGTCCAAGCAATAAGCTCTTCAATGAACTCGTCAGTGCTTATGTGTATGTGACGTGTTGTTAAGTTTTGAACAAATCGTGTAAATTGCAGGAGCGGCGCAAATGCCATCACCTGGGTCATCCATGTCGTCGATGGATTGTGAAGAGTATGGAGCCACGCGGAAAGGAAATAGAGGTCTCTTCGTTCATCAAGATGCTAAGTATGCTATCTGGCGACGAAAATTTAGCGGACTATGGGGACATACAATCTGGCAGAGGCGAATGCTATACTCTCGATTCTCGAGTCACCGACGCGAAGATTCGGCTGGGCATTGTGTCCGATCCACCCGCGAATGACGTGGGACCAATCTCATGTTCCCAAGGCATTGTTTCCAGAGGTATTATTGTTCTTCGAAACGCGGGGGGGGGTTTTTTTTGGTCTCTGTCCAGCTAAACAACTTCCGTTCGGGATGCAACACTAGACGCTGGGAGAACGGATTCGAGAAGCGGTTTATCAGAACTGTCCTTAAGTGAAAGGCATATACCTGGAGCGCTCAAGCAAGTCTACCCCAAAGGCTGTACCGAAATCCACATGAACCCTAGCTCACACGAAAGCAGCATGCTCAATTGTTCAGATCCCTCTAACTTAGATGGTTCCGATCTAAAGACCCGACTCCTCGATAAACTCGAAAGTCTCGCACAGCTACTCAAAATATGTCATTCCTCTCAGATTGCTGACGCTGTGGCGAGCAGTCCGTTGGGCAATATCTCTCCGCGTCAGCCAAGTTTGCAAGGCTCGTTGGGCGCCAAGTCCAAAACAGTTGCTGAAACTGTTCACCTCGGGGTTTACGATTCAAAGGAGGACTGCCCGGTCCGCAACTCTGGCACAGATCGTACATTGACCCATCATGGGCACGTGTGCTGCTGTATCCACCCGGGATGCCATCAGAATCGCGGCGGTAAAAGCGAAAACTTGATCGACAGCACCAAATCAATTGCACGCCAAACCCTTCGTGAACTTCAAAGAGACGTGGAAATTAAAAATTCGCAATTATCCAAATTTCAGCAGCGCATCGATGAGTCCTCCACAGAGCTAATGAAAATGAAACAAAAATGCTCCAACTACAAAGCCATAGCCAAAAAACTGTTGATGAAAAGCCGAGAATTCCAAAACGGACATTCCGAAAGTGCTCTCAATGAGCACGAAGCAAATTCGGACTCACGGCCATACCGCACGCCTCCAGCATTGAGTCCAACCATTGAAGGCATCAAGAGAAATGCCAAGGCAGTTTATTCCGAACAAGCTGTGATTGGCGATATCGCAGAAACAATGAAACAAATATCCCATACATTGCATGCTCTGCAATCACAGAGATGTGTGGGATGTAATTCCGAGTTTCAGGCGATGAGACACACTGTCGACTTTCTATCTACGCAGCTAGCTCGGAAAATAAGGGACATCAGGCGCTTGAAAATGGATGGAATTTGCTATATACCCGACAAGAACAAATCTGCCACAGCTCATAGCCAATTGGACTCAACTTCACGATCGAGCGAGTCCTTCGCAGAAAGTCTGCCTGCAGATCTGGTACCCGGAGTTCAGACGAAACTTGGCTTCGGCGGAGTGTCCAAGCCGATTACTTTGAGGCGCCACAGCGCTACTCAAACAGAGTGTGATGACAAGTATTCCAGCCGCGACGCCGACGAAGGATTTTCCATCCGAGATCAAGTGACAAGGATGAGGAAGCTTGCAATGGAGATGCAACGTGTTACTGGGAGCGATATCGACACGCTACAATCGCTTGGTAGCATCCCAACCAAGCCCCGACATATTTTGGAATATGCATCCAAGCTAGTAAATATCATTGAAAATGAGCTGAATATTCTTGGATTGAATTTCAAGGAAGTGAAGCAATGTATTGCGTCAACAAAGATGAGGACAGACCGAGAGCTAGGCTCGGAAACAAAAATGAGATCGTTCGAAGTTTGTTCAACACATTCGAACAAAGACATTCCGAATATCGGTGTGTGTCCAAAACTAGATGTACATTTGTACAATTATACTTCAAAAGTGTCCAAACAAGCCCAATCAAATCGACCTTCGAACCACCCACCGAGTAGGGATATGGCTCAGTCTCAAGGTTTGCGATCATCCACAACACCAGAAGGCGCATATGAGGTCCAGAGCATGACATCGAATCCATTTAATATCAGGCGAAGATCCGAGCCAAATCCGCGTTCTCCGGACTCTCCATCAGGTGAATTGAATCACAGCTCCAGCTGGGTCACCGACACGACGAATGAGAAAAGCATCGTGAAGGATAAATCAAGTGGCTCAGACGAGATTAGCATTGAGCCTCTCAAGGTTCCAGATCGAATGTCTATCCAAATGAATGGGAACAAGGAAAACAGCAAGAACTCGCAATCAACTCCGTTAGGGTCAATGGTGCCGTTATCGGTGAACATTGTGAGTCAATATGTCAAAGCAAAAAGTCCGCGAGATAGCGCAGCCGAGGAGACCAGGAATCAAAGTCTCGAAAGCCCATCTCGAGCATTGAATCTCGCTGATACCAAGCAGATCGATGGTGGGATCAAAGGGTCCAATGCTTCGAGGAAGTCCAAGCCAACAATTTTGGTTGAGAGCTCTTTAGATCAATCGAAGTCACTAGGCGAAGCGATATCGCCCAATCAGGATTTCTCTTCAGAGCATCAGCCGATTGAGAAACAGAACAAGCCGTCTAAGGAATATCATTTAGCACCTGCCATCGATTCAGATTATCAAAGCCGAGGAGGAATCAGTTTCTCCTTTGATAAATGGCTGAAAGGGAGCAGGCATGTGTATGGGTCGGAAGTATTTGAAGAGGAGCCAAAGCGACATAGTATCTCGACCACAAGGGAATACCTGAAAAGTCCTCTACTGTCGATGGGGTGAGTATAATCATCTCGAGTAAATCGTGTGGTTATCAAAGCTGATCGGCAAAGTCCAAGAAACGACAAGAGAATGAAGGAATGCTAAAGTGATCTATGGAATGTTTTCATATTCTCTACCAAGAACCAAAGGAATGCGGCTGCCAAACCGCGTAGTATTCCAAATCGACCAGAGACATGGAAACTCAAAGTCGAACATGGAGGAGCAGAGTTTGCTGGAAACAAGCGGGGACCTTGGATCAGAGGCTAGAGATGGCGTGTCAAAGGGAGATCGAGAGAATTGCCATATTGAGAGGGAGAAGGACTTGAGGGGTATATTCGATTAAACAATTGGACGACCATTGTCTCTTTTTCGATGCTTTCGATCTTGCCCGCACTCTGAAAATGTTGGCGGAATCAAGACTGGAGATACGTATGGCCAACAGATAATTTGAGCGGGGCTGGGGACGTTGCCTTGGCAAACGTGACTTCCGAGATGTCGAGAATGACCGGCAACGACAAGCATCGACAGGCGGGGTGAAACCTATGATGCGGGGACGAACGAAATTTCAGACAGAGAGGCGATCAGGACGAGTGGGGAGGCGATATAAAAGGAAGACTCGTCTTACTGGACCTGTCAGGGTTCAAACCGCACTTTCCCACGGCTGGAACCAGGTGTGACACGCTTCCCGATCCAGCATGCCTGCCCGCGTTTGGGGTACACGAGCGCGTCTGTCCAGTCCCGTTTATTGTTCCCACAGTCATGTACCATGAGAAACCAGATAAATAAACCACTTCCCTCGCCCGGCCCTTCCCAGGCGAGTGAACCTCTCCCAAGCTTCTTGCCCAGTCTCCACGACCCCGTTCCTCGCTCCACGACCCCGTCCTTCCCAGTCCCAGACCCTAACATGGTAGCATCGGACATTAAGAACTCCGACGACCTCATCCGTGCCTTCGGGCAGCTCTCCTTGGATGAGCAGGCCTCGGCCCTCACTGCCCTCCGAATCAGAATGAGCGCTGCCGCACCCAGCGCCATCGCCCCTGCCCTGCCCCTGCCTTCTCAGTGAGGCCCAAGATCCCACTCCCCGAACCCTTCACCGGTGTTCGGAAGGCTGGAGTAGTCGAGGAGTTCATCCTCTCGATGAACGAGTACATCGACTACTACCAGCTCGACGATGACGTTGCCGTCCGCAACATCACCATGAACCTCCGTGGCACCGCCAAGTCCTGGTGGCGCCTCTACGCCCAGAGGTACCCCGGGGAGGCAGCCAACATGACCCCCGAGATTCTCACGAGTCTCATCCGTGAGAACTTCGTTCCAGTGACGGCCACCAGGCGCCTCCTGGACGAACTCGACAACCTCAGACAGACCGGGTCTGTCGAAGCCTTCAACTCCAAGTTCCGCAACCTGTTGCTGAACCTTCCTCAGCTCTCCCCGAACACCGAGGACCTGGTCCACAGGTAACTCTCCAAGCTCAAGCCCAAGGTCAGGGCCGAGGTGGAGTGGAAGCTCTCTGACGGGGACTTGACTCTCGAGGACGCCATGGCTTACGCCGAGCGTTACGACTCGATCATGTACCAGTCAAGCCCCTACGCTCCTCCACCTCGCCCTCAGCAAAGGGAGAAGTTTATATTCCGCAACAACCCTCCTCCCAGGGTCAACAACCACTTCCGTGCACCATCTCCCACGCCCCCTCCCAGGGACCCCGACGCCATGGAGATTGACAACGTCAACTCCCGTCCCCTGGGAAAGCTCTCTGAGAAGCAGAGAGAGTACCTCCGTCGCAACAACGGTTGCTACCGTTGTCGTCAACTCGGGCACATGTCCCGTGATTGCCCTGTCAAGACAAGTACCATCAACCACGTGAGAACCACCGTCGACAGAGCCACTTCCTTCGACCAGGGAAACGCCCATGCGACAACTCCTGGGGCCCCTCACCATTGAGCACCCCGGCGAGTTGTCGCCAACCCCAAACAGAACTAGAACCTCATGAAAAATCAAGCACAAGACCTCATAAAGAAATCCCAACCTCGTCAAGTACTCACCTCATCCATTCTGTAACGTCCACTACTGGGACGTTGGGGCAAGACGGGGAGGGAGGGGGTACAAGACAAGACAGGACAGGGCAGAACAGGGCGGTGCTAGGCTACTCTAGCGGACGGGTGAGCTCGGGGAAGCACTTACGTTTATTCACGATAAAACCGAACTCCAGACAAACGGGGGGAACGGGGGCAACCCGCAGGTATACCCTGCGGTGGCCTGCCTGCGGTGCGTGAAAACGCAAAGCGCAGCACAGGTCACGACCCACTGCGCCGCGCAGTACGCGCAGTACGCGCAGCACAGCGTCGGAGATACCATCTCCTACACTCCCACACTTACGAAGGCTTCCTGCGAGGAGCCCTGCGTGTGCTCTTTATTTGGGGCTCCTCGAGGTGTTTACCGTATTTACTCAGCTCCTCGGGTGCATGGGACAAGTCCTCCAGTGTTTGCCATGTGTTGCCCGAGTGTGGGTAACCAACCCACTTGACATAAAACCGAAGTGACCCATCAGCCACTTTCTTGTGCCTCACGATCCTTTCGACTTCATATTCTTGAGTATAGTATTGTCCGAGGTCGTCTTCCAGTGGTGCGTCGTCCGGGACACCTTCGTCGGCGTCGGGGAACTGTGCTGGACTGCGGGTCGTGTGGCGACGCAGCTTGGACACATGGAAGACAGGATGGAGCTTGCTTCCAGGTGGCAAGTCCAACAGGTAGTTGAGGGGACTGGGTCGGGCCGCTATCTTAAACGGTCCTCGGTACTTGGGCAACAACTTCTTTGACTGGGCTTCGGGGACCTTGATGTTGTCGGCGTCCAGGTAGACAAGGTCTCCAACTTCAAAGGAGACATCCTGGTGTCGGCGGTCGTAGTACTTCGCCATCACTTGTTGCGCATCCGTGAGCGCATCGGCGATCATCTTGTATTGTCAGATCACGGGATCAAGAGGAAGTCAAAAGAAGAAGATAGAGAAGGGTTTTATTGATCTTAGCGAGGCTATGATCTAGAGTCAAGTGTGTCTGGGGTCGAAGGTGATGACCAGAAACATGAGCGGGCGAAGGCGGGCTATTTATCTGTCTGGCGGTCCCGGAGGCGAAGCCTGCCGCAGCGGGGGCGAAGCAGCGGAGGCGGCGGGACAGCAGCCAGGCAGCAGCGGCTAACCGGAGAAACATATGAAAGTCTGACAAATGCTCGGTGGCTGACAAATGCGGGTGACACGGCGTCTGACTAATGCATGGTCGATGATAAATGCAGGGAACACAGAGCGGCGTGTGCAACATGAGAGCAAGGAAAAAGGAAAGGCGTCACAGGACAAAGGAAAAAGAAAGTGTGCAACGCAAACAGTGACACAAGTGCGACGGTGCAGCTAGGCGGGCAGAGGGATCTGTGACATCCCCCCCAGAAAAATTGTGCTCAAGTCAAACCATCAATTTTTCGATCCCGAGTTGCGTTGCACTTGTGCTTGGCAAAGGTCGATCAGTGAGTCGATTTCCGGAAGGTTGCGGTTGCGGCTGAGGAAGTCGTGTATGTCTGCGAGTCCTCCATCCAAGAGTTCGGCCAGTGGTGCCCACGAGTCGTACGATGGGTCGTATCCCTGCCAGCGGAGCAGGAACTCGTGTCGATATCCAGGAAGTCGACGTCGTCGGTTGATCCTGTGTCCAATGATCGCTTCGAACACTGATTCGTCGTTGTGGTTGGGTCCGGGTTCATCAAACACAAGTTGGTCGGTCGATGGTGTGTTGTACGGGACGAGGGCGGAAGCTGGGAGTTCGGTTGTAAATCGGAGGGTCCTCGGGAGTCGAAGTCGATATCCAGTCGACCCGATCTTCTCGATGATCTTGAAGGGTCCCAAGTACGGCATCCGCATCTTGGAGGGTGTGACGTCGTCCGTGCTGAAGTGATACGCGGTCGTGTCGATCAGGACTTGGTCGCCAATGTCGTAGCTGATATCCCGTCGATGTCGGTTGGCGTAGTACAGGGCCCGGTCCTGGGCCTTGCCGATGTTGTCCGAGACCAAGTCCAGAGTCGCTTGCATCTCCTCGATCGACTGTGCTACGGGGTTGGACTCGGCGATGATGTCGGTGTTGGCAGGGGTGCGAGGATGCTGACCGTGCATCAGGAAGAAGGGCGAATGTCCAGTCGATGCTGAGTTGTGTGAGTTGAGCGCGAACTGGATGTATGGCACTTGATCGATCCAGCGGGAGCCGAGGGCCAGAGTCGAACAGCGGATGGCCTCGGCGACGGTCGCCACAAAGCGTTCGACTTGTCCGGCGGCCTCGTGGTGGTGGGCAAAGGCGATCCGGAGTTCGGTCTTGAGCAGAGCGTTAAGTCCTGTCCAGAAGGCCGACCGGAAGCGTGTGTCGTGATCGGAGATGAAAGTGCCGGCGAGTCCAAAGTGCACAAAGACATCGCGGAAGTACTGGCGGGCGACGTCTTCGGCCGAGTCGGTCTTGTTGCCAGGAACCAGGACGACGTACTTGGTGAGGGAGTCGACAAAGATCGTGATCGAGTTGAAGGTGCGTCCCGAGAGTGAGTCCGTGACAGGCGGGAGTCCGAGGATGAAGTCGAGGGCGACAGTGTCCATCTTGCGGGTGGCCACAGGGATCCGGGAGAAGTGGCCGTATGCTTGTTGTCGTCGGATCTTGGCTCGCTGGCAGATGTCGCAGTGCGAGACCCACTCGGCAATGTCCTTGGACATGGCGGGCCAGTAGTAGTGGGTTGAGATGGCCTTGTAGAGCGTGTTGGTGCCGGGGTGAGCTGCACAGACAGAGTCGTGGTGGTCCTTGATGATCGAGATGCGGAGGTCCTTGCCGGGGATGCAGATGCGGGTCGAGTCGAAGTAGAGAATCCCGTGTCGAAGTGAGAAGCGGTGCAGCTGTGCCTTCATCCACGGCTTGAGTCCGTCGGTCGAGTTGTCGCGGAGGGCCGAGATCAGTGCTGACAGGATCGGGTCGGAGCTGTACTGAGTGCGGATGGTGTCCAAGAGATCGTCGGGCGAGGGTCCGAGGTTGACAATCGCGTTGATGATCGAGACTTGGACGGCCTTGGAGATCGCTGTCGGTGTGCGCGAGAGCACGTCGGCGACCTTGTTCCACGAGCCGGGGATCCACTGGATCTCGAGGTCAAAGTCCAGCATCGTGTCGATGGCTCGCTGTTGGCGCTTGTTGAGGGTCTTGGAGTCGAGGATGTGCTTGAGCGCCTTCTGGTCGGTGTGGAGGAAGACTTTGCGGCCGACGAGGTAGTTCTTGAACTTGTCGAGGTGGCGGGTGATCGATAGCAGCTCGCCGTTGTAGGGCGAGTAGTTGAGCTCGGATCCGTGCAGTTTCTGCGAGTTGAAGGCGATGTGGCGCACGGTGCCGGATCCGTCCATGTCCTGCCCGATCCATCCACCAATCGATGCGCTTGACTCGGACCAGTCGGTGAAGAGGTGAATGTCTTTGTCCGGGTTGACCATGTGCAGCGACTGAGGCGAGAGCAACTTGAGCTGCTCGAAGGCGGCGATGGCGTTGTCGTCCCAGACGACGGACTTGGTCGAGTTGGCAGAGC